ATTGTCGACTGCGGGCATCCTCACCCACATCGCCAAGTCAACCTGTACGTTCATGCTGAGCGCATCATTGCACCGACCGCTACCCTCATCCTCGAGACACTTGTCTAGTATGTTCTGACCTCAGTTGGACATCTGCACTGGCATGGAAGTTGCCAGCCTTTCAGTGCTTTCTGGTCCTTCATCATCGTCAGATAGTCATGACATCCCACAAGTATCACCGGACCAGCGAAATCGATTTTTGCCGGAACCACCCAAGCAGATATGATCCTTTTTCTCGTGTCAACTCGTGTCAACTCGTGATCCTGGATTTTTGATGCAATCAGGTGGGTGCTCTGTTATGAAAGACACTGTCAAAACTGAGCTTCGGCGAAGATGAGATCACTCTTTGTCGACCAGGAAGAGCCGACACACTGACACCACTCGCTCAGCGTCTTGATTCACGCGGCTGACACTTTTTCCTTTTGTGCTCTACAGATCGGAGAACCACTCACTAGACTACCTAGTCAGTACCTAGCTCGAACCCAAACCAACGCGATCCTCTGACGGCTCGAACGCTGTGATATCACGTGCGACCCCTGGCCCGTATTTGTGGAAACAGGACTCTTCGCGGCGTAATTTGGCGGATACCCTGCTTTGACATTCTATTGGGACAGTTTGCGCTGAGCTTGGTCGATCTGAGGTGCTGGTTTTGTCGCGTAGATGAGAAAGATGGGTTGAGAGTCAATATTTGAGTTGAATTGATTCTGAATATCCCCAAAGTCCAACAATCGACAAGCCCTTGACTATCTTGGTGCGTCCGTGAGCTGTGGTACGCACCAACTGAGCATTGATACAGGTCTTCTGACCTCTCACACCAAAATCCAAATTGACGCTCAACAGGTTGGGATCATCATCATCCAGCAGCACTTTGCAGTGGGCTTCATTTCCGGTCTGTGGAAAACACAATGCTGGCGGGCGGCGACGTGAAGATTGTATCAGACTCAAAGTGCATGGAATGAGATACCCCCACCCCTGAGCCAGCATCTTGCAATCACTCCAACGTTCCTCAGGTTATGTTCGTTCTTGTTATAGCCCGCTGTGATCATTCATACTTGCTGTTGATTATCGTTCACCAGCGGCGCGAGCTGGGGCACAAAATCTCAATTTTGGACACTCAGTCACGCGCAGCACCAGCTTGTGGATGGAGGCTTGGTGAATGCGTCTGAAGAAACTCGTGATATCCCGCTATCTAATCAGAGCGACTGATTATCGGGTACGTACAAGTCCGCAGTGTCACTTTCAAGGTCTTCAGGGGATGGTTTGACCCAACCTTGTAAGGTCAGCTATTTTTGGGGACAGTCTGTGTGGCCGTGTGTCGAGACACGCGTCTTACTCATGCTCGAAAATGTCTACGAGCGGCTTGAGCAGTTTCTAGCTCCATCAGGCTTCCAGATGAGCAAAGATGAAAGCTTGCAAGATAACATAGCTGCACCCGGACTGTGAGATCAATGAGGAAAAACCACACGGAGGTCGTACGCAGCTTGAGTCTTTCCAAGAATCTTTGATCACAGAGTGACGCCTTCAAGATTTACACCGTCATGTAGCTTGGATAAGAAATTACAAAGCACAGGTGGCGTATCGACCCACAGTAAGCTGCAGGACGTGTGAGTTGGGTTTCCGCGCTGACAAGGTTCTCGTACCGAGAAGAAAATGGCTTGATCCTCGACAGACTCAAGGGCCAAGTGAAGGAGATGAACGCCGAGCGATGTCAACGGCCTTAGCGACCACTGTTGCTTCAAACTAAGCAGCCAGTGGCGACTACAATGATAGACGAATACGAGGCCTGGGCAAAGGTCCGGTGCCCTTGTGGCTATCACCACCCTGTACACTATCAAAGACAACGAGAAGGACTCCCAGACCAAGCTATTAATCGCAATGCAGACCTGATTCGGCTTCACTGTCATGGTAGGACATAATGAGAGCCTGTCACGAGCCCCCAATGCGGATCCAGGCCGGATCATCGCGGCCCTTTGCTTGACGAGCTGCCGAGGGCACGTGGGCGACAAGTGATGAAGTCAGGATCGAACGCGATGTGAACGCATATTGCACCACCGGCACCAGAAGCATCAGCCAGCGAGCGCAGCAACACAGATCGGGGATGCGATTGCACAGCCCTAGGCCAAGGGACCTTGTTCGTTTGTTTCAAGGGGTTCGAAATGTGTCCAGCTCGGTCTAGCTTATTAGCCTCATGAGCCAACCGCGACGCTCCCAGAAGGGTTCACGGGGGAGATAATAGCGTCTCGCGCTACGAGCTGTCAGATTTCCCCACGTCAGTCAGTTTCCCTTGGCTGTTCTCGTCTTGGACAAGCAAGCTCTCGACGCCCGCGATTGGTCCTCCGGCCGACGTGGTCAGGCAGGCTCAGCACGCATTGGCGGGCGAGACGGGGCCGCCTTCTCTGTGCTGGGGAGAAAATGTTTCACCCCCGGGACATTTCTCGAAGACGTCAAGATTGCGAGGCTTCACCGAGCATCAGACGATCGATCTTCGTTTTGGGCTGTTGAGTTGCCGGAACAACCGATTGGTCATGTCTGGCAGGGTTTGAGTGATGTTGAAGCACTCTGAATCCAATGTCGCGGCTTTAGGGAAGGATCTCCAGTATCATTGTCCTTCGCCCTGCGTGGGCTGTTCGCAAGTCTAGCAACTTAGCTTTTCTATGCACGAGCGTCGAGCTTCGAGCTTCGAGCCTCAAGACTGGTGCCCGAAATCGGACGGCAAGTTGCGTTGTGCCCGAGTCAGGAACTCAGCGACGAGACAGACAGGCAGATAGACTGAAAGGTGCAACTAGCTGTGGCGGCCTAGGAATCCACTAGGTGTATGACGAGCTGTAGCGTACTGTGCTGGTGGGATTGCATGGATGGGCGTGGTCCATAGACGTGAGGTTTGTTAGGACGGGCAATACGCGAGGCAGATCATTGCGACGCTGAAACGCGGATTGCTACCTCGTATCTATATGCTCATCTTATCCTGCTGCTGCGCACGGAAATCGTGGTTCTGTTGTTCATGTTCCCAAGGTGGCTGGACGGGTTGTGATGGGCGAACCGTGGGCCAACAAGCATGAATTTAACCGCGTTGCAAACCGCACCGGTACCAGTGGCAATGGCTGTTTGGTTGGAGATTGTTTCATTCCCTGAGCCAAGAACTTTTCCTATGGGCGAGGAACGGATAGGGTCTGAGGTGTGGTGGGGTGGGCGAACAGGTGTGGAAGCTTGGATGGAAGCCACTGCTAGGCGTCGCCGTTCTCTTAGTCTTGATGGGATCCATCGTCGTTGATGGGATGGGACGAGAGGGTTAAAAGTGGACTTGGGTTCCAAGAGGGCACGGTGCTGCACTAACATGCTGGCCAACGGATCCAGCGTGCTGGTGCTAGTGCACGGTCGCTGCCCAGGTGCGGCTGGACCCGCGTGGCTAGTCCTAGAAGGGCGACAGTCGCGACTGCTGTCCCTCGTCTCCAGACTGCATCGGCTGGTGCCCGCCTTTGTGCTGTGAAGCCGTCCATCCCCATTTCCCTTGACAGCGACAGTCGCCGTGACCGTCTATTCCCAGACAGACCCTTGCCTCGACAGCTCATCAGCTGGCCCTTCTGCTCTTCTCGTTCGAGTCTGTCGAATGACTTTGCCTTGGCACTTAACCCCCCTGCCGTTGTCGTCGCAGACGCATTGGCGCTCTCGCGGCGGGCTCGTCGTCTCATCTCTCGCGGAGCTAGAGAGCATTCAGAGACCACCTTGCGAGCTGTCACGTCTGGGACACCAGACGACACTCCTGCATAGCGGTCCGACTCCAACAAAGCTTCAACAGTTTCCAACTGGGCCATGGGGCAGCCGCTCTGCTTCTCGGGAAGGGGTCCACCCTCTCTACCTGAGCACATACACAACGCGCTCGGTAGCTTGTTTCCCTTTGTTTCTAAGCTGCCCCAGGGCTATAATACTAATACCACCGTCGAAAACAATGATAATGCCACCTGGGGCTGAAGATCAGACCGACAAGTCTCGACGGTGTGGGTCGCACTGCTCTGCTGTGCTGGCCGGGGAAGAAAGGGATTTCGCTCTGCAGTCCTCTCCGACCCTCGATCTTTTCTCCTGCCCAAGAGCCAGCTCCAGAGAGAGACCTCATTGCATCTGTGCAGTACAAGCCGTAGATACTGACGATGCGGTTTCGACATATGGCTCTTCTGGCTGCGACAGAGACGTCAAAGGATGGATGCCGGCATATGACACACCACACTAAAGCTCGACTTCGTTAGCCGCATGGCCCTCGCATTCGGGCCGGACGAGGCACGATTGCCACCCTCCTCTCGGAGCAGCTTTGCCGAGGTACAACCCCTCCAGTGCAGTAATCTCCTACAAGACAGCACGCGCTTGACATGGCCTGGGTTCCCAAGGGGCGACTATTTCTCCTTTCACACACTCACAAAGTTATTCTCCCCATCACTGCTTCCTGTGAACCCGCCGTCCCAGACCCTTGAGGCGGTAAGCTGGAGTGTGGTTCATCGCTGGCCATCGACTCGCAGACAAGACCGTTGGGGGAAGAAAAATCTCCAGGAAGGGTGACCCTGCCTCCCACGTTGTAGGGTACGCGGTAGTGCAAGTCCGTACATTACATGCACGGCGTACCCAGTATACCCTGCCCTTCTTTCCTCAATTTCTCCACAAGGTCTGCGCCTGCTGATCGACACCGCTGCTACTGCATAAATAAAGTTACACCTTGCTTCGCATCCGACCTTCTCTGTTAGGGTTCTTGTTACATTGTTTCATTCCTCTCTTACCCATCACAAGGAGACCCTATCAGGCACGGCAGGGAGCCAGGTTTTGCAAAAAAAGAAGACGAACCGGCCTCTCCCCCACGACGAACAAGCATTGCCTGTTGAGAACCTTGGCCGCCCTCTTGGCCATTCTGCACTCTCATCATTCCTATATACCTAACCGTCTTGTCCGCTCTCCCACCAGCGTCGTCAACTGTTACAATGTCTTCATACGAAAAGCCCACTTTCTTCGACATGGACGCCGACACTCTCAAGATGTACATGCAGATCTTGCCCAAGCTGCCTCTGGTGGCACGCGTGGCTCTGCTGCATGTACTACAAATGTCGCCGCCGAGCAAATATGTCGACCTGAGGACCGAGTTGACAGTAGCCGTTATCCGGTCCTTCCTCACTCCCTCAAAACCCACCACCATATCCTCAACCCAGAAGCTCCTCAACAAGGACCCCGGCGTCAAGGGCCGTATCTGGGTGGCCAAGTACACAGCACCCAGCCCTAAGGAGACCAGTCTGCGCGATGTTGTCGTTCGTGCCGTGGAGAACATGCGCCAGCCCAGCAGCAACGGCAGTCCTCCGCCGCCACTGAAGGATATTGAGTGGCCCGAGACTGTCCCCGTCGAGGCTGAGTGGCAAGGCTACCGAGCAGGTGCTACTACCCAATCAAGGCTACCTCCCATCACTGAGGCCGAAAAGTACACGGAGATGATGAAGGAGGTCAAAAGCACGGCGACTATTCTGTACTTTCACGGCGGAGCCTATTACCTGATGGACCCGGCAACCCACCGACCAGGGACAAAGAAGCTCGCCAAAATGACTGGCGGACGTTGCTACTCGGTGCGGTACAGGCTGGCTCCACAACATCCTTTCCCGGCAGCACTCATCGACGCGCTGCAGTCGTACCTGACTTTACTGTACCCGCCGTTGGGGGCTTTCCATGAGGCCGTCAAGCCCGAGCATGTGGTCTTTTCAGGCGACAGGTGAGCCATCCCCTCCCCCTCGAAGCAGTCATCTGCCTGTGAAAGGGGCCAGACTAACAGAAACACAGTGCTGGAGGTAACCTATGCATGGCCCTCGCGCAGCTCCTGCTCGAGTTCCAGAGGACCAATACGAAGATCCAATGGTTTGGCCAGGAGGTCACTCCCCACCTCCCGGGAGGCCTAGCCCTCAGCTCCCCGTGGCTGGATCTCACCCATTCCTCACCATCCTGCAAAAACAACGCCCCTTTCGACTATCTCCCAATGCTCCAGGGCCTCGAGAAGATGGAGCGACCTTCCTGTCCTGCGTGGCCCGCAAAACCGCCCCGGAAGATGCTGTACTGCGCGGACGCCTTCATCGCACACCCGCTGGCGACCCTCATCACCGCCAAGAGCTGGGAGGGCTGTCCGCCAGTGTACATGTCCTGCGGTTGGGAGCTTCTGGCTGACGAGGACAAGTACATGGCCGTCAAGCTGCACTCGGACAAGGTGCCCGTCGTGTTCGAGGAGTTCGAGGCCATGCCCCACTGCTTCCCCATGGTCTTCATGGACAGCCCGGTGTCGAAGAGGTGCTTCGATGCCTGGACCGGCTTCATCAAGGACGTGGTGGAGCACGGACCCGCGAGCGTCGAGACTGGCTTCAGGACGCTCAAGGCCAAGACGCTCAAGGAGGCCGACATTGACCCCGCCAAGCTGAGCCCCTACACCGAGGCGGAGCTGCGCGAGAGGTTGAGAAACCTAGGCAAGGAGAGGGCACCGGAAAAGGCACCTGCAGACGTTGCTGCGAAGCTCTGAGTGCTTGAAACGATGTGAGGGCATCGCTATTGCATGATTTATGGCTCATGATAGGGGTTGGGTATTTGCATGGATCTTCATCCGTTTTCAAGACGGCTTTCTCAACTTTGATATACCCGGTATGAGAATAATAATCACCAGCGGATGTTTGGACGGGACAACATAACAAGCGTTTGCCTGCAATTTCAGTAGATAATTGACTTTTAGGGGGATGGGATGCAGTTGAGCTTAATCATATGACGCGATGAACCTACCTGCCTTCACATGCTGAGGACGCCGACCGGAGAAATGAGATCCGATTACGAAGGCTGCAGGGCCCTTGGAAGGCATTCACACATGCAAATCATGCACATCCACCTTCGTAGGTTTCTAGAAAAAAAAAAAAAAAAAGTCCTAGCGGTTCGGATCCGACCGGGTGCCACCAATGTGGGGTGCATCGGCCTCACTCGGGGGGGGGGGGGGGGGGGACTCGTGTTCGCGTCCGGCCCAGCTGCCGAAAACCTAAACTTGCTTCTGTCCACCCTTGCACACGCAAACGACCCGGCGAATCATCCGGAGCTCCAGCGTCGCTTGAGAAGTGGTGACCGCCGACTAGCAGGGAGGGCGTGCGTGCTACAATTGAGAAAGGTAGCCCGGCTGGTGCGACGCAACGGGGAGAGAAACGAGGTCAGGAAGAAGAGCATCACACTCACGTTCACCCACCCCACCCACAAGCACAATGGAGCGCCACCGGGCCCTGGTGCAGAAGATCTCGTCGACGGTGCGGGCCTTCTACGCCGCAAAGGAGCCCTACCGCATCTTCCACGGCAGCACCAACAGCACGCGGCCCCAGCCGCACGGAAGCCGCGCCCGCGTCGTCGACATCTCGGCCCTGCGCGACGTGCTCTCGGTCGACGCGGCCCGCCGCACGGCGCTGGTGGAGCCCAACGTGCCCATGGACCGGCTGGTCGAGACGACGCTCAAGCACGGGCTCGTCCCGCCCGTGGTCATGGAGTTTCCCGGGATAACCGCGGGCGGCGGGTTCGCGGGCACCGCGGGCGAGTCGTCGTCGTTCCGGCACGGCTTCTTCGACGACACCGTCGCGTCCGTGGAGCTCGTCCTCCCGGACGGCGAGGTCGTCACCGCCGCGAACCCCAACACCCCCTCCGGGGCGGACGGAAAATACGCCGACCTGTTCCGCGGGGCCGCCGGCGCGGTGGGGACACTGGGCGTGACGACGCTGCTGGAGCTGAACCTCGTCCAGGCCAAGAAGTTCGTGCGCACGCGCTACCGCCGCACGGGCAGCGTCGCGGAGGCCGTCGCCGCCGTCAAAGAGGAGGCGGCCCGCGCCGAGAATGACTACGTCGACGGGATCCTCTTCTCCAAGGACCACGGCGTCGTCATCACGGGCCAGATGACGGACGAGAAGCCGGCCGCCGCGCCGGTGCGGACCTTCTCGCGCGCCCGCGATCCCTGGTTCTACATGCACGTACAGGAGCGCACGGCGTCACCATCATCATCATCGCCATCAGAGACCACGACGACGACGACAACGCAGGGGGCCGAGGATCAGGACGACGAGTACATCCCCCTGGCAGAGTACCTCTTCCGCTACGACCGCGCCGGGTTCTGGGTCGGGCGCGCCGGGTGGACGTACTTCAAACTGGTCCCCTTCAACCGCCTGACGCGCTGGTTCCTCGACGACTTCCTGCACACGCGGATGCTGTACCGCGCCCTGCACGGCTCGGGCGAGAGCGCGCGCTTCGTCGTGCAGGACATCGCCGTCCCCTTCGCCACGGCCCCGGAGCTGGTCGACTACACGGCGGAGGAGCTGGGCATCTGGCCGCTGTGGCTGTGCCCGCTGAGGCGGCGTGCCCCGCCGACGTTCCACCCGTTCACGACGACGCCGGGGGTGGCCAAGAAGGAGGAGGACGACATGATGCTCAACATCGGCGTCTGGGGCTGGGGCCCCTCGGACCGCGGCGAGTTCGTGGCGGCGAACCGCGCCCTCGAGGCAAAGGTCCGCCAGCTGGGCGGCATGAAGTGGCTGTACGCGCACACGTACTACGAAGAGCCCGAGTTTTGGGACATGTACGGCGGCCGCGGGTGGTACGACTCGCTGCGCGCCAAGTACAAGGCCGACGAAGCTGGGCTGCCCAGTGTCTACGACAAGGTCAAGGTCAAGGTCGAGCCCAAGGCCGCCGCCGGGGGCGGGCTCAAGGGTGTGTGGCCGTTCGGGGGCATCTATGGCATTTACAAGAGCATCAAGAGCCGTGATTATATGCTGCACAGAAATGCTGGTTGGAAGTGGAGGGGGGAGGAATGAACCGAGGCGAAGACTCTGTATATCTGAATGAGCGTGCTTGAGCGGGCGGACCGACTATAGAGTTGCCCATTGTGTGTGCATGTGTATGTTGCGTCGGCGTTTCACCACCTAATAGATTTAGACAGAGCCACAAACTTCTCAGCCTGGGTCAAGTGGCTGCAAACAATTCATCATAAAAGGAGAGATAGAGGAAGGCATTGGGGATAAAAAAAATGGTTGAGTTACTGAGTACTGATAAGTCCCAGTCCTCCCACAACGGGTCTATGCTCTAGTGTAGATGCTCCCCAAGAACAACCAGACAATCCCGTCATATATATATACATGCCGGCCATTTATGTCGTCAACTGGCCTCCTTGAGACGTAATTAATTAGTACGGGCCCTTGGCCTGCAGTTCGTCGCGCGTCGCTAGTCAGCCAAAGCAGTAGTAATCTGAAGTTCTTTTGCGCCGGGTTCCGTCTTTTCTCTCGGGTCAAGACCCCACCCCGAAGCAGGCGCCTCCCATTCTATGCGTGGTAGAAGACACCATCTTGGTACCAAAAAAGGTGTAAAAGTCATTTAAGCCTTAACAGAGTAAGACCGCTGGAACATGTCGTTAACCTCCTCGAGGTAGTAGGTGCCCGGGACGATGGTGGACGCATCGCCCGCAGGCTTGAAGTTCTTCTGCAGATGCGCCTTCTTGCGCAGATCGCACAGCTAGCAGACTTGATTAGCACTTGAGATATTTAATTCAGCAGTTGAGGAACTTACAGCCTCGTAGGTCTCAGGAGAGAGCTTCCTCCTGGCTTCCAGGCGAGCAGGGAGGTTCAGGGTCTTGGAGATCTTCTCCGTGTTACCCACAACCTGGAAGGAGGTGAAGCTGGCAGCCAGACCGGAGCCGTAGCTGAACAGACCAACTCGCTTGCCCTCTAGGCTGGAGGAGGGGACGTGAGAGATAAGGCTGGCGAGGCCGCCCCAAACACTACCGCAGTACATGTTGCCGCACAGAGTGGCGACCTGGATGGCAGGGTTCACACGCTCCTGGAACCTCTTCTTGGTGAGGGTCATGAAGGTCTTCTCCACGACCTTGTCGGTCAGGGACTTCTTGTAGTCCATGTCCCTGATCTCCTTGGGCACCTCGGCGAAAGCAGAGTTGTCAGGGTCGGCGAGGAAGTCGTGGTACAGGAGACGAGCATAAGACTTCTGCACCAGCTTGCAGGTAGGAGCGTGGAAAGCCACGTAGTCGAAGCGGTCCAGTGGGGTCTTGACAGGGCCGTCCGCGACACCGTTGCCATTGGCGTGGCCGTTGGCGGTGCCGTTCTGCAGCTTCTTCTCCTTTTGGCAGTAGGAACGGTAGGCCGCGTCCAGAGCCTCGGTGTAGCAGTTGAGGGAGTAGTGGCCATCGACGTAAGGGTACTCGCTGGTCAGGTCGGGCTTGTAGAAGTCGTAGACGTGCTGCATGTAAGAGCCACGCAGGGGCTCGGCGACAATAGGAGCGTTGGGCCCGACCAGCAGGGCAACGCAGCCAGCACCACCCGAGGGACGGGCGTTACCCTTGGCGTACAGGGCAATGTCACCGGCAACCACGATAGCATCCCGTCCGTCCCAAGCAGAGGACTCGACCCAGTTGACAGCGTTGAAGAAGGCGTTGGTGCCTCCGTAGCAGGCATTGATGTTGTCGACACCCTCCAGGTCGGTGTTGTCGCCAAACAGCTGCATCAGAACAGACTTGACCGACTTGGACTTGTCCAAGAGGGTCTCTGTGCCGACCTCAAGGCGGCCAATTGAGTTTGTGTCGATCTCGTACTTCTTGAGCAGGTTGGAGACGGCAGTCAGGGCGAAGGAGTAGATATCTGGGTGCGGTGCTGTCAGCAAAATAGACCGTCCAAGATAGGCTTTGCATGTGCCCGAACAGTAAGACAGAAGATCAGGAGAACAGGCTCTCACCTTCGCGGTCATCGCAGAAGGCCATCTTGGTCTGGCCAAGACCGATTGTGTACTTTCCGGCACTGACGCCGTCGAACTGCTCGAGCTCGGACTGCTCGACATACTGTTTTCCCACGAGGAATGGTCAGCACGATTCCAGGTCCAAGACAAGGTGAACAATTGGTGATTTGGGTCGGGAGACAGAACAAGGCGCAAGATGCGACATCGGGGAGTCGGGTGCGTGGTGAGCACGTACCTGGCTGGGGAAGTAGACTTCAATGGCCTTGATGCCAATGTTCTGGGGACGAGAAGCCATGTTGAGAGCTAGGGGACTGCTATGAGGACTTGGAGAGTGTTTTCGAATGGGTGAGGAAGAGAAGGAAAGAGTAGGAAATAGTGAGGAAGGCGTTCTGGGGGGAAGGATTAGTTGTATGGGCGGCAGAAATTGCGATGTTGGAGTGGGCTCTGGCAGATAAAATGCAAGCGCGGTGGGTGTGGGTGGGCGGATGGTACGTAGACTACACATAGGATGGATAGAGGAGGGGTCCAATTTGTTAGCCCCTGGTGTCCTGCATGCGACTCGGGCAGCACAGCTTGTTGGGACCCTGGGGCGCCCTTCTTCCCTTGCCGCCTCAACCTCACCTACTCTCACTAACACCGACAACAATGCTGGACGGGATTGGCACATTATAGTACACCGCCCCTTCTTATGATTCTTGTCCCAGGCTCGTTCCAAGCCACCCTCGACCAGGCTGTCGGAAGTCCATTACTACTTACCAAGGTACCCGTCTCGGGCCCTTTTTTTTTTTTTTTTCTGGCCTCGCAGCCACGGTTCTACGAAGAGTGAATTCTGCACAAAAGGATGATCTGGTCTTTGAGTGCAGGCGGTCCACCGGCTGGGGACAAGTCACAAGAGGGACCGGACGTCCGTCCTCTGGCGGCAGGGGGCGTGTTCTTCGTCTGATTGTTTATCTTTCAGTCTGGCCGTCTGGCCGTCTGGCCATCCGTGTGCGAGACGAGGGGATCCCAGGACGGTGCGGAACGGGTGGAGCCCAAGCTTCAACCCGCTGGCAGCTGTGGACACTGACTGACTGACTTGACTTGCACATTGGATTGTCTACTGTACACCGTGCTTGCCGCCTCCTCCACCTCCAACAGATTCATAGTAATCCCACTCCCTGTACTTGTTGGTGTCGAGCTGACCCGACCCGCCTTGTTCCCGTGGGTGTGGCACCAGTCGTGCCAGCCCGCCCATCCTCTTGGCTTGATTGTACTGGATATACCGAGTGGGTTGTGAGCATTGCTGACCCGTCTCCTCGTCCAAAACACGCTCCTCCCGACACTCGAGATGCAGGCAGTGCTCAAATGACGGCAAGCTGTACCATGCTTGCGAAACGAAAGCACGGGATCGTCACGGCTCACGCCAGAAACAGGAACGGGTCGGGCTTGGTCGAGTTGGGAAATTTGCGGCATGGCAACAGCGGGAAAACGCTAACTGGTTGCCCTTGCTGCAGTGCTCCTACTCAGCGTGGACGCGGGACGCGGGTTGGGAGGGTGCCCAGGGTGCATGGCAGCAGGGGCAAGATGGTACGATTTGATAAGCCAGTTCTTATCGATATCGCAGATCCCTGCTTATCAGACCCTTGCCAGCTTATGCCTGGGTCCTGCAGACCTGCTCGTCCCCGTCAGCCCGACGGCCGAATCGAGGGTTCGAGGTACGTGTGTGGGTACCTAGCTACCTTGGCTATGATGTTGTATATACAAGAAGAGAGTCTCTGTAGGGGGCTTGAGATATATCTGCGCCACTTAAGCGTTCGCAATCTCCTTCGCCTCTGAAGATCTCGTTCGTCATACGGGTACACAGCATCTCCCAGACTTTTTTCTTCTTCTTACTTCACCCTAGCGCCGCTACTTTATTAGCGTGAGAGCCTGCTGCTGCAACCACTCAGGCAGTCAGTCCATGCAGTGCTGCCGTTGAACGGTGGTCACTCTCTAAGCCTTCCCGCTGCAGTAGCTCCGTCCCTAGACGGCAATGACAGTGGGTGGCACGTGTGGGACGCATCATGGCAGCACGGCCATTGTTCTCGACGTCACCTTGCTAGCTTACACAAGGTGGTGGCTGAGCTCTCGGTCGCCCCTCTCCTGCACACCCGGAGCACAAGCTGACAGCTTGGGAGCTTTGTCCTCGTGCCTCGCCCCGACCGCCTTCCATGTAAGACAGGCACATAGCCTAGGCCATCCATGTACACAACTTTTGGCCGGGCACTTCCTAATCTGGAAGCCCATCAGTGAGCGATATGTTCAACACGAGCATCAAGCGCCAAATCCGACCCACGGAAGAGAAAACTCTGCCGCAAGGCACGGCACCATAGACCATCCAGGCCTGTCCTCGGGGCCACAGCAACAAGCATCGGAATTATCAGATTTTGTTTAATCTAATCAATCTCATCAACATGCATCAAACCAGTGGATCAAACCTGCTCAAGCCTACGTAAAACCAGGCCCACGACGCACGCTAAAGGGTGCCGTGTCCCGCGGGGCCGGAGACGACTCCTGGTAGCTGGCAACGACGACCGTCGACAAAAGGAAGGAGAAAAGAGACAAAAACTGGCATCCTCGGGCTTTCTCCCGACAGAACGGGATTCCACGAGATTCCACGCCCCGGGGCGATCGAAATGCACATTGCAAACCCGACGAGTCCCCCGAGCACACAGGAGGGAGCAACCTCTTTTGGGTAACCCCGGAGTCGCACAGGGCGGCGGGCCTCAATCCGATACCCTCCGTTTCGGGCCATTCTGGAACAAGGCTGCCTGCCTGCCGTTCACTAGCTGCTGGACACAGTCAGCCTGACTTCCTACATCAAAAGGCTACCTCGTGCTGGGCCGAGGCTCAAAACCCAAATGGGCCATGAGCGGCACTACGGGGCAACCACATATCACATTCTCAGCTACCTACTGAGCATTTGCTCACAGGTAATCATCAATGTTTTCACAAAAGGCCTTCCATTTTGTAAAGTCTCCCATTCCTTTCGAGCCGATGTTCAAGCTATCACTGGCTACCAATTCTATCCCTGGGCCGGCCATCGAATGTTGGAAAGGTCCAAGTCGCCCTGGCTCGCTTAGTGGTCCAGTCAATCATGTCGTTTTATCAGCTTCTCCTCCGTTTCCTTGTGCTTGAACAACACCAAACCTGTGCAACGCGCACCTCGAACAATTCCCTCGAGCCCCGCTCCATTTGGGCTTCCGAGACCGGCTTATATCATCCATGCTGACGGTTCACTTCCGGAGCTGTTGTTCGTCTCCTTTCAGAAGCCTCCGAATTTTACCGTGATATTGTGGAACTGCCTCAATGGTGTAGTGTCGCGGTCGGGTCAGGCCTCGGTGTTAAAGGGTTATCCCGAGGAATTGCCTGGTGCTGAGTCTGGCGCCAGGCATGACAAAGACAGTATTCGGGCAAGGTCCGAGGAACCCCTGTGTCATTTTCGGACTCGTTAAATTCGCCCGGTCTTGAACCTCTGCATATCCAAGGGCCCGTGCTGTTCCGGCTCATCGGAGCGGTGCCAAGCTCCGGGGGCATGATGCCCGGTCCCATTCGCCGGGCGTCAGACCGCACTCTTTCTTGAGGGCCGCAACAACCTCTCGAAAAGCCATCTCAGCTTGCGAGCAGCCGTGATCCGCCACGGTTTCGCCCCAGCTCACTCCTTCCAGGCGACACGGTACCAAGGGCCCCATCTCCAAGTCCTCGGCCCGCCGGCGGCTGGGAAAGCAAGTGGTGATCCGCCGCCGGCACGCTTCGACCCACCGGACCGAGAGGGCGAGTGCCTTGATGAAACCGCTGCTCAGCACGCCGAGGACCAAAAGACCTGCGAATAACCCTACGGTGACGGGCCAAAGCAGGATGCATGCGAGGTAGAGCAAGCTGCTGGGTGGGATGCCGCCGTGCCGCCGTGCCTCGGGCCCGAGCTCGTCGATGCTCAGCCTGGCGAGGAAGAAGACCACGACGATGTAAGTGAATACCGCCGTGCAGACTGCGGGGTCTGATGGTGGCGGTAAGGTGTATATTTGGGATGACATGATGAGTTTTGATGTGGCGGCAATGAGAGTTCAGTCAGATATGGACGGTATAGTATGGTACATTGTGGGTATTGGTTTGGGTTTGGCATGGCTACTTTCTTTTTCCCCGGAGTATTTGAGTATTATCATTTCCTGCAATATCTCAACTCGACCAATTTCAAAGTGCGGGCTTGTCGTTAGCCGGACAATAGTGAAGGGGCCTTGATGGAGCACCTGCGTCGCTCCGGACTCACATATTGATGATCTTAGATGTCTTAGTGCTGGTGACGGACTCTAGTCTACTCGTGTGCTCTCAGATAAGGCATTTGTTGCAACAACATAATTGAGAGCCAGAAATGTATTTTCCAAGGTGCAACCCAAGCCTAGAATATTGCCGCCTCCGCGATTCGATAGCAAAGCATTTTCACCTATGGCACGATGACTGACTGATCAAGACTTTTTAAGTACACTAGGTTCGAGTTATGTCCCATATATTTTGTCTATGGTATCACCCAAACGCCTTTGCGCCTGAAGATCTCAACCCCCAAGTCCCGAGCAGCAAGTAGAAGAACAAGCAGGAAGGCTCTCGCACTTTCAGGCCATCACGCCCGCTCCCTAAGGGGTGCCATAGCCAGAATCCGTGCTCCGCGGCCTGCCTTCGGAGTCGTCGACGCAGTCCTTCTCAACATCGATGAAACCGTCCGACTTCGCCGAGGCCGGGGCATTTGGAGCCTGCTCGTCTTCTTTAACTACGTCGACCTTGATCTTGACGTCGGTCTTACCCTTACTCTTGTGCCGCTTATCTTTCTTCGCCTCAGCCTCTGACTCGGACTCAGACGAGCTGGATGAGCTGCTCGACGAGTCCGAGTCGGATTCGCTGGAGGACGACTCTTTCTTGCTCTTGTGCTCCTTCTTCTTGGACTTACCGCCCCTCTTGCTCTTCTTCTTTTTCTTCTTCTCGGCCTCCTTTTCCTCCTCCTCCTTCTTCCTCTTGTCCTCCGCGTCCTTGAGCTGCTTAGCGGCCTTCTCCTTCCTCGCCTCGACGACCCACGCTTCGGCGCCGCGTACGGCGCCCTCGGCGTCCCGCTTGTTCTTCAACAGGTACCCCTGCAGCTCCGCGGGGCTGAACTCGTGCGCGGGGATCCTGGCCGCAAAGTCCTCGGCCAGCCTCTCGATCTCGACCGTTATCTCGTCACGCCGGACCTTGTCGGCCTCCACGCGCCGCTTGCCCTCCTCGGGGTCCCGCGCTGCGGCCTCGGCCTCCGACGCCGAGGGCTTGTTGTCGCCCTCGAGGGGTGCGAAGATGGCGCGGAAGATGGAGCTGATCATGCCCGTATCGGCCAGGTCGAACTTGACGATCATATCTACTCGCCCGGGTCGGATGAGAGCCTTGTCGAGCTTGTCGACATGGTTGGTCGTCATAATCAGAACCCGCCCCTCCTGCGAGGCGACGCCGTCCAGGATGTTCAGAAGGCCCGAGAGCGACAGGCGGCCGTTGTTGTTGTTCGTGTTGGTAGGGCCAGCACCCTTGGTCAGCTGCCCAGGCTCCATATCGTCATCCTTGCTGTCGTTACCAGCGTCAGAGGGCCTGTCCTCGCGTGTGTGCGTCAGCCCTGCCGTGTCGATGTCCTCCAGCAGAACCACACACCGCCGCGGCAGCTCTGCGAACAGCGTTGACAGGTTCTCCTCGTTCGAGGTGACGCTGCTCAAGCTAACGATGTAGATGCGCATCTTGAAGAATCCAGCCAGGGCCAAGGAGAGTGAACTCTTGCCAGTCCCAGGAGGGCCGTAGAGCAGATAGCCACGGCGGTAAGGAATGCCGCGATTCGAGTACCACCGTCTGGTCGCCGGATTGAGGTAGTCTTGGACATCATCAATAAGATCTTGCTTAACCTTGTCGTTCAGAATGACCGTTGAGAAAGGCCTTGAAGCTCGCGCGAGGCACCTCTGCCAGGCTGGAGTTGTGGTCCCTGCAGGAATCGTTCCACGGTAGATGAGCGTCTTGTGCTCATCCCGCTGGGTGAATTGGGTACGAGCCTCCATCAGGAGCTCCTTCAACAGCCAGGGGTCGCGGCCAAAGCACGAGATGGAGATTTCCTCGCGCTCGCTCACAAGCATGTAGCCCGCCTGCTGGTCACGGCCCTTGTCTCGGCGGAAGATACAAATCCGGCCTTTGTACCAGAAGAAGTGGCTTCCAAAGGTGGGCGTGTATGCAAGTTGCTTCTGCTTCTTTCCGTGCGACGCAGGGCTGTCGTCGCCGTCTTCGGGCCCATCGTCGTCGTCGTCGTCCCACCGCCACAGGTACCATGCCCTAGAGTTCAGATTTGTGTTGACAACGAAGCGTCGTGCCCCCTTTGCAAACTTCTGTTGGGCCACCCAAGCCATAAGCATGTTGTAGATCTCATCATCGGTTCGGATATCCACCGTGCTCATGAAATAGGCTTCCAATTTCTCCCAGAAGTAATCCGAAAAGTAACGCCACATAAAGGTGACGCTACCGAGGAAGATGACAACAGGTATGTAGAGGTTCAGATCCACCTTGAAGTATTTCTCGACAGCGCCGGAGAATACAGAGAAGCCAGGAAAGAACATATCAAGAAGGGCGAACTGAGGGGCGGGGGCTGTAAAGCCCCCTGAGGGTGATGCGTCCATGGAGGGCTGTGAGGATGAAGGACATGAGCACGAAGACATGCCTGAAGTTGAGCAACCGCTGATGGAAGCCATGTTTCCGCTGGCGAGAGATTGTGTGAAAAGGGAGAGTAGACCTGGAGATATGGTGGAATGTAAAGAGCAGGTGTACTCCAGGTACAAGGCGCCACACCCGTTTGTCGAGCGTGTATGGCGACCAAGATGGAATCCAAGCCCAAGAGATACAAACACCAGAGAGGGAAAGAGACAGAGTTGTTGCAAGAGTGAACTTTCATCTCTTGGACACAGCAAACATTGCTTATATAGGGGAGACGGTCATCCGTAGGACCTACGTGGACGACGTCGCTTGGGCCCCACATTCAGCCCTCTCAGTGATTGATGTCGCCGAGTGAGAGCACCCCGGCGAGGTGTCAGGCAGCAGGACGTCAGTACGGTCGTGGAGAGCAGCGGTGACATCGTTTGGCCTCGTGGCTGTGAGGCAAAACCTGGTCCGCAAGCGATTCGCCTGCAGCTCGCGGCGCGGATAACTAGCCTTGACCTCAAAAAGACCCGGTCAAGACCGAACAGGCCTGCAGGTTGAGCCGCAGGCCAAGAGCACTGGCCCAGCCCTCCCGGCGAAAGGAATATGGCAAGGCTCGCGCTCCAAATGTCACGCTCAAGGCCCCGCCTAGCAGCCTCTAGCCTGTGGCCCTCCCAGCGTAAGAGTCACATCGCCGGGTAGGGGCCACTACTAAGCAGCCAGTCGGACAGGACAACCTCATGCTGTGCCCGCGACTCATTCGTCTGGCTGCATATGTGCGTGTGCTTGTGACAATAGTCCAGTGTTATCGGGAGAACGGTGTGTGTGGACGGATTGGCCGCGCCTCTGGCTGCCTCTTTTCCTTCGAGTGCTCCCCGAGCCTGTTTGCCTAGTAAGCCATGCATGCCGGGTACCGCTCTAGACTGGTTGTGCGCGCGCATCAGTAGCACGCATCAGCAGGCAGAGGAGGCGCGGCATCTGGGGTGCACACTGGTCCTTTTGGCGGATATGTAAAAACGACCAAGGCTCCGTGACTCACGGGACTGGAGAGGAAGCTGTAAATTGGCCAATAATGGCTGGACAACGCATGGCGAAAGAGACGGGAGGAGGAGGGCAGTGAGATGCAGCCTGGCTAGCCTGGGAGTCCTGGGAGTCCCGGGAGGCTGCCCTCACTACCTAATAAACGCGGGGGGTTGCATCCATTTCCCACACAGCCCCCCCCCCCCCCCCCCCACCAACTGCAGGTGCATGCAATGTGTACAGCCGAGTGTGGACCACACTCGTTGTCGATGACAGGATCATAAGGAGCAAACGCTCACCTGCGGCGTCGTGGTCAGGTTGGTCCAAGATGTTGATTCGTTTCGGGATTTGACAGACGAACGATGGGTCTGGGTGATCCCGAGCCAAGAGAAGGTGCGGTACCTCGGTGCAGACCACATTGTCCACTTCCAGGCAACATTAAGTGGTCTGCAACTGAGTTAAAACAGACATCAGTTCATCTTGGTAGATGAGGTTGAGGAAACTCTTTCATCTGAACCCTGAGCAGAGCTCATCCTGTCACGATGGCGGTCGAGGAGCTTGCAATGTTGGAAAATATCGCAGTCGGACATTCCTGTCGCTCTAATTTCATCGATACACAGCCCACACCCTCTCCCTTGATACATGTGCTCCTGTGCTGTTGGCATATGCCAATCCGTATACCGTTCGTAGACTAACTGTCCAGCCACCTAGGTAGCTTTAGTGGAGGATAGAATCTGCCCTGCTGTCCGGCTGCCAGCATTGAATTCTCCCCAGAACGATGTGCAGACTTGCATAACGAGTTGCTGCAAAAAGCCATCGAAAACGAGCCAGCCGCCACAACAGAAACAACCCTGCTTGCACGACTCTCAGGAGCCTCAACCCAGCTTTCCCAGATCCCAGGTCACCACGACCTGCCAGTCTACTGCCTCCTTTCACCCATCAAGACCACACCAACAAGCCCACAGCACGGCCTCGGCCTTGTTCTGGAGCGAGGCCCTCAGCGTGCACGCGTGCCCGGAGCTCATCCTACTCTAGGGGCAGAACAACGCCGGCTCGTCCATTGACGGCGGCCTGTTCCTTAACATTCATACTGGCAGGGCCGTCTGGCACTGAGCGCCAGGCCCGTTCCCCGCGAATGAGCGGTGGGTTTCCCTCGAGAAGGTGCTGCGGAATGCGCTTGCCAAGTGGCACTGGGGACTCGGGGAAGTACTTCTGGGATTCCACACGGGGCTCCATCGGCGTCCGTTCATGGACCCAGACGGACCTGTCTGAGGCGCTTGCGGCCTGCGAGCGGTTGCTCTGGGGCATGGATGGGGCATGGAAGCGCGCCTGCCTGAGTCTGGCGATGCGCCGAAGAGGCTCGGGCCTCTGGAGCTCAGTCAAGAGATGATGTCTACCTTTCGGGTCAGTCGATTCGTAGGAGGATTTCCCTCGCGAGCACCAAGACCAGGGTTCGCGTTCGTGGTGCCTGGGACCACAGCCTTCCCCACCCAGGCACTGTAGGAAGCATATTCCTCTGAAGATCTCGCGTCGATCCGGAGATCCACCCCGTTGGGCCAGGAGGACCCAGACGACCCGGAGTGGGCAATCATCCTCCTCCCAGCGGGCGTGCCAGTCGGCCAGCACACGTCGTGCAGCGCGAATATCGACATCCAGTTGTTTGACAGGCCCTGGGGCCTGGGCAAGTTAACGTCAGCCGACAGACAGGCCTGTACGTGGTCCTGGAGGCGACGGACTCGGACACGGTGCACCTGATCACCTCTTCTAGGCTGTCGACGGAAAACGACTCTAGTGGCCGCTGTCCGTGGGCGGAGAGCCGGCCCCCGAGGCTTGCAGAGACCCTCGTCCACTGGTAGACAGCCGCGGTGGCAGCTGATGGGGTGGCAGAGGATCACGACTGGTTCAGCAGAAATCCGGGGGAAATAAGGCTTGACTGGCATGACGATTCCAACTAGTACCTACACCGCTTCCTTCTCAGGTGATAGAGGCATCGGAGCCGCCCACGCGTCCGCCCATGTCTGGCGGGACCCAGCCGCTTCGTGCCGTTTCGGCTCGCAGCCACTCAGCACTATGCACATAGCAAGCCTAGGTCTCATGGATCCTCGTGTTGGGAAAAGCCACCACTCACTCCTGATTTGTAGGTTCGAGCCTCCGCCTATTCAGGTACCAGGTAATTATGCTTCACGAGAAGTCGATGCCACGGACATAGCGTTGCCCGATGCGGGTCACATCAGAGCAAAATGTGGTAGCAATCTCCTTCATACGTACTAAAATACTTACATTCTAGGGCACCATCGTCTGCTGTGCACATAGTCTGGACTGCATCCCTTGAAATTGGCCTTGCCATCCGACAAAGTACAGTGAGAGTCCAAACTTAGAAGACGAGTCCCAGCAGTACCTCTTCCAGGGAAAGGGCCAGAGAGCGTATGATAAAGAGAGACGAAAGCTTCGCGACAATGGCAAAGCGTATTGTAAAGGTGCAGATACAAAGCGTTTCACTTCGCTGGCACGGGAAGGGGAACGTAACATTGAGAGTGTTTTTCAACATCTATGTGAGTTCAGCGAAACATGAAGCTATAGATTTGCGCATCCAGGATACATGGAATGAGAAACCAAACATACTGCAGAAAATCGTGACCTGACTGCCCTCTCAAGGAACCGGTGCGAAGATTTAGTCACATGGCTGCTTTCTCGGAACCTCTGTCCCCTCATACCCCTTGATTGTATCTGGGAGAGCATCCTGCCACTTGGCGATGTCCGGATTGTAGGCAAAGTCCCGCTTTTCCGCCAACCATTTCACTCCCACCTCCTTGTCATGCATCAGCTTCACTCTCTGCCTCCACACTGGCACGGCCTCGCTGGTATTCAAGTCCACTTTGCAGCACATGTATATGTATATTGCCGCTGTGAGCTCCCGCCGGTACGAGTTATCCACGTGAAACTCGAATTCTGATTCGGCTTCACTCTCGCTGCCTTCATCCTGCTGCCCCACGTTGCTTTTCTGCTCTCCCGACTGCTTCTCCTTTTTCTGGGTCTTCTGTTTTCCCTTTTCCTTCTCTTTGTGTTGACCCCTCTCATTTCTCTGTTCTCCGGACTGGTTATCCTTTTCTTTGCTATTCCGCTTGCCCTGGGCGCCGTCCTTTTTTTCAACTCTGTGCTTCTCCAGCATTTCCACCGGGATCAACGTGTTCATTGCGTCCGAAGCCTCGCGCAATCTTTTCTTATTTTGGGCTGCCTTAGCGTCAACTAGGAGCCTCTTGTGATCAATGGAACCTCGTTCCAGCTTTTTGCGATCGTCATTGAGATAAAATGTCGGTATTCCAGTAAATGCAGCGGCCTCTACAAAGCCGGAGCGGTGACCGATCACGCAGATTTTGTCGCCATACCGTTCGCAGAGAGCGGTCCATATGCCCAGTATTTGAACTTGCACGGGAAGCCGTACCAAATCAAGCCTGCGGAAGTCTTGCCAGAGGCTCTCGACCTTTTCCGCGATGACTTCATCGTGCTCCATCTGAGGCTGCCTACAAGCCTTTTTGGGGTCGCTTCTCTTTCCATGGGATATTTTGAAAGACTTCTCAATTTTTTTCAAGAGCCTTTTCGTGGCCCTTTTCGGGAGACTTTGGCCCTTCTTTTGGACTTCTTCGACTTCTTCGACTTCTTCTTCGACCTCCGAGGCGCTCTCGACCTTCCCTGTATGCTGATATACTTCCCAAGGACGACACAGGAATGACACATTGAGGTCTTTGCAAGTCAATCCTTTGGTTTGAGAATTCTTGGAGGGCTGCCATTGCCTTTGGCGGCGTTTCGACTGAATGGTAGAGGGGATTGAACCATTGTAAGCTGTCCATTCTGACAATTCAGTGGTTGAGTCCGAGGACTCAGACGCTCGTAAAATGCTGTCTCTCAATTCCAGTCCCTCACGGTAGTCAAAGTCGCCGTAAAGCTAGCCTTTTGTCAGAAGAGGAAAATCCGGAATGGGAGAAGACTGAGCCATATTATGCACAACATACCATGATGTGGGAGATTGGCTCTGCCTTGTGCTTGCGCGTGGCGCAAAGCGTGTTGGCTTGGACTATAGAATCCAAGACGTGTTTCAGAAACTCATCATTCATGACACGTCCAACTTTGGTTTTCGGGGTACGGCGAACGTGGATGACTGCCATTCTTTTAACCTCGTCCGCCTTTGGCATGCCCTTGTAAGCGTGTTTTTCCTCTATTTTGGGATTGCTTTCCCCGAACTGTTGACTGAGGCGAAAGTATCGATTCAGCCAGAACTTTGCCACGTATGAAGGGTTGAGGTAGGTCGTGTCGCGCAGCAAATTAGATTCCCAAGGCTGAAAGTTTCCAAGCACTCGAAGCCCCAGAGACGCCCTAATCGCACGGAAAAGCTTGGGCTGACCAAGAGGGTGTCTATTTGCTGCTCTGAAAGCAGCAGAAATGAAAACAGTGGAGTTCTTCTGCCCTTGCCTTGAAGCGTTGCCTCTCTTCGGCGCCGGAGGAGGATGAGGGAGCTCAGGCTGATACCATTTGAACAGCTCTTGCATCTGCACAGTGAATGGGTTTTCCTCTTCTTCAAACGTAATGCCCATTTTGCAATACATCTTTTCTCCCTCCTCCAGCTTCTCGTTGGACAGAGTGTTGCCCTCCTCCGGCTTCTCGTCGAGGAGAATTTGGTGGTGCCCAAGAAGCAGGCCACAAAACAAGACGTGGTAAGCTTCGCCAAACTCTCCAGGCCTGAGATGGAATGTTTCATCGTGTAAGGGTACCTCACCCCATTCTGAGCGCTTTAGACGCACAGGGCGTGAATAGCTTTGCGCCGATGGCCTTGCGAAGAACTCGCTAGCGATGCTATCCGTTTTGAGAAAGCTTTTGGCATGTAACCCAGGTGGAACGTTCAAGGAATAGCGGTGGTGGACATGAAGATCGGTATAAGCAGCCCATAAACCGTGTACGAAGCATACTTCGCATTTCTTCGGGTCGATCTTCGGGCATGTCCTTCGATCATACTTCAAAGAAGCTTTGAAGTAGTGACTGTCTTTGATTTGGTGTATACACAAAGGACTTTCTCCTAATGTACTATGTTGCTGATTTGCCATGTGGACGTCAACTGTGCAATCGAACCTCGTTGTTGGATTCAGGAAAGCGGCAGGAGAGCTGAACGAGACTGCATCTTTTCACGAGACATGCAAGACAGATGTTTTATGTGACATACGCTAGGACCGCCGCACAGCTATAATAAGTGCCCTTCGGAAATTGGAATTCACCTCTGGCTAATCGAGAATATGAGTCTTCTATTGGGTAAGAATTTCGCCCTGAAACTAGGCGCTGCAAGCCACCGGCGATGAAAGAAGGCCATTATTGGGTTGTACATGAACGCCACCCATGATGGGCAGAGCTGAGGATTGCAGCGCTTGCGCAGCCGGCTTGAATTAGCAAGAGTTATCTATGATGCAGATGGCCAGCTCGATTGGACATCAATACATCCAGGGCATCGCTTACGTTCACCACTTTGCAATTGAAAGACCCTCTAGAGGACAGCCTCATAAACAGTATAAATCCTAAGGCTGTTAATGGGGACTGGAATAATACAAGTTTTGCGTTAGCAAGGGCTAGGAATTGTGTTACTGTCGTTATCGAATTTTGTGGCCATCACCGCCAGCATTTCCAACACGCAGTTGCAGCCGGGAGGGCCCAGCTGGTGTGCCACCGACTTTGATGAAGGCTGCCGAACATCCAATGTTTCCTACGGAGACGAAGACCTCGGGTAATAACAAGATACGTGACACCCGCACCTCCGAAGTAACAACAGCTCCCAAACGAAGGTATGCCAACAGTGTGTTTGCAACCAAACAGACTTCATTAGTATGTTTTTTGCAGTGGATGTACTGATGACGCGTGACCTGGTCCGCATCCTTCCAGCCTTTATGTTCTAGTCGAAAGAACAGATGCCAGCCCATTGGACCCGATCGACCGTGAGAACGTGACTTGTCAGCACAGGAAAGATTTTCGAACAGTACTGTGCCAGCCACCACTTTATACCTTGAGATGGTCAACCAACAGGTAACAGCTGATGCAAGGTCTAAACAAGTACAATAATGCGAGAGTAAAGTCCCGATCCGGGCCTTTCAAGTCACCTCTGTCGGCTGTACAGTGGTCGTTCCATAATTTTGGCCGGCCCTCTGGAGGTCGTCCAGTCGTGCTGAACCCTTTGGCATTTTAATGCTGGGGAGCCTGTCTTCCGTTGGCGAGGTGCCAGACTAGACACCGGGTTTCTCGTTTGTCTTGCTTCCTGGCGAACCCAAACCTCTTCGCAGCCCTGGTCGGCCGAAACCGTGTGGCGTCTTCCGGTAAGAGCGCCAGCCGCTGCGTCTGGGACATCCCCAGCCACGCGTACTACCGCATCACCGGGTCATCGACCACCGCCTCGAGTATATACGTGAATGCATAAGAGTGCTTGATTCAAGATGTCACTTCGATGTTCGGAGAACGGAAAGAACAACGCGAGGCATCCACCCGTCAAGCAGTGACGTCTCATTAGGCAATCCATTGGGACAAGACGTCTTAGATATCTGCCAATGGTCTATGACAACCAGAGAGTGAAAGCCTCAGCTCAGACAACCGCTAGTCAACAAGCATTAATCCTCGTCTCCATTCCCAGTAGCTGGAGGTACCCAGATCAAGACACCATCCTTATCAGCCTTCATGCTGTCTGTCGGAATAATCCGCAACACCTTCTGGAAATACTTGTCCTTGACCGTCAGGGTCGGCCTGATCCAGCTGTCACCCGCGACCAAGGGGATCAGCCGATACGTCATCGTCCGCCTGGAGACTGGGAGCAGGTTGAGGGTGGTCTGCTTCGCACCGGAGAAGGCAAACTCGTCGCTGGGGTCCATCGTCAGCCCAAAGGTGAGGAAGTGGTTCGAGGCGTTCTCAATGGTGATGTCAAGCAGCACGGTCTGTTCCACCTGCCCGCCCTGCTTGGCGTGCGAGACGGACGCAAGAACCCTGGGCTCCGTGTTGAACACGGGCAGGCGAGGGACCGCGAGGAGGGTTCTGTTGGACGAGCCGGGTTCAGCACCTGGCCGGGCCCATTTGATGATAAATGACACGTCAAGGCCGGTCGGCATTCGCTCGTCCAGACTTGCCCTCTTGACAGCGACGTCAAACTGCGTCTCCTCGATGGTCTTGGGGCTGACCTGCAGACCGTCAGGTGGCAGGGCCTTTCGTTTCGACGTCTGGCATTGTATGCCGTGCGCAGGCTGGACCTCGATATCAAGGTCCAGAACCGTCAAGTTCTCAGAGGCAAATGAGGCGTATCGAGTCACAAGACACCAAGCCTGTGCAAGGCCGTTGCTCGGTCCAGTTACGCCTGCTGATGGATTTTGAATTCCTTCATGGTCGAATAAGCTTGGCCAGGGGTCCGGGTGAAGGCGAGGGAGGAGCTCGTAATTTGCCTCGAATGGGCTGGCGACATTGATGCGGAATGTAGCAGATTGTATGATCGAGGTGGCAGCGTCGGTAACAAGGCTGTAGGACGCCTTTAACGTCAGAGTATATGCCGCTGTATGCTCTGCGCCTGTGAGAACCAATGTGACCCGCGATGACTCCGAGCTCTTGATCAGCCCGAGAGGCGCCCCATGAAGTGTGCACTCCTCGCCGTCTGCTAAAGCCCGCTTTTCTTCACCATCACCGAATCTCAGCTTGATATTTGGTGGATCCTCGCTGAGCACTGTGACATCCAGTTTGACGTTTGCATCAACTTCTTCCTCGTTGATAATGTCAAATGGCAGCTCAATGACCTCATTCGTGTAGTACTGCTCAAGAAATTCCACCTCTCTGATCTCCATCTTGGGAGGCCTAGGTAGAACCCGAATGGACTGAGGATGAGTACGCGCGATCCGTCTGCTTGATCGTACGGTGTGCCACGCGTGCCCGCTGCCTGCTTTCTGCACGTTGGTAGTATATGTCAAGGCGAATGCATCATAGTTGACAGTGAACTTGAGTGACGAAGCGCTAGCATCGCCAGGCTCTCTCAACGGAATGTTCATCTCGAAAACGGAGGTGCGCCCAGGAGTCATGGTCAAGTCACTCGTGCCACTCAAGTGCAACTGACCACTTAGGTCTCCAGAAGCTGAAGTCTCCTGATCGACCTCCGTTGTGGCCTCGGCCAGCGAGACAACATGCAAAGACACAGGTCCTCGGCTTGACGCCTCAGCGTCGCCGTCCTGTGTGTGGGTTAGCAGAATCGGCTTGATGCTACCGTCAAACCTCAGGATAATGCTCTCCAAAGCGATTGGCGTGGATCCCAAGACCGCGTTTGATGTTATGGACAATTGAGCCTGGCATGTAAGTCCGGCCTTCCCTTCCTCATGCCGGAAGACGAATGAAGGCATGATGAAGGATGTGCCCAGCTCATCATTCAAATCTATAGACGGCCTGGGCGCCTTGACACCATCGAGAGATTTTTTCAAGTCGTAGTGCCACTTGGGATGCTTCTTAAACCCTGTGAAAATGTGTTAACGGACATATCCGTGGGGGCTGTGTGTGTGATCTTACTATTGTTTAGCAGCTCCCAATCAATGGACACTACGAGATCAGCCTGCGCGATATCGACTGCTGCAGCTCTCAACACCCAGCACATGTCTTCGGTAATCTCTGGCCAACCATCTCGCCGAAATGACAATTCATCCCAGAAGGGACGTAAAATCTTGACCACATTTGTCCAGTCTTTGACCGCAGCCAGCTCTTTGGCGCATTCGAGGGAAACCTCAGCGGCGAGGCGTTGTTGCTGTTTTTTCATGAAATATGACTGTGCGGAAAGAAGGTAATCCAGAATTATTTGAGAGTGGTTGATCCCTGACCGAGCCAGAGGCAGCTCGTCGTAGGGTTCAGGACACATGTAGCTGTCGTACCTGAAGGCTTTTGACGCCAGCTTGGAGGCTGGAGATTCGCTCGGTGACCTCCTGTCGTCTTCAGGCATTTTGAAAGCAAAACGTCGACGCGCAAAGGTGTGTCGCGCCGCTAGACGGTACCAGTAGCCCGGGTGATGCAGCATTTCCCATGGCTGTATTCTCTCTGCTTGTGCAGACTTCTCCGGTGGTAGGTAAATGCTTACGGCGGAATGATCAAAGTCAGGAATGTCGGCTTTCTCGATGAGATTCGCCATTACCACGGCCCAGCGTGCTTCCCACGCCTCCCAGCCATAGTTGTTAGTCCCATGCCCTTGTCGGTCGACGAAATCTGCTATCCTCTCCCGGTGGCTTTCCCAACGCCTGACTGCCGCTGTGTGCTGGTCGTTCCACATAAGACACCTTATGCACCGCACAGCGATGACGTCGGCTAGAAACCGGGCCTGATTCCATCTTGGGCTCCAGCTGGGTATGATCTCCATAACCTCGGAGCTCAACAGATTTTCGTAGGCCTGTTCAAAGGAACGCAACGCCACATCCATCTCCTGGCGGTATTCTGCAAACACGGCGGATTTAAAGTCGTACCGGACATGCCACCCCGGAAGGGACAGTGTCTGTGAAGTACCGGAGGTGGGCGGGACAGTGGGCTGAGGGGCAGCGCCACGACCCCTTTTCTTTTTGACGCGCCTGCCATGGTCACGGTAGTACTCGATGGACTGTGCGTAAAGAGTCGTCAGGGCGTTGTCCATTATGCGGCCAAGCTCATCGGGCGAGGCATCAGTCGGTACAGCAAAGAATGATTTGGCATCCAGTCCACTGCCCCTGCGAATGTTCTCCAGCCGTTCCTGTACTCCATGATTGTTGTCGACCAGGACTATCACAGCCAATTTTGATTTACAGCCAGACTGGGCCAGGGCATTCCTGAGGACGCCTATATCTGTCTTGATCTTGTTGTCATGGAGGGTTGCCAAGGTAGCATCCGCCGTGAGGCTGTACAGGCACACGAAAACGCTCGGTACGAGTTCTTGGTGCTTCTTGAGCCATGACTGGTCTACCAGACCATCGGGATAAAGGTTCGCTGTGGGACTGAGGGGCGAGAAAGGCGAGTGTAAGACGGCCTGAGAGGGTGGGATCTCGAAATCGTCGGGAAGGCGGGCAAGCTTCGGCGGTAGCAGGTAAGTCTGGGATGGTCAGCACAGGTATCATCACATAGCCGCCGGTGCAGCCCTCGACCTCGACCCCAACTGATCGCTTACCCTGCCAGTGGTCCTGAAGCGGAACTTGTACTTGACGTTACTCGTGTCCCGCCCGTTCCAAGGGAGCCCAGACGCATCGGTGTCCCGGATGTGCTGTATGAGAGCGCCGACCTGGTCACCTTCCACCGGCGGCGGCTCTGACCGTATCAGTGTGGCGCCGTCCTTGTACTGGGAGTCAAGAGAGGATTCTTGGGCGTATTTGGAAGGCAGGCCAAGCACGACAGCCAAGGGCAAACAATGGTCCAAGCTGCACGGGGGATACTCGTCCATGCTGGGCGAAGATACCCACTGCAGATCACCAGGACTGGCCCGTAGGGTTCAGATGTCGACCTTCTGCTCAAGCCTGTCTGTTCACGGGGGTATCATTGGCAGCTGTTGGCGAGAGGGACTGGCAGCCATTGTCAGTGGAAGCTCTCACCAGGCTCTGACCCACCTGCTTGGCGCGTGAAGATAGTACAGGGTATGGGAATAACAGCCTTGGACTCACAGGGGAAGGCAGTCGGCTTGGAGAGGACATTTGAAAGCCCGTGACCAGCGTCTATAACATTCTAAACAAGAAAGGAGATGATCCACCAGGTCGTTTGCTTCCCTGCCAGCATCTAGGGGACAGGGCATGCGAACATGCGGGTTAGGAGAGGTACTTAGATAGCTCTACCCCAATCGCCGGCCAAGGGGCCGTTCTCCCCCAGCTCGAGGTGGGATGAGCCGCAGGCGGTGAGAGGTACTGCCGGTCTGGCGTCATGTGTGGCAGCAGAATGTCTTTCGGTGCCTGCCGTGGCTCTATTCCCTGAGGTAGCAACGTTCGCTCCCGTCTAGGATACACTATCACTCGAGCGCCCGCCGATCACCCACCTTCCTCGCGCAGAATACACCCCTCGCCCCCATGTTTTCTACAATGGCAATGAAAAGTGCTACATTCCCACTTTGACCTGGAGCGTAGGTCCGCTTGATCGACATCATCCGCGCTACCATCATATTCCCACAATTTCTTCTCAATCATCCACTTCTCTTAGGCCCCGTAGCTGTCCTCCTTATCCAGTTCCCGAGGTCCTGTGTCGCGATCGCAACCAGGTACTTTCCCGGGTTCAAGCGGCGCGAGCAGTCTTTGCTGCCCCGAGCCTTTACTGTCTCAACACAAACATCCGCACACCGTCAACATGTCATTAACACGCGAACAAGTCCTCTTTGCCGACCTGGCCAAGGCCATGAAGAAGACCGTGGCCAGGCAAGCCAACGGTAAGAGCCTTCGATGCCAAGAACCGTCAACAACCTCGCTGCTGACAACGCGCCCTGACCAGAATCCGACTCCGACTCCGAGATCCAACAGACGACCAATCGCGGAAACAAGTTGAAGAAGAGGGCAAGATTTGTTCGCCAGGGCAAACTGGGGCCGCCCACGGGGCCGGCAGTCTACAAGGAGGCACGTTCCAATCTCAGTGCGCGAGCGAGCGCGACGAGCCACCAGGACAGTATACTAATTGGCATACCCAGGAGGTTGAACATGCAGGATACAAGCGTGCCGTAATAAGTCGCAACCCGCCGCTCATCGACGAAGACGGCTACAGCATCGACAGCGACGACGACGACCAGCACGTCCAAGACGCAGTCGCCGCTGCGGCTGAGGCTGATCCCTACTCTTCAATTCATCTTGAGCGTACGTAGCACCCAGAAAGCCGCCGCACGAGGCAGGAAACGGCGTCTGAACCATCACTAACTGGCTCCTAGAGCTCCTCGCCCCCCTCACGGCAGTTACAGACCTGCCCGCCCATCCCACACTCTCCCGACCTTTCAAATCGACGGCCCTTAAGGAATTGACGAACCAAGCGTGTGATCTTATGCACAAAGAAAATGTTGCGCTGTGGAAAGTGCGGCCACTCTTGACGAGACTCAGCGGAGACCATACCTGGGTGCCACCCGACATGATGTTAGGCACCGATGACCAAGAAATGTTCAGGAATGGCTTTGAATCGCGTACAATGAAGCGCAAGAGATCACAGGAAGAGGTATTGGAAGGCATCTCAAGTCCAAATGTAAATGGCAGCAGCACAGCTCGGCCTTCCGTGAACGGAGACCTCGATGGAGCTGTTAATGAGGAGGCTCAGGCGGAGGAGAAACAAGGTACATCTATCGAAGACGTGATGATGACGAACAGCGACGGCAACAAGGCGGACAAGCTCGGAACCATCAAAGATGGTCATGAAGCATCAGGCGCTGTCAGCGAGGAGCAAGGAGCAGACAAGGTCGTACCACACGCCACCAATGGCGATAAAGCGAACGAGCCTGGATTGAACCCGACCAATGGCAGTTCGGCGAAACAAAAAGGGAAGCAATCTGGGACCAGACAAGATACAGCAGATGACGACGTCGCCATGTTGGATGGTAGCGCTGCGGCTGGTCTCGGTGCGCAATCAAATCATAACGGCAGCCGAGCTGCGTCTCCTTCAGCGGCATCCGTCGGCGATCCTTTCATCCATCCGATATTTCTTGCGCCGAAGCCAGCTCATCCCGACCGCGATCTAGGGCTCCCAGAACAGGAGGCGGAGGACGTGCGCCGACTCCTCCAGCTGTACGTCCAGAAACAAGAAGAGGTATGCCGCGGTACTGAAAAGCTGTATCACGGCCTGCTCAAGGCGGACCGCATGCGAAAGACTGTGTTGGAGTGGTCCAAGTCCGAGGCGCACGTCGGAGAAATGTCCGACGGCGAGGACTGGTACGACAAAGAGGAGTGGGGCCTGACAGAGGACTTGAAGAAAGGCCAGGATGAGGAAGAAGAGGACACGACGCAGACCCAGAAGAAGACTAGGAATCGGAAATAGAGTCGCGGCCGCTGCGGCTCCTTGACACCACATTCTGCAAAGCGATTACTTTTTCACCATTTACGAGCCTTATGGTTTTGCCGGACTATATCGTCGAGATGTAGCTCCACGGCATCCACATCGACGTGTTCTTGTGGAATATCGTCCAGACAGTAGGAATTCGATACAGTTCGAATCCTTTGTGCGACGACTACCACCTCATGCTATACCATCACATCAGCAGCGCCGAGATACTAGTCTGGCCGAATCTGAAAGTGGCTGGTTGGGATGGTTGCGGGTCACTATCATAGCGCTGCGGTGCTCATTATTGCAAAACGTGCACGGTGCGAGCCTGAAGACGATAATGAATGAGGAGGAGCCAACGACGCCGCGAGCACACAGGAAGAGCACCACAGCTCATAATTGGAGGCGGGGAGTGCTAGAAGAGGTCATGCATGGGACTACTCTGTAGTAAGATCGCAGCAAGGTCCTGCGGCTGGGGAAGTTCGCATTACAACGACCGTACGGCTCAGAGAGGCGGGTCCGCGGTGTCAGACGCTCAGCGGGACAATTGGTAGGCAAGTCCACCAAAGGGAATGAGAATGAAGCCATTCCCCGCCCTTGAGTCTGTCCCTCGGTGGAAGATAGATATGTTACATCTCTAGCTCTCCTATGCATAGCAAGTTCAATGACATAGACCACGAATTACCTGAAACTGTTGACTTGTATAAATTGCAAGAGCTTTGGGCGAGTAGTGTGTATTCGCCATGCGAGGGGAAGAGGTCATCGTGCTTTCATTTCATGAGCCATCAAGTCCTCACCACCGCCGACAACGAGACGCCTCACCAGCCGAAGGCGTCACTTAGTTCCAGTCCCAGGTGCCCCAGACACGACACATAAAACTCCGCATGCCACTCCATCAGTTCAGCCTAACTGCCACAAACCCAATCGCCAATTCACCCACCGTCCCAACCCTGATAGTGCAACGGGATACCTACCACAACGCAACGACGAGGCAGGCTGGCCTGGTGGTAAAGCGAGCGACTTGAGAGAGATTTTAAGAAAAGAAAAATCCAAACAAGTTGGCAGCCAATCAAAAGTCAATAAACACACAGGCAGGTAGTAAGTCCAACCCCCCAAAGCAAACAAAGACCGCCGATGAGTCCAGGCACAGTGCCCAACGTAACGTCAATAAATACACAGGCAGGTGGGGGCCAGCCACTGCAAAGAAATATCCCGAAGCTCCTGCAAAATAAAGGAAGTACCGCAAGGAGGGACGCGCTGTAGCACCGAATGAGGTGGCAGGGCGTGAGGAGAGATGCGGCGGCTTTTCTCTTTTTGATCATGTGTCGTCGTCGTGGCCCACCTGGCGAGTCTTGCACAGGCTTTGATGCTGTTACATGCATGTCAGCATTTCGAGAATGTGAGGTGGCGGTATTGTTCATACGTCTATCCTCGGGCCTATCTTCGCCCTCGTGTGTGGGACTAGGGAGTTTGACGATACGGACAGCTTCCTGCACTGGCATGCGACCAAGTTCTAGGGTATGCTCCACGGTACCTATTGTCTGTTTTAGACTGTTTGATGAGTGGGGTGGACGAGAACAAGAGAATAATAGAGAAATATTTGATTCTTTAGCGGAAAATCAATAGCCGTCGGGTATCACTGGAATAAGCCTGTCTTGCCCAAGAATGCTCGTTTCAAAATCTGCGCCAAAAATGCAAGGACATTGTCCTTCAAGAGCCCGTCTTCACTGCGAGTCCAAAGGTGGAGGCTGGTTCCAATCCCTAGGGGCAGCCCTCTGCTTCCCCTTCCTCGTCCGCGCCGACCTCCGAGTGGGTCCAACATCGCCGGCAGCGGGCCTGCCACCGCCCACGAACTTCAGCACCCAGTCTCTCACCCGCTTCGTCTTCTCCAGCTGCGGGTGAACCGTCGTCGCCCCGCGCCTCCCAGCCTTCGTCAAGTCGGCACCCGAGTAGTGACCCCCATCGTCTCCAGCACCAAGCCTGCGCCCGCGGTGCAGCAGGTACACGCCCGTCATGCCCCTCGGCAGGCTTCCGCCGTAGACCTTCCCGCGGAAGACGTTGAGCGCGACGTTGCGCATGAGCACGACGTCCTGGGCCCTGAGGCCGGCCAGCGGGCCCGTGTCTGAGCCACACTCGGCCGCGGACAGCCAGAACGTCACGGAGAAGCCCGACTTGGTCTCGTCGCCGATGAGGACCTCGACCAGCGACCTGGCGGTGCCGAAGCGCGTCTGCACTATGCGCGGCGCCGCGATGCTGATGATGCCTGCGATGAGCGTCACCGTCATGGTCTGTGGCCGGATCGACTCCAGGTACCTCGCGGGCGGGATGTCCTCCAGGTCTGAGAGGTGATCCGAGGCGCCGGTGCGCTGGCGGCCGGGCTGCAGGGGTGTCCTCACGACGATGGTGGCGTCGTCGTCGGCGGTGAGAATCGTCGTCGTGTCCCCCTCGTCGCTGGTGGTAAGCGAGACGGACTTGGAGTACTCGGTGCCGCCTGCTGAGGAAGGCTCATCCCCGTTGCTTCCACCGCCGTGGTGGCCCTGAGAATCACGCGGGACGAGCTGCGACGAGGCCAGGTCGTCATGCAGGGCGAGCGAGTGCTCATACCACTCGTCCAGTAACCTGCTCTCGTGGCCGGCCGCGTCGTCCTGAGTCAGTCCCTGAGAGGCGGCCTCGAAGGATATGCCAGTAGTGGTGAGGAAGTCGGCGCTGGAGGGGAAGTGGCTCACGATGTTCAGGTCGTGCTGCTGGGAGAAGCCGGTGGGGACGTGAGCTCGCTGGAGGGACAGGGAGCGCCATACAGGCATGTCCAGGAGCGAATTATCCCGTGATTCTGTGGATGGTTGTGGACCATGTTTTGGTTGCTGAGGGAGAAGGGCAAAGGCTGCGATGGAGTCCTGGAAGGTCTGGAGGAGGTCGGGTGTGCTCCAGTCCAGCCGGTCGGCCTCGGGGGCACCGGCCAGGACAATAGTGAGCCTTCCCATGGCGACTATGCTCACATGGTTGACATGATTCAGTGTGTGCTTTTTTTTGGAGCGAGGTTTTATGAGTTGGAAGGATCAAGCGATGTAGAATGACATCGTCGACTGGTGACTGTAAAGCTCTAGGTGGTGAGGTTAATGATGTGGTCAGCCTTGGTCTGGATATAAATAACGGAAGTGAAATATAAATCAGGGTTAGGAGTACGGTTTACTTGGCTGCATCCCCTTGCCAACTTCTATCACGCGCTGCTCCTTGCAGACAGAGTCCTTCTGAAAAGGCCTAATCATTACTACACTGTATTCCTCAAACTGAACAACTGCACAATGGGCGACACGGTCCCTACAGAGGAGGGTGCACAGTCCAGAGAGCCCTCAGAACTAGCAAATGTGATTCATGACGCTGAACCAGTCTGTGGCGATGAGATTTACACATATTTTGGCCGACGTGTGATAGAGCACAAAACACATTCGGGAGAATCGATAGCCATCAAGGTGATGGCGCCGGATCGTCAGAATCCGAAAGGCAGCAACAGGACGGAGGCCGACATGATGCATTACGCCTCGACAAACGGGGTGCTAGCCCCTAAAGTGCGCGCGCTCTATGACATATACACAGACAATCCAGTCAGGCCTGCTGGATGCGCCATGCTCAGCGATCTGGTCCCAGGCGTGCCTCTTTTCGACGTCTGGCATGACCTCAGCGACACCGAAAAGTCCAGCATGGTGGCCCAGCTGCACGAGCAGATGGCTCGCATACGTGCCTGCACACAACCTTACATTGGCCGTGTAAACAACCGGCCCACCCGGAATCTCTGTAATCGCCTTCCAACGACCTATTGTGGGCCTTTTCCCAGTGAAGAGGCGTTCGGTAACTGGTGTCTGGAACGAGTCCCTGTGGGGTTCTTTGGGTTAGCACACTGGAAATGGCCACGGTGGCTCGAGAAAGAGCGGCGCAAATCCTCGGGCAAGTTCGTGCTGACTCACGGGGATCTTTCGCCGCGCAACATCATGGTTAAAGACGAGAATATCGCAGGCATTGTTGACTGGGAGAGAAGCGGTTTCTTCCCGGAGTACGCAGAGTACGCATTCGCGATGAAGCTCTGCCATAAATTCCAGAGCAGTGAGAAATGGTGGGTTCCGGTTCTGAAGGAAGTGCTGCAGCCTTGCTCAGAGCAGAGGCTGAAATTTACGAAGCTGGTGGAAGACAAAGGATGGTAGGATGAATGGTGGATAATGGGCTCCTAAAAATGGTATTGGTGCTGTGATACTGGATATGACACGCGTGTAGACTTGTATGCCATTAGGAACCCTGCCATGTTGCAAGCCATAAAATTGATGAGGCGGTTTGACATCTAACTCTAGATGCTGTTTGATCACTGGAGCAGAAAGCCATTTTAGGACAAAAATGAATCTATTCTTGGCACTAAGCCCATGTTTCGCTACTTGAATAAGTTAACATTTTGAGTAACAAACGTATGGTCAGGTGCTAACCTAGCTAAGGGTAAGATATTATGCTACTCTATTATAAGAATGGTCTCTGAGCCAGTGTTAATCCTGAATGCTTACCTACCTATATTCATAATCTATGTTCCCTGTTTCTGTCACAGCATCTTTTATATACCCCTTTATGGGGCAATCACAAACTGGTGTACGCTTTACTCGTTGCTTCATCTATCTCCTCTAAGTTCCTTAGCCAGATCTATATACCGAAATGAACATAAGGGACCCAGCGATAATCCACCACATCTCTTCTAGTGATCCCATCATCTACCACAAACGCCTTCCTCTGCCCTAGTTCTCCGCTGAAGGAGCGATTCCGCAACGCCCTGGTCGCCCGATGAAGCCCTTGGCAAACGGCCTCATCTGTCATCCCCTCGTCCCTAAGCGTCTCATAGAAGACTCTGGCCACGTCAACGCAGTGCTGGTCCGAGACCTCCCAGAGCGTGCCGACCACGTGCCGGAAACCTGCGAGCTGCAACGAGCTGATCAGGTGGATCCCCTCGTCTGCGAGCCGCGCCGCCTCGCTCGCCCCCGTCGAGCAGGCTGACAGGTACCCGAGGAACGGCTGCGCCTCCCGGTCTTGGAGCCGAGAGTCGCGGAAGTCCGCAACGGTCAGCGGGCTGGTCCGCCAGTCTTGCAGAAGCAGGCAGCTCTGAGACGGCTCTGCAGCGTCCGACTGGCCGTGACCGGCGAAGTGGAAGATCTTGCATGACTGCAAGTCCTTGAGTACCTCGTCCTTGAGCGGCTCTGGTGTACTCTTCTGCAAGTGAAGCTCCGGGCAGAGCTCAGCCACCATGTCCACTTCCTGTTGGGCCCAGCGCAATCTCCCGTCTCTATCTAGGCCGGGAGTAGTCGACGTGGCAAGCAGAAGGGCGCGATTGTTTGAGGGCCTGAGTGGTCCAGTGGGAAGGGGATAACGGCGTCCGTGGATCAAGGACCTTATTGACGGCGCATAGGACGACATTGCCCGATCAAGGACCGTCTCTCCTTCGCGCTGCCAGTGTCGGCCCGCTGCGTGAAGCGGGAACTGACTGAGCGCTCCGGTTGGAATCCACCAGATACGCGGCCATTTTGCCGGACTTTCAGTGTATACAGGACTGGTTAATTCGAGGCCGTCAAGACATGGACGCGTGATTGACGTCCAGAGCCACTCCAGCACCGCCGCCATGCTGGCGATATGTCCTGTGCGAGACTCGGGCAGGGTCCTGAGGCGTTGTTGGACTTCTTGCTTGGTCAGATCGGGCAGTTCCAGAACCCTGATGCTGTCTCTTTGGATCAGAAATGCATCGCACCGGTAACGGGACACATTGATAACCGCAATTGGGCCCTGAACCTGCCGCGGCCTTCAACTCTTCAGCGTCTGGAGTGCCACAGAAGTGGCGGAATCCACTGAGCGACTGTATCGTCCCAACAAGCTCACTGAATTCCTTTTCTGTCTCTCGCCGCTTCCGGTCTTGCAACTCCCAAATGGAGACATCACGGGCAGTTTTCGCTGAGGCCCGGGCGTTGGACGGCGAGTCTAGTTCGTCTCGAAGAGAGAGGAACGCAGCCGCCAAGGGACGGGTGCTGTGCCTTCAAATCCGAGATATCTCCCCGCATATCCAGCAACAGACTGGCAATAACGCCGCGGCCTAGTTCCAGGAGCTTCAGAGCATCATATGCGCTCTTTCCGGCATTGAGAGCGATGGCAGCTGCCATGGAAGCCAAGCCCGTATACTTTGCTAGCATGTCTTGCTTGTCGGTGTGCTGTAAAGATCGCGGAGTAATGGAGGGCAGGAGATTGATCGCTTCCTCCAGCAACTGGTCTTCCTCTTTCCAATTTGACCTTGCGGCAAGAATCCTAGCAGCTCCTCCTGCCAGGGTAACACGAACGAAGGGGGCAGCATTCTGTGATTTCCAGCCCTCTTTGAAACAATAAAGCGCATCAGTCTCGTCCTCGGCTAAACCGTTTTGGCCATGGCGAGCAAGTAGCCATCTGCCGAGGTTTTGTAAGCTCATCGCTCTTTGATGGCTTGCCCGAGGGCTGATATCAACTGCCTGCCTTGTGGCTTCTATAGAATCATTGATGTCATCCGCATTCTTTGAACCGCTTCGTGCAAAGCGCTTCCCAAGGAGGTCACCGAGGTTGCAGAGCCGACTTGGTGGATCGGTATGCCCTTCATATGTAGCGTCGACCGACGCTTTGATTGCCGCGATGGCCACATCAAACGGGTCGCTTGATTGGGCATCTGGGCCGTCTTGTGTCTCCGAAGACCGCGGGTGGCGTTCGGCTCGTCGGCCAAGCATGCAGGCCAGGTTATTTAAGGCGGCCGCGTGTAAGTGGTGGTCCGTAGAAACAGATGATGCTGCTTCTTTTGCTGCTTCGATAGCATCTTCGAGATCGAACACCGAAGACGTCCTTTCTGATAGCGCGTCCAAGGAGCTGGCCAGTCCCATCAGTAGACGAGGCCGTGCATTGTGGTCTTTGGGGAGGGCCTGGATTTCTGCTTGGATAGCATCGACGGAACGGGTGATGTCTTCCATTGAACCGGTCTTCATAGCTCGCTTACCGAGGAAGAGTCCAAGATTTACGGCCCGGTCTACACCATCAGGGTGGCCTTCGGGAGTCTCGTCGATGGCTCTTCTCTGCATCTCAATAGCACGATCGAGATCTTGGTCGGTGCCATGGTGCTCATAAAGCTCCACAAGGACCATTGCGAGGTGATGCAAGATGCTGCACCTCAGAGAGCGATTTGGTGCTGACCTGTAGAGAGCCTTTTCCAGGACCTCCACGCTGCGATCTAGGTCTTCGACCGCTCCCCTTGATTTGAACCGTGTACCAAGATGGCTGCCAAGATTAACCAACCGAATGTCTTGATCGTCGGAGCTTAGTGATGCACCAGAGTCCACCGCCACCTCGAGACACTTGATGGCCCGGTCGAGGTCCTCCTTGCTACTGCGAGAATCGTGCTCGGATTGCTCGCCCAGACGAAGCCCTAAGTCGTTCATACGGCCTTGCCAATCGGGATTGTCAGGTGGCGTGAGGTTCACGGCCATTTCTGCTGCGTTGACAGCGTTATGGAGATCCTCCTGTGAACCAAACCTTAGGAAGCGTTGACTGAGCCAGCTCTCCAAGTCTGAAAACGAGGCGGCCGAGAACTCTAAATAATCTGAGACAAGAGGACACTCAGCCATGAAGTCTAGAGCGTCTGTCGTTAGTTCGATGGCACGGTCAAGATCGTACGTCGAGCCTGTGCGCTGATATCTTAACCCATAAGCGCCGCCGAGCATAGTCAAGCGGCTACATCGCACGTCGGGGTCAGGATCGTTTTGGGGTATGTGTTCGACTGCCTTTTCCCAAAATTCAACAGCTCTATCGAGATCATCCGGGGATTCTGTCGTGTGGTATTCGTCGAGGAGCCGCTGTCCAGCTAGGACAGACATAACTCCCTCGTTGTGGATCAATTCCATCAAGGCGGCGTGTTGAGCGGGCGTTGTGATGTTTCCCTCGGCACTTGTAAGCGTACCGTCGGGGATTTGCATTTTGTCTGGCTGTAAAATGTAAATCGTCAGCTCAAGAAGCAACTTCTGATAGGGATTGGAAGACTTGCCGAAGGTCGCCCGCTCGCATAGGTAGCATAGCTATATGTTCTCGGAACCCTGTTGACCTCCACTGTCATTCCCACCTGCTGGGCCATCTCGACAACGCATTCGATATCTTCTTCTCCAAAACCTTCGCGGCACCCCTTTACCAGCATCATGTCGACCCAGTCTTTGGTTCGAGCATCACGCTCAGGATGTTCGGGGGGTGTAGCCACTATCATTCCCTCGGCTCGAATGGTCGCCTGCTGCAGATCATTCATCGCAGCCGTCCGTCGGAATCTTCTCAGTAAGAGGATAACCAAGGTCTTGAGACGGGGAGCGAATTCAGGGTTGTTGGAGTTGGAAGGAATGCGCTGTGCGGCTTCGTCGATTTCAGACCGCGTCGCTTCGTTGATGTCATTGTTGAGATCTTTGTAGTACTTCAGCCCGTCGAGATAGCCGTTTGGATCCCCGGGGTTCGTAGTGTTTGGATCGTCCATGAAGACCCCAGGTGGCCACGACGGCAATTATGACCCAGCACAAGCGGCAGAATTTGCTTCGCGTTGGATGTTCTCTTGGGAACCAATCTTGAAAAGCAAGGAGCAGAGTTGGGAACCAAGGCGTGATGCTACTTTACCAGGTGAATCTTGTGCAGCGAGCGTCATTATCAATGCAAGTAGACATTGTCCCATCCATGGTTCAGATTGTTGACCATGCTCGTGCAAGTTCGGTTGACCTCCATTTTTGCAAGCCCACTGTGCTTTCGTGTCAAACCCGGGGTTCTCTAACTGGCCAAGTGCTTACATGCCTAGGTACATACATACATACACATGTAGCAACTCTCATGCCCATTGATGCCTGTCGGGTTGCAAGAGAGCTGAAAATTTCTAGGCAATGGCCAGGAGCCAATACAGCCATGCTTCGTTTGACGACACGAAACTTGGCTTTGTATTCCATGTCAGAGCTTCAGTTTTTGCGAACTGCGCAGCTTGCAAGTCGGGGCCTTCTTCCCTCATGAGGCCCTTTCATTCGTCACATCCTTGATGCCCCTTGGGAGAACGACATCTTGACATCAAGCTACATACATGAGTACCTACCTTGGCCGCCACCACTGCCACGTCATTACCAGTTGGGCATCCATACTTTACGAAGCTGGGCTTTTTCTGTCACACCTCTCGCATGCTGCGTGTGACGCGCGCGTCGACAAGGGGGTGAATTTTGTGTCGACCGCAACGGCCAGCCTGATTCCCAAACAAATGGGGAAAAGCATGGGGTGAAAAGACGTCGGAACTTGCGTGGATTGGTGACTCATATTCAACAAGCCTGACATTTCGTTGACCACAGCTTCCAACGCATCCAACTTATGTCTTGTTTCACAGTACCGCCGGTACCATCCAAGAAGTCACCCATGGGGCAGACGGTCATTTGGCCATTTGTATTAGCACTCAGTTTTCTCTGGTCTGTAAGTAGATGCGTGAACTCACATTGATTAACTACTTAGGTGGCAGGTCACAACCTCTAAGAGCAACATCCCTCCCCCGCTCTCCGCTCCTAAAAATAAAACCGCCACAGGACATTTTGAACCCAGCTTACCCACCTGGGCAGTGTTGGCTTCCAAACAGCCGCGGAAGATCCAAACGGATGATGGATTGAGGACCCTCCACCTGGAAGTGACGTCTACGGTGGTAGCAACCCCTTCAAGTTACACTCTCAGCTGAACGAGGTCATCCAAGTCTTCGGAATGTCGGTCCAGAAGAACAAGAAGCACCAAAAGTGGGCTGTGTTGATTGGCATTGAGCAATATGAGTCCGCACGGCGACCAACGGCGAAGTGGGAGCCACGGCATGATGAGTCTGGCAATGAGATATGTTACAGCAACTTGGACGGCTGCGTCAATGATGTGCTTGCAGTCGAGAACTATCTTGTAGGGACAATCAAGATGGAGCCGGACAATATCAAGAGACTCATCGCACCCACACCCGGTCGAAGTTACATCTCAGAGCTGTCAAAAGACTATCTCGAGCCACCTTACGTCAACATCGTCGACGCCTTGAAATTCCCTGACGGCGCGAAAGAAGGCGACTTGATGTACATCCACTTTTCCGGCCATGGAGGTCGCGCGACAACCATTTTCAACAGCAGCCTTAAGAACAGCGATTTGGATGAGGCTCTAGTCCCGGTGGATGTCGCCTGTGGCGGAAACTTTCTTCGAGATCCCGAACTGGGGATGTTGCTACAAGACTTGGAAACCGCTGGTCTGATCGTCACGGTAGTGCTGGATTGCTGCCACTCAGGCGGCGCAGTGCCAGGGGAGGACAACCCAGAGTTGGGAACCACACGTGGTATTGAGGGCGTGTACAAATCCGAAGCGCAGCGGGATCGACCCGCAAACTTTGAGCAGACACAGAAATTCGGCCGAGATATTGTGTCCCCTCGGCGGCACAACACCAGCGGTGTTGTTGTTCTGGCCGCGTGTCTGGAGGCTCAAATGTCGAAGGAGAAGCGCGACGGTCGCCACAGTTACGGCCTTTTGACACATTGCCTCTTGGATACCCTCGAGAACATCCACCGAGCTCGGCGTATTTCGACACAAACTCTTTACCAGCGGATTCGTGCCAGCGTGCAGAACAGCAACAAATACCAGATGCCGTACCTTGTTGGCAGCGAAGGTCGTTTCTTTTTCAGTAAAACTCTTGGCTCCAAGACATACCCTCTCAGTGTCATCAGCTCCTCCATAGACATCTCGAAGTCCGTGCATGATCGATTCGTGCGACTGGAAGGCGGGAAGCTGCACGGTGTGAAATTGCAGTCCCAATATGCCATCCTGCCCTAGGGCTTCAACTTTGGCAAGGGGTTTCAGGAAAAGGATGTTCTTGCTCGGGTCAGAGTGTGGAGGATGACGGATGGGGAGGCCCAAGCCCAAGTTGAGGAAATGGACGACGCACGTTGGAAGCAAATTATCATAGGGTGTCCAGCCATTTTGCAGGAGCTGCCAGACTGTGAGAAATTCACGGTTGGTTTCGTGAGCCATGATAACAAGAGAAGTACGACTGACGCCCTGGAAGAAGCATGGAACAAACACGAGGGGGACAAGACGTGGCTCAGCCTTCGCAGCCATGACAGCGGGGACGCATCATTTATTGTTGCAGTCAATGCCAACCAGAATTTGAAAACTCGCCATGCGCCGGGAAACTTCAACACTACGCCATGGGACGACCTTCAGCCACTTCCCTACGCCAGCATGCCCGAACTACTACGCCAGCTGGAGCACATAGCTAGGTTCTCTGTGATCAAAGAGCTCGGTGTGCTTCCCGGCTCGCGCCTGTCCCGTCTCGCGTCGGTTAAGGTCTGCAATGCAGCGTCATGCAAGGCAGGGTATCACGGACAGACGATACCTCCGGCTCAGTTGGCCGAATTGGAAGATGCGGAATGCGGACATGCCTGCGAGGTTGAGGTGGAAACTGGGTTCAGCATCACAATAAAGAATGAGTCACAGCGGCCCTTGGGGTGCGTGATCCTGGACTGCGGCTCAGACTTCAGCGTCGAACGAGTCTACCCCGTGGACCGGAAGTTTCAGACACTGGAGGTCGGCCAGGAAATAACGACTACGCTCGTCATGGCGATTTGCGGGCGTCAGCTGAAATCAGCCAAGGCTGGCAAAGTTGTCATCGATACACTCAAAGTTGTGGTGTGCCATCCGGAAATGGTAATGGACTCGCTGCAACTGCCGGGTCTGTTTGAGTCTCCGGATCGTGCCGGACAAATTTCTGCCCTGGATGGGTTGCGTAGGTTATTGCAGGAACTCGACATGACCCGGCCAGCATATGTTGTCAGGGACTGCACTACTGAGCCTGACAATTGGGAGACGACGGATATCAAAATGAGTATCCGGCTTTCTGAGCACTGATTTTCTTTTTCTCTCTCCACGATATCTGGGATACTTCACGTGGACCTTGATCTGACGAGAGCCAGGGAGAAATTCAGCTGTCAAATTCTATATATGTACTGTAAATGACAGGGTGCATAGCTCCGGATATCACAGCGACAGGTGAAGCCGAATGCCTCGCTTATGGACTTATTCTCCTTCTTCAACCTCAGGTTACACTCGGTACAGAAGTTTCTCCCCACCATCTAATTCAAGGCTCTCATATTCGCCCATCAAGTCTGGTAGATCAATGGGCCCAGAGATCTCTACATCAATGCCGTCGTCGACATCATCACCTGCCCTGGCGCCAACGTAAGATTTCCATCGGTTCCCACGTTCCAGATAGGCCTTCTCGACCTTGCGAGAGGAGAACATTGAGAATTTAATTTTCCGGTACTGCACCGCATAGACGTGCTCACCGGTCGCTGTGTAGCCCATGGTCCCGCTGCGTTCGTTGGCCGAAGAAAACCCGACACTGACATCCAGTCCTGAGTCTGACAAGATAGGCAAAGGCACTCCCGATGCGGCCGTGAGAAGCGAGGCCGAAACGCCAGCGGAGACGTCAACATCAGTGCCGGTCGAGCGTGACACTGTAATCTCGGCGTCCGTCAGCGTCTTGAAACCGCAGACGAGATATACGTTGTCGTATAGGCTCCTCGAGCCCTCCTCGAGCCAAGTGCGCACACTTTCCTCACCGCAGGCACTGCTGAAATACACGTTGGGTTCACGCAGTTGGTGTATGACGCAGAGCCTGCTGGTTAGGGTCGTCGAGGATTTCCTCGGTGCGGAGGGCGTTAGGGAGAGGAGGCTGAGTAATTTGACTTCCAGCCGCGTATTTCGCGAGCTCGAGCGTTTCCTGGAAATTTTCGAAACGTTGAGTGGCCACATCACTTTGCAACGAAGGCTGACAGAAATCCTGATTTGGAAACTTCGGGTCCAACACAAGGCGGCCCAGCTCGATAAAGTCGCGCGGAATCGGGCGGTCAAGCAGGAGACTTGTGAGTGACATCGTAAGCCGGATTGTGGTAATCTGATGGATCAACCTTCTTTTTGGTATCTTCTGAATTCCAGACAGCTTTTGCCGTCGATCTTATGTATCTCTTGAAGTGCAGGCCTACGACAACACACAAATACGTATGTGCATGTGTAAGAGCGGGGAGTTGACAGCACGGGCGAAATCCAAATTTTCACGAGCGGCATACTTGCACTGCCCACCTTCACTGGAGCACGACAAATGTGCGCCGGAGATCTGCAGAAGCTGGCTGTCATCGTACTCTCCGGTGCCTGTCCAGCTGAATCGCCCTTGGCAAAGCCCGCTGCAGGGCGTCTCGAAACAGATTCGTAGACCATATGAAGTATAAGAAAGGGGAAGTGGCTGTGATCAATTGAGTACAGGATTTAAGGTAGTGGATTCAGCACAAGACAGCGGGGCCAGCTGATCGAGCCAGCAACTGCGAGGCCGTGGCAGCCAGGCGATGGGCGGGCAGCCACGAGGCTAGAGGCCGCCAGCAGTCGGGTCTCTTACTCCTCCCGCACAAATCCATTCTTCAGTAGTGGTAATTGAACCCTGCTGTAGGATGAAGAACGGCTGGTATCAGTTTATATCGTATGGGGCGAGTGGTGGAATACACGCTGAGCGTGGGTGATGGATGTATTTGTGGATGAAAGCTCGCTAACCCAATTGGGATGTACTATGAGCCAAGTATAGGACAAAACCAACATTCTACTGTGAGACTGAGCCTTCAGCCAGCTCCAATGCTGAATACCTACCCTTCCTACCATCACAAAATCTTGGGCAGCGGGAGCACATGTGTGAACACGCCCAGGTCTCAATCAAGAAACCAGCCGACGCGATGGGTGTGAGCTGTTGTCGGACGTGCCGAGGGCCAGGGAAAGCACCAGCACCAGCACAGCTCACCGACGTCAATTTCCCGTCCCCAACCCACCGCCAAACAGCTCATCCATGAACCACCTTGTCCTTGTCGTCCTGTATCCCATTCCACTCTGCCCCATCTTGGCCGGACCTCTCTTGACTTTGGGGACGCAGTTGGACTGACCATTCCACTTTGGATTGCACAATCTTGACCCTTCACACGTCAAGTTGCGTGTTGAGTTCGTACGACCGTCATTTGCTTGGCATTCGAGCTACCTCGACCGAAAAGTTTACCACCAGCAGGTGACGCCTCCATCGACGACGTTGCAACACCCCAAGGAGCCCAGGGACCAAGGAAACAGCTGGATCTGGGCGGTTCGAAGCATTCGTCAAGTCATCGAGTCTACTGTTCCGGAATCTACGAACAATTGTCCAGGCAAGGCTTTGCCCAATGGCCGCGGCACCGTGGGCAGACGTCCCTGCCAAGGACACCTTCTTCGCCCTGGTGACGGGCGCAAACAGGTACCAACGAAACCCGGCCCCGTTCAGAAGATCCAGGTACTAAGACCAGACAACTACAGTGGCGTCGGGCTCGGCATCTGCCAGCGCCTCATCGACGAGTTCCTCCACACGCGCTCTCTGACCTCGCACCTCATCCTCATCCCCACCACCCGCGACACCCGCAAGTCCGCCGAGACCACCGCCCAGCTGCGCAGCCACCTCCACAAGACCGCCGCCTCGTCAAGGCTAAGGGCCCGGGGCGCCGAGCCCGCCGACACCGCCGCCCGCGTCCACGTCCTCTCCCTGCAGCTCGACCTCTGCGACTTCGCGACGGTGCACGCGGCCGCCTCCCAGCTCGTGGGCGGCACCCTCGCGCTCGACGGCCACGGCGGTGGGGTCCGTATCCCCCGCCTCGACGCCGTCATCTTCAACGCCGGGATAGGCGGCTGGACGGGCGTCGACTGGTTCAAGGCGGCGCGTAACTTCCTCACCGCCGGCTGGGTCCAGGCCACCACATGGCCGATCTTCAAGGTTGCCACAGCAGGCGGGACGGTCGACCCGCTGCCTCGGCGGCAACAGCAGAAACAGCAGGCCGGGGCCAGCGACGAGAACGACAAGGCGGTGGTGGGCCAGATCTTCTGCGCCAACGTCTTCGGCCACTACATCTTCGCGCACGCCATCCTGCCCCTGCTCAGCAGGCGGCAGGGTGACGAAGACGCCGATATCCCGCCGGGCAGGTTGATCTGGGAGGGCAGCATCGAGGCGGCGCGGGAGCACTTCCGCGTAGGCGACCTGCAGGCGGTGGAGACGGAGGCCCCCTACGAGAGCACCAAGCGGCTGACGGACCTGCTGGTGCTGACGACGGGGCTCCCCGGCGCGCGGGCGCACAGCGCGCCGTACTGGCGGCTGCCGGGGCAGCCGACCGGGGAGGAGGAGCAGCAGCCGCCGAAGGTCTACGTGTGCCACCCGGGCATCGTCGTGACGACGATCCTCCCGCTGCCCTTCATACTACAGTACCTGTGGACGCTCGCGGCGTACGTGGCGCGGTGGGTCGGGTCGCCCTGGCACACCAACACGTCGTACAACGCGGCGGCGGCCATGGTGTGGCTCGCGCTCGCGGCGCAGGGGGCGCTGGACTCTGCACGGGCCGAGTCGGTCAAGTGGGGGTCGGCGTGCGACATCCGCGGCAACACCATGGTCAAGAAGACCGAGGTGGACGGCTGGGGGTGGACAGGCAAGGTGGAGGGCCTCGACGAGGACGACGGTGCGACCGGCGCGCTGAGGAAGATCAAGGGGCGCAAGAGCGGTGCACAGGTCGTGACGGAGGAGAGCAGGGTCGAGTTTGAGGAGACGGGGGCTTTGTGCTGGCGGGAGATGGAGAGGCTGAGGGCTGAATGGGAGGTGAGGATGAAGGAGGCAGGTCTGAACGGCCATGCCTAGTTGGGATACCGGGCTCTAAGAGCACTGTAGGACGATATCTTGAGCCTCTCACGGGTGTGAGAGAAGGCTGCTGTATTAGTTAGCGACGACTTCAACCCAAATCGTTCACGATGAGACGAAAGGGACTGGCATCTAGTTCATGCACATAAAGGGTATTTGCCCCGCTTCAAAATAATAAATACAGTAATCATAATATTTGCACGACAATAGCACAGTCATCAGCAAGATCGTTAACTATTCAGACGCATCAAAATGGATGCGATTGTGCCAAGGCACTACCACGGCTGTGAAATGGCAACATCACGCTCGCTCCCTTCCCCGTCATGGCTGCCCAACCCCAGCGACCCCTGATTCTGCAGCAGCGTTCTGAGCAGCAAGCCGGTCCCGATCGGTCTCGACCCGCCTCAGCCGAACCTTATCGCCCCGTCCAAACAGGCCCAGGCACAAGGGTATCGGCATGATGGCGAGGGTGATCACGGCCTGGAAGATCAGCGCCCGCGTCATGTTGCGGGGCGGGTCAGCGTCAGGGCCATCCTTGAGCGCGTCCGATACGATGATGAAGATGGCGCCAAGAAGCTGGCCCCCAGACCACGCCAGCGTGCTCGTCACCTCGGGGCTAACGGGGTGCGTGAGCTCGACCAGCAGCTCCGAGGCGACGGGGACCAGGCTAAAGCTCGCGGCGCCCAGAATTGCCAGCACGACGTACGGGCCCGCGATGTCGCGCGTAGCCGGCATCCAGATGAAGATGAGATAGGACAAGGCCGTGATGGGAATGGCGATCTTGATGGCCGGTATGAAGGCCTTGGTACGGTCCAGGATGGGAGAGGTGATGGCCGCAGCAACGAGACCAACCACGATGAGGATGGCACCCGCAATGCCGCTCTCGCTGTCGTCGAAGCCGTAGGGCTCCATCATCTGGTTCAGCAGCGACGAGATGGAGTTGAAGAAGCCCACGTAGACGGCGTAGGGGATAATGAGCATCCAGAACTCCGGGGAGCGGCTGAGGATGCGAGCCGAGTTGGGGATGGACAGCTTCTTAGTCTCGCCCGAGGGTGCGGGCGGCGTGGGCGGCTTCGCGGGGATGAAGAGCGAGGGGAGCGCGCAGACAGTGGCCTTGGATGTCATGTAAGCGCGCAGTCCAGGTGACAAGGGGGAGAGGGGGGAGGAACATACAATGATAGCCACATATAAGACGGCATTGGGTATGTCCCTTGCGGAAAAGACCCAGAAAGGCATGATTAACTGCCCGATGGCAGCGCCAAAAGGATTAGCCAGGCTCATCAGGGCGGTGGCGGCCACACGGCCGCGGTTGGTAAACCACAGATCCGAGTATCTGGTCGGCGCCGCCAGCACAAAGGGCTGGGAGAAGCCAATGAGGATCTGGCCAAACATGACGACGCCAAAGTTGGGAGTTGGAGCCCGGCTGCCGCCATATCTGATCCAGTTACCGCATAGGATGAGCACCGAAGAGGTGATGATGGATGGCTTGGGGCCCCAATGGAGCACATAGATGACCAAGGGGGAGACGGCAACAAAGCACAAGAGGAAGGCGGTGGAGAGCCAGTTGACGGTGCTCTCGGTGGTGTTGAAGAACTCGGCGGCACTGGAGATGACGGGTGAAAAGGTCAACCACTAGGATGATATGAGAGGTCAGCCTTGTGTTCCTCGACGCAGGTACGGTGCAACGCCACTCATCCACCCACGAACACTGCATAAGGCTTGTGTGTTGGGGGCGACAAAAGTGCATCTGATTCTCAGCCTCAATGAAGCATCTCGAACGAGACCAATCCCAGACCATGACGCCAAAACAGGCCATCTCGCCAGACGAGATCGCGTGCTGCAAATAAAACTGGCAAGTCTTTTGAAAATGGATCGGACTTACATCCCAGCTCACGACGATGTTGAGAAGGGTCAGCTGGACCAGGCCGAACCACCTCCTCTTGTAGACCTTGAAGAACTCGACGGTACCATCCTCGGTGAGGTCCTGGGAGGGGCGAGACTCATGGAACAAGGCGTCAAGACCGAGGCGTGGGAATCGACGACCACCAGGCCCCTTACTGGACCTGCCCTGGGTTCGATCTGGAAGTTCAATGTCGTCTCCCTTCGAGCCAGAGCCGCGGTCGACGACGGGATCGCTTTCTATGCGCATGTGCCCCTCCTTCCAGTCTCCGACGATGGCGTCGGACCCCATCCTGGCAGCGCGTTCGGGTCCTGGCAGAAACGTCTGGACTTTTGGGTACCACTGCTGAGGGAAGGAACGGCCGGTGGCGGTTGCACGTGTAGATTTGGCGCGGCAGCCCGTTGCAAATTGTCAAGGTTAAGTTTGGTCTGGGAATCTGACGGGCCGAGGCCAAAGTGCAAGGCCTTCTGCCCTCCCTGGCGTAATAGCTCAACAGATTCCCGCAGCTGGACGGACCTCCACTGGGCCACGAATGGGTGAAAAACTCACTCGCCCAAGGACAGGAACGGGTGTCGCGGTCGGTGTGAGCTGATGTCGTGCGGTTACAGAACCGTTGTCGCCTCATTCACGTGCTACTAACCCATCACCGGGACAAGCGTGGCAGGGGCAGAACGGACCAGACCACGCCCGGACTGAGATGAAATTGAAAGAGAAGGAGTGAGCGTATGTATGTATGCTCTTCTTTGATTTTGAACAAGGAGTGGAATTGGCAAGTGAAGAGGGTGTCCTGCCCCGGCCATGTTATGTGCGGAAGGATGGGCTGGATGAGATGGGAAAGGACGGCGGCCATGGGGCACTCGAGGGTGCATGAAGTTACGCCTATTCGAGCAGGCCTGGGAACACTCGAAGGCACGTTGGTGTTCCTAGCGCCAATCACACCCCAAACGCCATGTCGAATTGGCCCACCCTCCCGCTGTGGACTCCCTTGTCGGGCCACTTCCCGCGGTTCTAAGGGGTCCTGCTTCCTGCCTCCCAGTGGGCTGTTGAAGAACCAGACTAGGACATGGTCCAGCCCTGAGGGGATTGCCTGCATGAAGGTGAAATTGCCCTGGCCGTTTGAGCCGCCTCTCATTTGCGTCCGCCGGGTTTGTGAGGCGCGCACACGCAGGATGCGAAACCAAAACTGCAGCCATTTCAACCGCTCGAGGCTGAAATTTATGACTCCAAAATATTGGGAACATGTGAGCTGTCAAGTTGCCCCTGTGGATCCAGCACTTGACCTGTTTTCTCTCCACCTCCCAGGTTTTCTTGACCTCACCACTACAACCAAGACTACTCACTCACTCCTCAACTAGACTGAGCGATTGGCAATGACACCTAAACCAAATCATGGGGCTCTCTATCTTTCACAAGCGCCTGACATGAACTCAAAAATAGCCACTTCCAGCCCGAAACTAGCTTCCCAAGGTTTATCAATTCCCCGCAACCCCGGGGTAGCCAAGATGCCCTGCCCGATGCAGATCCGGCCGGATCTATCACAAAGTCGGCGCCCGCGGACAGCCCGTGTGCCTCGCTGGCATGCGGAGGAGATGCGGAGCACCACGGGAGGGCCCCTTTGCGCTGCATCTCCCATTCGATGCTACTCTGCCTGCCGACGACGGTCGACGGGATGTGAAGCTGTGGGCCGATCTATCAACTTCATCATGCCTGAAGAAAAACAGGTTGGCATAGTGAAGAGCATCGCATTGCGATAAGAAGGCACAGCTCTCTCGAGCGTCTAGCATCGCTGTTTTTGGTTGCCGACATACCAGAGACGCCATACTCTGGCCGGGAACCGTGTAATTCAAGACGATTCTGACTTCAGGAGCCAAGCAGAGCTGAATCCACCATCTTCAGTTCGCAGCCACGCAACGAACCCGGCTCTACTACTGTGCCTAACACTTAGACAGGAGCTTGTATGTGCCTCAAATATATGCTCGTTCATCGCTCCAAACGACACAAGACCTACCCAGACAGGCAATTAATCCACCACGTGAAGAAACGCCCGGCAGAAATGTATCTCCCCCAAAGGCCCAACCGCCAGGCCGCTCTCGACCACGCATGACGAGCCAGGGAGAAGGCCAGCAGCAGCTGCGCCTCGCCCTATCCCATGTGCATGTCAGAATCCAGGCGATAGCATCACCAGCACCCGTAAACTCAGCCCGACCCGGATTTCAAACTGTCTGAAGGCGGCCGCGGGATGCCGTCGCATGGGCACGATTCCCGGTGTTCCCTCAACATAAAACAACATCCGACATAGAGAGAGGCGGACGGTCGATGTCGTGCGGCGGGTATCGTGTCATGACACGCTTGGAAAGCTTGAGGCTGATGGTGGCTCAGAGATGACGACGGCTGAAAGCAGCTATTGATAGGGGCCCTTTCCTTCTCTGGCCCGCTTCATAGAATCGAGATATGCGCGGGGTCCTTCTTTGAAGGTCGAATGGTATCCCACATGAGAGACCACATCGAGCTGTCCGAGGAGCAGGGGCGGTGCTCGGTGCTCGCGGGAATCATATTGAGCCATGTCCCTGAATTCCACGTGAGAATCAGTTAGCATGTCACGCAGGGCCAATTTGAGCGGCAACCGCAGCCGCGACGACATAGCCTGCCCACCTAGATGAACTCCAAGATGGGCACCAGCCACGGCGTCGCTGTCTTGACTGCGGATAAGGCGCCAGTACCTCTCAGGTGGGCAGCAGCCACCAAAGCAGCACCGCAAAACACGGAAGCCGCCTGGGCTCCTCCTTGTCTGTGGTTGTGGGCTGTGTGTGTGAGACAACGACAGTGTGAAGCAACAAAGCCACGGGGGAGTAACGCAAGAGGGTAAATCTAAAAATTCGTCTTCGTTTCGGGGAGTCTTTTTGAGTGTATATGATACAGGTGACTGAAGCAGACCGACCGTCCTTTCAAACCCCACCATCGTCACTCGTCACGCATTTGTACAGTGACAACGTGCCGTGTCTTGTTTCGTTTTCTTGTCTTTTCCTGTCCCCCCTACGTGTCCACTCCACCCAATCGTGCTGGGACCGGTAACAGTGACCCCAGAATCTCCTTCGAGGTGTTCGGCGCTCGCGAAGCCCGGCGTTTCTATAGGCGGGGGGGGTTTGTTGTTCCTCTAATTCATGACCAATGTAGTAGTGAAAACACGGTGCCGTTCTCGCGGGCGCCGAACCGTGCGAGGGGGCTGGGGCCCGCTGCCGCTGATTCGGTGGATTTGGTTCGACGGGGTTGATTTATCGGAGCTTCGACCACACCTTGGGCGCGGCGCACGCCGTTGCGCAGTGGGCGAGGTGGAAGACTGGACGTTGTGTACTGTCAGCATGGGCGGCCGTGTCGTGGTGGTGCGGCGCATCGAGGCCATTCCTCTCCGAGTCCGCGGACCCGGCATATCCGCTCGGAATTGGACTTACACTCCTCAACACAGTCCTCCTTGGCACCACCGTCCGCTTCTTGCGAGGTGACGCGCTCGACACACTCATCGTAGTGGTGCTTGGCCGGGGCGCACTGCTTGGACTCCTTGCACTCTGTGGGAATCATTCTGTCAGCCTCTGTTGTGCGCTTTATCGTAGCTGTTCCATCCACTTCAGGATGTTCGCTGGCTTCGGGTCTCATCAAGTCAAATCGCCACACCTGTGGACGCTGCGCTTCATGGGCCGTGGGTGTGACAGTCGTTCGCGGATTGTCGGGCGATCTCGGGTGTGGGCATCCATCTCTCACCTTCCTCGAGCTCCTCCTTGGGGTCCTTGGGCTCATCGTCCTCTTCCTCCTCCTCCTCTTCCTCCTCCTCAGCCTCACCCTCCTCGTCGGCGTCCTCGGACTTGTCGTCGGAGCTGGACTCCTCCTTGGACTCGTCCTTGCTGTCCTCGGCGGGTGCTTCCTCTGCCTATGACGCGGGGGTGATATGTCAGCCAATGGGACCGGTCGATGTGGCATGTGGTAGATGTGCTCGGATGGGCTTGCGATGGACGTCCGCAGGTCGGCAGTGAGCTTGCTCGTGGTTATTGACGCACCTTGGAGTCTTCTGCTGCAGGGGCCTCTGCTTCGGCGACGCTCCATGGCGCGACCGACTCGGCCAGGTCGGCGATCGTATCCCAGAAACCCATTGTGTCTTTTGTCAACCGGCGCTGGCGGGCTGAGTTCGGGGTCAATGGCTTGAGTGTTGACGGTGAAGTGGAGTGGAGTGATGGCGGTGGTCGTTGACGGGCTGCCGGGGGAAAGCTCTCATGCTGAGAAGAAAAACCGGCGGGAAGTCGTCGGGTCGGGATGGTCCAATCAGCGTGACGCAATTACTTAGTCTAGTGGGCCCACCGCGGAAGCAGGCTGACCCTTTATACGGACCAGCATTTCGACTTGAGCATATCAATTTCAACTTTATACGTATCTCGAATATCAATTTGAAAGCCAAGTAAAGTCTTCGGAAATGCAGAGTCATATGTATAATGTGTGCAACTTGGAGCCTTCAGACCGCTCGGCAATCCATTGGAGGCAGTTATACAAGAGGTTATTCCGGGGTTGGAGAGGGGGGTTAACCCAGAAGGGGAGGGGAGGCTATCCTAGAAGAAAGAGGAGATCGATTATCCCACAAGAGCTTACCAGACATGAGATGGCCAAGAGGAGCATGGCCGAAGACAGGTTGTCCCAGAAAGCTTCCCTTGCGGTGATTGTCTTCTATATAAGCCTGACAGCCCTAACCCTGCAGACAACAACCACAATGACAGCAGAAGCAGCATGCAAAAGGAGCCGAGTTGAGGTTCATGGTGGCTTAGACATCTCACGGTACTTCTGCTGACTTTCAAGAATAATAGGAATAAATATGTACTGGGCAATCTAGGACATGAGATACAAATGAGGTTTTATTCGTCAACATTCGCGGACCAAAACACAGATATGACTCGTCCCGCTCCTGAACTCCAAGCTCTCATCAACATTAACAAAAAAAAGTGCTTGTATTCTGCATATGGCCAGACGCCGTGGGTATCAACGATCGTGATGTCTCATTCGAGTAGAGTTTCGGTTGGCTGGAGAAAGGGGGGCAGGGGTCTTTTGCGAGGATGACGATATCGCACACGGCGGCACATCGTGCCTACTGGGCCCTCTCAGCGTCTTGACGGTCCCGCTCCTCAAATTGCTGTTCCACTGCCTGGGCCTGCGCTTCGTCATAATCAGGTGGTGGTTCGTTCGGTGTCGGCTGGGCCTGCTGCGTCTGGGTCTGAGCATGACTCTGGGATGGAGCAGAACTCGCCTGTGCAGTCTGCTGGGGTTGCGGCTGCTCAGGCGCACCGCCGACTCCCGTAGCGGAATACGGGGGCAAGTCGTCGTCATGAACGGTGATGCGCGTTCCCGTCTCTCTTGCAACGTCCCGGGCATGAGACAGGCGCTCATACATCAAACTGTACTTGGAGTGAAAGCCCTCTACTCCGCCGTGGTTGAATATCAGTAATATCTCGATTCGAGGAACGTCGCCTGGTATCCCACCGCCAGCCCTGGGTTTGGCCTCGGCTCTCCATCGCCAAGCCCCGAACCCAAGCAGGCCGCCTGCTCGTGGCTGCGGGTCATATGTGTCCAGGATGAAGGCTGAGAAGGACTGAAAAGCCTCTGTAGGCTGCTCGGCCAGATAGATGATCTTGAATATCGCAAGTCAGCTAGGGTGGATCATTGGAGTGCCACAAAGGGAGATAAGGGCTCGCTCACCCTTCTGTTGGTGACATATGCAACGCCGGAATCACACTTCACGTTGAAGTTGGGATTGGAGGTTCGCAAGGCCTTGGGGACGGATACTTCCAAGCTCACGTAGCCAGGCGTCTTGAGAAGTATTTGCTCATCTTCCAGAGGCTGTATCTCGCCCTTCTGGTTGAGCATAACCCAGCTGCGTTTATGGTTAATGTCGTGCTCATGAAGACAAGGATCTCGAGGTTGGCTCTGGGCCGTGATGCTCTGGTGCTGGAGGGTGCCCTGGTAGAGATCCATGAGGGATAGATAGGTGGACAGCCAAGGGGCAAGAATAAGGAAGGCAAGTCTTTATATGACCAAGACGACGTGATATCAGGTGATATATCCTGCCTAGGGGGGGAACGGAAGGGAAGAGGGTAGGAGGGAGGAGGGAGGAGCAAGAGAGAAGAAATTTGAGATGTGATGGAGCGAGTATGCAGGTGAGGCCCCGCGGACGAGATAGGGTAGAAGGAAGGAGATGGGGACTGACTTTATCGACATTTTGAAAGCGTCACAGGGTGGCTAGGCGTGGCAGGCCTGAGAATGCTCCGATGCTGGGGCTCAAGCAGGTCGGCGCAGGGATGATGGAGACTGGTCGAGGCTCGGGATTGCACAGCACGGGAATGGACCGGCAGAAGCAAAGTGGGTTGTGGGTTGTGGGTTTTGGGCTGGAGGGCTGGCCTAAGTCCCCGCGTCAAGATGAGGCGGCTGCAGTAGTTCGCCTCGTCTGGCCGGCTGGGTGTCGAGCAGTTCGTGTGGTGGCCCTGCTTGCCCACGGGCCTCTCGAGATATCGCGGAAAGAGAGGCAGGGAGCACGGCAGAGTGGGCTCGGGACGGCGATTGGCGGGTTGCAAGCGCAGATTTGGATCTCCAAGGTCACAATCAGGACGCCTGGGGTGTGCTGTATGAGGTTCCGTGCTAATAACGGCTGCGAAGCGGACGACGCAGCATGGGTGGTTGGTGCGTGGGTGAGTGGGTGCTTGGATGTGTGGGCAGGTAGCGAGGGCGGTGGATGCGACCCCGGACTGCAGGATGTCAAGACAAGTGGTATCCGGCGCCTCTCCTTGACTCGAGGTGTGCGTCACGGCCGGTTCGGGGTCGGGGGGGGGGGGCTGTGTGCTGCCTTCCGAGCTGTGCTGTGCTGCGCTGTGGTTGACCGGCTTCTACTGTAGATCAAAGGAATGCAGGGTGTTCCAGGTGGCTTCTTGAGCGAGTCGAGGATAGGTTCGTGGGCAGGGTTCGCAGTACAGGACAGTACAGTAGTCTGCAGCACGCAGGCAACAAGTGAGGATGGCGTTGAGATATCGCTGGTCGGTGCCGATGGCCGATGACGAGATCCGCAGCTTCCAGAATCACACTGGCAGTCCAGGGTGGTGGCCGTTGTGGGGAAGGCGTGGACGGAGTCGGCCCAATGATGATGATTCAGCGCGGCTTCCCAAGGGCACTGGAGACTACCAAGTACCTTTGTACCCAACCCAGAGTGTGTACCCCGAGATCGCGGGCTAAATACTCATCCTCGCAACCACTCACTCACACTCCTTAGCACTTGACGAACTCAATCTCGTCAGCCCCCTCCTCGTCACCACAGACATCATCAAATCATGCGACAAACATGCAGTGACAAAGCCTTTGGGCAGAACACGCAAGCCACCTGCCTCCGGTTTCCCATCCTTGCCACTTGGGCTCTGCAGGCCGGCGGAAAGGCCCCGACCCGCATCGCATGCCTCGGTGGAGACGCCCTGCCCTGTCTTGATGCGCCTCGATGCTGCGCAGGGTGCAGCATGTCCCACGCTTAGACTGCATACATCTAGTCTACCACAGTACACGCACAATGCTGATGGTCCAGTAGTCCATCTACCACCATATTTATGTGCCTCCTCCTAAGCGAGGTGCGCTCTGCCCGACCAGTCCGGTTGTCTGGAACGGCCTTTGAGCCTCTCCTCAGCGTGGGGAATCCGGCAACGCCGAGGGAACGCCATGCCGCCGAGGATACAGATCGCTCCTACGAAGCTCAGTCAACTGGGCCTGTCCCCCTTGGGAGACATCTGGTCGGCATTGGGCCGCGGCTCAGGTGCAGGTGCCTTTCTTTTTCTTGTCCTTCTCCTTTGATTTCCTCGTGGCAGGGCCTCAAGTGGGTACCGTCCAGAGGCTCCGCCTTCCACTACTACACTATCATCATGTCCTGCGTGTCCTGCGTGTCCTGCGTGTCCTGCGTGTCTGCTTGTCCACGCCCCCATCCACCACATGCGACCTCTTGGACCACTTACTCGATCCCATCAGCAGTACATGAGCCAAGCGGTCGGGACTCTCCCTATTTGCTCCATCTATGCGCCGGGGTGGCTGATCCTGCTGATTTCTGCACATGACCATCACGTTGCTCCTCCCGCAACCCAAGGCCGTTCCCCCACGGCACTCTGGTGGCCCAACACAACCGTTTCTTTTTTATAATGGCGCCGTCTCCAGCCGTGGGGACGCTATCACCCTGTGGGGGCACTGCGCTCGCATAACAGAAAACAAAAATAAGAAAAGGCCACTTCTTCGGCCCGGCTTATGGAGCATCCCGCGCAAGGAGTCATCCAGGGGCCGTGCCGGAATCTCGTTCATGCTCCGTCGAAAGCACTGGTTCCGCTTCGTGTCGGCGGTGTGTGCATGACCCGTCTTCGTATCATCTTTCGCCCTATCAACGGGTGCCATTGGGCCCTGTGAGCTGCATGGAGGTGACAGCATCGTGGGCACCCTCACATCGTGGTCCAACTTATCCGTCCAGTACACTCGGCCCGAGGTCTTGAAGTCAGCCAGCCCTCAATCGCTCGGTCTCGCGGCACTCAGAGAATGTGCTCAGAACCAAGTGAATGCAGGTGCCAGGTGCAAGACACCCACCCCAATGCGTCCTGAAAGCTGAGAATTCACCGCCGTCGATCACCTGCTCTATTAACGCTAGCGAATTGGAAGCTGGTCCTCCACCGGTGAGCCCTTCAATTCCGGTCGACTGCAGGTATGCCTGGAAATAGTTGCCAGAGCGGGAGGGTGAATCATGGTTTGGTTCATTCCGATACCGTCTGCTACTTCCCCATACCCCCACCAGATTATCGCGCAGGGCTACCCAGTACAAAGCTGTCAACGGGCGGCTGATCCCGAGTGGTTCATTTTTTCCGGGCCCGCATATGTTCTCTCGGCCATTGCGATTCTACCGCAGTCTCTGGTGTACTATACAGTGTACAGCGTACAGCGTACAGTAGAAGCAGCACGTGGACTGGACGCTCCATACCACAGTATTGAAAACCTTATTTTGATGTGGGACGCTCACGTAGGGCTTGAGAGGCCTGGCACTCAGAATGGGCACGTCAAAATCTCCGTCCACTTTTTTTCCCATGACAGCCATTCCTCCATCATGTGCTCAAGCAGCGGCCCCTCGGCTGCCTATGCGAACCACACACTGCGCTGACGATGAGACATGCTTTTGATCTAGCACACCGGTGAGCTAGAGCGCAGGTGTTGTTCCTTCTTCGAGCCAGAGGGCTGAAAGTATTGCTCGGCCTTGAAATTGCGAGCTCGAGAATTCTGTCACATATCACAAACGCGCCCGGATCTGATCCATGCCAATTTCGTCCCTGGCGCTCACCGCCAAACAAGACTCGTCATGGAATGATGAGATCCCTCGAGGCAGCATGAGAAAAGAAATACCGCGATGGGGCGATGGATGCGGCGATGCTGCCATCAGGAAATTAAGGCGGATCTTGTTTCGGGACGTCAAGCTGTCACATCTACATGACTGGTGACGGCCACACCTCAGATACAGTGCCAATTACACGGAATGTCGAACTAGTTTGGCTGTCTGGCCGAGAGAACCATTATGGGCTACACACCTCATGCCATTCATTCAAGTCTAGAGGTGCGTTACCACTGGTCTGTCCCCGTGAAATAGGTCCACGAGTCACAAATATTGTTGTTCCAAGTGTCTAGTTCTGTTGGTTACCTCTTTCACAGCCTGTCTTTTGAAAGCAGCATCAAATCAAGGAACCTCCCACTTGGTAAAACGATCATCCATTAGAAGGCTCTGAGGTCCTGACGGCTTGATGAAAAGCATCATACCAGACTAAAGCAAACAGGGAACTTGTCCATCGCCCACCCAATGATCTTGCATGCTCAAGCTGCGCATCACCATGACCTAGCATCTGTTAGGAGCATAGGAACATTAGGGTGGTACATCTACCTGCGTGTTCTAATTTGGCCACTTCCAGAAACAAGATCAGGTAGATGCGACCGTCTCGGCTGCTCTGCGCAATATAACCTCACGCGTGCGGATGTGCTGATGGTGGCCGAGTCGGAGCACACCGTCCGCCTGTAATCATCTACAATAAGTTGCACATGCTGTCATACTGCGTGGAAAGACAGAGCGGCCCGGCCCGGAAGGGAACGGGCGGCAAGAGGACCTGCTATATTGATGACACTATTCGTCGACTGTCAAGTGGCTATGGCCGAGGCTTGCAGGTGGCGCTGGTGCACCGACAGGTAGGGTGAACCGGTGACCGTGGCTTTTTAGACATGTTTGTGGCTGGGCCAGGAGAAGCCGTCAAAGTGTCTGGCGGAGCAAAAAGATATCGGGAGCGACGGAGTTCGTGTTCCGAGAAACCCCAAGAATGGGCGTGGCAGAACCGCCCTCAACCACTATCATGGAAGGCTGTTACTCATGATCTATCCTTCAAGAGTACATCAGTCTAAGCCCCACCACAGTGCTATGTATTGGTTTCTATTTAGAGAAGCGGGGAGCTTGTAACAAATTGTCATCCGACGGGCGGGAGGCCAACCGTATCAAGGTCATCCAGAGAGTCTGCGGCAAGGCATGCATGCCCGTGGATCAATCACTTGGAAAGATTTCAGTATCTTTGTTACACAGATCTGCATACCAACCATGTCAGTATATTGAGTCAACTATCCCGTGCAAAATCCGTCCGGATTCAAAACCATGACAAAAGTCCTTCGTTTGTACATGCCCAAGCACCAATGATATTGCGATGGATGAAACGACAAGTCAAACATTCTGAGTCTACATATACCCTATATTGGACCTTTCATGTGACATATCAGCCGACTTGCCAAGGAGTTCCGTTGACCAACATGGATACTTAGACATACGGACTCACAACAGCGGTTACACAAAAATTTCGTTCCGGTTTCTGATTTGAACACAATCACACATGTACGCACAGAGTTAAATAGAGAGAAAGTGTGTGCGTGTGTGTGTGTGAGGCATTAAACAGTTACCCCACGCCATATCTATCAAAGAATCCCCAAGCCACGCAGGCCAAAGTACTGAGTGAGATCGTTGGCGGGCACTAGAAACCAAGAGGCGACTCAATACCTAGGTAGGAAGCCTAAGCTGCCAAAATGATAGCGTGCGTAATTCCGAGATAGCCTGCTGTCTCGACAGCGATGCAAGACCACAATGATATTATCCCGATGGCCTCAGCTCGCGGGGCCGTAAGCGGCAGCCTGAGTGAAACGTAGACAATCACGGTTTGGAACGTGTTGCGAACATTGCAAGGAAGAAAAATAAGTGGTTGTTGGTTCGTAGCAGGCGATATAACCAACACCTGCTATAGTCATGCAATTACATATGTACTTGTCTATGATAACGCCTATCCCATATTTACAGTCACTCATGAGTCCTTGCCGCTGCCCTCTTCCTTGTCGTCTCCTTTCGTAGAGGATGCGCCTAGAGGCGAGGGCGTCGGTTTCGTCTGGGGGAACTGCTGCCAGTCTCCGCCCGCCCGGTCGATCGGTGACCAACCGGCCGCGCCAACACTGCCCGCCACGATACCCGTCATCAACGTCGCCGCCCCCAGGACCGAGTTGGACCTGGACCGGGACCGCATGGACCTTGACCTTTTCCTAGAGTCGGGCGTCGCAGTACCGACGTTGCTTCCGACATTGCTGCCAACGTTGCTGCCGCCGCCACCATTCGAGCCGAAGCTATTCTCCCGAGTTGGTGTCTGCGGCTGCTTGATGGAATTGGAACGGGAGTTCTGCTTGGAGTTCTGTCGCGACATGCTCCTCTTGGGCAAGAAGACCTCCTTCGGATGCTTCATGGCGAATTTGAGATTGTTAACACGTCCGCCCTTGAACCGCTTCAGCCAGTAGAGCTCGTCACGGATCTCGGCAAACTCGGCCGGGAAGTTCTGGAAACGCTCCTCGTCGTCGGAGACAGTGACGCCTGGGACCTTGGCTTGAGCCCTGCGCTTGATAGCCTCGGGAACAAGCTTCTCCAGTAGCGAGTCGGGAATGAGTCGGACGACGATACCGATTGGGATTGAGATGAAGCCGAGAACGATGGCAGTCCCCCACATGCTGGCGGTCTGTTTCTGAGGGGCAATGTTGAACGCCTTGCCGCCAACAAAGATGATCAGAACCTGTCCGCCGCACATGATAATACTGATGCCGATGAAGAACCAGTTCTTGAAGAGGCCTTCAAAGATGTTGAATTGGTTGTCCAAACGACGGTTACTGTTTTCTGGTTAGTCTTCTTGATTCGTAATTTGGAGACGATTCATGCACTTACTTCCACTGGTTGAAGATCTGCATCCACACAAATGTGTTGAAAACCAGTGTTTGGATTTGCGCGTCGTTGGCATCATCACCGGGAATGACCGAGTTGCCGCCAAAGTAGATGAGGAATGTTATGACGAGCTGGTAGATTGCCTGGCCGATGATCATCTTCCACATCGTTGTAGAGATGATGGACGCGGTCCTGCGCTCGGGTTTGCGGTTCAGGACGCTGTCTTGTGGAGGATCAGTTGCCAGAGCCAAGGCGGCGAGCGTATCCATAATCAGATTGACCCATAGCAGTTGCACAGCCGTCAGGACACTACTCTCGTCGCTGCTAGAAACGGCCGAGACAAATGTCAAGACGACAGCGGTGATGTTGACGGTCAACTGGAATTGCAAGAAACGTTTGACAGCATCGTTGACAGCGCGGCCCCACTTGAGAGCCTTGACAATAGAGCTAAAGTTGTCATCCATAAGAATAATGGCGGACGCTTCTTTCGCGACTTCGGTACCGGCAATTCCCATGGAGAAGCCCACGTCGGCCAGCCTCAGGGCTGGTGCGTCGTTGGTGCCGTCTCCGGTGACAGCAACAACTTCGCCCTTGTTTTTCAGCAGACCGACCAGGATTCGTTTGTCTTCAGGACTCGAACGGGCCAGAACATGGAGCCGTGGCAGGATCTCTTGCTGCTCGGACAGATGCATGTTGCGAAATTCGGGGCCCTCCATGACGATGGAGTCTGGTTGTAAGATGCCGCAGTCCTCAGCGATGGCCTTAGCCGTAAGCTTGTTATCTCCAGTGACCATGCGGACAACGACACCAGCTTTCTGGCAGTCTCTCACAGCTTCTCGGACACCATCGCGCAAGGGATCCTTGATGCCGACCATGCCAAGGAAGACCATGTTGTTGAAGAACGATTCGAATTGGACTTCGTCTTTCTCGCCGTCGACACGTCGGGCCCTCGGTGGTGGCCACTTGTCCAAGTCCTTGTACACAATTCCGATGGTTCTCAGAGACTGCGTGGCGTAGTGCTCGATCAGGCTCGTAATAGTATCCTTGTGTTCTTGGCCCAGGGGAGTAGTACGGCAGTCGGATGATGGGTCGCGAAGCATCGAGGAACACTGCGCGAGGACGATTTCGGAGGCACCCTTGACATAGAGTCTCGCCTTTCCGTCGGGGAGCTGCACAACAATACCCATACACTTGCGACCAGAGTCGAAGGGGATGAGTTGGAGGATCTTGGCGTTTGCCCTCTCCTCTGCAACGGGTCCCATTCCTAGGTGCTCCTTGGCGAAGGTAAGCATCGCCATTTCGGTCTTGGATCCAATGTAGGTCATTTGTCCGTCTACCTCGCCCTCGAAGGCCGTCGAGTTGAGAGAGATCGAATTCTTGAGAAGTTCCTTCACGTCTGCGCTCAGCGTCTTGACAAGCTCCGGAGCACTGACGTCCAAGGTTCCATTTGGTACCGGCTCGTGGCCCTCCCTGGCCGGCGCACCACCAAATCTATGAGATGTGCTGATTGTCCCCGCAACGACCTGCATTTTGTTCTGTGTGAGAGTGCCGGTCTTGTCCGAACAAATCGTACTGGCATTGCCCATGACCTCGCAAGCCTTCAAGTGTCGCACCAAGTTATTGTCCTTCAGCATGCGGGTTGTTGCGAAAGCAAGAGCGAGCGTCACTGCCAGAGGGAGACCTTCAGGCACAGCAACGACGATGATAGTAACAACGACGATAAATATCTCGAGGAAGTTTTGGCCCTTTTGTGTGGGGGTCAGGTTACCCTGGCTCTTCAATTTGACGAGGAATTCGATGAATAGGACGATGAATAGGAGGAGACCAGCGGCACCTCCGAGCTTCGCAATATACTCGGCAATAACGTTCAGCTTAGACTGGAGTGGAGTCATCTCGGGGTCGTCGTTGAGAGCCATGAGAGTCTTGCCGTAGCTCGAGTGGATACCGACAGAAGTGGCCATGAAGGTTCCGACACCTTCCATAACGCGGGCGCCAGACTGGATAAAGGGGTCCATTTTGGTGAGGCTCTCGCCGTTTTCGATGGCAGCATACACCTCGTCCGCTGGCCTCTTCCGGATGACGTCCGACTCTCCGGTCGCCTGGGATTCGTCGCACTTCACGTTGAAGCCCTCAATCAAGATACCGTCGACCGGAATCATGTCGCCAGGCTCGAGATGGAGTACATCCCCCACGAGGATATCAAAAACGCTCAGTTCAATCGTCTTTCCGGACCTGACCACTTTGACGATCCGATCCTGCTTTTTCTTGTTCAACTTTGCGAACTGCCTCTCTTTCTGGAAGTCGTTCAGAGAGCCGACCATGACAACAATTACGATAGCAACAATGATCGCCACGCCCTCGACCCACTCGACTGGCGGGTTGTCCGAGCTGTGTTGCGTTCCGAAGGTCTGGTACAGGCCGATGGCCAGAGATACGACAGCAGCAATGGACAGCAAAATAAGCACTTTGTCGTTGTAGGTGATCCATATCAGCTGCAACAGACTCTTCCCCTTTTTCTCAGGGAGCCTGTTATCCTTGTAAACACGTTTCCGGTCGCCGAAGGTTTGGTCCCGATCGTGGGCGTCGTTGTGAGCGCCGGCGGCCGGGGTTTGAGATGTGGGCTCCGCGCCCTCGGTCTTGAGCTTGTCGGCGCCGGTCGCATCTTCGAAAGAAACCGTACCGTCCAGGTGCTTCTCATCCACCCCAAGCCCAGCTGTTCGGTTCGAACGTAGCCCCTTTTCAATTCCTGCCAGACCTCCCAAGCGGTAGAAAGCCGATAGGCTCTTCGGATTGAACATTTTCCCAAGCTGTCCGGGGCTAAAAGCGAACGGGTTGTTGTCCACTTCAAAGTCTTGTTCCTTGCCTTGGTCAGGCTTGAGGGCATCAGGGTCGTTCATGACCTGGGTGTGGTCAAGCTCCACAGAGACCTTGCCCTTGGCGTCTCCCTGCTCGCTCTGGTAGAGAGTGGTGTTGGTGTCAACCTGAGTCGAAGATCTTGGGTGGGACTCGTCGGCAGAGTCGACACTGTTCTGCCTGGAACGGGGGCCGCCATGGTTCGGGACGGCCAGGAAATTCTGAGACTGGTCCTTCGCACGGGAAATGGGGCTGGAGACATTGTGAGGGCTGGTGGGCCTGCTCTCTCTGCTTTCGAAGGACGGCTCCGTGTCTACCTGTGTGCGCGAGTGGCCATCGGAAGACTCTACGGTAATTCTCTGGGATGACCAGGTCTGGACGGTCTGATCGACGACCGTGGAGGGGCTGTAGGTGTCGGAGGGAGAGATTGGCGAGTGGCCTTGCTGAGTGGTGGCGGCGGCATCATTATCCGCGTCGTCGGGCTGGGGCGTGGGACTGACGGCGGTGGTGTCGATGGTGATGGTAGGGGCTCTGGGCCTACCGGGAGCCATGTTGGAGGTTGTCGAAGTCGGCGGCTGGAAGCTCGCACTTGAATACCGGTGGCATGCAAGGTGCGGCCTACAGTAACATGCTCCGAGACGGAGTGGTACCAAGCTCAATCAGCACAACAAGGCTGGCTGTTGTTTGGGTGGAGGAGGTTGGGTGGGCTTGTCCTATGTAGGAGACTGTCTGTAGGCAAACATCCAGGCAGGACAGGGCAGGACAGGGCAACAAACAGACGAGAAGGGGAAAGGAAGCACCAAGTGGGTGCGTGTAGTAGTAGTATAGTAGAGAATTGACTACAGATTACCCTACATCTCACATAGCATGCACGCTGGGCAACGAGCAGGGCAGACAAGACGAGACAAGACGAGCAGAAGTTACACGACAGGGATAAAGGTATGGGGCACGGAGCAGGGGTGCAGGAAGCAAGGAGCTTGGAGTATGGATCCTTCCCCCTAGCGCGTGGCTGTGTAGAATGCCCAGCCCGCGCTTGCACTTTCTTGCAGGGCTGGCTGCAGGAGATCCCTGATGATTGGAGCTCTGGCCTGCTGGTACCTAGGTACCACGTCTGCGTGCCTTCTTGGCACATTGCTCGCAGTTGCCCTCGCAGGCAAAGGGCCGCAACGAGCATGGCCAGGCTGGCCTGGCTCTGGCGCCAAACATCGAGGAATTTCTGTCTCTGAGGACCGAACCGTACCGTACCCGATGCCCAACTGTATTTCGTGCATACGGCCTGTATGCATCCGTGCTCCGGTCCATCACGACTCGAGGCGCAAATGGACGGTCTGGTTGACGTCGCCCTGAAAATTGTTGGACGGCCTCCCTTCTTCAACTCGGCCTCCTCCTCCGCCGCCTCCTCAACAAGCGAGCGGGCAAGCAACCCATTGACTAACTGACTGACGGTTTGCTGCGGTTGGCGCTGCGCCATGAACAACACCCGGAGGCCGCAACCGTGTGCCACCATGATCGACCTAAGGAGTCAGCCAGCCAGCCAGTCAGTCTCAGGCCAAAACTCGCCTCGTCATCTACAATACAATACCGACTCGTTGGCGGAGTGACTGTGCGGGCGAGGAGGCGAGATGATTGTTGGGCCTTGCCAGGACCCAAGAAAGGCCTCCAGCATCCGCCTGGTGGGACTCCACGAACACGGACGGCCCATTAGTTTTTGCCATCGTCATCATCGATCCATCAATCAGGTCCAGCGAGTCTACAGCATTGTACTGCAATTCATGGGCCGCCGCACACAATGACAAAATGACTGCGTGCCTATACGAATCTCCCTCATTGGCCTCCGGAAGCCCCAGCACCGCCAAGAACAGCACTCACCACCCGCGAGGAAATCACCCGATGATCACTCTACTCTCTACACAGTCCGGCTCTGCTGATATCGTCGTCGTGGGACCGACAACGCCAGCACGGGCTCCCCAGAGCGCGCCCTGCGAATCCAGTCAGCCAGCCCATCTCACCGTTATTTGAGAAACTCCAGGGCCAAGAGCTTCATGGTAACTCTCTGCTGTTGCTCCCAATTTCCACCCATCTGCCCTCGATTCAGGGCATGACATCCACGCAGCCGCCGTGATTGCTGCTGGACCCTCATCTCCGGCCGGTGGAGACCTGGCGCCTTACCCAGCAACCCCTCGCATTCCGCCTCCCGGCCGCCCAGCCGTCCAGGCCGTCCTGCAACTACCTGAGGCCCCAAACACTCCGAATCGACTAGTCGGGTTGCGCCCCTGAACCTCCCGCCTCCACGCTGCCTCCAACTCGCACGCGCCACCACAGACCGCCTCCTAAGCGACGGCTCTTCCGGTTGCTGTTCGCCTAGTAGGCCCGAAGTCTACGAGTGCCCGCTTGCAGCATTGGCGCTGGCCACTGTCCTGGTGCTGCCCTCGTGCTGTGTTCTTGACAAGATTCTAGAAGCCCTGCCCTCTGGCTCTAACGGGGGTGCCCCCGACCCGGGCTGGTCGACTTCAATGATCGCCGTAGGAGGGCCCACCCGGCGACCCGCCCGAAACACTTTCTGTCTGCAACCTCTGGGCACATTACCGATATCAAAACACCTTGGCAATCACTCGCAATGCCTCCACGCTTCTCTTCTGCCCGTGCCACGCGTTAACCGTCGTCACTACCTTCATAGTAAGGGTTTTCCGGCCCAGACAGGTTGGATCAGGAGGATGCATCTCTGCGGCCTACAATGGCACCGTTCCTGCTCCTGTATTAGACAACCGAAGGAATGCATGCGTCGCCATCTGCCGCAGAATCCAACAGCCTGGATCAACTCATCACAAGACGAGCTATTTGTGCACGTCGGGCTCATTCTCGGCTGTGACAGGACGGACCAAAACTGTAGCTCAAGCACGAAGCGTTACACTGCTCAAGCCGCCTTGTGTAGCCAGCCACCTGGCTGTCCCCAAGGTGCAGAGCACGGGCAAGACGGGCCAGCGAAACCACTTTTGCCCCCGTCGCCGGAAGAAATTGTGACCTTACAGACTAGGCTAGATCCCACGGTCCGGATCAGAACCAGTCCAGTTCCTGGACCTACTATTTATCTATCACTTATCATCGAAACTGCCATCACTACCGGTCAGCGACCTTGGCTTACCATCCATCATTCAGATCATCTACACTCAAAATTCACAAAAGAGCCGATATCATCGGAACTACCAGCTGCTGCTCTGGCCCAAACAAATCTTGGCGCACCCACCCGCCTGCGCACCCCCTCTGAATAAGCTCGCGGGCTGTCCCATGCCATGCCGCGAAGTCTCGGCCGTCTTGGTGACAGCCCGCCGGTTTCCTCAAGCCCCGTGGCAAAAGAGCTTGACGATCGACGGGCCCTCTTGGACATTGCTTGTGTGGGCTTGTCTTTTGCCCAAGCACCTCAGGTGGCACATTGAGGCTGTGCAAGACCTGATTGGGCGCACCTCGCTAGGCGCTTTGTTTTCAAAGATCCGAACAAGTCAACGTCCCCTCCGCTTTGCTTGACTTTGACAGCTTCGCCTTCTCCACAGCCAGAGGACAGGACGATCATGAGCTGCGGGATACGACTCAAAACAACGACACGAAACCAGGGTCCATGAAAAATGTTCCCTGTTTGCAGGTGTTTTGTTCAGGTCTGAGCCCACAGACAGCTGGCTGTCATGATCGACCCATCCTTGAAACGTCTCGCTCCGTGGCGATATGTAAGGCACAACTTCTCACAGCCCCCACAGGCGCAGTACTCTAGTCTACTCTACGACGTATAAGCGCACATACCGACTACGACGAAGGGCCACACTGACTAAGGTGCAGACGGTTCTGCGCATAGCACTAACAATCCGCTGGGTGTCATTCAATTCTCTGATTCTCCGTATCCCGGTCCGTTGGCTGCACAGAGCACCAATTGGCCATCCTTTGCTCTCTCACCGTAGGCGGTGACTCTCCGAACAAGTGGCGGATATGCGTGATTAAGTATGCGCGTGATCTCGGGAGAATCATGCAGTGAAGACTAGCTTCTCCTCGACGACTGTATTGACCAGCCATGTGACCTGGGCAGAAAAATTGTGCACCCGAGGTCCGTGTTGTGATGACGAAGTTCTCGCCCTTTGTGGCACTTACGATTCATCTGCCCTGGGTATCACCGCCACCAATGGTGGTGAACGCATGACTTACTGTGCCACTGCTTACTTGCCAAGGGGTTGCAGAAAAGGATGATTGACAATCTCACGTAATGGCTCGCTACCGTCGGATAGTTGCGGTACAGCAAGTTTTCTCTCTGCGATATTGATTGACATCGTCGCACAGTGTCCTACTCGCTCTGGCTGAAACACACAGCCCCAAACAAGTCGTCACGGCCTGCTAGTCCCGCTGACCACAGGCATCTTCCGAAGCTTGAGACCCAGTCGACGCCAACATCGCCAACACACTCTGCCCGGTCCGCGGTCCGCCTTGAGTCCGACGTTCCCCGGTCTCCACGCCCGTAGCAGGGGTCATCTGTAGCTGCCATGCTTAGCACTTGAACACCAGCAACAATGTCATCACCAAGTACAGCACTTCCAAGCTTTCGAGACGTTGTGGCAACATCATCTTTCCGCCTGGCCAGTGCTCGAGCTCGGATGAGAGCCGGCGGCATGGCTTTCCCCTCAGTGCTCACCGGACATGCTCAGCCTCAGTATCATCACCGTGGCCCCATCGTAGCATCACACCACCAAATCACCTCCTTCCCAGGTCAACATCCCGAACCAGCACCATCCCGTCCTCCTTCCCACTGCCGCTACCACTCTCCACTCCCACAAACGGGGCGACGCCCCTGCTCACCGCCCCCTGCCAGAGCTCAGCCACGACGTCCCGCAGGTCGTCCCCGGTCTGCTTGAAGTCCGGGAACGCGTTGACCTCCAGCAGCCACGCGCGCCCTGCGGCGTCCACGAGGAAGTCCAGCCCGAACACCTCGAACGCGAACCCCAGCGGCTGGAAGTGCACCATCATGGCCTTGGCGGCGGCCTCGAACACCTCGCCCGTGACGGAGCACACCTGCGCGAAGACGTCGTCCTTGGCCTCGACCGTCAGGCCCGGCACGTCCCAGAAGCGCCGCACCGAGCCCGCGTCCGCCTTGGGGCCCTGAATGCACGTGTTGGTGAGGTGTGCGTCGAGGTAGCCTTCATCCTGGTCGTCCCCATCTTCGCCGTCGTTCTTCTTCTCCCACGGAGCAGAGTACGCCCGCCCCGCGAACAGGGCCAGCATCGAGCGGCTCACGTAGACCTTGAGCGCGCCCACGCAAAGAACGTACGCGCGGATGTGGAACTTGCGGTTGCCGCACTCGGGTAGCAGGAGCGGCGGGTGGATGTACGGCTGCGCGACGAAGTGGCGGAGGTGCGACGTCGTGATGCCATCTCTGTCGTCGCCTCCGTAAGCACCAGCCCTGTCGCCGTCGTCCCCGTCTTCGTTATCTTCGTCGGAGGATGACGGCTCCTCGGCCTCCCACCCGTCGAAGATCGCCTGGAGCTCCTCCATGGTCGAGAACAGCCGGATGCCTTGCCCGCGGTCGCTCATGCTCGGCTTGAGAATCCACCACTCCCTCTCCTCCGCACTCAAGGAATCACCACCGCCCCCGCCGTTGCGCTCTAAGCTGGCCCGTAGGTCGAACGTCTCGTCCAGTGCGTCGTCTAGGAACTCGGCGTAGTCGACCTCGAACGGCTCGCTGGCCTTGACGTGGCCCCTCAGGGGCGACGCCGGGTTCTTGGCGACCCAATGGTCGACCGTCGTTGACAGGAAGTGCTTCCTGATCAGGGCCTTGCGGATGACGTAGCTGTTGATGAGCGACGTGCCCGGGTTTGTGGATGCGTGGTCGAAGTCGATGGACTCGTACGCCCGTATTTGGAGCACCTTGGCACCCTTGGGCACCTGCTCCGTCAGGCTCCGGGACGGGTCCGGGGAGAGGAGGCGTAGCCGGCCGGACGGGATGTGGGACTGCAGGGCCGAGGTGATGATCGGCTGTACGTAGGCATCCTCGTAGTCGACGATCGCGAACACTTGCTCCCCCGAGTCCGCGGCTGCTGGGACTGCTGGCTGGGACTCCTCCTTAGCCTTGGTTGCCGTCTTTGGCCCAAATGTCCCCGCTGTCCTGAGGGGAAGTTCTGTTGTAGCCTCACGCTCATCCCTGAAGCCGGAGCAAAGAAAAAAAGTGTAAGAATCCGGTCTTGGGTTGAAATTGGATGGACTGACGGGGGTCGAGAGCAGAACGCTGTCTATTTCTAGCATGCTTTCTATGACTCTATGTCCAAGCCCTCGCCCGGGCTGGGGGCCTATAGATAGCCCCAGAGTCTCGATGTATGTGTGTGTACGTGTATGTTGTCCAAATACGCCTGGCTCGTTTTGTTCATGCTCGCACTCCGGAAACAGGTCACTCACAGCTTCAGATCCTGCCCTTGCAGGCTCTCCGCGGCGTGCAGGAAGTTGGCCTTCAATGCCGTCACACTGAAGATAGCACACGTTAGCAATATGTCCTGGAGCATGGCTCGCGATCCACTCACCTCGTGTGGCCGTCCCTGATGACCCGCCCGTCACAATCGGCAGGCGCGCCATCCACGGCCTTCATGACGTCCGCCAGCTTGGGCGCCCACTTGAAATGCTTGTGGTCGTGGCCCTTCTTGCCACTCCCGCCTTCGGCCACACCGTCGACCCGCGGCCTCGCGGCCTCGCCATTGGCGCCCTCGCGGATCTTCTCCTCCTCCTCGTCCTCGCCGTCGGCCCCGTCCGCGTCCACGGCCTCGAAGGCGCTGTTCCCCTTGATCCAGTAGTTCTGCAGCAGGCCGGCCCACACCGTCCTGCGCTGCTCGACGCCCTCGACCAGCGGCACGTTGACGCTGTACACGTCGGCGCTGCCGTCGGCGGGCCACTGCCGCGCCAGGGCCTCGACGACGCGCACGGCGTGCCTGCTCGCGGCGCCGACTATCTCCGGGTCGTGGTTCCGCGTGAAGAAGGCGTACGACAGCGCGATGGACCTGTACCCGCACGCGGCGGCCTCGAGCGCCCCGCCCAGGGTGCCGCTGCTCAGCGCGAAGACGGCGGTGGTGTTGCGGCCGTAGTTGGGGCCGGACAGGACCAGGTCCACGGGGCCCCGGTCCCCGAAGAAGTGGTGCAGCCCGATCTGCGCGCAGCTGGCCGGCGTCCCGTCGACCAGCACCCACTCCTCCACGGCCCCGTCCGCCGAGGGCCTGCTGTGCGTCGTGCCGAGGTCGTCTTCGGGGCCGCCCAGGCCCGCGGGAGGGGACGAGGCCGGCGGCGGCCGGTAGTAGGTCGGCTTCAGCGTCTGGCCGATCATGTGCGCCTTGCCGATCCAGGAGCGCTGCGTGTGGGGGAGGCAGACGGACACAGTGTGCCCCGAGGCCTGGAGCTCGCGAACGAGGGAGTGGACGTAGGGGGACGAGTGCGTAGACGGGGGGCCCGTCGTCGTTGATCACGAGGATGTGCATCTTGGGCTGCGGCTCCAGAAGTCGAGTCTTGAAGGGGGGCACTGACGAGTATCGAACGGACTGGTGGAGACGAAAAGTAGCACGAGACAGTCTACCCGTAAGAGAAGCCGTATTGGTATAAAGAGAACGCAAAATAAGCACCCAGGAAGTTGTAGTTGTATCTCTTTTGAGCAATGAAGGAAAGAAACTTGCTGTCCATGCATATGAGGATTGCGGGGGTGGGGCAGCTCTTCCAAGCTGGCCACCGACTCGCGGCGTCCTGTCCGCAAACCGGCCGAGTTTCCACCATGACATGACGAACCCGACGCCAATTCGCATCATACGAGTCCGGTCGGCATCGTCAGGCCCAATGACGTGCTTCCTGCCTCATGGCTTGGCCAGGACGTCTATGAAATCTGACTTGACTTTGCTGGAACAACAAATTGATAGCCTCAAGATAGCTACCTGATTTTTGAATCTCTCAGCGTTGAGAGAAAATCAGATCTTCTTCACCATTAAACGGCACACTCATAAAAAAGATTCCATCGAGTCAAAAATTATCTATCTGATCCTTCCTTCCAGACATGCCTGCGGAAAATCATTCCAAGACTCCTTGCCCTTGCTCCCTTGTCAATGTCGTAATGAAAACCCCTATTTGGCAGACCGTAAAAACTATCTGCAAGTACTTCTGCTCGCAATGCATTTTGTGGAGGCTGTAATGGCAAAAAGCCGACAGTCGAGTGGTGATATGGAGAAGCTCTTCAGAGCCTCGCACAGAAAAGCACATCACGTACTTCTCATACCATCCCGCGCAACATCCTGAAGGATATCAAAGAGCTTACTTGAGCTCGCCAAACGGCCCCTCTGCTGCCTTACGCCGTCCCATCGTCGGTGAAAGATGCTGTTCCTTATGAACCAGATTCCATAAAGTAATAAAACAAGTAGGCAAAATGACTCGACTCAAGTCCCGAATGCATCAACCTCGGATTCAAGTTCTGGGTCGCTTGGACGCAGATGGGGCGCTGAGCGCCTCGCCAGGTCGCTTGTGGCCATTCACAGATCCCTCGGAGGCAGTCTTGGTACGACGCCAACCATCAAAGGGGCTCCGGTTGCCAGCACGCTTGGTCTTGACTGGGTTCGGCTCGGTGGTGATCTTCTTGGATCGAGCGGCCCGGCTCGTGTTGGGAGGTGAGGCGGGAGCGTACTTGGGCGCCTTGGGGGTGTCAATCTTCGCCTCACTAGCCTCGACAGGTGTCTCAGCTCTGGCCTTGACGTCGTCGACCTTGCCAGCAATGGGCTGCTCGATATCGGTGTCTGCCTCCTCATCGGTGTGAGCAAGGTCGTTCTCCTTGTGGCTCTTGGCACTCGGGAAGAGAAGGCGAGGCTTGACGTCGAGTCGGGAGCTGGCCTCGTCGCTCTCTGAGAACTTCCTAAAGATCTTCTTGCCACGGCTACAATAAAGTTAGCACCGAGCGAGGTAAGGAGGGCATGGATCGAAGATAGACAGGTGAACTTACAAGACATAGAGCAAGCCGTCCTCGCGCTTGACAACCTCGTTGACCTGCTCGGAGACACTGGCGCCGACGATGTTCTTCCTGTTGCGCGAGCTGCGGCGCACGGGCCTCGCAGAGGCTGCGATACCCGCCTCACCGTAGAAGGGGTTGTCTTCGGTGACGTCGGGCGCAGGGAGTCGGTCCTGGGAGTCGGTGTAGATCTGGAAGGTGTCGTCCTCAGGCTCGAAGCTGTCGAGCTTGAACTGCTTGGTGCGCGTCTTCTTGGGGCTCTGGGGCTTGCTGAAGAGGTTGCGCGCGATCGCGTTGACGCTCTTCTCATTCTGCTCGGCATGCTTGCGTGCGGGCGTCTTGGCAGGGGTCGGCAGAACGTGGGCCGATTGACTTGGGGCGCTGGTGAGGGAATCCATCTTCTGCGACTGGCCGAGGGCGGCGGCGGCGTTGCGAATGCTCTCTGCAGTCAATGAGCCCGACGACACGCGCGACGAGGCAGGAAGACGCTTCTTTTGCGGCGACGCGGTCGCCGGGGGCGAAGTCATGCTGGATGAGGTAGCTTGGGTTGGGTGGTGTTTCTTGTCGGAGGTCGACTTGGGTGAAGCGCGAACCTGACGAGATGTTGAGGTGCGACCCGACAGGTGAGGGGACGGGGTTCGGTTCGCTGAGGTGGTGCGCTGCGACGAGATCCGAGCAGACTTGCGAACGGGGGTGTAAGGCTCCCAATCGTCATGGAAGCCGCCGAGTCGAGGCGTAGGAGGAGTGTTGATACTGGCAGGCGAGCCAGGCGTGGGCGTGGTCGCCATTGTGTTCTTTGTACCGTTTGTCAGGCGCGTTGCTGTTGAGCTTGGACGAAAGCCAGGCCTTCAAGAAATGTGGGGACGGCGGCAAGAGTAAGGCGGCAAGGCAGCAGTCGCAGTGGATTGGGAATTCACCAAAGCTTCCGATATATCAATGCTCTGGATGAGTCGAGGAGCCAGATGGGACGAAAGGTGAGGTAAAGAAGGGTGGTTGAGGGTTAGGACTCGATTAAATTGAATTGAGGAGTGATAAGGGGAAGAGAAGAGTGTGAGGGTGAGGGTTTGGGGTGGATGAAGGGAGAGCCCCAGTACAGAGGGAGAGACAGGTGGTAGGAAGGTGGATTCTAAGACCTCTGATGACTTGTGTGTGTAGTGGAACCTTTTTTATGGGCCCTTGTTCTGCTCCCAGTCTTGGGAGAACTCAGTCAAGGCGGAGGAAAGTCTCTGGAAGACGATTTAAATGTTGATGATGTCCACCATTCATGGGTATCACAATAACAATATTGGTCCTGTGGAAATCCAATCTGGACAATGGAAAGCGCTGCAGAATGGAATGGACGGCAATGTAGTTAAAAGACGATGCAATTGATGGTGGTGGTGTCAAAAGAACAGGCTGGGGATGAGCGATGAGAATAGGATGGCTGGCACTTTGTCCTGCAAACGAGGAGATGAGGCGGTGGCTGCCAGTGATTCACTGGGGTTGGCAGCAGAGTGGAGAACCTGCCCAGTCCACTGGCCAATCAGCCTTATTGCCCTTCAAACGCGTGGAGAACGCGCTTTCCCTCGACGCGTCTTGGAGAGGGGCCCCGCTTTTCCAGGCCAAAGTCAACAAACCTTATGACCAGGAAAGGGAAGCACATGCCAACACCAACCCCAGCTCAGAGCTTCGACAGCCTTGTCTGCACTGCAACGTCATCGACCGAACGGAAAGTACGGACCATACGATTGAGGGTACAACACCTTCCTTGAATTGAGGCAGACCTGGTCATATACTGCCCGTGCCACAACGAACTACATCAGAAATCATGGCTGAAAACGACCCCTCACCCAAAACACCCAAGACCCCCAAAACGCCAACGCCTGGCGGTCAGAAAGAGAAGGAGCCATTCGATGCAGACGAGGTCCGCGAGACTCAGCTCCGGCGCGAGCTCGAAGGGGTCCGCAACATCAACGAGGTGATAGAGGGCGTCATCGGAACACTCGAGCGGGCGAAGGGCAATATGGGAGTAAGTCAAACAAACGCCATCGCATGAACACTCCTGCTGGCGCATCACGTGCAATACAAGGTAGCTGACACACACCACTCGCTCGCAGAACGTCTCCCAGACAGTCGACAATGCCTCCACCCTCCTCAACACCTGGACCCGCATCCTCTCGCAGACGGAGCACAACCAGCGGCTCCTCCTCAATCCCAACTGGAAGGGCTCGACCCAGGACCTGCAGGACATCGAGGCGGAGGCCGCGGCGCGCCAGCAGGCGCTGGAGCGCAGGGCAGCCGAGGAGGAGCGTCGCCGCGAGGAGGCCCGGCGTAAGGTCGAAGAGCAGGAGAGGGCCCGCATGGCCGGCACCGGATCTGCCGCCGGCCGCGGATCCGGCGTCAGGGGCGTGAGGGGTGTGCGTGGTGGTACTCGGGGCGACATACTGAGGGGCGGCGCGGGCACGGGCTCCGGCGCGGGCGGCGCGAGTTCCAGCACACGGGGAGGTTCACAGATAGGAAGAGGCTTCGGGGCGTCGCGGACGACAAGGGGCATGAGAGGCACAGGCTCGGGAAGTGGCAGAGGCGTGCGGTGAGGGCGAGGAAGCCGCTCTGTTATCGTCTTCGTATTATGCCGTTCGTGATCTGCATTGAATGATACCCCCTTTTGGTGTTTCCAACGCCCAATGACATATGCTCATCCAAACAAATATCCTACAAATGTGACACCCTGAAGCAACCTCCCTGGTCCCTACAAGCAGTACTTAAGCCTTTGGCTTCTTCGCGAAGAAGTCACTCATCTTCTTCATGCCCGACGTGTTGACCTTCTTCAGGTCTCTGACCCCCCTACTCTCCCCAGCCTTCTTCCTCTTCTCCTCCTCCTCCTTCTTGCGCTTCGCTTCTCTACGGTCCTCGTCCTCCTCGTCTAGCGCTCTCTTCCGGCTGTAGTCCGACGCAGACCGCGCCATCATGGCCTCCTGCCGCAGCTTCGTAAGCTGCCCGACGTGCTCGTCCAGGGGCTTGAAGTCCACACCCGCGCCCTTGCCCTCGGCCAGCATCTTCTTGAGCACGGACGACAACGCCGGCGGCACGTAGCTCGAGCAGATGAAGTTGAACGCTACCCGGAGGCGCTGGAGTCTGATCACCTCCGGTGAGGCCTGGATGGCCGAGGCGACGTCCTTGTTGCCCGCGGCTTCGGCTTCGTCCGCCACCGATGTCGCTGCTGTGGAAGCCTCAGACGCAGACGTAGCGGACGTTGCAACGGACGACTGGGATTCCACCTGTGTATCTGTGCCTGAGTCCGCGCCGCTCGCCTCTGCGGATTCCTGCGTTTGCAACCGCGGCGCCGCGGCGGCGGCCTTGCGGCCCAGCACGGGCGCCTCCAGCGCCTTGGTCACGAACTTCTCCTCCATGCTCCCCGGCAGCCCGCCCTCGCTCATCCGCGCAGCCTTGGCCAGCACCTGGCCCAGCAGCTTCTCCTCGCTCAGGCGGAACATGGTCTCGTCCCCGGCCTCGACCGTGTCGCACCCCGCGGCCATGCGGGACTCGAGCAGCTCGCGCCACCGCGCCCACTTCAGGGTCTCCCGCAGGTGCGCCGCGCCCTCTGCTATGCCATCGAGGTGGTCGTCGCTGGACAGGAACATGCGCTTGGACGAAGACAGCTGTTTTACCAGGGCGGGGAGGGCGAGGAATAATGGGTCGATCGGTGTGGCTATGAAGAGGTCTGCGCCATTGGAGATTTGCGTCTGGAAGGCATGTTCGTCCTTCTTGGCATCTCCTGAGTCTGAGGTTTGGTCTCTGCTTCCAGCCTCGATGAGCCAGCTCCGAGGTGTCGTCTTCGGCTCGGAGATCTTGATGAACTCATATGCGCCAGTTTGTGGGCACACGAGGTACCGTGTTGGTTTTGAGTATCGAGGGTTTGTGAGTGACACAACTTTTGCCTCGGGAGTCGCCTTCTCTGGTAAAATGAGGACTATACTTGGACTCTCGGACTCGGCTGGCAGGGTGTATTTTGATGATGATGCTGAAGCCGTGGCGTCTTTGCTTGAGCTTTTGGCTCCCTTATCGGCGCCTTTTGCACGTGTCCTCGCCATATTTTGCCAATTTGTACAGCTGGTATCCAAAACGCACAGTGCAATTGAGGGCAAGCAAGAAGGAGGATGCTATCCCCGGAATTGGAAATATCTTATCGAGCTGATACGAGGTGCACACGCAGCTCCAAAGTAAATAGTCCAGGGTCGTTAACAGCGCGCTTATTACAGTGTGGGGTCGCGTCCGAGTCGCGCAGGCGCGTATCCCAGCCAACTCAGAGCGCCCCCTCCCATTTCCCCGTACCCGTAATCTGTGTTGCGCCCGCGCACCCACTCCTGGAGGATCCGGTTTGAGGGCGAGGTGTGAGTTGCATGCGGAACAAGAACAGCCACACTCGACTAAATTAGAGTCTCAGTCGATCATCCGTCTCGACCCTGGGCAGCCTCACCCGCCTTCGGAGCCGTATGTTGATTTCAGCATCCCATACTGCATACAGCCTACATACCATAGACACATGCTTGCTCAGTCGGCCGCTTCCGCTGGTTCCTGATTGCAGCGACAACCACAGCCACAAAAAGCACCGCTGACCCGCCCATTGGCTCCCATGTGCTGTTCTCGGGCGCCTACGAAGTCCAGGACCGTGGCGTTGTTAGGGGTGGGCGATAATATCTGGCTGTTATAGGTAGGCGTGGTACTTCTTGATCTTACTGGGCCAACATTTTGTCGCGAACAAACAACAGTCCAGCCCGGTGCAGGTCGGGAGACTTCCGAGCATCGCAAATTCTTCATGTTGTGAAAAAAGTGTCAGGATGTCATCCAGTATGCTCTTTTCAATTAAAGGGAAAAATACCCCATTGCTGCTTTCCAACTGACTCATGGGCAGACGCCGCAGGCTTGGAGGCTCACTGGCCGCCACGATCCCCTCGCGAGGCCCTACTGAGCACACCAGGCGGTCGCGAGCGATACAGACAAATACTCGCGCAGCGCTCATCGTCACCGTCGCCCTCGAAAACACGATCTACCCGACCAGCGTCACGCGGCGCGGCACAGTCGATGAGCATGGACACAGACGACCCCATGGATGTCGGGGATCCCATGGACGTGGACGACGAAGATGACGAGGAGACGCTGCAGTTGAAACTCCAACAAATACAGGCACAACTCAGGCTGAAGAAGCTGCGGAAGGACAAGGCGAGGTCCCAGAACGACCCACATTCCTCCTTCAGCCAGCACTCGGACCAGGACAATACCAAAGCATCAAGACCAGGCTCGGCCTCTACGGCGCGGGCAGGTCTAAGAATAAAGGAGATCAGGAGGACAGATGCAGCAGCACGGCCCCCTTCACAAGGTTCTGCTGTTGAAGTGCCAGCTTCGCCCGTGAGGAAGGCTCAACCACAGCCTGAGCAGACCTCCCCAAGTCGGATCTTGCTCGGCATAGACAAGGGGCTGAGAGGGAAGGACATATCACTGAAAAGGGCACCGAGTCTTCGAAAGTCGCAAGATGACCCGGGAGGGTCGCAAGGCGCAGGAGCAGGGTATCTGCACAGGTCCAGGACTCCAGGCTTAACGGAAGACAAACCGCGGCCACTGAGCTTCAACGAGAGGCTGGCAGCAGCTCGGACGGAGGAGAAGACCCGCGAGGAAACGAGATCAAAGGCGTCCAAGTCGCGAAGCTCAGCTTTCAACGTTACCAAGCAGGAGATGGAGGACTACAAGAATGCTGCCGTGGACATGGAAAATGAGCCATCACCCCGGGATCGAGGATTTGCCCGAGACGACACCACTGGGAATGCGCCATCCGAAAGACCAAGGAACGGACATCTACACCGCAGCAATACAGCACCTAGCATACGGACAACATCGCGTCTAGGACATGGCACCACGGACTCTGGATCGTTTTCATCTCAAGTCGCAGGCTCATTCTCCTCAATAACATCTGAGACCCCGAAATCACCCTCTGCTTCATTCGACGTCTACTCTGGTTTTCATTTGTCCAAGCGCATCCTGCCACATCAAGTCGTGGCCCGCGCTGTTTCCGGCAAAACGACATACTCGATCCAGGACTTGCTCCGCCAGGTCAAAGCTCCAGACTGGTCCCTCCCTGATAACGTGGTCGACAGTGTTGTGTTCGCAATTGTAGCCTCCAAGTCAGATCCTCGTCATCACAAACCTCAGTATGACGCCGAGACGGGGAAGATGAAGCAGTCAGACAGGGGCAAGTACATGGTCTTGTCCCTCGTCGACCTACAGTACGAGATTGAGCTCTTCCTCTTCAACTCAGGCTTCGAGCGCTTCTGGAAACTGTCCACGGGCACCGTCGTCGCTATTCTCAATCCAGACTTTATGCCACCGCCACCAGGACGTACGGACACTGGTCGTTTTAGTTTGACGATCAAGTCCGATGCGGACACGATTCTCGAGATCGGCGCGGCGCGAGACCTGGGGTACTGTAAATCCGTCAAGGCGGACGGCAAGCTCTGCAACAGCTGGGTGAACGCCCGGCGCACCGAGCACTGCGAATTCCACACCAACACGGCTCTGTCCCGGACCCGATCAGCCCGGCAGGAAGTCAATGGCACGGGGGGTCTCGGCAATGGCTATAAAGGCCCCCGCTCTAAAGACCGAACCTGGAAGGAGAGCGCCGAAGCCAAGAGGCAGGCGAAGGTCGAACAGGAACATGGCAAATTCGACTGGGAGACGCGGAGCCGCTACTTCATGAACGGGGGCGGCCGCGGCCAGAGCGCGTCATCGCTGATCGATCGCGACGGAATCGTCTCCGACAAGCGGGAGAGGGCAGAGGGCCTGAAGAGGAAACTAGCCGCGCAAGAGAAGGAGAGGGACATCGCGAAGAAGCTGGGCGAGATGGGCAGCGGCAGCATGGGCGGGGAGTACATGCGCATCTCCGGGGCAGCACAGCCGGCGGCGGGGGCCTCCTCTTCGAGGGCGGGCCCCCGCGCCACCTCGAGGCTCAACGGCACGAGGGGCCCGCGCACCGTGCCGTCGTCCTCGACGTTCAAGCCCGAGGTCAGGCTCCCGGGCATCTCCCTCCCCACCAACAACGAGGAGGACCAACCGCGTAAGACCGACGCCCGCTCGCTGGGCCTGCTCGCCGAGAGGGGCGGCGCCGGGCCCAAGATATCCCTCAGCCCAGTCAAGCGCAAGCGCCAGGACAGCACCCTTTCGTCCAACAGTTCCTCCTTTGACTCGAAACCCTCCGGCGCCGCCGGCTCGTCCTACACCGCCGCAGCCACCAGCAGGCTGTCGGCCGCGACCGGAAGGCCTCCCGGCGGCTTCGGCTGGGGCACATCGCTACGGGACAAGCTCTCGCGCATGAAGGCCGGCGAGAGGCTGTCCCTGCACACGAGCCACAACAGCACTAGCACCACGGCTAGCAGCAGCGGCAGCAGCGGCGCCGGCGCCGGCGCGGGTACGGCGGCCGGCGGGGCGTTCCGCGACAAGGACAGGTCGCCCGTGCGCAAGAAGACGCGCTTCGTGACGGAGAAGGGCATCCGCGAGGCCGGGCGCGAGAGCCTGCCGGGCTCGGTCGTCGCCGACCCGGGGGTCTCGAGGGACTGGAGCAGGAAGCTGGCGTCGAGGCAGCGGCAGCAGGAGGTCGTCCTCGAGGGTGACGATGATGACGATGATGATGAACTTCTTGTTGTACGATAACCCGCGGGTGACACGCTGTTGGTTTGAGCGGTACTGGAGGAGGTGGTGGAAGGGAGTCGTGACTTTCAACGGTACAAGGAGTCAGGTTTTTCCAGGTCTTGTGAGAATCCACGGACGGTACGGGACGGTACAGGGTCAAAATTCAGGCTGAACAGAGCATTCAGGGTGTTTGTTTGCATATACAAAGCATTGTAACTGTACTGAAATTAAACCACGGAACGGAACGGACTACACAGTTAATAAGGGCACGAGGTTACGGATCCAGCATGCATACCTAATTCACAAAGGCGTGGGAAAGCTTGTTGAATACATTGATGATTTGTAACGTTCTCTGCCATGATGTTGTTGCTGCTCGTATAACTAACGCCTTCGCCAACATCTACGCGCGGAGCACAATCCGCAAAGGTCTACTTAGAGAAATTGCTACGCTGCGACTCTACGTGCCCGAATTCTCTTGTTGGTAGTGATGAGAATGAGGAGCCTGTTGCCAGATGTAGGAGAAATCACCAACATCCCGCCCACAAAAATGTCTCCGATATCTTGTGTTGGCTCCCGGACACGTTGATAGTCTTAGGAAATGCATGTGAATAAGACATCATCACCTCAGGGACGAGATCCTCAACACGCCTTTCATCACGATTCATCGTGAACATGGTGGCCACTCGCTCGTTGAATCTGGGTATGGGCACATGTGAGCACAACTGCTTCTCGTTTTCTCGTTAGTAAATTCGACGTGGGTAGCAGTGAGTCGCCTTGACCAAATACGACAGGAACAGCAGTGTCGGGCTCGTGTGGCCATGCCGGGGAGGGCGTGGTTCGCATACTGTAAAAGAATGACAGTAAGTCGGCATCAAGAATCCAAAATGCTACCTAACGTATTCTGCTGTAGTGAAATCCAACCCCTCGGATGTGCTTCCTGCTCATCGTCTCGGCACGCTTGTTTAATTGTTGATGTAAAGAACGACAATACTAGAAGGAACGCATTGGGGAACACGCGGTTGAAACCTCATGTTAGTCCTCAACGGGATTCACTTCAGCGTGTTTCGCCTCGACCTTGCCGGCCTTGTCCTCCTCAACCACAGCCTCTTCGACACTTTCCCCGGCCATGTCTAAATCATATTTATTAGCGAGTCATCATGGATGGAATGCCATGAAGTAAACACTTACTCGTTGCCAAAGTTTCCTGCTTGGTTCCTTTCGGTTCCTCCTCTTTCTTGTCGTCGATGAACGCGCCAGCATTCTCCTCTGGCTTGGGTTCAGTTTCTGACTTCACTGAAGGCTCAGCCTCCTCAACCACGGGCTTGTCGTCCGTAGAAGCTTCGACTGCAGGCGCCGCGGACTTCTCCGCGGTAACCTCAGCAACCTCAGCGGCAGGCGCACTGGGTTCCTGCTTTTCGTCTGTTGGACTCAACCCTCCGACCTGAATTGTGCCCTCCGACTCGGGGTCTAAAGACCAGATGGTGACAGTTGTCGAGAAACTCAACTTCGGCTTCTTGGCCGCAGATTCCGAGGGTGCTGCCGCGGCAGCAGTCGCGGCAGCGGGAGCCCTCCTCTGAGGACCGCGGGCTCTTCCCTTGCGGGCATCAGTCAAGGGCTTCTTCTCCTTTGGCTCCTCGGGCACTTCGTCCTTGGACTCCTCCTTAGGCTGTGAGATCCTCGGTCCTAGTCCAAGCTTCTTGTTCAGATCAGACATAAATCCCGCCTGAAGCGCAGCAATCTTATTGCCTGCTGGCCTAGCGGGCACTGCAGGCTTCACCTTGGGAGCCGGCGCGTCGGACGGAGAAGCGGCAGCAGCAGAAGCCTTCGCAGGTCGAGCGGGGATCTGAGGCTTGGGGCGGTCGGGAATTTGAGATTTGGATGTCTCCTCTGGTGACTTGCTCTTGGGTCGTTCAGGAACCGCGGGCTTATCTCTGGAACCACTAGACTTGCGCCGGGGCCGCTCCGGAACCTGAGGCGGCTTGGTGTCTGCCGGCGATGCTGGCTCCATCTGAGGCCCGGACACGGTCGTCTCGAGCTTCAAGCTGTCTGGGGTGTCTTCCCAGACATCGCGGCTTGGGAATTTCTGCGCCATTTTTGGACGGGAGGTCTCCTGAGAGAGGTGAGGTTGGTGACCAACCCAGGTAGGCTTTTGGTTGCGCCACAGGAAGGCGTCGGGGTGTGTCAATTCCTTCTCAGCCAGCTCCTCCTGCTTGCGGGCCCATTCCTGTGCCGGTGTTTCCGTTTGTTCACGAGGCGGGATGCTCTTCGGGAGTTGTTCCGTCAGGTCGGGCGTGGAGACAGTGGCGGTGTGATGCACGCTGTTAGGTGCGTCTTCCCAAATGTCCTTGCTGGGGAATCGCTGCTTGATCTTCTCGATCTGGGCAGCAGTGAGATGCTTTTTGGGGGTGCCCTCATCATCTTCAGGGAAAAGCGGCTCGTACTCTTCCACGTCCTCAAGGGGCGTGGACCTCAAGTCGGACGAATCCACCTTGTACAGGCTGGCCGGACGGCTAGTGGGGCGACTGCGTGGTGGGTCTGCCTCAAAATCGCTTCCTCGGCGCTCCCTTGAAGGCTCGATACATGCTACTTGGTCCCGCTGCGGGGTGTTTTTCCTAACCTCATCCTCAGCCAAGATGGGGGCCGTGTATTCGGTGCCGTCCTCCGGCAATGGAGCAGGAACGGGGTCACCGCTGAGCAGGATGCTCCTCCTGCGGTTGGGCTCTTCGATATGGACTTCTTTCTCGCCAGGTTTTGCCGACTGAGGGCGCGAACTAGCATCAAGCGCTGCCCATCCAGCTTGCTCACTGGGCAAGCCAACGTGCTCGTGGGTGCCTGCTCTCCTATTAGGGACACATCACGAATAAAGGAGCCATTCTCATGTGCTTACCAACACCCTGGCCAGTGGATTCGGTCTCCCTCACCAGCTTGTTGAGCTGCTCGCTGCTCAAGGCAAAATCCGTGGGGCGGTCGGCTTGGTACGGGTGGTGTTCCAGCTTCAGAAGCTCAGGGTGCTTGTTATAGTACTCTTTTTCAAGCTTGTCCTGAGGAGCGACGTTGTGGCCGTGCAGGCCGTAACTTCCAGGTGGAACTCCTCGAGAGCTCACCTTTCTCTTGTGGGCCTTGATCGTATCAGCACCGGGAGCGGGTGATGGGGCTTGGACATCGCCAGCGTGGGGCAGTAAGGGGATCTGCTGTCCAATTTCTGGGATGCCATGCTCCTCGTCCTCAACCTCGCTGTGAGACAGACCGCTGGCCGTGCTAGCCTTTTTCTTCAGGCTACGATTGGAGGGCGTGGGAATTTCCTGGCTCGGCTTTCCGATGCCAAAAGCCGCCGCGTTGTCCGAGTCGGTTCTTGTAACCTGCATGATGCGTTGCTTGGCTCTTGAAGCAGGCATAGTTGCCGTAGGTGCATATATCTTCATGTTCTGGTCCACAGTGCGTGTCTGTGTGGGAGAAGTACTCGGCTCGCGAGACGATGCCGCCTCTTGAGCCAGAGCAGCGTATTCCATGCCCTCCTCGCCAACAACGGCCGGCAGATCGACGCTCCTGGATCGCTCAATGGGATCGCCATTTGAGTTGGAACGCTGGTCCTTCTTGGTAGGGCTGAGAAGACCACCATTCAGAGGAGACGGGGCGTATCGGTCGGGGTTGGGCGAGGGGCCACGCTTAATGGGACGTGGTGGAATCCTAGGGAGTTCGGAACTGTCTCGGTCCTGAGATCCCCTAGATGGACGGGGAGGTATAGCCGGAGGCTGCTGCTGAGTGGCTGCGGTCGACATATTGATTGCTTGAAGCTTCAATATTTGTTCTGCTCGAGTTGGAAATATTTCGAGTCGAGATTCTGGTCAAGTGTGCAAGGACAAGACGCTGGTTTAGTCCTGGTGTTGTATGCTGAAGACCTAAAGGATAGTAGAATGTGCCTCGTACTATGCACTGCAGCTATTAGCCCGGCTGGAGGTAAAGATACGGTGAGCCATTTCTTGTGAACACAATGCAAAAAAGCGCGCGCGAGGTAGGGTATAAGTACTGAGCATGCAAGAAGAAGCTGTGTTGTGACAAGATGACTAGACAGGGGCTGAGCTGGCCAAGGAGTGACTGGGTTGGGGCGCGCCGCGGCGTCAATGTTCTGGAAGCTTGCAGATGGTGAGGGTCTGCCCCGCCAATTGATGGTTCCCTGGGCTTGCAGCGACAGGAACGGCCAAACCAGGATGTCGTGATATGGGCAGTTGGACAAAGAACCACAATTTGAGTTTTCCCCGAGCGGGCTAAAGGCACGGAGGTGCCGTTCGACGAAGCCCAAGCTGGAACCGTGAGCTGGCGCGTTCCCACTGCGGTCACACAATACAGTTCAAGGAGCGTGTTCCCAGTGCTGATAAGGGCAGCTCTAACGGCCACAGTCAACCTGGATTGACTCGCCTGATCCGAATGAGCGGCCCGAGAAGATAAGCTCAGAGCTTGAGGCCAGGGAACTTAGGGCCTCGCAAAGAGCAGCTCGTTGGTCGTGTCCAGAGGGAATTCCTCCCTTGTTCAGGCTTTGGCACGGAGAGAGGAACACAGCAACTAACTGCATGCAAGCGGAAGGAGCAGTACAGAGAGGGAGCTAAAAACAGACAGCGTCAATGGAAGGAGCGGCTGCCATCGGCACTTACCTGGAGTGGTGGAGGTCCAGTCAGTGGTTGGGGGACAGAGGAGGAATGCAGGGGCCAGGCGACACAGATAAGAGGAATGGTTTCCCTTTTTGAAGAGCAGGAAGAGGTAGGTTTGTTTTTACAGCAGTTACGGTTGGTTGAGTGGACAATCTGAGAGTAGAACCAGAGTCAGAGTCAGAGTCAGGAACACCGAGAAGATAAACTAGATATAGCGAAACAACAAGTGCTCGAGAATAGCAACGGCAGCAACACAGCAACGACATCAGGAACCGGACATGGGCCACTTATAAGAAAATCCTGGCACCGACTGGACGAGCGCCCTGCCGCCCTGGGGCCGTCGACTGGGAATCCCCACCGCCAGCAAGGATCGCCTCTGCAGCCAGATCTGGGCTCTGGGCTCTGGTCCGCCGGCTCCTCAGCTGCCCTCTGTCCATTCCCATTCCGGGCCCTGGCAACAGGTCGAGTGACCTCCGCCGCGGCGGGCACAGTCGCCGTCGACAGTGTATCCCGACACTGAGCACGCCCTGAATCACGATCCCCAAATCGTCGCTAGTACGGGAGTAGCAGGTCTACCCAACGCCCACACGTCCCGTCTGGGATGGATCTAGAAAGCTCTGTGATCCTGCCAGCCCAGCCAGCTCGCCCGCCTGCTCGTGAAGGCCTCCAAACCGTTGCCTCTTTCACGGGTTGCGTTATCATGGGCTGGACTGTAGTAGCTTGCGTCGATCCCTTCTTTTCCCTGGTCTGCCACTTCCACTCAAGAGAACGAGCGGGCAGATCTCGTCATACCTATCTCTGAGTACTAGTCTTCCTACTCGCTGAACAGCACAGCGAGTGAGCACCTGTGTGGTTCTCAGCTCTTCACAAGCATCACTTGACTTCCTCAGCCCACTACAATTCGCCCAGCCCTACCGTGAGAGGACGAAAACCACATCTGCTGCGGAGTGCCGAAAGACGGTGAAGGAAATAAAACCAATACACGTGCACCTACATTGCCTCTGAGTATACGCAGCGCGAGTTTAGCTCTTCCACATCCCGTCGTCGATGATGGCGTCAAAACACCTGCATAGTGTACCCCACCACCCCGCCATCATATGCCCAGAGCTCGACTAACAGCGGAGGCTGCCAACGTCAGAGGACTTACTAACCCCCGAAACAGCTTGGCGGGTGTGTCTCAAGGTGCAAGTTCTCGATGGTCGTACGCGAACTTTTCGTATCGCATTGTGACCATCAACAGACCAAGGAAATCATTGAGATCTCTGTGTCGGCTTGGGAGCGTGCTTGTACTACAGTTCTCACATGGAGGTAGTACTGTCGACACCAGAAACAAACCCAAGTGGTGCTCCCCATAAATCAGACTCCAAGCACGACACCTTGTACTCCATCCAGCCCACCCAAACACCTGCGACTTCCCTGGCATCAGACACACCTGCAACCACGACGGTTCCGTCAGTGTGCATGCGTCCCAGGTTCGGCCGCTGCGCCTTCCCACCCGGCTATTCCTCATGCAGCCCCCTATGCAGGAGTTAATACTGTACAGCAATTAATACATGCCTCGCCCATCGTACCAATAAGGGCTGCTGGACGTCCCTGTCCCAACTTGGGTCCTGCGTCCCGCTTACTCGCACGTCTGTCGTCGTCGTCAAGAAAGGGAAACCCGCATCCCGCGATCCCAGATGAATGCTTGGCGGCATGTGGCCGGCCGGCTCTTTTGCTCCTCTCATAGCACATTGGGGGACCAGACATTTTGGACACAATAGAGGTATTTAAGATTCGCTAAGTCTCCATGCAACCAGCGTCGTTCGACCTTTCACGTAAAGAGGCGGCAGCCCTCTCCTCACCTCATGTGGTCCATTGCAACAAGCTTGCGGCAGGATGGCGTCATGCTCGACAGTGTCCTCTGCTAAAATGCAATCCATGCATTCGGGCTGCCGGCATCACGCGCCTCTTCTTCGGACCAAAAGATCCAGAAGTGTGACGAGAGGCTAATAACCACCACCCACACGTAAGGTTCGTTGCGTTCCCCCGGCACGGAGGCCGCATGAGTAGTGTAATTCAAACCCGGCCTCGCCCACGGGCCCGGACCGTCTCCAGTCTCCGTACAGGCCTTCCTCCGGGATCGCCTACAGTCGAACTAGAACGTGCGCCCTTGAATGGGAGGCTGTGTGAGATGTGCACGTAAATATGTTACTACCTAGGTATCAGTTCTAGAAGCCTGGATTGCCTCTGGAACGGTCCGGAAAAGAAAGTTCTCAACACATGTCAGTCGAAACACCTCGTACGAACTGTATGGCCTTACGCCGGTCGAGCATGGTTTCCTGCGGCTGCGAAGTCACAACCACATAGCCGGCCAAAGCAACCGCACCGCAGTGCTGTAGTGATCCTAGACTCATCGCATTGACTCGCCACACAGACAGGATATGCTGCGACTGCTACCGGCACATGTAACTACCTAAAGAAACAGAGAGGCCTGATACCAACAACGGCTACTCTCAATACAAAAGCCTGACCTTCCAAGGCCCACCGTGCAATGCAAATGCCATAAAGGCCCTTTCTCAAAGAGCAGACAGGATAATTCCATCAAATTCCGGACTGCGACAAGGATGAATAAGCAAGAAAACAAGAGCCCTACAGAGACGCCATACTCCGAATTGGAGCAGGTTGACCAATTGCTCGCAATGTTGGGGGTCCGGTCCGGAACAAGCCCAGCTCATTTGTCTGTCTCTCTTCTTCGATAATGTCGATGTCTTTTTTTGTCCATTTTCCACCCAGCCTTACACTCCCAATCCAGCTGCCATGACTACCCAAGGCCCGACGTCCACCACCCTACCACGGCCGGCGATACACACCAGTCGTGTTCCAAGTTAGCGAGGCACTCGCTCGCTCACCCCCAAAACAGCGCGATCATACGATCATCTGCGCCACGCCCGCGCCGCCCAGGGTCTTGGACCCGACGAACGCCTGGCCCTTGATGCCGGCGGCCAGGTAGCAGAGGGCGGCAGCGGACAGGACGATGGCCTCTGCGATGAGGGAGGTGGCCCGCGCAATGATGCTGAGCCACTGGATCAGGGCCATGACGCCGTAGGCGCCCGCGCGCGTGTAGTTGGTCGAGATCATGCGCACGTAGCCGTCGAACGTGCTCGACGTGGGGCAGATGCGCAGCAGTAGCGGGATCTCGATGAAGATGATGATGAGGACGGATGTGCTGCGCGAGAGTGGTGGGCGAGGTCAGCCTGGCACGTTTTCTAGAAAGGAAATTCGGGGGTATCGCGGTTGGCTGTGGGCATCTGCTCGCGTGATCGCGACGTCCGCGAGGGCCGGGCGACATTGCTCGGGAGGATGGGTTATAGGGGTAGGCAGGGTCCGAGGCTTACAGTAACAGAGCGCAGAAGATGATGATGAAGACGTTAAACGTGAAGATGTTGGCGATTCCGAGCGCAAAGCCGAGGAGTATCGACAGCACACCGAGCCTAGAGTCGTGCATCTCGTATTAGCATAGGGGTCTCCCTCGGGAAAGTCCATCCCTAGCTCTCCACGCGCCGGCAATGTTGCAACGCTTGAGCGTCGTCGACGACCTTGCGCACATCATTCTGAATCCTCACGTGCAAGATATGCCATCGAATACGGGAGCGTGGGTTTGCTGGGGATGTGGTTGAGGGGTCCTCTCACCATTGCCCGTAAATGCCTAGGGGGTTCAGCGGTTAGTACGCCGTCCACAAGCTTGCCGATCACCGCGGTGGGGGACCCCATCAGGGTGGGCTGGCCATACTGAAGTTCCTCGTTGCGAATTCCTCCTTCAACGTCATCTTGTCTTCCGTAAGCACAGGAACCTGGCCTGCTCGTGTCTATGTTCGCAGCCGCGTGGTCTGATCTGGATCTGGGCGGGCTGGCAGCTGTAGTGTTGCGGAGCTGATGGGCGGAGAGAGAATGGAGAGCTGGAAGCTGTGTGTGCTGAGTCGCGCCCGTGGAATGCCTGCCTAACTCTGCGCGGGTATCTCAATCGATAGCTGCTCGTGTGGCCGTCGTCTGTGTAATGGCGAATTGCTGATGCTCGGGTCTATCGCAGAGGGAACCTGTAGCGAGATGCAGGTAATGCGTGCTGTCGGATGTGTTGTTGGCAAAAAGTTCGAAACCTTGACCGTCTGTCATCGGGTAGGAAAATGTACAGGTAGCCCCAATCGTTCTAAGCCTCCCTCAGCTTGCGCAGCTTGGATCTTAGTACGCTCACGCCTGGCGTGGCAGGGGCTGGGTTCGGTTGCTCGGGTGCCCAGTGGCAGTCAGTCGCTGGGGGGTTGGGGAAGCTCCGACAAGCAAGGGGCCAGTGGCGTGAGGGTAGTGACTGGGCCGTCTTGGATGCGCCAGGGTCTAAGATGGTCAGGACCGTTTCAACTCAATCTGCGGCTCCCAAGTGCTGGTCTCCTGCCCACTACTAGAAACAAATGTAAAACATGCCCGGTTGGTAGATTCCGATCGCACTCATCCACCTTATAAACACGCTCGCCCCCCAGGCAGATGCATTTCTGGAAGGCTTCCACTTCACAGGCATGATCGTTTACGATGAGCACTGACGTGGCCATCACCACCGCCCTTGGCAGCATGGGATACCAAGACATTGCTGCGCCATCGCACCATCAAGTCAGCCGGCAGGGGTCGTATCTCCCTATGGTAACGCCCTGGCACAATTGCAGTCATTGTTCATCCGAACTTCCGTCTTAGCAGCAGCTGGCCACCTGCAACAAAGAAAGAGTAATTGGCAAAGACGGATCAACGCCTGAGGCTCTTGGATCACGACGGCATACCGACCTCGCAAAAATGCTGGGCAGGAGTGGAAGTGTGCTGTTGAATTGGAGCTCGTCCCATAGATAGACACCCGTCATTTTTCCTCGAGAGCAGCTCCGATCACAGAAGGAAGTCACCCGTAAACTCTTGCAGTTGCCCTCACATCCTCATCAGATGGCACCAGAGGGAGGGTCAGTTGTCTTATGTCCAAATCGCCTTTGTGTTGCGACCATGCCTGCCAGGTCTCTAGAGCGGAAAAGAAGAAATCTCCCAGGCCGTTGGAGTAGAGGTTGTCCGCCCGCGTCCGCCCGCGCGCCCGTCAAATTCGTAGCAAATGCACCAATACATATTGTCTTTGGTCTTCATATCTCCTGCCTCTCGCCCGCACACCCTTCTCCAGGAACGAATCGGGGTATCTAGTAGACCAGCTTGAAGATGTCGTGCGAAACGAAGAAGCTGCCGGCGGGGTCCTTCATCAGGTGGAAGGTCTGCGCGAAGTTCATGGGGTGTTCACCGTCGTCGACCTGTGCGGGACAAGAGGAAAATGGTCAGCCATTGCCCTGTTGCGAAATCCTCGGGGGCTGTAGGTGAGCAGCGGCGGCGGCGGCGGCGGCCGGGCGCTTTTTAGGCACCGCCGCAGGGAGCGGCTGCCTGGACTCTCATCGTAAACGTACCAGAAGCTGGCCAGTGACCAAAACGAGGACACCGCCGTCCGCTATGCCGGGCATCGGGTCCTGGGTGGTGATCTTGTGCTGCACTTTCTGGAAAGGAAGGCCCTAGAAGGAGACAGCGCATTGCACAAAGTTAGCCACCGATCATCGGAAGAGGCGCCCCTCCCCCAAAAGGACGAGGCCTGTGGCGCGAGGGCGTGTCATCGTCCTCCCACCGCGCAGGAGTTTGATTAGTGCACTACGGCTAGGGAATTGACTTACGGCGAGCTTCTCAACAATGGCGGCAACGCCCTGGACGGAGCTCGACTCGTAGGTGAGCATGCTCTGGTCGCGGTACAGTGGGCCGAGCTGGTTGCGGTCGGCATCGAAGGTCTGGTAGTAGAAGTCGCAAAACTGCTTTGCGACGTCGACGAAGTTGTCTGCCATCTTGCTGGTTGGGTTTCGGCTGTTCGAGAGGAAAAAGAGAAAGAGAAGGGCACGCTGGTGTGGTGAGGACTATTTGTTCGTCGCTTTCAATGTTTTGATTGCTGGCGAGGGAAGGAGGGGAATCAGCCTCTTTTGCTGTCGATTCCCTAGTGGGGTAACATGGAGCTTCCTTCTTGCTTGGGCTCCCAGGAGACCGGATGGTGGCGCCCCACCCCACTTCTCGCCTGCTTATATAATAGATTGGGTAGCCGTACATGCGAGGCTGGAATGAGAAACCCAACGGTCGAATCGAGAGATCTGGAAGCCTGCCTTTTTTACTTACATACCTCTCTATGTACCTCTATCTTAACCACTCACGTTGAGATGCCTCTGAATCCGGAAAAGTTGTAAGGTCGAATACGACTGTGCTAAAGTGAGGTAGGGACAATAGTACACTTGTCCCATGACCAGGTGCATGGCTCCCAGGCGGATAAAACCTGACATGTCTCATGCAACCCCGGTCGTCCCCGTGCCAGCGACCTTTGGAGGTCTAAGGATGGACGCTGATCTTCCAACAAACCGACGACCTCTTCTCTGCTACTTTCCACCATCTCGAGACACGGTACTGATGCCAGCCACAGCTGATTGAATCCTTCTACACCGGCCTTGCCACGTTCCTCGAGTCCTTACTTCCAGAGGATAGACGCCCTTGGCCTAAATGGAAGTCCGAAGTATTGGCGTGTTAAAGATATTCATTAACTGCAGCATATCTTTCTTCACCAGCTCGCCTAAACTAAGCTACGCAAGAAAAATGGTCTTGCTACCTATCAAGAATAAGAAAGCCGTGACTTAGGAAGTCTGGGTTTTATCCGCATAGGTTAACTATATTATCTAGCACCCGGACAATAAAACGCTGCTCTTGTGGTAGTGGAATAGCTGGTATAGTACTACGAGACACGAGCTCAACCTAGTTTGACGCCGTCAAGCACCATGTCAAAGTGCCTTCACCATGTGACTCAGGCCTTCAAATTTGCCAAAATGGACAACCAAATGCAAACATGTATATTCTCCCCATTTTAGCCTGCTCAGCCTTTTTTTTTTATTGCACTCATCAGAACACACTGCACCCAACTCCAACGACTTTCAACAATCTCAAGAAAAAACAACATCGAGAGAGAATAACATTACCCATGATCACAGCTCCAGAACAGCTCATTGTTTTCGTTGAGATCTCAGCTTGGCTTCTCCATCTGCGATCGTGGCCACACTCCGCAACCAGTCAGTCACCTGCACTCCGAGCAATCAAAAAGCATGGCCCACACAATCGCGAGCCGTTTTCGCGCCTGGCTGCGACGCAAACTCAAGTTAAGCAGCAAGACACACAGTATCGAGAGACTGTATCTAGTGGATCAAAGCCACAGATAACAGCTCCTAGCACACAAAAAGAGTCTCTACCGCCGCCCTACACCACACTGGACCTTTTACCTAGTAATATACGTCAGCTTCCAAGGAACATAAATGGAAGTGAAAGCATCGAAGTCCTTCGTGCCCGGAATCCAGCAACTCGGCCCCCTTCCAAGCAGTCTCCAATCTTACACCCGCCTCAACACATGACTAGGCCAATTACAGCTGCTAAGGCTGCGGCTTCAGTCGCAGTTATTGGAATGATCCGCGCTCTTGATGAGCCGAATCCTAGAATGGTCGCTGCGCGTACGGCCCAAGCGATCGCTGTGGCTGTTTCTACCTCGCGCTCGTATGCTGCTTTTATTGCTGCTGTCACTGCAGCTGAGAGCTCCGCTTTACTTCTCATCGAGAAAGAAAAAGATCGCGACAATAGTCCACCTGACCGCTGGTCAGTACGCCAACGCCAAAAGAACGCGATTTACGCTGCTGCTGTCACTGCCATGGCAGCCGATGCTGGCATAACACCTATCGGTTCTTGGCCATTTAACATTCACGACACCCATCTCCCGGAGTTCTCGTCGCAAACAGCTTCCCCTTCAAGTTCAGCCGATTGAAAATCGTGGCTCGCAAGCCTTGCTTTATTTGCGCCACTGTCGCAGTGCTACAAGCAGGTTTTGGATGACGCAGTTTTATGTTTTTGAATTATGCATGGATATCCGCCAACTTCGATTATTGGATAGGAAAACTGCTAGACGCGGGTTCTTCCATCTTCTTGACCATTTCACGCTTGAGCTACCAGCCTGATGTCCTACCACAGAGCCTCTCGGTTTCCCTCTCTTCCCACCCAAGTCGAGCCCAACGGCCACTCGGGCTGCTTGGCTCCATGCACGGAGTTCAATGGAAGCCGCTGGAGGGATCTTCACACCTGCGTAGTCACTTTGGGGCATGCGCCTACATTGAAAATGCCTTGGCAGTGAATCGTTTTCTTTTGGGGGGAAGGATGATTACGCGGATGAGAGGGGCTATATCTTTTTCAAAAGGGTGCCCTACACCCCTTCTGCTCCCAGGACTTAGCTATAGGCCTACTTTGAATATGAATAATCGCATATTTGCCAGACCCAGTTTTCCCTACCATAGATGCTCTACACAGAGCTGTTCCACTGTATGTCCTATCCTCCTTGTGTTGGATCTCCTGATTCTCTTCTTCATAATGAACGGGCTTGTGGAGCACTCTTAGAAACTCAGTTCTATATTTTCTGACGCAACTAAGCTTGCCGCCATTACAAACCACGACAGAGTTGAGGTGTATGTATATTTCACTGCGTGGATCTGCCCAGATCGAAAGTACAGTTACCGAGAAAGGTTGGCACAGGAAACAGTAACGAGCTCAAAACACAGAAAATTCTATTCAGACCCATTTTATATACATAGAGTCAACCAAAAAAAAAAAAAAAAAAAAAAAAAAGACGAATCGCCGCTGGTTTGTGTCAGTCATGGAGCCTGGAGTAACACACTCTGGGACCCTCCGAAACACAGACTTACACATTTTGTGTATGTGTGTGTGTGTGTGTGTTTGTGTGTGTGTGTGTGCGCGCGCGTGTGTGTGAGCCTGGTGGGAAGTTCTAGGAATCATGTTCACACAGCAACTGTTTGTTTTTGTTATCCCAAACTTGACGTCCAGAGAGAGTCGTGATTTCCTCTCCGGAGCCAGAAATCTGATCATGGGAGTTGCTGCCCTCAGGGGCAGAGCTAGAAGCTCAGCAGGCTCGAAGGTCCCTGACTATGCAACAGCGCTGGCAAGCATGAATAGTTGAGGTAGTGACTGCTTGGTATCTTTGCATTTTCAATTGTTGTTGCTAAAATACTACGGTAAAGGACTATGAAGGACTACGGCTAGAGATTCGTGAAAGGATAGACCAACCGTTTACCTGGCATCCATCAATGCTATCACCGGCACAGAAGTGTCTGGAGAATTCTTTAGGCTTTCGGAGAGAAAATCTCTTGGGAAAGCGGATGTATTCGGCCATCAGACCAAGTATTGCAGAACCCATGTCCTTTCATTCTTTCCCTTCTCCAACCAATCAGAGAAGTGGGTGGTGTCGAGCCGGTGTTGTTCCAGTCCATGTTGAATGGGAAAGCAAGGATTGATCGTAAAATATGATGACGACCAAGCTGCCGAGCGAGAAGTGAACGAGGACCAATTCAAACCGAAGCTTCCCAAAAGAAAGGAAAGGAACATCGTTAGGATGTCCGTGTCTGTCCAGGCGTGTCTGGGGTGCGCGTCTCAGGGCGAATACCTTGCTGGAGACGCATCTGGTTTCGTACTAGTAGTGCCTGGATCTGCCAGTTCACAACGTGGACCTCTATGTTTACAGGACCAGACGGCAGGACTGGCACGTGAGAAGTTCCCGGGAGTTACCGTGTGCAAGAGCAAGCTTGGAAGTTGCTATTAATGTCGTGCCATGTAGGGTTGCTAGTAATATTGTGCCATGTGCAGCTGCTGTTGCCAATAGTCTGCTGATTCGAGTTGAATCAGGAAGAACGCTATAAAAAATGCGGTAGGTGAGACCCAGGTTTGATAGCTACTTCGCGAGGGACAACTAAATGTGCAGGAGTGGGAAGCACGAGCTTTACTACAGAGACGGTCACAATATATCCACGGCTCAGTCGCATCGTAAGGCTGCACGTGGTCATCTTTTCATTCAGTGCTCGATTTTACGCCCCAACACCCGAGAAAGAAGATCGTCAGACGCTCATGACTTTTCCCCCTTAGTACACCTCGAGCACATATCTTCCATCCTCCTTCAGCCTCTCAATCTCCTTCCTGGGGTCAACCTTGCGCCCGCTGGCCTTCGCCTCGGCGGCGATGGCCTCCTGCAGCACCTCGGTGACGTCCGGCACGGGCCAGGTGGGGCCGCAGAGGTAGAACGAGCCCTCCTCCTGGATGTACGCCTTGACGATCTGGTCGATGGTCTGCCTCATGCGGTCCTGGATGTAGATCTTCTGGGGCTGGTCGCGGCTGAACGCGGCGCCCAGCAGCGTGATGACGCCGGCGTCCAGGTACGCCTCCCACTCCTCGCCGTACAGGTACTCCTCGCGCTGGTGGCGCGAGCCGAGGTACAGCAGGATGGCGCCGATCTCCTTGCCCTGCGCCTTCTGCATGGCGCGGTACTGGACGAAGGCGCGGAACGGCGCCAGGCCCGTGCCCAGGCCCGCCATGATCAGCGGCGCCGTGTCCTTGGCCGGCAGCTTCATCACCGACGGCTTGACGCTGACCGTGATGGGCGTGCCCACCGGCAGCTGCGACAGGTACCGCGTCGCCTGGCCGTAGCGCGTCCGGCCCTTGCTGTCGACCCAGTCGACCACGACGATCATCAGCGACACTGACGTCGGCGTGACGGCCTGCGCGGACGCGATCGAGTACTCGCGGCGCTTGAGCGGCGCCACGATCTTGACGAGGTCGTGGAACGACGGGCGAGCCGACTTGAACTCCTCGAGGATGTCGACATAGGTAGCCATATCGATCTCGGAGCGCTTCTTGAACTCGTCCGCGCCGTCCTTGCCGCCCAGGGCCCCCAGCTTCTTCTGCTCGACCTCGTCGGTTGCGAACTCGGCGAGCTGCTCGTAGGCCCGCTTCGGGACCTTGCCGAGGATGTCGAAGTTCTGCACCAGGGACTGGTACACTGTCCGGGTCTCGAGGACGTTGGCATCCTCGCGCGAGGGGACCTGGACCAGCTCGTCGGCGTTGAGGCCGTACGACCTGATGAAATCCAAGACCTGCACGGGGTCATTATCGGCGTGGATTCCAAGAGCCTCGCCAATGTTGTAGGTAACACCAGAGTCGCCCAAGTCGAACTCGATGTGGAAGATGTTGCGGTCATAATTGCCGGGAGTGAGTCTGCGGTTCTCCTTGACGTGAACGGTGTATGTCTTGACCGTCAGGTCAGGGCGAAGGTTGGCCTGGGTGCCGTAGGCCTCCTTGAAGGCGAGGGCCTTGGCAGCAGACTCCCAGCTGCTGAGCTGCAGGTCTGGCTCGGCTTTCTCCTTGCTGAACCCGGTGAAACCAGTGGTCTTCAGCGCGGTGGTGAGCTCAGGGGCAGTGTAGTCGGCGGGGAGCTCAGCCCACGAGGCGGGAACCTCTACCTGGCGCAGGCATTGGTTCAACGCATCCTTGCACTCTTGAATTGTGCCTTCCCGAGGAGCAGAAAGGTTCTTGGCGGCGTCAAGGACGCCGTCAGGCCGGGCAACTCGCAGGAATGCGAGCTCGACCAGAAGCTCCAGGTCGTTTTCCAGAGCTGGAGAGAATGAGGAGTCGAGAACGAAAAGCTTCAGAGACTTCTCCTGGACACTCTTCCTGACCGCAGGAGAGACTCTCTTCTCGAGCTCATCGTCCTTCAGAGCGGGAAGTCTCAGGAGCAGACTGCCGCCAGACTTGATGCCCTTAACAACGTCGACATTATCGAGCAGCTTCTCTTCGCCAACATACACAACATCGGCCTCATCGACTGCGTATGGAGCCTCTATCGTCTTCTTTGAGCTGCGGATGTCGGTGCGAAGGACACCACCTCGAACCAGGTTGTCGTATGTCTCGTGGACATAGATGTTGTCAGAAGACTCGCGAGTGAAAGATTTACCAACCACTGCGGGTGCGTGGAGAGCAGCCGAATTGTCCAGATCCCAGAAGGTGTACTGCTCGACCTGGCTGTTCAGGGTGGAAGTCTTCGCCTGCGAGTCGCCGCCCTTGCTGATGAGCTTCTGAATGGTGGAGTGGAAGCTGGATGGCGTCAGGGCCTCAGATGCGGCGTACTTGAGGTCGGTGACAGTGGGCGTCTGGGCCCACCTGCTGGAGAATGACACAGCCGTGAGCACATCCGAGTACAGGATCGACTGGATGGCTGCATCATCAACCTCGGTGTTATCTCGGACTTGGCCAAGCACAGCAACCTGCTGCACGGATGCCGGGAGGGTGTTCAGGAATGCGTCCTCCACGAAGGGGCGGTACAGGCGGACGTTGATGGCGCCCACCTTCTTGCCTTCAGCGGCGAGCTGTGACACAGCGTGGTTCGCAATTTGGGACTCCACGCTGCCGAAGACTACGATGACTGTGTCTGCGTCCTCGTCTCCGAAGTACTCAAAAGGCTTATAGTCCGTGCCAAGCTCGTTGTTAAAGGCACTGAGAAGGTCCAGCACTTTGCCGGCGGTATCAAGATGGGCGTTCAATCCCTGCACATGCTTGGACAAGCTGGTGTAGAGCTCACGGATGCCCACCTCGCTGAGGGCGTCGATGACCCTCAATGTCTCTCGGGAAGTTCGAACACCATCGTAGACGTGCAGGGTCGGCAGGATATTGGCCAACAAGGTGGACAGCAGAGACATGTGCTGGATCTCATAGGCGGAAGAGCTGCTGACGAGGCCAAGACCGAGGTCCTCTGCAATCTGGAGTGCACGACCGTACTCTGGGACCAGACCATCCTCGGCAGAATAATCGACAGCCGCAATGTGTGCAACGAAGGGGCTCGCGACGCTGTAGAGCAGAGACAGCTGATCGAGCGAGGATCGCAGACTGCTCAGGCTCAGAGAGGGCGCCAACAGAGTCTGAGGAATGTGCCTCTTGCTCAGGTCGAAATCCTCGGAGAACATGTAGCCCAGAGCAAAGGCACCAGCGCCAGCTCGGGTCTGGAGCGGCAGGACAGAGGTAGGGTAGCCGTGGATGTTGACATCCTTGCTTCGAGACCACTCGCTGACGGCGACGTCCAGGTCAAACGTCTCGGGGGAGTAGGAGAAGATCTTGTCCGACAGCTTGTAGGCGACCTGCTGGACCAGGAGCTGGGCGGTGACATAGGTGGGACCGGATATCTGGGACAATGGCACCGGCTGGCCCAGGGGCAGGCTGGAGGAGAACTTCTTGAACTCCTCACCGGAGTGTGCCTCGGCCGGCGTGCCGGAGCCTTCTTGCTGCTTCAGATGCATATTGGCGGTACAGGAGCCTCAGGGTGGCTTGGAGGATTCGAATTGGCGCCCTCGAGGTATTTCAAAGGTCCCGTAAAGAATGAATGTCTTGCCAATTGCAGACTCGGGAAGCACTGGATTGGGGTGTGCTTCGGGGAGGAGCGTGTCTCGCGGTGCTTATTTTCCTCTGTGACGCAAGCAAGGACACAAGGGTCGTGAGACTGTATGATGGGATGAGACTCTTGGTTGTGCACGCCTCCAGGTCAACTACAATCAGCACGGCAAGGGACCTTGTCGTCGCGGATGTGAATGAGACAGGCTGAGGACGGAAAAGGCGTGGAATGTTTTACGAGCGACGGGATTATTTCTAGGCTCGACTACGTGACCCTAGGCTGGGGGCGGCGCGACCGGAGATAGATTTCCCATGGCCTGCCAGGCGCTGGTCGCGCCATCCGCTACAAATGGGCCATGGCAAATTTTCGCAATGCCTTTGAAAGCGTCTGGAAAGGGACCCTTTTTGGCATGATGCGAGCACGTCGAGAATTGCGCCATCGGCAGCCAATCACATAACACGAAATGGACCAGCATGGGAGGACTTCGCCCGCCTTGCGGCCAGGGAGCCGGCCTCGAGCCTTCGGGACCGGCAGTCGGTCAGCGGGAGTATCGGGAGAGTGGAGCCACCGAGCCGGAGGCGATTTCTCATCACCATCACCATCAAACGCGGAGTCAGCATCTTCACCAACAGTACCGCCAGAGCCCACGATGAAATGATGCACTGGCTGATCGTATAGAAATCTGACCCTTGGTCAGCGAGGAGCATATTTGTGCGGCACAAAGGACAGCGCATAGGTTTTCAAGAGTCCAAGACTGCCACTTCAGACCCTCCCCGGCTCATCGACCTCGTGAGCAGAGCCTTGTCTAAACATGAAGGACATCGATTTCGCACCTTCCGGCAGAGACGAACCATACCACGGTGAAGACCCGAAAGTAACAACGTGCAAGATATGCCAGAAAGTCTCATGTGTTCGAACCCATGGATGATCGACAAGTCCGGCCGGCCTTGGTTGATCAGCGATTCTGTAGGCAAGGTATTGTGAGCGCAGCAAGTATGTACGCATCGCAGGAGCTGGAGTTATCGTGGACGGACCGAGTGCAGGGTGTTGCTTCCCTTTCAAGCACCTTTGATGACTCATGCTGGCTGCGGTAGGCTGCCCATAACAAACCTTACTGGCCCTACAGAAATGCACGGCGGACTGCCTACTTCCGCTCTGTCAGTACGAAGATGAATTGGTGTCTTGACTGCAGTGCAGTGTATCCTCGTACAGCTCGGTTATTTTGAGACTGCCCGGATTGTCGGAACAGGTCGATATGCTAGCCTGGGTGGGTGACTGGCTGGCTGACAGGTGTCAATTATCAGTTGTCCGTTGATCGGCGAGATGTGGCTTGACTGACAGAATACATTGATTCGAGACAGCTGAGACGATGCAGGCTGGCAGGAACATGTCAACGTGGGCGCGGCTGTGGCTTCAAGACTTCAGCAAGCCAGCCGAACCGGTGCTAGGCTGCAGGCGGCAAGGGCCGCGCACTGGCCCAGCCTCAAGCGAGCGGGATGCTTCTTCTGTCGACTTCGAACAAAGTGATGAGCTCCCCTCACCAAGACACTGTCATTTTCCGCTGACACTCACTTGGGTTTACTGATTCGAAATGATGTAGGTAGGCTCTCTTGAGTCGGACTCGATTTGTCATCTTGCGGTCTGTTATACCTACAAAGTCATCCCAGTGTTGTCAGTCAGCACAGCGCATGGTATCTGTCGGACATGATTGATGACGGGCAGACAACCCAATCTTGTGATCCTCTGGCTGTGCGTTTTGCTGAACGTACCTCCCTAGCACCCCAAGCTTCCAACCCTTGGAACTCAAATACAAGTTGGATCGCCAGTGGTTGGAATTGCGCCTCGACGTCCATGGTCAGGGCGGCCCCGGCCAGGCTAACCGGTGCCTGCGCTAGGAGGCTACATGCCTGTCAGGTGTCAGTGTCGCAATGTCGCCGCGAAAACCACGCTTGTTGCAGAGTCATGATGTGCCTGCTTTGCGCCTTTTGTGCGTGGAACGCTACGCTCGCCCCCCAGCACGCGTCTCGTCTCCCATAAAATTCAATCCCAGAAAAAGGTTTGGCTCAGATGTAGCATCATCTATCATCTCAAACTTGACTCCCCTTTATCCTTTAATCAGAAGGAAGCACCTGGAACAGTCTGGTTCCCTCTTGTTGTCTCCTTCCTTCGTCTTGGAACATCCCCAAACCGAGTCACCATTACCACTAGTCGTGGCCTCCCTAAGTACCAAGTACCCAGGTACCTTCTCAATTCCCAACATCAAGACGACCGCGTACATAGACCAGCAGTCCTCCTTCCTGTCTGCATCAAGCCACAGCCCATCGCACTCTCCTGCTTGGTCCTGTGTCAACGAGTTCGCTTTCGCTCTCGTTCGGGCGCGGACTCATCAGCTCCACTGAGCAAGGCCGATATCAGGCTAATCGCATATTGTCACTCCCCTCCACCGTCTCTCACAGCCAGGCACGCACCTACTGTGTTATACGCTTCCCAATCGGGCGAGATCCATCTTGTCCTCCACAGCTGTCACACCAGCACCCAAGCCGCCGCACCCTATTATCCGGCATCTTGGACCACAGATCCAGTTCACTATGGCCTCGTTGCGCAGGCCCAATCGGGCGAGTGACGGCGGAAATGGCCACGGTCATAACCAGGCCGACGGCGTGTGCACGAGTTCATTTATCGTGTCTAATATGCACTGTCCAACCTGCGTCTCAGCCATCAAGCACGACATAAACGAGAACTTCCCTGGCAGCATCCGATGGGTTTCACCAAACATTGTGACCTCAGTCGTCACCGTGGAACACGACCCGGATGTCGTACCCAAGCGCATGGCTGACGTCCTGGAGGAAGCCGGCTATGAGGTCTCGGGCATGAGCTCCACGGCTGCTGGTTCCGACGGCGGCTTTGCCTCTCCGGTCGACGCCACTGCCCAGTGTTGCAGCGAGGACGGTGCGGAAGAAGCACGTCCAAACCCGTCTTCTGCCCTCTCAAATTGGCTCTCGGGAGACCGGTCGCGGTCAGAGGCCGCCAGGGTCCATCTACTAAACTGCGAGCAATGCCGCAACTCTCAGGCGGCATCACCCACCAGAGAGCCTGCTCATGACCAGACGAACGGCACGCATTCTCTGTCAGCGTCATCTTCAGGCAGCCGACGTCCTTCGCCAGATCAGCGGAAATCACCGCAGACCAAGTCTGGCCCAATGTCTTTTGTCACAGTCGAATCGGATGAGAGCAACTCTCCGGAATCATGGCGGGCGACTTTTGCGGTGGGCGGAATGACTTGCGCTTCTTGTGTCAACACTATCAAAGATGCCTTGGAGAAGAAGGACTGGACTACTGCAGTCGCTGTCAATCTTGTATCCAACAGCGCGACTGTCGACTTCACCGGGAAGGAGCACACTGACGATATAGTCGAGTCCATCGAGGATATGGGCTATGAGGCGGCTTTGGACAAGGTTGAGCCCATCAAAGAGGAGAAGGCCGAGACCCAGGAGAGGACAGTGGAGCTCGCACTCCAGGGTGTGTACTGCAAACACTGTCCTGCCCGCGTCGTTAATAGTCTGGCGGGTTTCCGCCGGCATCTGTGGATCATCACGGAGCCCACCCAGGCCCGGCCCATCATGAAGATCTCTTACGTGCCAGATGCCCCCAACTTTACAATACGGCAGATTCTGGCAGCTGTGCAAGCGAGCGACCCGGCCCTGAGAGCTTCCATCCACCATCCACCAAGCCTAGAAGAGCGGTCCAAGGCGGCCCAACGGAAGCACCAATGGCAGCTGTTGTACCGGGCTCTAGGGACCTTGATCGTGGCAATCCCAACATTCATCATTGGCATTGTATACATGTCTCTAATACCTGAAGACAATCCCAGCAAGCACTACCTCATGATGCCGTGGACCTCAGGCATTAGCCGCGCCCAGATCGCCCTGTTTGTCCTGTCCACGCCCGTTTACTTCTTCGCTGCCGACGTTTTCCACAGACGCGCTATCAAAGAGATCCGGACCTTGTGGCGGAAGGGAAGTAAGGTTCCTATACTGCGGAGGTTCTATCGCTTTGGCAGCATGAATACTCTAATGTCTCTCGGCACGACTATTGCCTACGTGTCTTCGGTAGCTCAGCTGATTGCTGCTGGCGTGCACAAGCCCGAAAAGGTCAACGACACAGACTTTTACTTTGACTCGGTCGTCTTTCTGACGCTGTTCCTCCTCTTTGGGAGGTGGATAGAGGCATACAGCAAGTCCAAGACTGGCGATGCGGTGTCAGCCCTCGGCAAACTTCGTCCCACCGAGGCTGTCCTTGTGGAGCGGGATGCGGGCGGCAAGGAAACCGACAGCGTTGTTAAAGCCGATCTGTTGGATTTTGGAGACACAGTACGCATTAGGCACGGGTCATCACCACCCGCAGACGGTGTCATCGTCCAGGGAGAAAGCAACTTCGACGAGTCCAGCCTTACTGGCGAAGCCCGTCTCATCAAGAAGAGCCCCGGGGAAGCTGTCTACGCGGGCACTGTCAACAAGGGGCAACCCATCTTGCTTCAGATCACTGGGGCGGCAGGCACCTCGATGCTGGACCAAATCGTGAACGTCGTGCGCGAAGGCCAGACGAAGCGCGCTCCTATGGAGCAGATTGCCGACGTTCTCACAACTTATTTCGTGCCTGTTGTTACTCTTGTCGCCATCCTCACCTGGCTCATTTGGATGATCCTGGGCCTAAGTGGGGTCCTTCCCGACGATTATCTGGATGTCACGTCCGGTGGCTGGGTTGCGTTTGCCCTTCAATTTGCTATCTCTGTTTTCGTGGTCGCGTGCCCCTGTGGTCTCGGCCTCGCTGCTCCCACGGCCATCTTCGTTGGCGGTGGGCTCGCCGCCAAGTATGGTATTCTCGCCAAGGGTGGCGGCGAAGCTTTCGAGAAGGCCAGCCGGATCGACTGTGTCGTGTTCGACAAGACAGGCACATTGACCGAGGGTGGTCAGCCAAGCATCACCGACTTCAACTACTATCCCGACAGCGTTAGTGAACCCGAGGGAAAGGAAGCGATGCTGGCTGCTGTAAAGGCTGTCGAAGAAGGCAGCAGCCACCCAGTTGCCAAAGCCATCGCTTCGTTCTGCGCGAATCAGGAAATCGACCCAGACGTCAAGGTTGACGACCTACATGAGATCCCAGGCAAGGGAATGAGGGCGAAATACCACACCGGAAAGCAGGATTTCGACATTCTCGTTGGCAACGAGGCCCTTATGTTGGAACACCGCGTACAGATTTCGAATAGAGTCATCGAACTACTACACAAGTGGAAAGGCGAGGCAAAGTCCATCGCCCTCGTCGCGACCCTGCAGACGACAAGCGAGACGTCTTTGGATGGGCAAATCAACAGCGAGGCACCTAGTGCTGGATCTCCCACGAGTTGGTGGGCGATTGCTGCTGTACTCTCTATCTCCGATCCTATTCGCCCCGAGGCGCCTACGATCGTGCGCGCCCTTCAATCCCGTGGCACCCGCGTCTGGATGCTCTCGGGTGACAACGACATCACCGCCAGGGCGGTAGCAACGCGCATCGGCATCCCGCCTGACCAGGTCATATCTGGCGTTCTACCGACGCAGAAGGCAGACAAGATCACGTACCTGCAGTCGACGCTCAAGGCCGACAATGAGAAGTCGGACAGGCGGGCGACGGTGGCCATGGTCGGGGACGGGATCAACGACTCGCCGGCGCTGACCAAGGCGGACGTGGGGATCGCGATCGGGTCCGGGTCGGACGTGGCCATCAGCTCGGCCGAGTTCGTGCTGGTCAAGTCGGACCTATGGGCCGTGGTGACGCTCCTGGAGCTGTCGCAGGCTGTCTTCCGCCGCGTCAAGGTCAACTTCGCCTGGGCCCTCGTCTACAACCTCATCGCCGTGCCTGTCGCCGCCGGCGTGCTCTACCCCGTCGTCAGCCGCGGCAGCCACGTCAAGCTCGACCCCGTCTGGGCAAGCCTGGCCATGGCGCTGTCGAGCATCTCCGTCGTCATGAGCAGCCTCGCGCTGAGAAGCGGCATCCCCGGCATCGGCTTCAAGGAGAGGAAGCGCGAGACCACGCTCTAGGATGGTCGCGGTCGCGGTCGCTCTCACAGAGGGAGGCGGGGGAGGAAGAGGAGGAGGATAAGGAATGCGTCAGTGGCGCGTGTTGGGTGAACGGTTCTTTGTAACGATCAGGCTGGTGGCGTGGCATATCCGGCACGAGGGTGTTGTATGCCTAGCGGAAGGAATGTAGGATACCCAAGGCGTTTCGGAGGCTTGGTCGGAAAGAGGGTCAACAGCGAATGTTTGCTTTACTCTCTCCAGCGGTAGTACAATGCATCGTTTACTCTGGTCATTCTATCTTCCCATACGAGGCACATGTTCCCGTGCGCTGCCAAGCGCAGTTCACTTCTTCGCCAGTACGGTTTCCTTCCTCATGACGTCTTAAGCACCCCATCAAATGTTGATTTGAGCGAAAATGCATTGCTACACTCTACGCTCATTGCGTACGGAAATTCGAATGAATTTTAGCGTCTCAATATTAGCTCATTAGAAAATCGGAGTGGAAAGCCTCCTGTAATGTGTGTGAAGTGCTATACTATGCCCCTATTTTCCCGCTCCCAAGTAATACGTGCCCTCGAATATGAACGGGACAACAGTTCAGCTTTGTCCGTCATTAACAACATGCCCTTCCAAAAAGAAACATGATCGATTTCATAGCCCACGCCATTCCAATGCAATGCCAACCCGTCTACTCTCAATAAACCATCCGCCCATCGACACGCAACCACCGCTCGAAACACCCTTAACCCGCCGCCTGCGCCGCCTCCCCATCCTGCCCGTCCCCACCCTGTGCGGTCGAGTGGCTCGTCCCCGGCCGGCTCTTGGCGGCGCTGCTCCCGGGCCGGCTGAGCGTGATGGACTTGCGCAGCTTGTTGCCCCCCTTGCCGCCCAGGAGGCTCTTGACGCGGCGCAGGCGCTTCCACCGCTCCTTGTCCTTGGCGTTCTGGGTCTTCTCGTCCTCTTCGTCCTCTTCGCCTTCCACATGGCCCCCCTCGGCGTCCTCGTCCTGCCCCGACCTGCGCGACGACGGCGTCTGCGGCGGCTTGTCACCCCTCCTGCCCCTGGACTGCTGCGGCGACTCCCGGCTGCGCAGGTACGCCTCGTTCTTGAGAACCTGCAGCAGGACCTCCCAGCCGGGCTTGCTCTGGTCGTCTTCGTCCGCTGCGGCCGGCCCACCGCGCCTCGAGGGCGTGATGCGCTGCGCGTCGGCGCTGTTCCAGGGGCAGAAGAAGCGGTGCTCGCGCAGCGGGTCGAGGTAGTCCATGGGCGCTGGGACGATGACGGCGCCGGTGTCCGGCTCGACCTCCTTGCTCTTGAACATCCACAGGCCCAGGCGGCGCAGGCAGGTGTGGCACGACGCCGTGTTGGGCACGGGCCCGATGCGGGAGTTCGACAGGCCCTGCCAGCCGACCATGGCTAGCGCGAGGGCCACGCGGTTAGGCGCCCGCTGCTGCGGCGGCTGTTGCTGGTCCGGGCTGGCGAAGAACTCGTTCGGCAGGTAGCGAAGGACGACGTCGATGTCGAGGCGCGCGGGCAGGCGCAGGTTAAACTCATAGGGGAGGAAGTCCTTGCGGGCGCAGAGCTCGTCGTAGCGCGCGTGCAGGTCCTGGATGGCGGCGTGACGGCTCGAGAGCGGCAGGCGCAGCAGCGAGTCGTCGCAGCCGCGCTTCCGCCACAGGCAGTCGTCCTGGTGCGACGTGACGATCAGCTCGACGTATTTGGCCACCAGCGCGTCCTCGATCTCCGAGGGCACCAGCACGGGCACCTCCTTGCCGTCGACCTCCTTCCTGTTCAGCTTCACCACCAGCTCCTTGTTGCAGAGCGTGCACCGCACGCGCTCCTTGCCCTGGCATATCCACCCCCTCTTGGCCCACTGCACCTCAGCGACCGGGTTCGGTTTCGGCGTCCAGTCTGTCAGTTCCTGGAAGCTGGCGAGGCGCTTGAGCAGCTCGTCCCTGTCCGCCGGGCAGTACTTCGGCTTGAAGATGGTTTCCTTGTCCTTGTTGCCGCCCCATTTCCTCAGGACGATGTTCGATATGGTCGTCTGGCCGCCTCCATCTGGGGTCTTTGTGCCAAGGTCCTTGGACGGGGTCGAGTCAGCAAGGCCGAGTCGCCGTCGCTTTGTGAGGAGGTCGAGGTCGGCTGTTGTGGCGGCGGATCGTGGGACGGAGGAGATGGAAGTGCGCATAGCCATGGAGTCTGAGCCTGGCGTGTGGATGGTCGAGGAAGCCGAGGCGAGGGTGGTAGTCGAGCTGCGGTCTGGGGGAGGGGTCTGCGGCGTGGACTCGTCCTCGGGAGCTGTGCCTGATGGCGGCGGCGGGATGGAATCGGTGGGGTACGAGGGTCGAGTGCCAAGGCCATTCAACAGGGCGTTTAGTTTCCGCTTCTTTGCGAAGTCCATGTTTTTGTTGTGTAGGCTGGGCTGCGTGCCTCGCCGTGGAAATTGATCAATGCGATGTGGTGACAAGGGAGGGTGCGCAAGGGAGCACTGGTTGGCTGCTTGATTGGAGGGGCGTCGCACCTCGAGGGCGGAGCAGGCGATTGCTACAGTAAACTATGCACCACGAACGCTCTTTGGGTGCAACAAAGTGCCCAATGGTGAACAACAAGCCTTTTCCCCGATCCAATCCCTTCACGCGGCCTTGCGAGAGTCCTTGCTACCGACGGCACAAAAAACGCGGGTGGAAGAAAGAAGACGTGCAACGCCGTCTGAGCCCGCAAGCACTTGGATGACCGAATCAAGCTCGACCCCTGTACTTTTTGGCCGTTGGAGGATCAACGGAGCGGGCCACTAACGTCAGGGCTAACAAGTGACCGTCGTCGACCACGGCGTACTTTGCGAGTCCACTTTGGATCCCCGTGAACACACGGTGCATATGTGATTGAAGTCAACCACGATTCGATCACGGTAAAGCTCAGTAGTTGATGAGTATGCCCCGTGAATGTCAGGCTTTGTGATTGTTCATCTAGGTTATGTGCAGCGTGCCGAAGTCTGGAGGTTCATTCTTCACCGTTTCCTGACTTTCCACCTCAGCAACCTTCCGTCTCAGCCAGCTTGAGGACTTGTCCCACCCTGACCTTCTCTTCCGTCACTCCCACTCTGGGTCTGTGACGATGACTTCAACATCTTCGTACTCGTCGCCGTCATAATAGCCCAGCTCCTGGGCGACGGCATATGGTGGCTTGCATGGGCCGTAGATGCCGAGCTGTGAGGTCGGACCTGATCAGTGACTTGATCCTTGAGTCTTGTAGTCTCCAGCTCCCCAGGTCACGCGACAGGACAACCAGGGGAAAAGGAAGGCTTGGTCATGGGATTACTCACAAAACCCAGGATACAGCATCTAGGCAGCTTCTTCTTGGCCGCGCATGCAGCCGCCAGCCCCGGTCCCGTGTGAATGTCTGGCTTAACAGGGTGACAACCCATGTCAATCAAGCCGAAGATAGACCTGCGACAGCAGACGGCCTTCCTCATGAAGTCTCCGCAAGGATTTTGTGATGTATGAGCCATGTGGGGCTCGGCCGGGGACTGTTCCAAATCTTGATTCACAGTGGGAGGAAGGGCCAGGACATCCGCAACCATGGCGAGGACAGCGGCTGTGGTGAACTGCATTGTCGTAGCAAGGAAACTGGTGATTTCGGGTGTGATGTGCTGCCGTTGATGTCAGTGAGGATTGCAAAGTATGTCAAAAATGGCCGTCTCGAATTGAATACCTTTCGGACAAGGAGAATCACTCTCCTTCAAACGTGATCTGCCTCGTTCCTGACAAGCAATGGGAGCGGTCTCCTGACACACTGCGAAGATGATCGAGCAAAGACCTTCAAAAAGATGAATATTATGGATGAACTCTGACGGTATCAAGATACTTCGGAATTGATGCGTGTCTGGTGGTTGAGGAGTGGTTGGAAGAAGAGAGAACAAGCAACTGTCCTTCAGGAGAAGGCTGAAATGTATGCCGTCAAACAAGCACCTACCACGGAAGGAGATATCTAGCTATGTTCTATTCCATGGAAAGAGCTCTTTGGGACTGCCGGAGGCTAACCTGCACGGAAACTGTCTGCGGGCCTTCGAAGCAGTTGCGGCTTGCATGATTTGAGCAACGTAGGCAGGTAGGCAGGCGCTGTAGGGCAGCAATGGAAGGGACGACGACCAGCCACAGGGATAGAATTTCCCATAGTCATGGGGACCAAGACGAGCTGCACCAGCAGCTTCTGCTCTTGACTGCTGGGGTCTGCTCGGCCACTGTCTGGTTTTTCTCTTGGGTTGACGCGAAATGAGCCTCAAGATATCAGCAGAACTACCAACTGTTCGCATCAGTAGGTGTGACAGACATCCATGTCATTGTATTGTGGTAAATGCCCTCAAGGCAAGAGCTGCTTGGAGTAGACCAGCAGCTTCTCGACATGCAGCGCACTCCTTTGCTGCCCGTAAATTCCTACTTGATGAATGCTCCTTCTTTTCCTACATTGACGGAGAAGGCAGGGCCGCACCAACTATTCCCCTTCTGAGAACAAGAACTGGAATGGACCCTGAGGCTGTACAGCTGGAAAAAAAAAATCATAGGTAAATGCCCACTGCTGACCGTTTCGTCATTGGTGTTGTAATCCCCTGTTCTCTGTTTCCGAAGTGAGAGGCTTCGAGAGAATGGTACCTTGTTATACATATGCTATGTGTTTTTGCCTGAGAACCATTGGCGAGTAATCAATTATGGAGACTTCACAGTTACAGCTGCCCTTGGCCACTCAAGGGCTACTACATTGATACAGTAGGTACTTGGGCAGAGGCGCACACACAACAAACCACTCGCTCAATGCAGTGCAACGTATACCCTGCATCATGCAAGGCCACCTCCTTCCCGAAATGGTCCCGCTGATGCCGGCCCTGCTGCTCCAGCAGCCTTGAACCTGGCGCTGGCAAGTAAGCCGCATAAGCTGCTCGGAAAGGTCAATCCAATTGCCAGTTTAGAAAACAAGTCTTCCAGGTTCAAATCCCCGATAGCTCCTTCGTAGTACGACCGTAGTTATAGCATCAAAGAAGAAACGGCGAAGCTGGCGGCACTGATGACATGTGAATCCAGAGTCAATTTTGTCGCAGGTTTCCAAGGTTGTTGTGCGATATACTGGAGGGCAATTTCCACCATGATATTGCACGCAGACCTACACGATCAACTATAAATAGTAGGAAGATGGTTCCGTAAAATAAACAGGATAAAAGATGATTTGGAGATTTTTGTGTCATTTGGAAGCTAACCGTTTACGAATTCCCACCGGGTCATCTTTAGCATGAATTGTGTTCTGTACTTACCCGCCATGAATTCGGTGGCTTCTTCTGCTTTCCGACCAATGGACAGGGCGCAGAACTGTGCGAGGTTGAGTGTATTGAAGAGACATGGACCATTGGGTCTGTTCTGGACCCTAACAAGCCATGAGAGCGAGGACTGGTAACCAGGTGGAAGGCAAATCTAACGATGAAGGACATGTTGGAAAGTCTTGGGGAGTTTGTCACTTGGCTCTAAGTGTGGGTCGGAAGATCGATATCGGATTAAAAGAACTTCGAAGTTCAACATTTCATCTTCGGCGATTCTCGGGAAGGTGAGAGTGGGATGGGCTTGGGCATCAAGTACGCATTTGCCACATGTAGGACTTAGATCACTGGAAAACAGTTGAAACCAATTTCACCAGCATAAAGCCTGGTCCGATATTCAGGCAAGATGTAGTCGGACACTGGAGCATGTACATCAGGAATTCCGGTGGAACGGAAAGTGCTGCGTGGACGTTGATCAGAACTTTTGTTCTTTGCCTGCATCTTCATGACTATGTCTAATCATGCCATCTAGTTGATCCCCAAAACCTCCTGCACAGCCTTCAGCACCTGCCCGTGTACCGCCAACGGTGCCGCAACGACACCCTTGTTCTCCGCCAGCGTCCGGCCAATGCTGAAGTCGAGTCTCTTGCCGGTGGTATCCGTGACCTGGCCGCCCGCCTCCCGCACGATGAGGTCCCCGGCGGTGTGGTCCCATATCTTCTCGACGTATGTCTTGGAGGTCGGCAGGCGCAGGTAGATGTCTCCCGCGCCGCGGGCGATGGACGCGTACTTTGCCTGGGAGTCCATGCGGACGCTGGGGTTGGTGATGCCGAGCTTCTGTGCGATCTGGGCGGCCTCGCCCTGCGAGCTGTGGCCGGCCTCGACGCTCTCGCAGAAGGTGGCGTCGGACATCTTGGCGATGGGCCGCATGGAGATGGCCTTGGGCTCCCCGAGGGCGCCCGTGCCGAGCGGCCTGCTGGCGGCGCCCTGGCCCTGCACGCCCGAGAAGATGACGCCGCGGCCCTCGTCGGTGGCGTTGGAGCCGATGTCGGCGGTCAGGGGTGCCGAGTCGTCGACGGGCAGGTTAGGGCAGCCCAGGACGCCGAGCTTGACGTCGCCGTCGACCATGAGGCCCAGGCACACGGCGTACTGGCCGCCGCGCAGGAAGCCCTTGGTGCCGTCGATGGGGTCGATGGCCCATATGCGGCCCTTGTTGCCGCCTTTGCTGTTGCCCTTGTCGATGATGTCTAGCATGGAGTCGATGTCCTTGATGGGGCCCCCGAGGGTGGCCTCGGCGGTGGCGTCGTCCAGCTTGGTGCTGCTGACCAGGTCCCAGACGATCTGCTTGAGGTTGGCGTCGGAGCGCATCATCTCTGCCTCCTCCTCGGCCACGATCTCATCCTCTGGGAAGTTGGCCTTGAGGGCGCTGATGATGAGGGCCTGGGCGCCAAAGTCACCGATAGTGACGGGAGACTTGTCGTCCTTTGAGACAGTGCCCTTTGCGCGCTCGTGGAAGACCCGCTTGGTCAGGATGGTGGCGCGCTGGACGGCCAGCTGGGCAACCTCGAGCTCTTTGGCATATGCGGCCATCTTTTTGTTTGAAAAGGTGAGGAAGCGTTTGACGAGGTTTTTTTTTTTTTTTTTTTTTTTTTTTTTTTTGGTGTTGGAAGGTGAGATGGTGTAGCCAAAAAAGAGAAACAGGGCCGACTTCCAGGAGGGAAGGAACGCACCTTGTCACAGTGTGGGACGTGGTCTATATGATCTTGGTTTACCTGGCTGACAGTCGAGTAAGAGTGGAGGGGTAAAATGCCCCTCAGTGGCCCTGGTATACCCACTGATGACGACGTTCGGACCCCGAGGTGGTTGAGCAGGGCGGACAGCCGTGGCGTGGCTCTCGAGAAGATGATAGCCAGGATGACGGTGAGCACGAGGTAGAGCAGAAAGTGTGAACGTCTTGTGGTTCTTGTCGGCTGATGAGAGACCATCTGCGCTGGTTGACAGGGGAGAATGGGTAACCAGCCTACCTAGGTATCTTGATATTTCAGCATGCGCATGCGAAAAAGCAAGCCTCTGCAGGTGAGAGCGCCAAGGCCCCTTCGGGAGTCGCCCTGTACATCCGAGCCGCAATGCCTGTCCGACGACCCGACCCGCGCTGAACCGTGCCCGTGGGCGGAGGTCCCCAACCTACAGTATCTGCCACTTAGACCCCTACCCACTCCGGTACACATCTGCTTCGGGGCTTGTGGTCGTTGAAGTCGTGCATCAATACTGCCTATCTCAAGCGGTGATGGGGTAGATGGTTAGCAACCAACAGGTTCTTGAGGCCTTTTTGCCAATGTCTAGTCCATGAATAAGTAAGTAAAGCGACTGCCAGCCCTGAGTCTGTCTTGGCGGAAAAGAATCATATCGACGATACCCTAGCCCACTCCCTTAGTCACCACTTAACTCGCAGCAGAACATGAACTTGAGAGAACTTAGTGGAATTAGAACCTACGAGGTCAACTGGCTTCATGACTTTCGAGAATTTGGCTTGCTAGAGCAATTTGTGCATGTACACTCCTGCACGGGAAGTGCTCGACTAGCCCAACCTCTCTTCTACAGAAGTGACACTAGTGATAAACGGGGGACTGTGATTCCCACCAACTGGCCAAAACTCATGAAGAACCTCGGACATAGGATTGGAATTTTCACCACCATCACATATGGCGCCTACGAGCATTCTCAGAGCTAACCTGTCTGAACCCACGAGTACTACTTCTTATCGACAACCAGTGCTTCAGGAGTCCTTCACAAAGACCGGAATGGTGAGCATCGATCGTGTAACCGAGAAGTATGAATATTTGCCCGAGACCGGTGGTTTTGGTGACGATTCAGGGTCATGAATTCAAGGAGCCTCACCTTCTATCAATACATACCATTACTAAAGCGGAGCAAGAAACACAGGTCCCTTGGACGAACCTTGCAATCCCGTCGGCCACTGATTGTACAGCGAAGAACGCGACGCGTTTTGACAACCTTCTGTCGAGATCATGGAGAGTGCAGGGTCAAGAAATCTTCGTTGGCGCCACAAGGAATGAAACTACAACAGACCGAGAGGATTAGAAAAGGGGCAAACCTCGGGGATTTACCTAGGCTAGATGTTGCGTGGACGAGGCTTGGGATCTCATTGAAAGAAAGTTATAGATTATCGTGGTCATTAAAATCACAGCAACACACAGTGTGTGTGATGAGGAGATTGGACGATCATCTGAGCAAGTCTTTGTTTCACATCGATACTAGTATCAGGCCGGTACGATCTCATAACAGGCTGGGTAGCCGCAGAGGAACCTCAATGACAGCATGATGGCCAGTCACAGGTATTCGGCAGCAACACTCTATCCAGCGCCCATGTCCCGGGCCCGCCGGCTCCGGACACGGGTGCCAGAGCAACTCCCGTAAACTGCGAGCGATGAGCGGTATCGACAGGGACGAGCTTCCAGAGATAGGCAGAGTCGCAGGTAGCACTGCAAAGAAGGATTCCAGCTTTCTTGACTGAAGTGACAAACCCGCAGACACTGAAGTACTTTGAAATCAGTCACACTTCGCTGTCACGCAGTCTTCATGAACGGAGCCTTAAGAGTGACAGAGCCTTTCCTTGCTCATCTGAAGTTGGTCACAGTGTGCAGTGATGCACACAACTGAGGAGTATAAATATCCCGCCTCTGGACCCTTTTCCTCAAAATTTTCAGCATCAAGACACAAGCATCCTGGCACCATCGGTCCCTGAAAACATTCACCATCATCGAGAACTGCACCAAACGAGACTACCCAACACCATATCTCGCCAATATTCACCAGGCAGGGAGGCTTGAGCTAATGCACAATCTTTAGCCATCCACCAAAACCATGTTGCGAAGTAGTCGCCAAGGACCACGACAGCATCAGTCCTGGCAGAACCAGACAATGCTGGCACCGCCCTTGCAGCCACAATTACAGCAGCCGCAGGTAGCACAGCAGCCACCGGAAATGATGTCCCAGAGTGGACACTACCTTTCTCGGCAGACACCTTCACTGGGAGGTTCCGTTGATGGCAGTAAGCATAGCTGGCACGAGCACAGGCAGCACCGCCACGGGTCTCATAAGTCGTCGCAAGATGAAGAACATTCCCATAAGAGCAAGAAACACGGTGGGCACAGACGGGAGAAACGCCATCACAACTCTCACGAGTCATCACGTCAAGCGGGATCGTCCTGCCAGAGCAGTGAAACCGGCGCTTGGAGCGGAGAGGAGACATATGTACCCTCTAGCAGGACATCGGTCTGCAGTTCGACGACCAAAGTACAGAAGTTTCTCAACGGCATGCAAGACCAACATGGCAATATGGATTTTCCTCCACCACCTGCTACCATTGCGGACGACGTCAGCTACATGGCGGACGATGTCGGTAGCGATTCAGGGCAATCCGAAAGCTCTACAGGGACAGTACTCGGGCCCGGCATCCAACCTCCTGGGGGCACCCACCACAGGCGTCCGGAACAACCTCCGGGAGCTTCTGGTTACCAAAGAAATGTCTACCGGGAGCGAAGCATGGGGGCTCCCAGCGTCCCAGCTTTCAGCACTGCTTCGACCAGCCAGTACGGAGGTGACGATGAGCGCTCCGAGTCCAGCTACACCGTGGCCGGTCGTCGGTACGGAGTTGCTTCTTCCAGGGGTTACGGGGCTGACGATGATCGGTCCGAGTCCGAAGCCACTTTGGGCGGGCCCGACATTGCCTGGCCCAAGGCTCCTCAACTCGGGGTTCAGGCCGACCTCACCGAAGTCGAGGACGAGTCGACTAACAATTATCCTGACCTTGACGCGATGGAAGATTTTCTTGAGGAGATCAAGAGTAATCTTGCTGCGATCAAACATGATGTGATTGACCGTAACAAAGCGAAGATCCCGGTCTGGTTCGGCGCCATCAGGTTATATCTCAACGAGTTCCAGGACCACTTCACCAGGTTGGAACGCATCTTCCCGGCGCGCAGAGTGCCAAGTCAGCAAAACGCACCCTGTGCCATCTCATCGACTGCTCTAGCCGGAGTGGCGATAGACCGGCATTACAAGGCCTATTTTTAAGTTTTAGTGAGATGCCAGTAAAAACGGGGGCTATTGATGGCAGTCGGTTGCCCTGGTATGGCTGCCGATGGTGCTGAGCACATGTGCAGATTGAGCTGGCCTCTTCGGACAAGGGAAGGGGGGTGGGGGCTTGCCTTTTGTTTTTGGTCATTTTGGATGTATCAGCAGTCTAGTGGATCTGAGACAAATTTTGGAATCAAGAGCATTTTAGCAATCTGTTCACCGTGCCAAGTCAGTGAAGAAATACTTGTGGTCGAATCCTTCGGTTTCTAAAGATTGTGGGGGAGAGAGACTGATCCCCACGTGTTACACTGTGATATAGGTGACGCCCGAACTGATAAGTGCCCCCTGGGACACGCCGGTGCGCTGTGTAATTGGTTGTTCTCCTTGTGTGGCTTGCCAAACAATTCCTCCATCCCAGGCCATCCGGGGAACCATACCTGATGCTCACAGCTTCTCATATATAAACAATCTACATTAATGGACTTGGAGTGTGTAGACGGTGGATAGACCGACCGGAGGCCAAGTGGTCGGGATCACCGCTCTTGACCAGAATCTATTGTAAGAATGGCACAGTTTGGTTACCTTGGGCCTACAGACAGACATCAAAGAATGATTGGATAGCGGTGCTGGAGCTCAGGCACACATTGGTTGAGGGTCTAGACTGCAATCACCATAGTTTGATAATTACCTATGCCCCTCATGCGCTGACCTGATAACAAAGTCCGAATACGAATCCCATACACACGAAACTCCTGGAGAACTACAAAAATCGATTGTTCACCATGGCAGTCCTCCCTATGTATCAGATTGTCCACGAAAGAGGCAAAACGCAGAGTTTCTGTGTTGGCGCTCACAAGTCCGGCCTGATCCTGCTTCAGCATGTGTGCTCAGGTGTACGGGATTGTATGGCCGCTGCCTCTTTGTGATGAGGGTGTGAACATCTGAAAAGCACTTACATGCCTCCCCTACGCTGCCACCAGTTAGGAGACGACGGCGTGATACGCTTAATCCCTTCCTCGGCCTCGGCGATTTCCGCATCATCCACGGGCTCTCCCTGTGCGCGGGCCGCTCGCAAGTTCAGGAGATTGATCTCATATGCGACCTCGGGCCAGTTCCATCCGTTGATACGGCTTTCGCATCTGCTTGGTGGCTCCTTTCTCTCGTACCGGTCCCGAAAGATGTTGAACTGAGATATTGCATCATCGGCGTGGTACCGCCAACCGTTGCGGAGCGATGCTCTGATTGGAATCGGGCACGAGCCACGGTCTTGAGTCTGCGCGTTATCAGACGCAAGTAGGAATTGTGTCAGTGATTCAAACTGCTCGGCAGTTGGGGGAAACAGAGTCGATGGGCCTTTAAGGCTGCCATTGTGCAGATACATTTCACGACGCTAGTTGAGGATACAGGATGCCCGTCAGACACTTCTCCAAGGACACTGTTCGGAATGGATGTGCAGAGACTCACCTCAGTTCCTGATGGCGCGCGATCAAAAACGATAACGCCACCAAAGATCTTAGCCTCTGCCCAGTAGCCCGCTACGTCTGCAAGACCATGTGGATATTGTTCGTAGAAGACGTATGACCAGTGTGTGAACGCACATGGTGGCCGTAACCGGTGCCAGCTTGGTAGATGATCACTCGGAGAATCGCGCCAGGCTGCATACAATTCATGTTTATGGACCCCTTGATCAAGCTGGGAAAGGAAAGATGCAATCTGGTGGCAGGCTCTGGCTAGCAGTTCGACAAGGGCTAGCAGGTATTCCCTAGTACTTGGACTTGTGTTCTGGAAGTCTTGGAGTACCTACGTCAACCAAAACGTCAGTACCTTCTGCGGTCTCGCCCAGCTGAGATCTTTGGCTTTGTTGTATGGGTAGTGTGCGCTATTGTTTACATACCCAGACAGGAAAAGACAGTAGATAGATGTCGAGGTCCGGACGAAGTTTCCTTGCCTTCTCTCGCCAACCTGCGCAAAGCTTGTCATGCTTCAGTTCTTCAACGGGATGTCCTGGCCTCCAGGGGTTGAAATCGCGCCACGACTCCCTTGTCGGAAGGCCATCAATGATCTCGGCGTAAGTGTTCTCTGCGACTTCTGTGAGGAGTACGTTGTCTAATGCGAGGCGGAATGCGGCCATATGCTCAGCATCAAGCAGGCTGAGGCTTGCGAGCTGCTCGCGCTTATCGCTCGACAACGCACAACTTGATGTCATCATCGAATCCAGCCGAAAACAGGCAATTCGAAATTCTTGGTGACACTGGAAGCAGACCTTTGAGATTTTCACTGTCGACCAAAGGTGTTGGATGAAGCTCAAAACTACCCGCGCGCACGCAGGCGCTATTGCTGCCTGGAGGCGCGGGCGGTGGCACGTTGGTCATTCCCGTGGTCCGATTGGAAATATATTGAATGGATGGTCAGTAAACCTTGAGGTTCGGAAACTAATGCAATCAGAGCTCACTGAATTGACGGCTGGGAGCTCTCTGCTAAATATCTCTAAGCATATGGTGGGTAAAACATCATTGCGTATCCTTCTCTTGAAAATGGACCCGCTGTGTGATCTAGACCTCAATTGTGATCCCTGTGATCCATTTGCTTGGCCATTCTGAATTATCGTTTCTGTCACATAAGCCACAGAAGTATCTATGACAACACACAGTCATGTTCCTACAAAGAGAGGATAACTCACTTACATATGGGGGTGCTGGAATCAATAAATTTTACCTCATATTCTCCGTATTTGGTTTTGACTTCGAGGTTGTTTCCGTTGCGTATTTTTGAAACAATGATTTGCCTTGCAAGACGTTAGAATAACTGTAAAATCACTTGAAGCTTCCTCGGTCTATGGTACTGTGGTCAACCCAGTTGTCACCCATGCCATGATTTGACTTGATATAGGAGGTGTAGATTTTCTGTGAATGGCTCGGATGAGGTTCTCAGTAGATTATTCGCCCTTTGATTGTGGCTATCAGTGGGTTGGTCGATCATGTGTCATGCTGACTGCCTGTACGGTGACTTCCGGTGACTTCCACAGTCACATCGTCAGCAGAGGCCCGTACAATTGCAAGGCCAGGTGCAGTGCTCATGGGTACTTCGGCAAAACCCTAACGCTGTCGGCCTCATCTCCCGAGTCCATCGTAGCCACTCGTCTTCATATCTTTCTAGAACATGTTTCGTATTGTACATACTACGAATGACCTGCAGCGTAGATAACGGCACAGGCTCCATGCAGTAGCAGCACAGCAACCTCCACCAAAACAGGTCCTCCCCCCGGGGCTATTATCCTCCCTCACTTGATCTTCTTCTGCTTCAGCTTGATCGTCTCGTCGTTGACGAATATGCCCTTGCCCTTGTACGGCTCCGGCACTCGCCACCTGCGGATGTCCGCCGCGAACTGCATCACTTTCTCCCTGTTGATGCCCTCGAGCAGGATGCGCGTGGGCTGCGGCGTCGACGCCTTGACACCCTCGGGCACGCCCAGGTCGATCGGGTGCGAGAAGCCCAACCGCAGGCACACGAAGTCCTGGCCCGGGTACTCCTCCAGCGTGGGTCGCTTGTCGATGGACGCTCGGTAGCCGATTCCCACGAGCCGCAGCACGGCCGTGTGCCCTTCTGACACGCCGATTATGTACCGCTGGATGTATGCCCATGTCGTGCCTGTAGATTTGACTGCTTGTTAGTGAATGTGGTCTGGGGTCGGAGGCGGACTGGTGGCTGCGAGCGCCGTGTAGATCGTACCCCACATCTCCTTCTGTTGCTTCTGCTCATTGTCCTCGATGTTGAGGGCTAGCCTCCTGGCCGAAGGGTCATGGTCGAGCTTCAGAAACGGAGGCACGTTGAGGTCGAGCTTTCCTGTTAAGTCGTCCACTGATGTCAGCGCGTGATCCGGGTCAGACACCAAGCTGCTGCGCCGGAGAGAACCCCGTCGCCGCAAGACGTACCCAGAGGTCCTGTCACCGTCACTGTCCTCCTAGGAGTCTGTTTGTATGTCGTGAAGTCCTTCAAGATGTATGGCTCGCCAATGGTAAGCTCGACGCCGGGCGGGATGGAGATCGGGGTGCGGCCCAGCTTCGAGGGCCTCGAGGTCGACGCAGAGAACTGCCGCCGCGCAGCTGGTGCAGGCGCACAGTTCTGGAAGGCCGGGACAAGAAAGGAGGGTAATGTCACTACGGACGAGGGCGCGATGGCCCTCGCTCTGCTGGGGGCAAGCATTGGAGAATTGCTGGATGCGGCAGCGGTCGATTACATCGCGCATCGGTCGCATGCAACGAGGCGGAATGCTATTATGGATCTCGGGCGTAGAGCTCGAAAATTGCGGCCGTGATGACATAAGCAGGCAAGGGACACCCCCAACCCAGACTTGGGCCACTCATCCAGTTATCCCAGACAAGCACTTTGGGATCATCGGATGAACCTGTTGTTATTCGCACACCAATCGACAGTCATTGACCAGAAACGGACCAACTCTGGGCGAGACCACGCAGAGGACCTGGAATGGAAATACGCCCGTATTGTCTTACCCCCCTTCTAGTCCAATACTGCATCGGATCTCCGTCCCGGATCATCGTGTCACAGACACGAGTGTTTGCATACCTCGCAGACATGAGGGTTGCTAAGTACGTCCGCTTAACAGGCAACCCCAGGGGCACGGCATTCTTCAGGTCTTGTTCAAATCCCAGGGTGGTACCTAAGTGGTCGGAACGCATAAAACACGGGCATTGGCGAGGTGTCTTCCTTGGTCTAGTAGACGGCTTTTTCCAATATTCCAAGTAGCCGGTCTACTGACCTACCTGGTAGAGCAGAGTCCGCACGCTGATGGGTGCTGTGTGGCTACGTTACCCCTGTACGGATGTGCACATCACCGGCTCAGCTTCCACTTTCACTTCTGCGAGGCCTATTTGTGTGACCGGCCACCCCACACCCTCTAGAGACTCCCTAGTCGGCGTGACTAGAATCGCGCCGAGCTGGACCTCCCGCCTTCCGTGCCTATGGTCAACGTCACATCGTTGTGAAATTTCCAGTAGTACGCAGCTAGACGCATCGGCGCGTTTGCTAGGCGCCCGAGCGAGGCCCTGATGACTCTGTTGGCTTCTGCATCGCCCGTGTCCGCCCTAGGGATCTACTGCCGATCCGTCTTGGACCGCCCTCTACGGATGAAGCCGTTTGCCTTCTGTGCTCCCAACGTCCATCCACGTGTGCGGCCTTTGGGGGGAAGCAATAGTGTAGATTTATTGTACTCACTCGCCTTGACTCGGGAGGGGCATGATAATGCTCACAAGGGCCGGCGCGGCTTGGCAGCGGCAATGAGACCTCTTTAGGGAGGTCACTCTGGGAGGCCACCAGCCGGCCGGACGCAGTCTTTGAGTAAATCTGGTTCGTCCGGTGCGGGCGATGTAACCCGAAATGAGGTTCTGTCTCAGCCCCGTCCACCGCGCAGTGACAACGCCTCACCCGCCAGACCCGCTGCGCTGCCACGCAGCATGAGTTCATTAAACACCTGGACGAGCGGCTGACCGGGCCTTGTGCGCCCGCCCACAAGGCACCATGGCACCCCGCGATATATATTCTCGTACCCGTTGCCGTGTTGGAGCGGTCGGAGGGCCCAAGGTCTGCGCCGTCCCTCGTTTAATCCCCCTCACGCAGCAATGAGGGTCCCGAGCCTCGTCTCTTCGTTACTGCTCCCGGTGCTGGCTGCGGCCACGCCCCTCCAAGACCGTCAAGCACAGGAATATGAGTACATTGTGGTCGGCAGCGGTGCCGGCGGCGGTCCGCTTGCCTGCAGACTGGCCATTGCCGGGCACAGGACTCTCCTGATCGAGGCTGGAAACGACCAGGGCGGCAATGTCAACATCACCGTGCCTGGTTACCAAGCTGTCGTAACACAGGACCCAAAATTAAGCTGGGATATCTTTGTCAACCATTACCAGGACCAAGAGCGCGCCAAACGGGACCCCAAGTACACGTATGAGACTGGTCCCTACCAGTATCACGTTGGGCCCAACCCACCATCAGGAGCCACGCCACTAGGCATACTCTACCCCCGAGCCGGTATGTTAGAACCAGAATTTTGAGTGTTTCCAATAATTGAATGTAAAAACTGACGTCTGTTACAGCAACGCTCGGGGGCAGCGTAACACACAATGCCCTGATCTGGATAACGCCGCATGCGAGCGACTGGAATGGCATCGCTCAACTCACCGGGGATACCTCATGGTCCGCAGCGAACATGAACCAGTACCTCGACCGTGTTTATTCCTGGCAACATGTGGAGCCAACAGACCCAAGCATCCTGTTGCAAGACCTGAAGCTCACCCGACAGCTGGCCAGCGGCGCTGCTGTGATGGGCGTGGGACCAGACCCGTTGGCTGCTGTTACCGGGCTCACAAAGACCCTGTTGGTCGATCCCAACAGTCGAACGAACCCCAACCGCGATAGTGCTCAGGGCTTCTTTCAGATCCCTCTCATCATGAACGACGGCACCCGGATCTCTATCCGCGACTATATCACAGACACAGTTTCCAAGGGCTATCCCCTTACTGTGCGCCAAAACAGCCACGTTACCAAAGTCGTCTTCGATCAGAGCGGTGCAACGCCTCGAGCAACGGGCGTTGAGTTCTTGGACGGCAAATATCTTTACCGAGCCAGTCCACTGAGTGGTGCGTCGGGAACTCCTGGGTCAGCCACAGCGACAAAAGAGGTTGTCCTCTCGGGCGGCGCATTCAACACCCCTCAGATCCTCAAGCTCAGCGGAGTCGGCCCCAAGGCTGAACTGGAGGGACTCGGCATCCCAGTGATCAAAGACCTGCCTGGGGTTGGCACCAACATGCAGGACCGCTATGAAATCAACATCAATGTGAAGCACCCCACAGACTTCAAGCTCTTGGATGGCTGCACCTTCGACGGCAAGGCCCAAGACCAATGTCTGACCCGCTGGCAAAACAACCCTTACATCCTCGGGGCTCGTGGAGCCTATGCTACCAACGGACTTGCCGCCACCATGGCCGTCAACTCCAAGGCTGCAGCCAACTCCGATATCGACTTGTACATCTTTGGTGGCCCTGTTGACTTTACTGGGTATTTCCCTCGATGGGGCGACGCCGCGGTGAGGGACCACAAGCATTTCTCGTGGTACACCCTCAAGGCCCACACGCGCAACCGCGCTGGCACAGTCCAGCTTCGGTCAACAGACCCGCTCGACACCCCCATCATCAACTTCAACTACTTCGACACGGGCACGACAGAAGGCGGCGCGGACGACCTCGACCTGGCTGCTATGGTGCAAGCGCTCAACATGTCTCGGGAGGCACTGAAGCGGTACAACTCCTACGCGATCCTCGGAGGCGACAGCTTTGTGGAGGAGAGACCCGGTCCCAACGTTGTCTCGGACGCCGACCTGAGGACGTACATCAAGGACCACGCCTGGGGACACCATGCCTCGTGTACGTGCCCGATCGGGGCTGACAATGACCCGCTGGCAGTCTTGGACAGCAAGTTTCGCGTCAGGGGTGTGCAGGGCCTGAGGGTCGTCGATGCGAGCGTTTTCCCGCGGATCCCAGGCGTCTTCATCCAGGCCCCGATCTTTATGATCAGCGAGAAGGCGGCAGATGCCATTCTCAAAGGGTGATCTGAGCTTCTGGCGCCGCAAGGCAGGTTTTCTGGGCCAGGGATACAGTGTCTAAATTATTAGGTTGATAGAGGGGGAGGAAAGTCAACACTGCTTTCGCCAGCTAGCGTGCATCCTTTCCCATCTGGAAACGGTCAACGAGTTTAGATGTTTTCATGATAATATAATTATTTGCTTGTAAGCTCCCCCACTGTGTTCTTGATTGCGTGATGCACTGAATTTCAACCGTTCTTCGTCTTGTCGTTCGTCCAATCTTCTGCTTTGGAAGAACAATTGATGTGCGCCTGAATAGATTGGGAATGAGGTACCTCAGATCTTTTCCAGCTTGCCGTCTCCAAAACGGCAGTCACAACTTTCCCTCGTGCTTCTCCTTCTCTCCTCTCCATCTTTTTCCTGTTGGACTTGACCAAGATCCATCGTCAAGCTGACGACGGGTTCCCAATCTTCTCGTCGTTTCCACCTGGCCTCTTTCCTTCCAGCACGCATCGCGACCATGGCTCAAACCAGGTTCCTGTGGTATGGCCTCCTCTGCGCCAACGTTGCTGCCGCCTTTTGGGGAGGAAAGAAGCAGGTGACCACCAGCCCCCGTCACGATCTCAACCTCAGCCCGTTCGAGATCCTGCAATCAGGCTGGCAGCCCTCCGAGGTCTACACCGTCGCCTTGAACGAGCTCCAAGACCTCGAGTCCGAGCCCCTCTGCCACAGGATCGCCGCGCGACTGCTGGTTGGCAATTGCCAGTTACTCGATGGAAAGAACGAGGCGACCGTGCTCACCGACAGCGGTCGGCAGATCCGAGACTTTGTCGACTCATACGCCGCGAGCATGGCCATCTGCGACCTCGAGCGCGGCAGGTTCACCATCCCCTCCGTTTGCGAAAAGTTTCGTGAGCCCACCCTCGGCCAGCTGTCGCTCGACGGCCAGGCTCGACTCCACGTCACTTCTCGCGAGATCGACCACTGCCTTTCGGGCCTGGCTGCGGAGAACTCGGCATGGTCGACCTGGGTCAGCTACCGCCACAAAGCTTTGAGGTTCTGCGAAGCTGCGAGGGCAGACCAGGAGAAGGGTAAGCACGCAAGCTAATCTTGTCCTACCGCTACCATTAACTGACAAATTTGTCCCACATGCAGCTCAAAACATCCTCCTATACCAGCGACTCATCCAGGTCATGGCGAAAATGACACACGGCGTCGAGGTCGAACTCCAAAAGCATATGGAAAACCTCGATCTCCGGGTGCAGAGGACGGGCGCCGTGATTCAAGACCTTGGACCTGAGCTCGACCGTTTGAGAGACAGGTTAGCCAAAGTTGACGACTACATCTCCCAAGGGCTGGAGAGCACATTGAAGAAGTCCACCGAATCAATCAGAAATGGTCTCAATGACGCCGCGAACTTGCAACAAATACTTGCGGTGATGATGCAGACTGTGCTTGATGGCACCTCACACGTTGCTGCTGCACAGGAGAGGAGTATGGAGGTCTTCAGCAAAGGAGGCAATGACCTGGACGAATGGGCCGCGGTGGTGGCCAGAGCTTCTGCTTCCGCCTTGTCACTGAACAGCCAGATCGTGAGTGACCCTGACTTCAAACAGCTTCAACAACCTAGCTAACCAATCATTCTCTGCATCAGGAATCATCACGCCTCGACCTACTGGAGCTGTCTGCACGACAGCAAGCACTGGCTGGAGGCTTGGATCGTCTCACTTCTGCGGCGGAAACTTTGTCTCTGCGTCAAAACGACCATGCCCAATCTCTAAACGAGGCCCAGAATATTACAAATGACATCCTCGATACCCTCGATGAGGTAGCCGCCTCGGCCATGATCCTAGAAGGGGCCTCACACTCTTATCTCGGAGGGTCGGGCCTCTTCAGGTGGATCTCCTACATCGTCAGCCCTGTTGCGACTCTGATGCTGGGCTCATACGGCCTCCCGCCGTCAGCCATGCGCAACTTGGGCTTGGTCGTCCTTGGGGAGTTCGTCGGCTTCTTGGTTTGCCATGCCGACCGCATCTTTGTCCCCTGGTCCTTCCTTGCTACGACTCATGCGATGGACAATACCACGTCTACCAGCCTCTAGTGCGATGTTTCCGGTGGGTAGCATTTGGGCGCGCCAAGTTTTAGATCGGGGATGGGACTGGGTTCGATGCATGTTTACACTTTTATGGGTTACGGGCGATGCTTCATCATTACCACTTTGCTACATCATGATGAGATCTGGGCTGCGTTTCCCCTTTTGGGGATAAAGTTGATGACACATGAGAGATAGCTGCCAGATGAGATGATTTGCTATCATCGCTATACACATCAGGCAATATGAATACATTGCATTTGACAGATACTTTGCAACGTTTGTTTCGATAATAATTCTTCTATATCTGGCCAACACCGCTCAGACCAGATTTCTTTTGCCGCTAGGATAAATTGAAGGAACCTAATCCAGGGTCCAAACGCAGGGTCGGTCACATATGTTTGCTGAATGGGCTCTGAGCGCACAAGTCAAGGCCCATCTCATACCATTCGTAGATGAGCCAAATGTCTTTGCACGAGAATTGGGATGACCCAGCCCTCATCTGTCCAATGACGCGATTTCCTCAAACCCATTGAGGTCCATGATAAACATCTATCTGACATATTACTAGGTACCCGGCCAAGTATTGCCCTGTTTTCAGTCAGCCAAAATGCTACTGTGCAGAACATAGTGGTGACACTGGAAATGCACTTGAGTCTAACCAATTATTTGCAACTTTGCCTAAGCCCAACCTGAATAATATCGTTCTAAGTGACCTTTAGTTGATGATCCGGGCCGTGATAATTGTGGAATATTGAATTTTGCACAATTATCCTTAAGATTTCGCGCTAGTTGGTATGTTTACTTTCGCGCCGTCTCCTGGACTTGAAACATTGGGGGTGTCCACACATGGACAAGTTGGTCGATATCCATCCATTCAGGGACTCTGGCCTCAACTAGTACAGTGGAAAGATTGTATAGTATGTGTGGTCTGTACGGTCTAAAAGAATTGGTATTAATGAATTGCCAGAAACAAGACACAGGGAACAAATAAATATGATCCATCTCCCTGCTCCTCACTTCCGTCTGGTCTTCCTACCCTCAATATCAACCAGTTTTCCAAACACACACAAGCAACTATCCCACCTCGACAACTACAGTTATCCTCAACCAAAGCCAGAATAGCTTCTTGTCTCAACACCATCAAGTTTCTATTCAAGAACCGGAAACTCCTCTGTCATTACACAGACCTCTTTCCTCGTCTGTTCTCTGCTTCACCAGCAAGCACTCTTTATCGACACACAAGAGAGACTTCAGCCGCCACACTGCAGAGAAGTTCTCCCAAGCTTACAACCGTCGTCTACATCCAAATCTTACACGCCAAACTACTCACACAACATGGCACCCGGCAACGTTACTCCGTTCGACGAGGACGACACAGTTCCTCAGTCCGAGCAGATAATAATGAAGTGCTGTCAGAAGACACGTGCGTTCATGCGTGACTGCGAGTGTCCAGTCCCTCAGGGTCCGTGCATGGCACCTGAGATTGTTTTCACACACTACCGCCCCGAATGTGTTTGCTTCTCTTGTGAGTGGCTAAGGGAGACCAAATTGTTTTACATCCCCAACAGGATTCCGGGACGATCAGGGCAGCAGGTTCAGAACCCCACGTACGCCGGGGGCAACACAGACGATGTGCTCACAAAGGATTCAAGTCATCCTTGCACTATTGTCCACCCGGTTCTTCTGAATGAAAACCCATTACAGTGGGAATGGGTCATCCGCCCCGGCGACGAAACCCAGCTCCCGTTCCTGGCTCCCCTCGACCAAAGTTCCGGTGTCTTGAGGGTCACCCTCGACAGCAATGGACAATGGAAAGCACTCTACGCAAACGGCACATGCTCTCCTCTCCGCCATGATACACGTCCTTTCTGGGACAAGCTTTACCGTGATTATGGCTACGCCCAAGGATATAGCCCAGTAAGTATCTTCCACACCTGTCTCGTGTGAAACTTTCTGTCTTGGTACTAACTCTCAATGCAGTATGGTCCCAAGGGTGACAGCGGATCCAGCCTCACTCCGGATCAGGTAAACCCGGCGGACTACAAGCCACCACGGCTGCCAAACAAGTCCCGCGAAAATTCCGCCGCGCAGAACAACACGACCTTGTTTATCGGCGGCATCAACGAAAGCGTGACTGATGAGAAGCTTGAGCAACTCTTCCTGCAGTTCGGCCAGATCACCTACGTGAACAGGCCCCACCAGACCAGCGGATTTGTTCAGTTCGCGTTGCGTCGCGACGCGCTGATGGCCATGCTCCAGATGCAAGGCGTCCCCATCTACAACTGCCGGCTCCGCATTTCCTGGGGCGATCCCAAGGTGAAGAATCAGTGGAGCATCCAAAGAAGGGCTGGACAGCGGCCTTTCAAGGGCAATAAGCACCAACATCTTCAGCAGCCCCAGAGCGTGCCACAGCAAATGACCCAGGGCTTCAACGACATGCCAGGGCCTCAGAACCAACAGCAGCAGTACGGGATGCCTGAATGGGTCTACGCTCCTGTTCCCTACACATTCTATTATCTTGGACAGGGTTATCAATACCCCAACCAGCAACAGACGGGATATTGCCCTCAACACATGGCTCATCCACCACCACCGCCTCCTGCTCCGGTCACAGCGCCTCACCCTCAATCAGCCTTGCCACAAGGCGCTCATGGTGGCCATGCATCCAGCTTGAACGCTTCAGTAGCCTCGTGGAAGGGGAGTCTGAACGGCAAAGACCCAGTCATTGTCCCCTCTGACGCGGTGCCTAATCCTTCCCAAGAGTCACACGGCCAACCAGCTCCTAGGTCAAACAGCGCTTCCTCACTCGAGTCTAACCAGCAGACAAACGGATCTTCTGGAGATGAGAAAGTACCCAAGACTACTGGGAAGACAAGTCCTGAACGCGATAACCAACTCGCAGGCCGTTCGAAGTCAGTCATAGGCTTTGCAGGCGAATTTTATACCCGAGTTGACAGGCTCAAAATATCAGACTCCACAGGGTATCATACAGAATAGCTCTAACTCTCTAGAAAACTTTGGGGACTAACCCCCATATAGGACACTGTTGCATTCCTCGGTCAAAGTGTGAGTGTGGTCAGGTCTATGGAGGAGAGATATACATACGACACCAAGAGCTGAAGCAAGAGCAAGATCCAACCGAGAAAGACAAAGGGACAAAAAGTCCCCCCGGGGAGGATAAAGACACACACAAAAAAAAACCCCCAAAAAAGTTTTGGTTTGGTAGAGCAGTGGCTGTAGCGCCCAGTATCCCATCCACTCCGCAGACAGCTTCTCCTAGAAATATACAACTTATGTGTTCTTTATCTGAATAGATACATTGCAATACGGTGACTTTGTTTTATTGACGATCAACGGGCGCTTTGGTGCCTAGAACTGCGATCTGCCCACTGACTGGCCGTTCTGATGATTGGGCAGAATAACCACACAAAAAAAGAGGGACCGCCTACACCAGGTTTGCGTTTCGGTTTGTTTTCATTTTCTCCCGCCGGTTCTTTTCTTTTCCTCCCTTAAGCAGACAACCTGGGGCAGCAGAAATCACCTTGAGCTCAGGCCTGCAAATCACAAGCTGCTCGCCATGTCCAGAGCGATCGTTAGCCATCAGGAGATGTTGGGGCATTCCGATCGATTGATGAGATGACGTTGGAAATCGGACGCGCCACAAGGTGTGGCTGGAACGGACAGGGTCGCCAGGCATCTGGGGCTATCCCTGTCCTCCAAAGGAATGGCACCGGTTTGTTACGACATAAGCCGCCCCGTCGGTTAGCACTCGCCCAACGACAAGCTCCCGCCCGCCACCCCTGTTTCCGCGTCGAGGGGGTGTGGCACAGCTGAGGTGTGGCACGCATGACATCACCTCGCATGGCCCTGACGACGACTGACTTACACATGCTTTTGTCCTAGGCTGTTGTGCCACGGTTATATATCGACCACCATTTCCTTTCAAACGCAGGCTCCTTCTGAAGTGGATTTATTATTGTACGACTCTCTTACAGTTTGCACACACATACACACACACTCAACTTCGGTACACACTTGTCACCACTCAAAGGCAACATGAACAACAACTCAAACAACGGAGGAGTTACAGGCGCTGCGAAAACTGTAACTGGCAGTGAGTCCATCCCAATCTCCGTTTAGCAGTCCCTCTCATTCTTCCGAAAGTTACTAACATCCTGCCAGTTCTGGGGAACACCGTATCTGGTGTGTCCAACACCGTCGGGGGCGTAGTCGGTACGTCATGATCATTTCTAATTCTTGCACTAGCGGGGCGAAGATCCCTATCTCTAAATATCACGATACCAGTAGCTAACCTTTCAATTTATAGGTGGAGCCACTCGTGGTTTAGGAGAAACTGTTAATGCAGTCACTGGTGATGTTGCCAAGCCTGTGGGGGACGGAATTGCGAATGTAGGAACTGGGGTTCAGAACGGATTGTCTGATGTGGCCAAGGGGTCCCGGGATGCTGGTAACTGGAAGAAATAAATGGAGTGGATGCTGTCTGCGGGTGTTTCTTCTTAATAATGTCATCAGTGGATAGGTAACTTAGGACTCAAATTGCCTGGTCTGCTCAATACTTCAATGGCTTTAATGAACTCTCTTAATGAAAGCGGCGTCAAAATTATAAGAAGCAGGCCCTATGCATGCAATCGTAGAAGCTTAGTGTCTAGCTTAACGAAATACACTATATCTTTGTACTTCCTTGCATCCTTTTTTGACGATCAGCTTCAGGTGATTCGAAGTGTTGGTGTGATCTAGTCTAAGTCTGGGATGTACCTCTGGTGCTACCAGCTGGAGACAGCGTTTTGCTGCATTCAATTTACCACTGTGCATGAGAGTCACAGGATGCTTCTTGTGTGAGGACAGGTTGATGGAATCTCCTTCCGCCAGTATGGCTATGTGCATCATGGCCTCGAGGCTTTTGAACTGTCCGGCCTCTTAAAGTGTTATTCACTTATCTTCACAGAGATGTACGACCCATTCATTTCATGTCACAATCATTGTTGGTGCAAGAGCCTGCCGGCTACCCAAAGAGTAAGAGATCACGGTTCGATTTGCTGGAGGACGACCCGTGGACTTGTCTCTACAATGAGTTGATTGTACAATAGTAACAAAGTCTTCTAAATACCGCTCGCTCCCTATGCGTATGATTATCTTGCGTGCTTGAGGAAAACAGCTTTCTCAGCACAACTTGTCCAACACAGCTCTCCCTAACATTCCTTGCACCGGCCTTGACCGGTCCTGGCCTCTGTAAATTTACAAGTGACTCCCCTCAAACACTTGGTCGTTTCAAATGAGCTTCAATCCCTCCTCGGCACCGATATCAGATCTTGACTGAATGGTCTGACAGCCGTAGGCACTCATCAAGTCGACGGGCCGGCAGGCGAAGAAGCCGAAGCTTCAGTTGCGCACTCTGGGACAGCAAATCCAAACTCCTTGCACTTCTCCACAAATCCCTTCGTGGCCCGGTCGTTCAAGTACCCAGATTTAATCTTCCTTTCCTTCTCAAGCAGGTCTAGCATGAGGCGCTCAAGCCGAACGTTGCCCCAGCCGCCTGCCCTGTCGCCAAACATGGTGATGAGGGCCAGGAGGGAACACATGCTCTGGGCACCATCTCCAAACTTCTGCTCACGGACCCACGCCCTTCTCTCGTCGTCGTTGGTGTCTGGCCTGAACGGGCTCATCGCGGCGCATTTCCACATGTCCAAGGGCAAGATGACCTTGTCTATGACACCACCAAAGACCATGCCTGCGATACCGCAGCACTCTTCCGAAACATCATCGAGAGGAAACATCAGGCGTGGGATCTCTGCCTGTGCCACTCGGGAGAACGCGTCGATGTAGGTCAGCATGTCTACCTCCTGCCGCCGCTTCTGTTTGCTGGGAGAGCCCTTCTTGGTGTCGGCCGACCCCTCCACGGCGTTGGACGCCAAAACAATCTTGCGGATGTGACTCTGTTGGGCCTTCATCGATCCGTGAGAGTATAGGTTCTCTCGGACAGCATCCAAGAGTGGCATGGACTGGTTGGCCTCAATCCTGAGAAGCGGATTCACGCGTCTGCCTGGCCCATTGCTGTGGTCTTTGCCACGAAGCATCACCCCCCTTCCCTGTTCAGCCACCATCATCCCAGCGGTCTCGTTGTTCTTGATGCGGGTGAAGAGCTCCTCCGCCTTGGGGATGTCGCCGGTGGCCATCCTTTGGTAGAAGTCCTTGAGTGGCAAGCCCCATAACAGGAGCATGCGGTTGCGGCAAGTTCTCAAGTCCTCTGGTGGACCAGACCCCTTCCAGACCGGCCTGGGTCCGATCATACCGAGTGCTGCGTGTAGATCGGGCCAGATCTTCTGGAAGTCTGCTGTCGCCTCGCCGTACGCTACCGTGAGCCAGTTCATTATGTGGGCGAGAGGAACTAGAAACCATTTGCTGTTGACTGACGAGACACGATCAAGATAGCAGTTGTAAGACAGATGGAAGAGAACCATTCCTGCAAGGACTGGGTTCGTCTGTAAGGGAAGCTCTGAGAGCTTCTTGAGTCCTTTCTTCCTCTGCCTGTTTGGTAGATCCACGTGCCCGGGAATTCGCCCTTTCAGCCAGCTTTGTTCCTTGTCAACCATCCCTCTGAGGAACTTGAAGTCTTCTGGCAGTTGCTGTATGTCCCCATAAAGGTACCGGCTGAAAAGATTCGCGTCACCTCCCAGCTTCTTGTAATCTTCGGAAACTTGAGTGGGGATGTCCACTTGCCGGGCTTCAGACTCTGCTGTGCGGATATCGTACAAGACATGCATGGTGAGGATCTTGCGAATGCTGAGATCGTAATTCTTGGTCCACATAGTAGTGGCGATATCCTTCGGCGTCACAAAAGCTGTGGGGTTCTTGCCGAGAAAGACCATCCCGGCATATATGTCGAGGAAAGTATCCAGGAGTCCCCTAGCAGCGGTGCGAAGGTCGCAATCAAGTCCCAGACCATTCAAAACAGCATCCAAGTCCCTGGACCTTTCCGCAGTTGTGCGACAAGCTTGCTTGAGAATCCAGTCATCTGGCTGAGCATACATACTCAGGACCGCATAGTTTGCTGGCTTGAAAACCCAGTCCTCCAGCTCATCGGACGGCGCCCATCCTGAGGCTTCGGCTCCCGGCTCGTGCTCTTCACCCGGCGATTCCACCTGAAGCTTGGCAGCTGCTTTTCCTGATTTCGTCGTGTATTCAGTGCTCTTCTCGGTGCGAGTTCGGTCTTCTTTGTATTTGTCTGACAGATGGTTGAAGAGGTCAAAGAATCTGGGCAAGGAAACACCTTGCCTACGCTCAGATATACCATACTTGAGATCGTAGGACTCCTCTATCTCTGCGAACAGCTCAAAGGCTTCTTGCGTCGTGATGGCTGCCGAAATGATGTCGATCTTACGAGAGTGGTACTCGGCCCATTTCTGGCGGAGGTACTCACGGATCTTGTTCGCATCGTCAAAGAGACAGTATAGCTCCAGGAACTTATCCTCCGTCAGCGCCTGGGCCTTCTTTGACACCCAATGCCTCACAGCCGGCGGCGGATCAGAGGATTGGTTGATAGTATTGACCGCCTGATCATCATCTTCCATTTCAGCAATGTCCTCAGTCTCAAGGTTTGCGAAAAGGTTGGTGAGCTCAGCAGTCTTCTCGTCTGATGCTCCGGATGATGTCGAGTGGGCAGATGGGATCGCAGCGGGCGCGAAGAGGTCGTGAATGTACTGCAGGACGTCGATGAATGCTTGGTGCGAATCATTAGACTGCTTGATGCCCTTGTTGGCTTCTTCGGAGGAGTCTTGAGAGATCTGGTTGCTGTACCACGCGTGATACTGCCTTCGTATCTTCAGCGCATCCTCAAGTGAGTGGAGAACTTCGTACGGCATCGAAGCACCTGCGCGTTTGGCTTGAGATGCAAGGCTGAGGAGGTCTGGGTATCGGTCAGCAAATTGTGGTCCTTATTCATCCATAGCAAATATAAGACCGAGGGCGAGAGCCAATGTGATGGAAACAGCCAACGCGTGTGCTTACTTCTGATGCTTGTATCCTCCAATCTTGTGTCGAGAATTATGCCAGTATTTGCTAAAGCGTCCGAGAGCCATGTGAACATGGCCTCAGTTCCCAGCTTATACCAGCGGTAGGTGTTTGAGGTGAGTGAGCTCATGTTGTCTGTTGTGCAAGTCGATGTGCAAGTCGACGATGAGCTTCGTGTTGGTACACTCGGTGTCGGTCACACTCGGTGTCGGTCACACTCGGTGTCGGTCACACTGGAGGGCTCTATCAAAGTTGTGGTACCTTCGTTTGGGCCTGTGTTGTGATGATAGCGCGGTTGGTTGGCCCGTTCAAGTTGATTTGAATTCACGCGTTGTACCGCGTTGTGCCAGTGGCGCGTCTCGTAGTCAATGGCAGCCTTCTGAGATTCTCAATGTTCTTCTCATGACAAAGGGTTTTGATGAATGGATGTAGAAGGGGGTATGGGTGCAACGGGTATGGACAGGTGCTGCGTTGTGCAAGAAGTAACGGTCTCGTGGTAAATGTTGACCTCGAGAAGCTGTGTGGTTTCTGGCAGGCCATATCGATAGTTTCTATCGATACGGTGGCTTCTAGACTTAGATACCATATCTATGTCCCGACTGCGGAGTAACCAGCACGCATGAATACAGCGGCGCAATGCTGTGTGAATTTCTGGTGGATAGCCATGAGGACTCTGTGAATTGTTGCCGTGCTTGAAAGACAGCAAGGCGCTTGAGCAAACGATTTTATCTGGAGCATGCAGACTGATCTTTCTTTGAATCGAATGCATAGACCTGCCGTGAAATCCTCATGATTTATCCTTCTTCCCAGCCCAAGCGAGTATAGTCTGGGTGAAAGCACTGGGGTTCTCTTCAGCACGCCAGTGTCCGGAGCCGGGGATGGTCGCAGTCTCTGTCGCCTCATATACTTCCAGGTTCTGGTCTGCCGCAGTACTGGCCATAAAGCTTCCATCTCCGTTCAAGGACATGCAGGGCACCGCACACTTGCCGTTGTTGGCCACCCAGTCCTGGTTCTCCTCAGCGTCCTTGTGGAACGCCCTGTACACATCGAAGCCTGCCCTCGTGGCGCCCACCTTCTCAAACATACTTGCATAATAATCAACATCTGATGGGCTGATGGCGGAGGAGTTGATACAGAGGCGGTCGTAGAAGTGCTTTATATGCTGTCTCTCCCTGCCCTGGGTAAGCAGCTCGGGGAGGTCTGTCTGCCAGTGGAAGTGGAAGTGCCACACTCCAGGGTGGTCCCGGCAGAAGTTATCGTAGACCTTGGTCCCGGGCATTGGGAACTCCCCATGAGCCACACTGGCGGTGTCTTTGGAAAAGCGAGAGGCGTAGGCGTGAGCCACCATCCCGCCTATATCATGCCCAACCACATGGACCGGCTCAGTGATTCCAAGGTGCTCCGTCAGGAGCTTGTGGATGTCAGCTGCCATCAGTGTCTTCTCATACCCGTCACGGGGCTTGGAGGAGTGGCCCGCTCCTCGGTAGTCCGGGGCGATGACGGTGTAGCCTGCGTCAGCTATTGGCGTGATGACATGACGGAACTGATAGGAGCATTGGGGGTATCCATGGATCAGCAGTATTGTCCTTTTCGGCTCTGCATGTGCTGGCGGAGGGCATCTGACATAATTGATGAAGTTCTCGCTGTGTCACCCAACGGCTGTCGTCGAATTGCTTGGTGTTGACCATCGTCTGTGGTGGTGGTGTGGAAATACAGATATGGAGGAAATAAGGGGTTGAATCAGGATGTCGAGATCGACTCAAGGGTAGCCCGATGTTTGATTGCTGTCGAACTGGGCACTTTGTAGTCCACATTGCTTCCAAGTTGTCAAGACTCTTCTGCGCCATAATGACGTTCCCCTCATGCAGATCTCTGGCAATGGACTCTTGGTTTCTAATAGTCCGCCTGTTCAATTGCGGTTGCCAAGCTAAAGGGCGCGGCTCCAAGACTAATTCCATGTGTTAGCCATGCATTAGGGTAAGACAATGGGTTTACAGGAGTGTGGGGATGCGAACGGAAGCTTTCGAGTCTCACCTGTTCTTATACTCAGTATATTGCTCACCACCACCACAGTTTGCATCGCTCCGTTTTGTCCGTGCACGCCAAGTGACTCTTCTAACAATTGCCATTCCCTGGGCTTACTGCTGCCCCTATTTTGTATCCTTGCAGATATTTGGCCAGCAGGCTGGCCCACGGCGATTGGAAAGCTGTGCAACAAGAAAACCACAAGCTTGTTGTGCATTGGCTCCACTTGCTTGTTTGACGGCGATACGGAGGAGTCATTGAACTCAAGGCTGAAATTCTGCGTCGCTTGCCAAATGTAGACTTTTGACATTGTTACGTCCGTAATTGCCGAACAAAACTCCGGAGCCAAATACAACGGATTTCTTAGTTCAAGGACAGGTGAGGGCCTTGAGTCGAACAAGTATAGAACAGTGGTACAAAATTCTCCTCTCTGAGTTCATCATGAGTGTCGCCGGGTGCTGTGGTCCCCCCATTCAGACAGCCGTCGATGGTTAGCACCCACCAGATGGAAGCCCGTGTCCACGGCCTCACTCAACGGCGATTCCAGCAAGTGCCCAGGAGAGATGGTGTGTGGGTGTACTACTTCCTCCACGGCCAGGAGCCGAGGCGAGTTCGGAATAGTAATGCTCCCGTCCTCTTTTTGAGTAGAAGATTCCCCGTATCGCCGCAAGGCAGGATCCTGCACGTCCTCCGGCTTCAGCATGCGGTCCAGCAGCTGGACCACCTCTTCAAGGCCAAACAGATGCGCGATGTCGCGCTGTGTGACGCCCTCCCTCAGATTGTGCCCTGGGTTCTGGGCGAGCTCGGACGCCCTGTGGAACCACTCGCCGAAGCCCTGGGTGTTTGAGTTGCACAGCCGGGCGCACATGTCGAGCTGGCTGGGGGTGAGGTCCGGGGCGACACAGTGGTAATGAACCGTCCAGTAGCGGCCGGCGTACTCGAGAAACCGGCCTGCAAACTGGTCACTGAAGAGGTTCTCCGCTATGGAAAGGCGGCGGGAGGACTTGACGTTGAGCAGGGACAGATAGTGCAGGCAGATGTCCAGCACCTCGTGGTGTGCGTGCTTGAGGACGATTGACTTGTGCCACTTCCCTCCTGGAGGTCTCGGTATGGAATAAGGTGCGCCTCTCGGATAGGAGCCATGCGTTTGGACGAGAAGGAATTCCCTCGCGGTCTGGTGGACTAGGTATATTGTATTTCTTACAATTCTTACGAAGTGGCCACAGAGCTCCTTCGCACGCTCCTCGAAGTTGTGCACGACGTCGAGTTTGAGATCCTCAAAAGTCGTCTGGTTCGTACTTACAGCCATCGCGACACTCAGTTCCGACAGCGTCATAGGCCTGATAGCGCCAACGACAATCTGGAGCAACTTCCATGCCTGGGACGCATCAGAGCTGTGGTCGAGCATTCTCTCATATATTTGGAATATATCGCCCCGAGCATCGAGAATGCTGATTAGTTCTCGCATGGATGCCCCTTTCTTGGTCTCCAGGAGGCCGATGACTAGGGTGGTCCAGAGGAAAGTCCTATCTGCTCCCTTGATCAAGCCTGCTCGGACATCTGCTAAGACTTCTCTTGGTATGCCTCGGCGGGTGGCGTTTTCAATATGATGCTCAATGACAAGCTCGACGTCTTGGCTGATTGCTTCTGGCTCATCCTCTCCTCTGAGTCGAATAGTTGGGAGGACGTCAAATGCATGTTTGATATCGTTTCCGGGGCGGCTTGCGATGATTGTCTTTACAAACGGAGGGTCTGTGAGACTGCTTCCCTCCCTGGCGCTGTAGAACCGGGTGAGTGACTGCAAGAGCTGATGTCTTGTGGACGGCTCGCACTCGTCAAGGCCGTCGAAGACGAGAATCACGTCTCTTGAGGATGGTTCCGTGGTGGAGATGTCCAGAAGCTTCCACAACGAGTTGAACGAGCGCAGAATATCCTTGCCTTGGTCCAGGAACTGGTTGGTCACATGTCTTAGTAGCCATGGCTGAGCAGTGTATAGTTGGTGAAGAATGGCTGAAATTGCGTGTGTGGCATCGTTTTGTTCGCTATTATCTTCCTTGAAGAAAAAGTAACAAACGATTTCTGGAACTTGAATCTTGTTCTCCGAGCTCTTCAAGTGGTCGATCAGATATGATGTGAGGACAGACTTTCCGCATCCAGCGTCTGCTGAGAGCCAGAGGAGGTCGGAACCCTGTTTTTGCCTCCAATTCCGGTACTTCTCATGGCGAATCAGCCACTGGCAAGTTCCGGGTACGGCGGGTGGGTATCGATCCTTGTGTGCCTCATAATTGGAGTTATGCAACAGTCTCAGAAAGTTCATTTGGGCTTTCCGTTCTTCCTTCTGTCGAGCTGCTTCAAGTCTCTGCTGGCGCTTGATTTCGGTCTGGTTGATGGACTCGGCTACGTCGTCGTGATTTGCGCGGCCAAAGTCTTCGCCGAGGTGGTCCAGCTTCCACTGTTGTTCCACGTCAGTTGGCCAGGGTTCGTTCAGCTTCCGGCTGGAGGACCGTTGAGATAGACCCCTCAATGGGACCTTGCCGCCGTTTCCGGAACTGGTTCGATCTAGGACGCCCATAGTAACTTGCTCTGGTGAATGAGTTAGCACCTGACTGATGAGACTGGGCGGGTCATGCCGTTGACCTACTCGGGTTGGACGCAGAGCCTGCCAAGTTCTGGATGTTGGTCCAAACGCAGCGGTACCTCTGCTCGTCAATACTGTCGAACCTGCACATGGTGCGATGGTTTCCTGTGATTCCAATGGTGACTTCGTCCGGAAAGCCGAGCACAGCCGAGTCTTCATCAACCACGCGTTGGTTGAGAAAATCCATCTTGTCTGTTTCGTAGAAGCTGATGATCTGAAGAGTCTTCGCCCTGTCGACAAAAGACTTGGAGATCTCTTGCAACTGCCCAGACTCGGTTTGAAGGTGTTGAGAGAGCTTCCAGTTTGTCTTGCTGCCGAGGCTGGCATAACTGGCGACATTGCCGAGGACAGTGCTCCAGTTTGCCAGTGAAGAGCCTCGGTGTGGGGTCCCAAAGAACATGATGCCGTGAACAGACTGGAGCAGATCGTGATACCGATCTCTCTCATGGGCCCTGATTATGGCCTGCGGGTCATTAATAGTGAGCTCGTATCAGCTTGGCAGAGAGCCTACCTTCTTTACCACGATCCCGCCAAGGCTGTGACAGATGAAGATGATGGGACGCGTCTCGGGAACATTCACGCGCCTTGACAACAGTGACTCCAGAAGCTGCTCAGCGAATGTTCCGACGTCCGAGGTTGACTTGCTCAAGAGCAATACAGAGTCGTAGCCAAATGACATGATGCGGGCATGTGGGATCTGCTGTGGCAAGAAGTCCCGAAGCCACATCGCCCCTCCACCCTTTGAGGTTGACTTATCTGACTGCCATGTCTTCTCCCAGTGACCATTCAGGCCATGGAGGGCGACTATGTCGATGGCGTCAGGATCATTGTCGTCTTGAGGCTCCAGGACGAATAGACCCCAGCGTTCTTTTGGACTAGTGGTAGTTCTTCGCGTGGAGAGTTGCGTATCGGAACGAAGAGTATCGACCTCGCTCGGTGCCACAAGAGTGTCGAAAGTCGTGCCACGCGGTGCCTTGCCTTCGCTTCCAGCCTCATCAACGCCTGGGCTAGCGTCGATGATCTCGGCAACCTTTTTCCTCTTCCAAGGAAGCTGGAGCCGCATAACTGGCGTGGCTTGATCTTGTCTTCTTCGTGCAGACGGTGGAACCGATCAGATCAGGCTGTCACACGAGGACACATGACCTCGACTATAAACAGAGTCCGCGGAGGAAATTGAAAACGATGAACTAACTTTTCAGAACTGATAGGGACCTCCACTGATGCCATTTCGTCTCGCCCGGCCCGGATTGAATCAGGAATGCCAGGATGCAAGGAAATGAAGAAATCCGGTAATAGATGAAAATACTACTTGGCCGACGCTGACTCTTTAACCCCACGCTTGTGCAACGTGGAGGGGCGCAGCCAGACGCATGCAAATGCGGACATAGCTAACCAACTTGAGCCGGCAAAGGTGAGTGTGGCTTGCGATAGCCATGATGCAATATATCTGAATGCCGAATTAAATCTCTGCTCACTCACCGAGGCACCGGCGTGCGGGGACTTGCAAAGTGCATGTGTGGGCAAGTATGCGATTAATCCGTCAGCAGCATGAGTGCCGACAGCGTGCACGAGAACACTTCAAAACTACTAGTTAGCCCGTCTGTCAGCTTCGGAGGCCACCTGAGCCACTAGCACGCATTCGGTGGGAGAAGGGTGGGATGGCAGGTGCATGTGTGGAATTGCATCAGCCCGTTGCTGTCATGATGGTGTTCCGAGGCGGGCAGAGTTTACACTTTGTCTAGGTGAGGGTGTGCTGCGCCTCTTCCTCCAATGCAAATGCGGTGATTTTCAACAGTCTTAACGGAGCCACTGATATGCAAGAATCGCTATAAACTGAGACTGAGTGCCTTGGATCCACATGAATCCCTGTGTAATTGTGCAGCCCTTCTGTTGAACTCAGGGTGCGGTTGTGAGAGATACTGAGGAGTATGTTGTAGTCAAGAGGGTTGAATCAACAACAACACATTCAACGGTTTGGATACTTTTGTGACTGTATCTTGATTTAATATCCCATGTTTACTCCAGTGTGGATCCCACACGCCTCTTCAGATACAATACTATCCACTTGTCCAACAGCCGGTCAGAGACAACAGAGTTCAGGAGTTCGTATCTCGCAAGGGCAGCTGATTCATCGAGGAAACAAAAGACGACTCAGTCTAGATTGATTACCACTTCACTACCAACCACTGGCACGACAATCTCGGGGCTCTACAACGGTCAATCACCCAAGTCACACACACATCAAATCGCCTCGCACCAAGGCAAGCAAGACATCACACGCATGCAAGACGACTGCAGAACAAAATGGGTATCGATCCTTCAATCCGCTCCACTATCCACTCAAGAGCGCGCCAAACGAGTCAAGCTCGAAGACCGCTAGCAAGAAAGCTGAATACAATATTCGCACGCACCTCCATACCGCCCACAAGCGCGCAGGTCCCCTCCGCGTCCACGAGGCTTACCGAGATCCAGGTAATCAAGGCAGGTGTGTCTCCAAAGCCAATGTTCGAGCCAAATCCTGCCGGAAGGGACGCATCTCCAAAAGACTGCTAAGGCATGGGAAAAGACTGAAGGGTATAGGGTTGGATACGAACGTGCGGAAGAACGGGAAATGAAAACGTGCCAGGGGTTCAGAAATTGCCATCCGGAGAAAACATATCGGCCGGGGCCGGGGTATTTGCAATTAAAAACATAAGGATAGATGCCGGATCCTCCTCAGTCGGGCAGAAGAAGACCTCGCGACTTGGGCAGCTCGAACGGGCCAGGATACTGCGGGCCCGGTTGGACGCGTTCGCGTTGTTCTTGTTGATTTATTTGCGAGACTAATGAAGTGGCGAGGCTCCTACGCCACCTGGTTCACATCGTTATTGCTGCTGATCTTGGCGGTTGTGGCCTCCTCCATGCTGCGCAGGATTCTCAGATTTTGCTCGCGCATGTCACTGTCAAGAGACTCGAGCGACGCGCAGGTATGTCTCATCCTAGCGATCTTCATCGTCACATCCGTTAGCACCGATCCTTCAGCGTGCCGAATTGCGCAACCAAGGGACGTGAAGAACAGGGACATCGACAAATGCAGGGAACGGAGGTAAACAGTGCAAGTAGCAAGGGGCTTTCGCACCAAAGCTAGTGCCGCTGAAGAATGGTCCGGCTCACCTTCCGCCGTGGCTCCAGGCGTCTCTCCAGCGGCGGCGGCATCATCTCCCGTTTCATCGGCGAATCTGCTAGCCGCTAAGCCCGTCTTTACGGGTGTCTTGGGTGTTGCCAGAGCCTTTCAGGTTACACCATGAATGGTCAGTGATCCAGTCGCAAGTAGGCGTCCTGGGGGCGGCATACCTTGGCCTCTGCAAGTTCTGCCTCCCTGACCTTGAGTTGCGCGAGCAGCTCCCCGATCTGCGATTCAGCCTTCTCGGCCCGGCCAGTAGCCTCGTTCACAAGCTCCGTCATCGACTCGTGCATGTCCTTGTAGTCCGCCTCCGCCGTCTTCGACTTGGCCGAGGCCTCCAGCTTGTGCGCCTCGAGCTCCTTGGTGATCATCTCGAGGTCGCCCTTGACCGCTTCTAGTTGATCTGCGGCCTTTGTGGACTTGGCCTCAGTGGCGGACATGGCCTCGTCGTACGCCTTCTTGTACTTTCCAAGCTCCTCTCTCAGGTTATCCAGCTCCGCCGTGTCTGGGGTCTTGGGCTGCCTGTTGGCGTCGAGGTCAGCCTCGGCCTGAATCCGGGCAAACTTCTCGTTGGCAAGCTTTCCACTGAGGTCATCAATTTCCTCCTCTGCCTTGGCCAGCTGCGACTTGACAGCCGAAAGGGCATTTTCGAGTTCAGACTTGGACTGTGTGAGCTGCGCTTCAAGCGCCGACGCATGTTGGTTCTTGAGTTCCCAGAGGGCCTTTTCGTGGCTGTCTTTCAAGGTCTCCATCTCGTACTTGACGTCTTCGGCCCCACCGGCATGGTCACTCTTCAACCTCTCAATGGCTTCTGCGTTGGACACGACCAGCTTCTCGATCTCGGCCGAGTGTGATGCCTGGAGCTCTTTCTTTGTGGCCTCGAGGCTAGCAGCATGCTGCTCGTCCATCTCGCTCAGTTTAGCCCGCAGTGAAGCAAGTTCTTCCGTAGATGACCGCGCGGTCTCGAGTTCTTTCTTCAACTGGTCTATATCAGCGGCATGTTCGGCGGATAGCCCCTTCTTGACCTGCTCTATCTGGCTCTCAAGCTCTGTAGCATGCTTGGAGTTGAGTTCAGTCTCCAGGTCATGCAGCTGCTTGGACAAGCTCTGCACCTCTGTAGCGTGCTTTGCGTTGAGTTCGTTCTCAAGATCCTGCAGTTGCTTGGACACGCTCTGCAACTCCGTGGCATGCTTCGCATTGAGTTCCTGCTCGAGCTGCGCCAGCTGGGCCTCCTGGCTTCCTTGGCCGGCAGACTTCGCTGCTGCGAGCTCCTCGCCATGGGCAGCAAGCAGCTGCTGCTTCTCGGATGCACTCTTCTCGTTCAGAGCGTCGATGATCTCCGCGTGTGAGGCCTTTAGGGCTTCCAGTTCCTTTGCAAGAGCCGCTTCGGCCTCGGCCTTGAGAATCTCAATCTGCTGGGTGTGACTGGATTTCAAGCCCTCCAGGTCTCCGAGCAGAGACTCTCGCTCTGCAGAGACACCACTCTTGGCGGCCTCCAGCTCCATGGCGTGATTAGCGAGAAGAGCATCAAGAGCCTTTTGGTGTTCCTCCGCCTTGGCCTCCAAAGACGCGACGGCGCCGGCGTGCTCGGCCTTTGCTGTCTCCAGAGCAGCCGAGGTGGAGCTGTGTTGGACCTTGATCTCTTCCAGAGCCTTGCTATGAGTCTCGACGGCAGCCGTATGAGTCTCTGACAACTCATTGTGCTTGGCCTCGAGCTCCTCGTACTTGCGCTTGTACATGGCCTCGCCTTGCAAGCTGTTAATCTCGTTCTCATAGTCCGTGGTTATCTGCTTGAGATGCTGATTGTGCTTGTCCTCGATGGCAGCGTGTTCCGACTGAAGCTTCTCGATCTCTGCGTCCTTGGTCTTCATGTCCTCCTCGAGCTTGGAGATGGCCTCTTGCGCCTTACTGGTGGCTTCCTGGGCCGACTTCAGTTGGGCCTCCATGTCTTGCACCCGCTCCTCGAAGGAACGGAGTTCGCCTGTCTTGGCCTCCAGCTCATCTTTGGCGCTGCTTGCGGTCTTCTCAGCGGTCTCGAGTTTGGCCTTGAGGTCTGCAATATCGGCTTCCAGGGTAGAGATCTGAGCAGCGGTTGCCGCGCTCTCATCAGAGACCTTAGCTTCGTGAGCGCTCTCCAATGCAGCTTGGGATGCGGTCAAGTCATCAATCTTGGCCTGAAGTTCGCCCAAAGCAGCCTCATGGCTGGCCTTTTGATCCGCAAGAGCCTTCTCGTTGTCTCCCGACGCGGCCTTGCCCAGTGCTAGTTCCTCGGCGTGCTTCGATTCGAGCGTACTCAGGGCGTCCTTGTGCTGTTCGCTGAGAGTTTGTTGCAGGGCCTCCAGCTTGGACGCGTGCTCCTCGGTTGCCTTGGTCAGGTTGGCCTCGGTCTCGCTGAGTCTGGCATCATGCTCGGTCTTGGCAGACTCGAGGGCCTCCCTGAGGGAGGCGACCTCGGCATCGGTGGCCTCCTTAGCAGTTGTGAGCTCGGACAGCTCTGCCCTCTGCTTCTCGAGCTGCTCCTCAGCTTGCTGGAGCTTCGACCGCGCGTCCGAGATCTGGGCCTCGAGAGCCTCGACCTCGGCCTTGTGCTTCTCCTTGACGCTCTCTAGCTCGTCAGCCAGCTCCTTGCGGGCAGAGTCGTCCGTGCCCGCCTCGGCCGGTGGGCCCGCGCTGATCTTCTCGGTGAGCTCGGCGATCTTCTCCTCGGACGATGAGATCTGCGCCCTGAGGTTTGTGATTTCTGTCTCACTGTCTGCAAGCTTGGTCTTCAGCTCCTCGATCTCCTTGGCAGACTCCGCGGCGGCGGCGCTGGACGTTGAGGGCGGCCGGGCTACGGGCTTGGGGGCGCTAGCGGTCGCGGAGGCGCCAGCAAGTGTTGACAGGCGCTTTTTGGCCTCCGCCACGGGACCGGAAGCAGCTGGTCTTGTCGCAGTGCGGGTTGTACTAGTCGAGCTGATGCTCGAGTCCTTGGCATGACCGGAAGGCTTGGTCGTGGCGGGTCTCGATGAAGACGTCGGCGAAGTAACACTAGAAGATGATGCTGGTTTCCTGGTCGCCGTCGTCGTTGTCGACGTAGAAGCCGCGGGCTTTGGCTTGGTGGCAGGCGAGCTGGAGGAGGTGGCGCTCGACAGAGTCGAAGTGCGGCGGGCAGCTGTACTACCAAGGGTCGAGGTCCTGCGGCTCTTTTCGTCCTCGGAGGCGGACGGCTGAGAACGCTGACTGGAAGACGTAGCCGCTGTCGAAGTCCGCTTGGCGGCAGTCGAGCTTGCTGGCGGACGCGTGGGCGGCTTGCTCAGTCCACCACCCGCAGCACTTGTACGAGTGGAACTCGCGGTGGGCTTCGTGGCGGTGGAAGAAGTCGTGGCAGGGCGTCGCGTCGTGGTAGTCCCGGCAGCTGGCTTCTTCGCTGCAGTCGCGCTACCCGCAGGCTTGGGCCCATTGGCAGCAGCCGGCTTCTTGACGGGCGGTGCGGTGGCGGCGGCGGCAGCAGGGGCAGCAGGAGAGGGAGGCTGGGGCTTTTCGGCGGGAGCCTCCTCGTGCTGGACAACTTCGAAACCCTCGGCATCAGACATATTGGCTTGCAGTCGGGCGTCTGTTCAGGTACAAAGGGGACGGCCTTGATGGAGTGGTCTCGTATCTAGTCATGTAGCAAACGGTTAGCCGCGCGGCCGACGTACAAGCTGGCGCGTGGCCCGTCGAGCCGTTGCGAAGGCGTCTCAGCACTAGAGAAGCTCTGGAGAAGCTCGCAACGGTGGGCATGGAGGGGCGCAAACCCGCGGCGACGGGGATGGAGGCATGTAGCCACGTACCAGCTGTGCCAGAAGCTCAGGGTCCCTCCGGTAGAGAGTAAAGGGGGTTGCTTGGTTGCTGTGCAACGGCCGGACGGACACGTTGAGATGGATTGCTTGCGGGGAGCAAACCAAGGTATCCGGGCAGGATCACGGAATATCGCGGCCAAGCGGCATACAAATTGAAGGACTGGTGGTGCTGGAGCTTTCTCTCGGTCCGTTTGACTTGCTTGCTCCTCTTGGACGGTGTAAGAGAGAAAGAGGTACGGCAGACGTGTCGCGAGAGAAATTAAATTGGGCACCCAGAGAGGTCCCGAAGGAGAGAGCAACCGCACCCTACCTGCCCTGCACTCGCTGCGCTGTGCCTGGCCCAGCCGGTCAGTGCACGGGGCACAGGCTGGACAGGGGCAAGGTAGGAGGGGCCATGCAGACCATGCAGGCCACGCTGTACTGTACTGTACATCAGACCGATCAAATTGGTGGATGACAGGAATGGCGCCAACCAAAACACAGCGGCCCCCCCTACAATATTCTACACCGTGTATAGACGTAGTCTACCGCACCATGCTCGGGCTTGGGTACGGTGCAACGGGTGCTAGATGAGGTGCTAAATGCAACCTAGGAATGGCCATCTCGAGCTGACTATTTGCTGCACTAGAAGCTGATCCCCATTTGAGTTTGGGCCTTGCCTGTGGTGGAGAGCAGCAGACCTCCAACCAAAGCGCTTCGTGGCAGGTCGATGGCTGGCTGACTGGTCTGGATGGTCGGGGGGCACATGCGGAGGGAACCACAGTACTCTACTGGCCATGTCGCCTATCGCATCTAGCCGTTATCTACGCTGCCCGGGCGTGTCAGATCTCGAACGGATCTTGCTCCTCCCTCCGCCTCACCAGTAGAACCCGCTTGATGGGCACAACCCCGGCTACTCGGAAACGGGTTTGAGGGGCCTTCGCATTGATCATAGTGGCTGTCCTAAGACCGCTCTGGCAGGGAGCGTGCTCGGCAGAGAAGCCGAGAACTGAGCTCTGGTGGGAACGCACGGTTGGAGAACGAGATTGCTGCTGGTCCCCTGCGAGTCCGTAAGATTGATAATGGTGACGATGCCGGATTTGCTGTCCATTCTGGTAAAAAATGGTGCTGCGTTTTCTGACTTGTCAAATGTGCAGGTTGGGCTGTCTCTGCACAGGTCAAAAGGCATCAACCAAGGCCAGCTCTCATAGGGTCGCCTGATGCTGCAGCAGGAAGACGGTCACCAATCGCCACCCAATCCAGCTCGCATGCGCCATTGATCTCATCACTTATTAGGTATGCCAGTTGTAAACAACCCACGCTGTCCGCAGGCAACACAGCGCGCCAGACGATGTGGCATTCTCCTGTTGGCAGTTCCTGAATGCTCTCTCTGCAACCCACCTCCGAAATCACACAGTTACACAATGCGCTGCCAGCGGGATACAGCTGGAGCGATGTTCTGAATTGAATACTGGACGCCGGGATAGCTTGAGCAAGCATATGAAAACTCCCACGTATGAGTTACAGAGCCCAGGCGGGAATCTCGCGGCCTCTGTCCGTGTAGGCCTCACGGTAGGCCTGCTTCAGAAACGCAGCCTTCCTCGCAACGTCGTCCTCCGAGCGTCGTAGTTTTTGCGCCATTGATACCACATCATAGTTCCTCTTGTACCGTATTGCCTTGATCATGGCTTTATCTTCCTCATCGGACCATGGCCTGCTCGCCTTATGCGCTCGTTGTGAGCTGCCCAGGCCAGATGGGGGGTTTTGTCGGACACGATCACTGGATGCGTGTCTGTTCGGCACCGGTGTGTTCGAACGGTGCCTGTAATTAGCCGAAAAGGGGTCATCTGAATCAGATACGGACTCAACTCGCGCATTCCTGGAAGGGCCGCCTTGAGAGCGAGCTGCCTGGCCCGACGAGCTCCTTCCCGGTGCGGCTTTCACAGTAGAAGTGGCACGGAGTTGCTCGGGCAGGGCGGCCTGATCCTCATCCCATAACTGCTTCAGAGGATTCGGTTTGTATCTCAAGGCCTGCGTGGCTTGGAGAAAGCCCCGGAATGCCTTCACGTCTTCCCGGTCTTGCTCTTCTTTTTCTCGCCTTTTTTGGGCTGCAATCTCGCGTTGCCGCTCTATCTTCCGTTCTCGCTCCTGACGCTTGGTTTCAGCCTCGCGTTCTTGTCTCTCAGACTGTGTCGCGATTTGCTGTATCTCTCTTTCCGCTTTTCTGACAGCAGAATACAGAGCATTCAACTGCGATTCCAAGGAAGAACGTGCTTTCTTTTCCCTATCCAAAGCCTCATGTACGCCTTCGTGGGATTCGTCTGTACCGTCATGTGACTCATTGCCCCCAGGCCATTGCTCGAAGCCCCTTTCGAGTGCCCTGTGGAGTCTATCAGCCCAAGCAAGAGGCCTCAAAAGGAACTGAAGCCTGAAGCAGTTGAGGTACAGGGTCGTCTTTGACCGGTTGTCTTCTGATGGACAGATACCACATGCTTTCTTCACAGTAATCATCAACATGGGGATCAACTGGCGTGACATGTCTCGCAACAACGCCTGTCTCCTCTTGACGCATTGTGCTGCGAATCGGTCATATCCGGCCCGCGATACTGGAAGCAATTTTCGTGAACAAATTTCGTCGATAACTTGATCTATGCGTGTGAGATGTTGCTTAATATCCACGCTTTTCGTCCTCAGGTACGCAGTCGGTGTTGACGATAGCTCATGGTCATTATCGAAGGGGTCCTCCGGAGGGTTCGTCGCCTCTTCCAAAATATCGTTCAGACCATGGATCTCATTCATCAAGGCTTTGCCGGAGCTTGTTTTACAAATCTTTTGGTCGTCATCGTTGTTGTCGCTCTCGAATTCGCGGATCCAATGTGTTGATCCTGTCCACGCTGGATGTTGCAGTGTTTTGAAAATTCCGCCCATGCTGTTGATGACAATTTTGACCGTGATTGTCTCCTCATGTTGCTCAGGAGCTTCGACGAAGGCAGCGTCTTGGGCAATTTCATTGTTAATCTCACTTGGGGACTGGTCCTCAGCAGGGGAGGAAGTATTCGTCTTGTCCTTTTGTTTCCGCCTGTCGCGGCTATCGCGGGTTCGCTGGTTCTTTTGCTGAGGCACCTTCCCGTTTGCGCCATGCCCACTCCTGGGCCTGTCGTTGGCATTTCTTGACGCAGTGACTTCTTCGTCATCTGGAGATTGAGACTCGAGGAGTTCTTCGTGGCTGTCCTCTCTGTCGTCCGACGACACTTCAGTATCCTGGGGCCGGTTACCTTGTTGCCGCGAGCCAATGCCGTTGATCGTCGGCTTCATGTTCCGATTCCGCGCTTGGTTCATAGCCTGCGTGATACGAGCATGATCGACTCCGTCTTGGCCGCCATCTTCGTCGTCGTCGTCGTCGTCGTCACCATCGTCCTCAGCTGCGGTGTCGCTTTCATCCTCATTGTCGTCCTCTTCAGACCGCTGCGCAGTCTGTTGCCGAGATGAGACCACTTGACCTCGGACTCCCAGGGTTTGGCCGAGCTTAGCAGCGTCACGCCTTGCAATCCTAGCGGCGCGGTCGTCTGGTTGTTTTTGTAGAACCGTGGATGCTGAATCTGGGTTATTGCTGTCATTATTGAGTCTCTTCCGCTTGGTGTATTGCCCGAAGTAATCCAGATCGTTGACTTCGGCGGCAGCATCAAGCTGATGCTTGGCTATCAACCGCGTGCCACGGCTCTTGGGCATCTTTGCTTGTCTGTGAAGACCTCGCCCCAACTGAGGAGCAGCGATGCCGATTCAGAGAAAACATGCCATGAAACCGGCGACGGGTAGTTTGTGATTGAGCCAAATGAACAGAAGACGCGTCCCTCGTGCTATAAACTCCGTGTTGAGGGGAGTGGTGGTCACAGCTCTTGCAATGCTACCTTGATGGTGTCAAAACACAGTTCACAGGACTGTGAAGCTCTGACCCGAACCCTGGCTTTGTCTCCAACAGACATGACCTCACCCTTGGGGCTTTGGGATCGCATGCTGCCAACTGTGACCGTTCGTAGGCCTCTTCCTGAACTATTCATGAACTAAACATCTAACTCCCTGCGAGACCGTCACACCTACGTACAATACGGCGCCCTCCCCCGCCTACCCTGTGGCCCTGCACTCCTGTTAGGCTATTTTATGAAGGAGAGTTCCCCTTTGCCAGTGACGACAAGCAGCACTGGGATTCCAGTACGTGGGCAGCTACTTGATATCTCGACGGCCCAGCGGAACTCATCGCGATCTTTGAGTTGATTGAACATCTGCCATGATGGAGCCTCCCAGGCAGGCCACCAGCCGCCAAACGGCCAACCTGCCTCAACTGGAGATCCTCAACCCATCGGTCCCGCACAGCTTCTCGGCGCCCTCAAAATGCATCAACGACGGGCCAGACGTCGCACGCTTCCTCACCTCGAAAGGCTACCGCGACATCGGTGTCTTTGTCATGCAGCTCAACCGAGCACTCTGTCCACGCAAGTCACCAAGTGGGCCCTCAAAGAAATTTCCCCTTGTCGGAGGGAGCCGTCACGACACCGCAGCCGTCCGCAAACTGAGAGACCTGCTGGATAGGACGGCCAAATTCATCGATGATGCACCTCCTGACCCTGGCCCAAGGAGATTCGGAAATATCAGTTTCCGGAAATGGTACCAGCTGCTGGAGGACAATCTGGATGCCCTGTTGAGGGAGTTTGTGGATGCTGACATCCTCAATTTCGGAGCCTCCGAAGACACCACAGCTCAGCATCCTGGTGCGAGCGGTGAAAACAATCAAACCCCAGGATCCATCGACGAATTGAGGGCGTACTTTCTTGGAGGCTTCGGGAGTCCTCAAAGACTGGACTACGGAACCGGGCACGAGCTGAGCTTCTTAGCCTTTCTGGGCTGCCTGTGGAAGCTGGGTGCTTTCAAAGACGGGGTCCAGGGCGGTGAAATCGAGCGCAGTATCGTCCTTGGTGTCTTTGAACCGTAGGTTGGCTCTCACTACGGCTTGAACACTACACTAACAGCGTACAGATACCTGAATGTGGTCCGCCGTCTCATCCTCACATACAACCTCGAGCCAGCAGGCTCGCACGGTGTCTGGGGACTAGACGACCACGCCTTCATGCCATACATCTTTGGTTCCGCACAGTACACCCGCCCGATCACCGAGGAGGAGACAATGCCCCTCGAAGGCTCCGTCGAGCGGGCCCCGAAGCCGGGCGATATCCTCAAGCCTGAAGCCGTGGAGCGGCTCCGGGAGACCAACATGTACTTCTCCGCCGTTGGGTTCATCAACGACGTCAAGAAGGGCCCCTTCTGGGAGCACAGCCCGATCCTCTATGACGTGTCCGGGATCAAGGACGGCTGGGGTAAGATCAACAAGGGCATGATCAAGATGTTCAACGCCGAGGTCCTGTCCAAGTTTCCCGTCGTGCAGCACTTCCCTTTCGGCTCGCTCTTCTCCTGGGATATTGACCCCGAGGCATCGGCGCCTCAGCAGTCTGTCCATATGGCCAACCAGCACACAAACACCGCGGCGCCTTCGCAGTCTGCTGGCACAGCTGCGCCTTGGGCTCAAGCAACGCGCATGCCTGGGCCACCGGGGCCAGGCATCCCCTATTCAAGGGTACCGGGTGCGGCTGCAGGGGCCAGAGGAGTAAATGAGCCGCCACAGACCGCGAGGCCTCAGGATGTAGGACCAACGATGCTACCGCCCGGGCCACCGCGACCTAATGGCCCCCCTGGCACGGCTGGAAATCAGATCAGTGTTACAAAGGCACCGTGGGCGAAGTAGACAGAGATATCCACACAGATGCAACGTTAACACACAGCCTGGGGATTTTACCGTTCTCATGAGATGGAGAGTGACGACTCATGCACCTACGGTCTCGCAATGTGTGACGTCGATTTCCCGCTGCTAGGATGCTGACATGTGCGATATTCGTGTGTGAGTATGTGTTTGCGGCGCGTGTCAACCAGGTATCTGGCACTGCCCATAGGTTCAAGTCTTGTGGGAATATGCCCGAAATGATAGAAGGTAGCTGGCTATGAAAGTGAATTCCAAAGGCCTCCCATCTCTCAGGCCACCTAAGATGATTATAGGTCAACTCTACCACTGCCATGCCCGGTCAATATGCGACGGTTGATCAGCAGGAGCGGACGGCAGTTTTGAATGCAATCTGGTATATTGAGGGTATCTATTCAACTCTGAGGGTGCAACACAACAACGGCACTGGTATTAGAAGAGAAGGAAAACAAAACAACATGAAGCCAGACGAGTTCCCACGCAAGAAAAACAAGTCCCCTGTCGACAGCCCTGAGACACCCATTACGCACCCCAAGTTCGCTCCCTCGTAATGCGACAAAGCAGGAAGAGAAAGAAAAACGCAAGTCTCATGCTTTATTCCGCGGGAAATAAGGCCATGGTAACGCTGAGGTGCTCTTTCGACATAGCTCAGTTATCGAACGCTCGAGTATCAATTACTTCGCAGCCTCGGTAGCGGCAGGCTTGGCCTCCTCAGCCGGCTTGGCCTCGGCGGGCTTCGCGGCCTCAGTCGGCTTCGCAGCCTCCGCGGCAGGAGCAGCGGCAGGAGCAGCCTCTGTGGTTGTAGCAGCCGCTGCTGGTGCCGGGGCAGCGGCGGCGTCGGCAGCAGGAGCAGCCTCGGTGGCAGCAGGCTTGGCCTCCTCGGCCAGCTTCGCTGCCTCAGCGGCCGGGGCCGCGGGAGCCGACTCGGTGGTGGTTGTAGCTGGGGCGGCAGCCGCCGGCGCGGCGGGTGTGTCCTCCTTCTTGGGCTCCTCGGCGGGCTTGGAGGCGTCGGCAGTGGTTGCGGGCGCGGCTAATCACAGACAGACATCAGTTTAATGCTGGGGTGGTTCTTCGAGTGGGTAGACTTACCAGCCGGTGCGGTCTCGGTCTTGGCGGGCTCCGCGGCGGCGGCAGCAGTAGCAGGAGTTGTCTCCGCCGGCTTGGATGCCTCCGCGGGCTTGTCAGCTGGCTTGGACGCCTCAGCAGGCTTAGCCTCGGCCTTCTTCTCGTCCTTCTTCTTGAAGACGGCCCGGAACTTGGCCTTCAAGTTGTTGAGCGCATTTGGTGCTGTGGACGAGAATGGTGGTTAGCAGTGGACCAGCGTCGTCGTGGGTACTTGGAGGTGCAGAGGCAGTAGGAGGGTATGATAAGCTCGACATCCAGGACTTGTGGGCGTGGCATTGGAGGCTCTTCACGTCACACGGTGTAACTAGAGACAGCTCTTCTCCGCCTCGCTGGACGCCATGGTTGCCGATGGAGGAGGAGGTCGACGATAAGGTTGCATGGCACTTACGGACTCCAGGCATCTTGGCGAAGTGTCTGAGGCTCAGGCTGTTCAGGCTGTAGAGAATGGGGGATGTGTGTGCTGGCGCAGGTGATTCGCGAAGCTCAAAGAGGCTGTCGTTGTGGAGGTGGTTCTTGTTGAGTGGTCGTCGAAAGTTGGTGGAAAGCGGGAATTAATGGTAGCTAGAGGTGCCACGCCGAGAGACACGTCTTCATAGCACCAACAGGTCGGATAATTTGCGAGATTTGATTATTGGGATGCTCCGGGTAATCAAAGAATCCTTGGAGATTGGTTTCAGTCGCACACCCCGGGGGGAGATGGATTGAATGAGGGCGGCTTCAGCGCGACGAGACTCGGCTAAACCTCCGCGGGATGGAGGAGGGGGGCGCTACTGAGCACCTAATTAGCTAGCGGGGCCGCGCTGGCCTGTGCTGGTGGCCTTAGCGCCAGAGTGCCCTGAACCTGCTAAAGATAGCAGCACCGGCCCACCAGAGCTCCAACCTTAATTGGCTTCGACCTCCTCTGGCGTTCGAGACGTCATTTCCTCGACTGCTGCAGACATCAGACGAAAAGCTGTCGTGCGAGCCGAGTTTGACAAGCAATGTTCAAAACGTGGAGGGCACACGAGGACTGTGTCCGACAGTATGTGTCCCGAATCTGCCAAGATCCTACTCCACCTCAAGAGCCGGTGTGCTGCTTATCATGCGTGTGGGTATAGAGGTAGGCAGGCCTGGGTTGAATCATGCCAACCTCGGAAGATAGGAAGGACAAATCTGGTTACAGCGCCGCTCACAGTGCAGATTGGATATTCCGCGCTGCCAGAAACACAATGACCTCCAGTTGGGTTGTTGACATGTTCCAACTCTTCTACTTTGCCAATTGCAGCTATGCCAGTAGCAGTCACAGTGTCCACAAAGCAATGGCCAGAGTGTGCGGATGGTAATTCCTTTCTCTAGGATCGATTGTGTTTGACACGGTCCCTAATGACGTCTGGCTCGGCGACTCCATCTTGTCAACCACTCGAAGATCAGTACAAGGCAGTTTCACAACAAAATGTCCAATGTTCCAGTCGAAATTCCTAATCTCTCCAGGGCGGTCAGAATTACAAAGATAGCAATTGAGTAATCAATGACCGACTGTGAGTCGATCCTTGTTCTACCCATCCTCCACGTGCTATGAGCTTGGACGAGTGGAGCTAGTCATTGCAGAGCAGAGTACCGACATCGATCATCATTCCAACGTGCCAACCTCGATCTCACCCCCGCCATTGGGTTCTTACTCAACCCACAGACTTATTATGACCTGAATTATTCTTGCTCGTTTTCTTTTACTCTTCGAGGTTCATTTGGACCTGTCTTGAGTCCCGCTACAGCAGGCCAAAACGCACATTAATGCGACAGGGAATATTTATGGAGCTAGTTGTAAGATGAAACTTTTCTTGAGGTCACTTACGCGTGTTGCTCTGAGACGCTGCTGGTGCGAGACACAAAAACGTCACATACCCGCGACTTTGCTTAATAGGGAGAAGGTAACATTGAAGCAGTTCAAGCTTGAAAGTGGCCCTATAGTATCGTCCATATCACTGCATGAGGACTTATTTGGAGAAAAGAGTATAGATGGATGTAATCTAGGAGAGAACAAACCACTGAAACAGAAGGAAACTATTACCTTACCTAATAACATATGACTTACCTGGACGAGTTGCTCTTGCACACGACTATTCCTCGCCTTCGTCGAGGGGAGGGGCATCCTCCATGACAACATCATCTGACTCCAAGCCTTCGGGCACAATTGTATCAGCAGAGTCCAGCTCAGATTCGTGTAGAGGAGGGGCATCCTCCATGATCACATCATCTGACTCCAGGCCCTCGGGCACACCTGTATCGGCAGAGTCCAGCCCAGGGTCATAGTCTGGCATCGGGTGGTCGAGGTCTTCGTGCGTGCTTACCGCCGCGAGTTCAGCGACTAAATGAACCGGCTCATCATCACTCACTGAAACATCGGAATCGACTGAATCCGACGTCTCGACATCCTCGGGAGTGTCATGCTTTGGGGCAGAATCGAGTGTATGAGGGAGGGCCTCACGAGCCTTCTGAAGGTGCTGGCGTGCTAGTCTCTTTTTTCGCGATTCCTCGTCTTCATTCCCGCTCTTCGAAGAGGGCACGACCTGCGGGGCTGTGTTCTGGAGGGATTCAATGAATCTTCCGGAACGCTGCGCGTTATTGCTGTTGGAAGCCGCCATGGTTTGTTTTTGTCTCAGTGTAATTCAGCTTTAGATTGTCCGTAGCTTTGGAATGTCCAAGAATTTGCCTGGTAAACCAAATTTGTTGTAGACTTTTTTAGCAGAGTGGATTTGAAGAACCGGATTGGTGTGGTAGGCTAGAAAATAGATGATATTATCGTCTCCGTAGGTGCTTTATATACCCTGATCCCTCATGGCCTATCAGGACTATCGCCTGCTTGTGCCTTTGTATAGATAACAATGCATCTGTAAAAATAAAGAGAGGACAGCAATAGCCTTGTAATCTGGCATAGATACTATGAATAAGACAATACTGTTGTCTACCACGTAATGTTCGAAAGAACCAATTCTATTGTCGATTCGGTTATGAACGTGTTTGCTCAGGCGCTTCCAAGCAGAACAAATAGGACCATTGTATGATCTTCCGTCCGACTATTAACAAATTTCAATCAGGCTCTTCTTTACTTTATACAACAAATTTCAAAGAGCCACCATCAATACCGTACGATGAAACAATAGCAATTGCTAAATCATGCTTGGTCATGCCTGTTAAGCATCTTACTCATTAGTATGAATAGACTCAATGGCTTCTTCAGGCCTCTTCTATGATCCATCACGTTGATTAGCAGACTCCGAATCATGAGTAAAAACACGAAGGGGAGAGCTCATGCACTGTGGAAAGAGTACCTACCGGGGTGTATACGACACAGTTGCGCTCCTTGATTATCTGGCACCCCAGAGGCCACCAGAATCATCAAAGAGGAGTTCTTCGAGCTAAAAATGGTATCACTTTGAGACGATGGGCAACAATATCTAGAAATAAAGTCCTGGAAGCAATGGGAAGCGCGAGTTTGCAGAGAGCCCGTTTCTAAATTTGCCATTATAATTTCTGAGGAGCTCTTCACTGAGGTCCGCTTTGCAGTCCATGTTAGCAAGCCATGTCGAACTCGAAAGGTGATTCTAAGGCACGAGTTGGCTTGGGGCAGCTTAGAGCATCCACTTTTCCCAATCGTGTTCTTCTGAATTGTGATCTAGATCCAGTTTCTAGTGATAAGGAATCAGGGACTCATGTGAAATTTTGACTAAATTATCTAAATCCATATCATTGGTATTCAACTCTCTCGGTACAAACGTCTTGATATCTTCACTCTCACCAAACCCACGTCTCACACCAGCTGGGTATACTTGGTTTGTATCAATTATATTGTGAGTATGTACTGGTGGACAAAATGCTCGTGCAAGAGAGTAAAACTCCCCTCTACCTTGCCTCTGGGCCTACAACTGCTGTTTGGACTCTTGAGCCGACTGTCAGTCCACCCGTTCGTGCCTCATCACCCGAGTACTTGACAGCAGGTAAGATACACGATCCCATATTGGTTAATCCGTAAGTGTTTGATACTGTCGTAGAGCCATGCTCCAACGACTGTTCTTGCGGCTGGCGGCGGTGTTACCAGGTGAGACTAAGCTGTCGGCATCCAATTGCAAGCCCACCGAGGCTGATCATCGTCCCCACAATGCCGAAGATGATAGCGACGGTATCTGTTCCCTTGTTGTACGATTGATCTGAGCTCGACTGGATGGTTTCGAGTGCCGACGGGATGAGAGTCGTGGTGTTTTCGGAAGGCCATGCGAATGTCGGCATCTTGCTGGCCATGAGTATAGGGCACTAGTGGAGTGATATTACTTTTCTTGTTGGATCCAGACTTGCTCTTGCTTTCAATCGAGTGATGTGAACTATGCTTATTCAAACGCTCTGCGGGAAAAGATATGCATATGACGAGAGCCCCATGAATGTCGAGGCCTGAGAGGTTTCATGGGTGGTGTCCCATCAGCTTGATTCGGTCCTGCCAGGCCAGATTTATAGCAATTTTGAATGCGAATTCTGCGAAGCAACACCTCATCAGTCTGGTATTGCTGACAATTTTCGCACAGAACGTGGTCCCACAGCAGGCTCGATTGCAAAAGATGTGTGGCTGAACGGCTGGCATTTGAATTGAGAATCCTTCGGAGTTTGTAAACCTCGCAAATCTCAGTGCTCGACCTCGCAGGTCTCGCAAGCGGCCCGTCGCCCGAACCGGAAATGCAGCCATTGCCTGCGTGCTGGCCGCTCCTCGTTTGCCGACTCGACAGCCCTGAGCGCCCGACTCCGCCAGCCACCGGTCCTAGAGCTTGCTGCTCGTCAATACTTAGACAGGCCCAAAAAGCCCACACATCAAGAGCAGCTGCATGCAAACCCAGATTGCATGTGGCGTCCCGGAGGCGCCTGGCTTACAGTTGACCGCTGCGCCTCCTAAATCCCTGCTTGTTTCCAACGTTGTGCAACACGCCCACAAGTGCTTCCAGCCCGATCAACAAGTCACACCTGCAAAATTCGCAAGTCTCGCACTTCTCGCAATTTCGCTCAAATTTCTAGGCTTCAATGCCTAGCCCCTTGGACTTGTCACAGCCTCACTAAGATCCAAAGTGAGGTATAAGACGCACACCCACCCTGAGTTTGTCCCCATCATCTGTCGTGCGCTCAGTCCAAATTTTGCGCCGACCTCTTTCAACCTTTTCACGAATTATATACTATCCGAGCTCGAGACACAAATCCAAGTCACCACAGACCCACACTATGGAGGACCAAGGACACGGTCACTCGGGATCCTCAGGCACACCTCCGGGCAAGAAAGTCAGAATAATGAATCTGCAGAAATGTGACTTCTGCAGAGTTAGGAAGGTTAGGGTGAGCAGACGTTTGATTCCTCTTACGAGGCGCTGCTTTACTGAAAGACGTACCTCCAGTGTGAGCCAAAGAGCCGTTTATGGCCCGACAGATGCGACCATTGCAAACGGAGAGGAGAAAAGTGCAGTCCACCTGGCTTTGCCACGAGAAGGCCAAGATTACAACATACGTCAGATTCAACTGAACATGCGCCCTCCCTTCGCCAAAGCATCACTGAAGCCTCTACGGTGCTTGCCGAAGAGGAATCACTAAGCACCAAAGTCTTAGACGTCACACTGCTGCGGATGGTGGGTGGTGTAGAACTAACATATCAACAAGTGTACGTATTTTCTGAAACAATGCTCGTTCATGTGCTCACAAATTCACCCTCAGGAAGGACGTGGTTACATTTCTGCGCTGCCATCACATCGAGTACTGTGTACAAATGAGACAGTCGCAGTGGCTAGGCAAGCTTTTGCGCAACGACACAAACTTCGTTGAAATTGGCATGAAACATTTTCTCGAAGGGGTCACCAATAGACTACATGCGTTGTCCCGGATCCAAAAACTCACATTGAACCATGTCGAATCGCAGCTTGAATCGCACGAACATTCCTCGGCGGAGCGTGCGTTGATTTGTCAACTGCTTGTTAACCTCGAAACATACTTCAGCGCTTTCACCTCTGACATCGGAACTAAATATCGCCAAGTAAATCCTGTCTTTGCGAGTCATCAACGCGATCTTGCGGCTCTGCTCTGCGAAACTGGAGATCATAACGGCGCCTTGGCACTGTTGCACCGAATCCCACTTGTTCAAATCGGGGAAAAGGATCTTAACAGCATAGTAAAACTTGGTGTCGCGCTTAGCTCCCGGATGAAGATGATACCCAAGATACTGGGAATCGAAGATGATCCGATCATCTTGGACGTCTTAGAATCTCTGGATGTACTCATCCTCCCATACAATGTCTTGATTGCACACTCCTGTCAATGGATTAATAATGAAGCGTTCATCCAGAAATCATTCATGTGGCCCTGGATACGGCGAAGTATCCAGGCGCGACTAAGAGATCAGCTTGAAGAACCAGTCGACTGGTGGCCAATAAGGCTGGACGCGCACTTCCGAGACGCGTTTGGTCACACTTTCCTACATGCCGCCATCTATTCCCAGGACAATGAACATACTGGGGCGATCATGAAATATTCGGAGCTTGGCCGAGAGGATGTGAGAGAGTATTTGAGCACAGCGTGGCCCTCCCATGCGCCAGGACTCACACCCCTTGCATGTTCCGCCAGCTCCTTGGCCAACTGGGAGACGTTTCACGTCCTGCTCTCGTTCTCAGGCAAGCACCTGCCTACCAGGGGGGAGGGGGGTTTCTGACTGGTTCATGCAATACACTTATGTTTTGACATTCAATCAAAATTCCATAATTCTAGCAAAATGTTAGTAAAAGGCTATTAAAATATTATTAAAAGTAAATTATATCAAGGCTTTAAATTATATTAATATTAATCCTATATTAATATTAACTTTATATTAGCTAATGTTAGCCAATATTATTATAAATGTTATGTTAAGAACTTTAGTTTAAATTATATTAACTTTAAACTTATTTTTATTTTTAAATATTTCCGTAATTCTATAAATCCTCCTATAATTAATAATTAAACTAATAAAGAATAAATAAGTAGTTAGGTTAGGGATGAGAAAAAAAAAGGTTTTTTTTTCCCTTTATGTTAAATGTTAACATTATGTTAACACTATGTTAAGAATGAGTACATGTTAGTGACGTGTAAATAATGCAAGGCACACAAAAAAACATACTGTTAGAACCTTGATAGCATGTCACTATCATGTCACTATTCTATTGACTTGCTTGCAGCACCCAAACGAAAACCCCCCCTCCCCCTGGTAGGTGTGTTGCGGATCAAATACCGGTATAACGGGACACAAGATCTGTGCGCTCGCCTGTGCGATACGGGATCAGGAGATTGCTGTTGTGGAGGCTTTGGTCCAGAGATCAGGTCAGCAGAAAGTTTGTATGACGGACTGTTCACAGTGGGCAATGAATTGTATTCCGAGCATTTCTCTCGAGACTTCGTACCGTTTGGTGGAGGCGGTTCGACGGCATTTCGAAGGCGGCAGAGAATACGCAGAGGAAGAAGTTGAAGATCACGGAACATAGCTGCACAGTATTGCTAATAATATTAGTACCATAGTAGCGAAGATTAAAATTTAGCCCGCAAGTGCCTCCCTGCCTACCTACCTGTGTACGGGTAGTAATGCCTTCAAGGCGACTGCACACATACTGGAGGCTGATCCGAGTATTCGTGCCGCTTTGGAGTAGTTAGATATTTGGTTTTGCCACCAAAAAAAAGGGGGGGGGGTACATCAATACTCTCAAACTTCTAACCCTAACTCATGTGTGCCCATGTGGGCAAGTGAGTCTATGCAGCTTCTTGTTTCACTGATCACCTTACCAAGCTATATACAATAATACCCTTGGAAGGTCGACTTCGTTTTATTTCAACTAGAGCTTAGCTAATCAAGAGCGCATAATTCACCTGGCTGCTAGATAGAATACATGTTCAGAGCTCTTTTGTCGACCCGAGACGAGGGTCGTTCGAAGCCACACCCAACGGACAGCGAGCCGAGTCCAGCAGGGGCCCCGGCGCCTTCAACCGACAAACAGGAGCGTTCCATCATCCTGCGATTAACGCCTACGCCGAGGGAACAATTTCTCGTAATCGGACCTATGGGTCCACTGCACAGCCCCGTACTCGAGGAACTCCCTCAGCCCAGGCAGGTCCCTCGAGAACCTCCGCCTGATCTTGGCGCCCCGGGCGGCGGCCTTCCTCGCGGCGCTCGTGAACGTGAGCGCCATCTCCATCCATGCCAGGCACGCGCCGGCGCTGTTGGCGTACGGCGGGTTGCGGTACTCGACCGTGCCGTCGATTTTCTGCCTCTCCACGTTCCACGAGAGGTTCGTGAAGTTCCAGGCGTAGTACCTGGTGTGGCCGCCCGTGCGGTCGTGGTTCATCACCTTCTTGAGGTCCGCGATGCCGCTCATGTCGTTGATTATTTCGAAGCAGCGACCGATGCTCTCGGAGCTCAGGTAGGGGTTTTCTGTGTAGTTTTGCTTGCAGTAGAAGTTACCCCTCGCACGGTGTGACGGTAGGAGAGCCTGTAGGCATGGCTCGAAGTAGACGATGGCCTTTGACAGGGCGCGGAGGTCCTTCATGTTCCAGCACATGGAGGGCTTCAGATGGACGTGCAAACCGCAGCTTTCCTAGAATGGATAAGAATTTTCAGCATGGAACGCTTGTAACGACAGTGAGGTTTGACAAAGTGACTCTTTGCAGCTTGAAGAGACTCCAGCTTGACTCGGCAGCAGAACTGCGTGCCGTAGTCAGACAGTCACTCACATTGGCTTCAAACAAGTATCTGTCTCCCACAGACCGAAACATTGACTTTACTTCGTCGCGCCACATTTCTGTCATATCATAGGCCATTATAGGCGACACAATCTCCATCGAGACCTGCCGCGCATGATCCTTCCGAATACTGCCATCCCGCTCGATAGTCCACAAGGCGATGGAGTATCCTGACCCGTAGCGCGGGTCGCCCTTGATGCGCATCCTGCCGGCTTTCCCATGACGCTCCATGTAGTTGTCAAAATAGCTGCAGACGCGGGAGGCAAACTCTGCGACGGCAGCTCGGTCGTCGGAATCGCCAAAACGCGTGATATCATCGGGAGAAAAACGGCTTTCTGCCCTCAGGTTGGTCTCGACCTCACACCCCAGTGTCATGGTCTGCCGTTCATAATCTTGCGAACTGATCGGTGCCGCTGGCCGGCTTCTGCTCCTGTCACGGTTGACGACTCGAATGTACTGGGTGTGTTGAGGCATGTCTCCAGATTGTGCTTCCCGAATCCAGTCGAAGGTGTATTTAAGCCAACAAAAGAGACGAGAAAGTCGCTGCCTATGTAATTAGTGTTTTTTCGAATCCGGGCCAGCGGAGGGGTGCAGAAGAAGCTATTACAATGTACAATCGCAGGTCTAGCCATATCACTTGGGACAGTTGGTCAATTTATACGCCGAGACTCTTTGTAACGTCTGAGTAGGCTCTTTAAATGGTCCATTTTTAGAGACCATACATAGAGAGGTCGAGGGCGGCATCGTGATGCGGGTCCAAAGCATATCTATGTACATAGTGGATCCTTGGGATTATTTTCGACTGAGCAGGCTCTTCAAATTGGCATGATGGAGCGGACGAAACGATCGTGACCACTATTAGTAGGAGGACAAAAGAGCCCATAGCCTAAGAAAGACAAGGGTCGCTTGTGATGGTCAGTAAAATGCGCGCCATTGTGCTGACGGACCCACAACCCTTGTGCCAGATTCAATCCTTTGCCTTGTGCCTCAGACCTGCCCCGAGGGCTAGGCGACCATGCCACCCAGTGGAGACTTTCTATTTGTATTCAGCAAGGTTGAGCTGTCGAAAACATTGGGAGTAAAACAAGAAGAGTGACCACATGGACAGCCAAATCTTTCGGATACTCCTGCTGCGAAGGGCAAGAATGTTGACTAGAGATGTTTCTATTTTAACTGTTCCGAATTTCAAGTCTGACGTGTAAATATACACCTGGTGCATATTCTTGATGGGCAGGACTTTCTCCCATCGCCAAAGTAATATGTTGAACACATGAACCATTCAGGCTAAGCTGACCTATTTGCGGAAAGGTGGCAAACACAAGGGACCAAGTAGTCAAGGGTCCTCTGTCGCCCTAAGCGGCCAGTGTCAATTTCAACGGCCGAGATGACGGCTCCACGAACATTTTGGGATACATCTACCTCACATATTATTATGGATCTATACGTGGCGTCTCTGAGGGTCCTGCCTGCAGGCCTACGGTAATTTCAGACACGGGCGACTCCTCCAGCATGGTCGACGAGGTTTTGTGCACTAGGCTTGCGCGACACACCGAACGGGCGAGTTGGTTGACCCAACGGGGAAGGAAAGGCGAGATTCAAGCCGCTTAGACTGTCCTCGTGCAGCTACACAGTAGAGACTGGAGTGAATTTCATCAAGTGATACAGATTCTGTCCTTTTAGGGCACGAAGCAAGAGTCTTCGAATTAATCCAGTAAGGATGATACGAACCCTTCGGACTTTGAAAGTCAGTTATCCGACCAAGACCAGACAGATATTAAGCAAGTCGCGCAGTGGTACGCCTTGAGCCCTATCACGCCTGAGACAGCTTGTCTTGGTGAAGGGAGTGTTTGGCCGGCGGGCTGCGCAATGACGACACTGGGGTGCGACCTCCGAAGGGTGCAACCGTGATCCTTGTCCAGCAAGATTGACCTCGACGCCACAATCTGTACTGTGTAAGTGGCTGTGGCACGTCACGGCAGTCTGCGACATTCCATACGGTGCGACAGGATGAGAATACCTTCGTTTTACTTGTAGAGTAGAGACGTTCGACATGAATCATTAGCAGAATGTATCATTATTTATTAGCACGGCAGACTAGCTTAGGCGCAACCTGCAGTGGCTCGAGGGCCCATCGGATTTCCACACCCAAAAGCTTGGGTCGGGTGCTCTAGGATAGCAAGGAGGAACAGGTGGAAACCCCTAGCTGGAAGCCAGTCCTGTCGATCTCTGCGGGCTAATGAGCTACGCTGCGGCGTGCTCGTCGTCCTATCCTGACAATCCGGGACAAATTCTCCGCTTTCCTGGAGGCAGCAGACCACAGAGAGACGCGCCGCTTCGCCCAGCCTGGCAACTGCCAGTTGTTTATGCGTTGGCCCATCCTGTCGTATGACTGCTATACCACCACATAGGATCTACGATTCATCTTGATCCAGGCCAGGCCGCAGGTAGGCAACGAGTTGGGCGATGACGCTACGCAGGCTCGCACGCAGCCATGTCTCAGCCGGCGCCTGTAGACCAGCGGTGACAGCACCCGCCGCGCTGTCATCAGGTCTCGTTCGGCGGGCTCCTGATTCCCACCGCGCCTTCGATCCAGCAGAGCCGGCACTGCGTTCGGAGTGGAGCACGCTACTACCGTGCTATGCAGTAGCACTTGCGACAGCAACAAGTTTCGCGGCTTGGGTGTCGTGCGCCGGGGAGCCCTGGCTTGGATGAGCGCTGCCGCCGACCAGTCTTCGGGAGGTTTCAGGGTTGTCCATTTTTCGGTGCTCTTGGGGCTCTGATCCCACCAGCATGGGCCCCAAACCGGTTCTGGAGCGGCGCATGACACGGCGTGGTCGATGATGGGCAGACGGGCGATATAGACCACACTCACTCACACACATCCCTCTCTCCCACCCACACACTGATAATGCCGCTTGCCAGATCTGATCTTCACGGCGATTGCCGTACAAACAGGCCCTCAGAGTCAGTGCGCGAGTTTGATAGATGCCAGCAATAACACTCGTGCGCAGATGCGTTGCACGGAGAATAGAATTTGACTGCACACACAGTAGATACCCACGGAGAGTCATACACAGCACGCACAGCATCGAGCTCAATTCAACAACCTTGAAAAATCTTGGAAATTGCTGGCTGGTTGCAGCGGCTAGCCACTAGCGCGGCTGTGGTGCCTGCGGTGCTTGGTCATGCTGGTCCATGCTGGGTGTCTGGCTGCTCGAGGCGGCACTGGCTGTGGTGCCGTATCAGACCCAGACCCTGAGAGGTCACAACCGCACTTGTGAAGATCGCAGCCTCTGCCAGTACGTAAACAGGTCTGGGTCTGTACTCGCAGGGTCCAGCAATTCATTAACATGCTTGGGACTCAGCCAAAGAAAAACATTCTGCCACTTCTGTCAGACTGCGAGGCTGCCAGCGGTGGCCAGAACTGACGAGGTGGGGTTTGCCAGCTCCAGGTTTTAGAGTTTCGGCTGGTGAGCTGTTGCTTGAGAGGGGCGAATGCGATTTTTCAACTTTCCCATCTGATTGATTGACTGCCCCGTACCGTATGTACCGCAGACGCGCCTCCCCAGAACTCTCACCCCCCACCTACCCCCTCCCCCCTGTCCGAGACGGAAGGAGCAATGATCGCCAATGACGAAGGGTACTGGGTCCAACCTGCCGACCTTGTCTGCAGTGTCTGCTGGGGTACACATGTTAAGAATAGCTGCTCGAATCGTCTGTGTGCAGTAATACTAGGGACGAGGCCGCCCTCCGTCCCAGCACACGCACAGGACCAGTCCATGCTTGCCCGATGCCAGTCTGCCAGTCTGCTCACAGTGAGGGAAAACGAAAACAACCCCAGAAATCCAGAACTCGGCCGCCAGACCCACCCAAGCCCGTCATTCAGGAACCCCCATCCCGGCCTTGCAACCTTCCCCGTCCACAGCCAGGACCACTCTTTCAGCCGGCCCTTTTCGCTTCTGATTTGCGTCCCGTCCCACCTCGCCACCACCACCCACGCCTGCGCCTGCTGTACCCGTTCCTGTACTGTAGCAGCTAAAGATGTGCAATGCCTAGGACCATACTCGATGCCATCCTCACCTGGCAGCCTAGTCAACTCGGAAACGGTATCTGGCAAGACACCGTGACACCTCTCCCCACCACCAGCAGCGCATTCGGATTCAGACACCACCGAGAGCTGCGACCTGCTGCCGCCTCGCGCGCCAACACCCCCGTGGATCGTCTTGCTGCTGCTGCCGCTGCGCTGTAGCCAAAGTCCAGCCTTAACGTTGGTTGAAAGGGACCTGTCCGCTACTCCTGGACCACCATTCCGCACTCCACTGCCTCTTTCTCCGTTCTGCCCTACCCAGTTGCACGCACAACCCAAGGCGTAGTGGCACAACGCCATAGTGCTCCTACAGGCCATTGGATCAATGTCGGGGATCGAAACCGCAAAATTCCACACGTACGTTCCCCGTGTCATGGCTTGCCAGTGCGCACCCTCACAATTCTTAAGTAGAAGACGCTGTGACCGTCCCACCGACCAGTCACGATACTTCGAGACCTCGGCGCCCACCCCACCCTGCACTGCACGCCTTGTCACGCTCACACCCACGCCCGACGGCTCCATCTTGTACGAGGCTTCTAGGTCTCCCACCTGAAATCCACAAGCAAGCCGGCCATGGACTCAGGTCAAAGCAAGGCGGCGGGTCACTCAGAACCTCCGGCGGAAACACCCCAGAGTTCGGAGCCCATCGAACAGAAAGACTTTGCCCAAGTTTCCGACCTGCGAGATCGAGCAGATTCCCGCCGTGGCAGCTCCACCCCTTCACATCCTGCACCGCCTCCCCGAACCACCATCGATACTTCTGTGCCCTTGTTCGGCAACCACCCGAGTACTGTTGAAACCCCCAGTGTTCAATCGACCTGGAGTACTACGTCCGACCACCAGACTGGTCATGGCAGCCAGGCAGACCCGGGGGACCGAGTCTTCCCAATACGTTCTGTCATCAGCGTCGGCCCCTCGACTAGGGCCTCAGGCGAGTATTTTCCGCGAATGCCGACCGAGGGCGGTGGCACCTCTCATGCACCCGGCAGTTCTCGGTTTGATACAGAGACACCGACCAGGCGCGCTGGTAGCATTACGAGTGATTCCGTGCTGTCTTCAGTCCCACCAAACTTATCGACTTCACAAGACGACGATACGTATCGCAGGGCACGCTCGAACACGACAGGACCCAGGTCCAGTGTGCAGGCCGACGCCGAACGGCATCGATCGGGGCCCCTCAACTTGTTCAACGACGATTCTGACGATGAGGGATCGGAGCCGGCCAGGGACGTGCGCTCGGGTCGCGGTGGAAGCTCGGCCGGACCAGAATCTACAGGTGGACAGCCTGACATCCCTCCAGACGGGTTCGTGACTTCACGTTTCAAACATGTCATGACCGACGAAGGCCATTTGGTCATCACAGGAAGGGATGGGACGCTGCAGAGGTGCGAGGATGAGCCGATTCACGCGCCCGGTGCTGTCCAAGGGTTCGGCCTCATGCTTGCCATACGCGAAGAAACCGATGGACGCTTCACTGTGCGATATGCAAGTGAGAACTCGAAGCGGATCATCGGCTACACGCCCCTCGAACTTTTCCGTCTCAACAACTTCACAGACATTCTCACTGAGGAGCAAGCCGACAATCTTCTGGACCACATCGACTTCATCCGGGATGAGGACGCTGATCCAGCCATAAACGGCCCAGAGGTATTCAGCATGTCCATACGACCACCGAAGAAAAGGTAACCACCGTCTGTCCTGCTTTCTCCTTCTCTTGGTCGCGAGTACCCTTTTGCGGATTGTAGTTGTCACTTCAACACTTTCTCAACAGACTGTAGTGCCTCGATTCTGTGGCCTGTCCATCCCTTATTGTGCACCGCCAACCATCGATTGCTCCCTGTTCCATGTTCGGGCTGACTCGCTTGCAGATCTATCAAGTTGTGGTGTGCAATTCACGCTCACACAGCTCATCCCGACCTGATCATATGTGAATTCGAGCTAGATGATGACCATGATTTCCCATTGAGGCCAGACGATGAGCGAACCCCAGACCTCCCAGCAGATACACTTCGATCAAACCCAACCATGGACGAGCTCACGGAGAGTACCGAGATTTCGAGCAAGCCGCTGAGAGTTCTGAGGAGTGCCCGCAAGCGAAGAGGCGAAGCCGGCGCCATGCAGGTCTTCGACATCATGTCCCAGGTACAGGAGCAGCTTGCCTCTGCGACAAATCTCGATCGCTTCCTGAAGATCCTAGTGGGAATAGTCAAGGAGTTGACCGGCTTCCATCGGGTCATGATATATCAGTTCGATGCATCGTTCAACGGGAAAGTGGTAACGGAACTCGTTGACCCTATACATACGAAGGACCTCTACAAGGGCCTTCACTTCCCTGCATCAGATATCCCCAAGCAGGCGCGGGATCTCTACAAGCTCAACAAGGTGCGACTTCTCTACGATCGGGATCAGGAGACCGCAAGACTTGTCTGCCGCTCAAAAGAGGATCTAGATATCCCTCTGGATATGACGCATTCCTATCTCCGAGCCATGTCACCAATCCATATCAAGTATCTCGGGAACATGGCGGTACGCTCGTCCATGTCAATATCAATCAACGCCTTCAACGAACTCTGGGGGCTTATTGCTTGCCACTCATACGGAGCAAAGGGCATGCGTGTATCGTTCCCTATCAGGAAGATGTGCCGGCTTGTTGGCGACACTGTCTCAAGGAACATTGAGCGACTTTCATACGCATCGAGGCTTCAGGCTCGCAAACTCATCAACACTGTACCCACAGACAAGAACCCTTCGGGCTACATTATCGCATCGTCCGACGACTTGCTAAAATTATTCGACGCGGATTTCGGCATGCTATCTATAAAGGGGGAAACCAAGTTCATGGGCAAGGTCGATCACTCGCAAGAGGCTCTCGCTATGCTCGAGTACCTCAGAGTGCGCAAGTTCAGCTCCGTCTTGACCACGCAGGATGTCAAGGTGGATTTCCCAGATTTGCACTATCCTCCAGGCTTCCATTTTATTGCGGGGCTCTTGTATGTTCCGCTCAGCGTTGGTGGCAGTGACTTCATTGTCTTCTTCAGAAAGGGCCAGGTACGGGAGGTGAAGTGGGCAGGCAACCCGTATGAAAAAGTCATCCAGGAGGGAACCCAGAACTATCTCGAGCCTAGGAAGAGCTTCCAAGTGTGGCACGAGACCATTCTTGGCAAATGCCGCGAGTGGTCCGAGGAGCAGATCGAGACCGCAGCGGTTTTGTGCCTTGTCTACGGAAAATTCATCGAAGTCTGGAGACAAAAGGAGGCCGCCCTTCAAAACAGCCGGCTTACAAAACTCTTACTGGCAAACTCCGCGCACGAGGTGCGCACACCCCTCAATGCTATCATCAATTATCTTGAAATAGCTCTCGAGGGTAGTCTGGACCAGGAGACCAGAGACAACCTAGCCAGGTCACATTCCGCCTCGAAGTCACTCATTTACGTCAGTAAGTATAGTCTCCTGATATGCCCCACTGGAGCGTCTTTTTTTTTTTTTTTTTTTTTTTTTTTTAGGAAATCTGTCCCGTGAGGAATGCCTAACAGAGCGCCAGTCAATGATCTTCTCGATCTCACTCAGACGGAAGAAGGCAACAACCTCGTCAAGGACGAGATTTTCGATTTCGTCGCATGTGTTAGAGAGGCGACAGATCCCTTCAAAAATGACGCAAAGAGAAAGGGTATCGATTATGAAGTGGTTGAGCACCCAGGTTTGCCGAAGTACGTGTGTGGCGACCAGAGGAGACTTCGCCAAGCCGTGTCCAATGTGACCGCCAATGCAGTACAGCACACGTCCGAGGGGTACGTCAAGATCGAGGTATACTCTGCTGAGGTTCAAGACACCAAAGTACGCGTGGAAATCATCGTACAAGACACAGGGCGTGGGATGAGTGACTCCCAGCTGGATGCACTATTTCGCGAGTTGGAACAGGTATCGACTGAGGAAGTAAACCTCTCGGAAGAGGAACCGGAGACAGCTAAGGACAAGCCGGAAACACTAGGTCTGGGACTCGCGGTAGTGGCTCGCATTGTTCGAAATATGGATGGGCAGCTGCGTCTGAAATCTGAGGCCGGGAAAGGGTCCCGATTCGTTATCCAACTTCCGTTTGAGATGCCACCGAACGATTCGCCGATGGCACAGGATGACGGATTACCTGGTTCGAACTCTGTTACGGGATCAGCCGCTTCTGTGTCGACAACACGTCCGCCTGCCCGGGAAGGCGAAGTGATGCTCGTTGATCGTGGGAGCACAAGTCTTCACAAACAATCGCTGACGGTCAAAAGGAGCTTCGACAATGATAACATGAGCCTCGATAGTCACAGGACTGGAACGAGTCGGGGTAGTGCACAGAGCTCCAAGAGTGACGCGGAAAGGCTCATCGACGCCATCCAGACACCCTTAGGGATCGGAGAGCCGGAGCCGGAAACGACCAGTGTACAACGACGGAATTCGAAAGGGGCTTACCACAGTGGCAGTCCCCGGCACATTGCATCACGTTCCATGAGCCCGACCCGGCCCTTTGGCCGGCCCAGGAGCCTGCAAAGATCGGTTTCGTCGCCAGACAAGAACACGGAGCAAGAGGTCTCAGCCAATGTCGACACGCCTGATGCCCCAGTCGGGCTCGACTACATCACCGACATGAAAACACCAATCCGACCTGTCAAGATACCCGACGAGTACCACGACCAACCTGAAGCGCCGGCGCAGCCCAGTGAGACCTCAGGCGTCTTGTTTGAGCTCGCGGACGAGGCGCCACCCGCCAAGGCGAAGGCCAAATCTGGTGCAACCACCATTGATGGCAATGTTCACAAGGCAGGCAAGCCCGAGTCAGCCAAACTACGGGTATTGGTGGCAGAAGATGACCCCATCAATATGAAGATACTACGCAAGCGATTGGAGAAGGCTGGCCATACCGTACACCACACGGTGAATGGCGAAGACTGCGCTGCAGCTTACAAGGAAAGAGCTGATGACTTCGACGTGGTTCTCATGGATATGCAGGTAAGGCGCTCCCTGCCCGATCCCCGACGGAGATCTCAAGATGCAGATTGCAGCCTGTTGAGATCTCAAGCAAGTATTTGCTCCGCATAACTCTGCCTAGTCGTGTTCCTCTTTCACACAAACTGACACAATATTGCACAGATGCCTCTCATGGACGGCCTCACAGCGACCAAGACGATAAGGGAGATCGAACACTCGGGTGAGCATCAGCTCCTCTCTTCAATTTCTTCGAATCATGGCAGGATTCCGATCTTTGCGGTTTCGGCCTCTCTGCAGGAACGCGAGAGACAAACCTACATGACTGCAGGGTTTGACGGCTGGATCTTGAAACCCATTGATTTCAAAAGGCTCGAGGCCCTTTTATTTGGCATAATCGACGATCAGACACGAAATGATTCCGTGTATGTGGCTGGCGAGTGGGAACGAGGCGGTTGGTTTAGGAAGAGGCTGGAGCTGCCCTCGCAGGACAAGGCAAAGGACGCTCCTCCTCTCCGAGAAGTTGAGCTGCATGGCAATGAGATCAACGCCGCCAGGGACAGCATGTCTTGAAAACCTTCACGCTCGCTCCCACGTGCCAGCCAAAACTCTCCAACCAGAGTCTCCTGGGGACCCGATCGTCTAACAACTACCATTTTGTCCCACTTCTTCCGCGTACGGTCGCCTACGGTCCGATACCCAATTTGTATTTTTGGCGTTTTGGTTCTTTATCTCGGGGTGTGGGGCGAAAGGAGACAGGCCTGGAAAATATACGATACCCGGCATTTTGCTTTCATTCAGATACACGATTGGGAGGAACTTTTGCATATACACACCGCGAAAGGCTTCATTGGCAAGGGCGTTCTTCGGTGCATTTAGGTGGAGTACGAGGATCTTGAGAGGGGGGTGCGAAATATATATGAGAGGGGAGTCTGGCGGCGGAGGCGGCAAGGAATCGATATGGTGGACGCGGGACTATTCTGCTACACCACCCAGCCGTTCGTGTCCGAACGTGGTCGAAGTACAATCGATTTAGGGTCCGGAGCTGCAGGACAGGGTCTCTTATCGTTGCGGGCTGAGCACTGAGATCACACCCGAGTGTTGAAGGCGGACGAAGGCTGACTGTTTGATGAGCGAGGCTCGCGAGTGCGGTATGTTGGAGACGGACCTTTAGAGGGAATATGCGGCGGAGCTACGTATTCCTGCTCCCAGGCTACGAGATGAATGCACATTCGATTCGCGGCACCTGAGGGATCGACTGACTGACTGACTTAGTGCCGGTCGTGAAAGTGGTTCCGGGCGGCAGTCCCACACGGGCAATTGGAGCCAGGCCCCCACGCATCAAAGTGAAAGGGCGAGCGTACCAAGCCGCTTTGTGGGTTGGGTTGTCGTCTGAAGCCTGAGCCGACTATTGGGATCGATCACGCACCCAAGTCGTCATCGTCCCCGTCGCCCCCTTTGCGACAAGATAGCCAACAACCTCGGGACGGATCCCACTGGTGTGGGCCACCTTCCACTCCTTGCTTTTTCGCTGCCCACAGAATCTGCCAGCCCAGCCCAGCCTTCACCAAACAAGAGTCACATCCCCACATGGCGCTGCAGCTGGTGGCTGCCCAAGATGCATACACGGCCTTGCCTGCCCTTTCCCCCCCCTGCCCAAGCCGGAAGGATCGTTTTGTTACCAAACGCTTGGGTCCCGCCCCTCCTATCCCCTCGGCTGGCTCGCAATCATGATGAGCCAGCTTTCCCAGCCATTTTTGACGGGCTCGGCTCTGCACTGGCATGGCAGTCCCCCCCCCCCCCCCGATCGAGATTGTGACCAAATCCCGGGTCTCCGAGGGGACGAGGACGGCGGACCTACCGTATCTAGTGTACATGCGTGATGATGATGAAGGAGACACCGAACTCCCACCGCGAGAAAGAAACTCCGGCCGCCTTGTGCCCCTCCCCCCCTCTTCCGGTCCGCACACCCACACACATAGCAGGTAGTCAGTCAGTCAGGCACCTTCCGATCGCCGAACTTGCTTGCCCCCTGGGTGCTCCACCCCCAATCCGAGCCGCCAACCAGCGCGACGCGCGAGGTACCTTGACAGACTGACTGGCTGACAAGAGACCACCGTGGATCCCTTCCTCCTCCCACCCTCTCCCCCATAGTTTATCCGGGGACGAGGGCTCGGAAGATGTCCTGGAGGGAAAGGGACACATAGATACAGAGGGGAGAGAGTAGGGCCATAGGGCAGGGGGATTCGTGGGTCCCGTCGCACCGAGAATAGGACCAGCAAGCCAGATACGCTGGTACGCAGGGGGAGATGTGCGATCGGGCCGGCTCCGGAGGGACCTAACAAGATGTTGCATTGAGGAAGTAAGGAAGGAAGGGGAAAGAAAATAGGCACTTGTTTAGGGGCCCCCTCCCAAGGTACGCCTGCGTTGCTACCAAATGGCGTCATCTGGCATGGCAAGACCCTCCACCTTTTCCCCTGGAGCCCCGATGGGCCAGATGGGCGGTCTGGATTTGTTGGTTCTTCGCGGTGTGTATGTACGTGTGTGTGCGCAGACTATCTCTGTATGTGTTTTGCGTGTCTGTGTGTGCGCGGTTCAATGTCACGTTGTTGTGGTTGGCGGTGGGCGAGCGGGTTGGTCGGAGTAGGGCGGCCCACGAATCTGCAGGTCGTCCATGTATAATCTATGCATTTTACAATGGCGAGAAAAAGTGGGCCATTTGCGTGTCGAGCGAGCGAGCGAGCGAGCGAGCCAAAAGGCCGAACGCACGAGGTACATACGGCACGGTATGTGCATTTACTGACCTGCAGGATTGCTCACCCGTTGCTGAGGACTTATGCAGGTACAGGGCAGGCGTGCATGGGGGTCGCGCAGGCCGGCAGGGCGAGATGAGACATCGATGTACATTTTGAAATTTTACTTTATTTTTGCAACTGTCTGATCAACCGACAGGGTCCAAATCTATCTACAGCTAACCAGCCCCGTCTATATGCAGGATATGGAATCTCTATACATCTCGGGTCATTTCGCCCGCGCCATCGCTTTCCCTATTGCCCATCGGTGTGTGTAACCTCTCTGCCGGCGAGCGAGATTCTCGCCACCGCGATTCGGTGGATGCTATCGCAGTATTGCAGTGAAAGAGGCCACAATTGACCACCGGCCGTGGTTGCTGGAGCTTTGGCGGAGTTGCCATGTGGGCATGAGAAAGTTTCTCAGGTTTGATCGTGCTCGCATTCTGTTCTTTCTGTTGTTCTGTTCGCAAGTGGGAATGCCCCCTTTTCTCAACGAGCACACCCTTGTGTACCAGCAAGCCCAAGAAACGTAGCACCCAAACGCCAATCAAATCATGACATGGCTTCGGTCGTGATCAGCGACTTCTGCTTGTTCGCAAACTCTGTAGCTAGCCCGCACCTTGTTATGGCACTTCCCAAAAGTTGGGTCCGTTCACGTCTGGGACATCATTAACGGCTGTCATCCCGCTGTAGTCGGCGTCGCCCATCCAGAAAATCGGGTCGTTTTCGAATCCGGCGACGCCTGAGGTAGCAATGGCGGTGGCGAGGGCGGGATCCTCTGTGACGAGCGCTGTTGCAGACGCGGCGTATTTGTTTCCGTCCTTGGCCAGCTTGCCAAAGTCGTCGAAGTCGGTGCTGCCCATTTCCATGGCGCCGAGCAAGCCCTCCGGATCCCTCCCGAGGCTGAATCCAGTGCTAGATGTGTTTGTGCGGCTGAAGGTGCCGATGGGGTCGAACTCGTCCCGGATGAAATCGTCAACCTCGGACACCTCGCCTGAGGTCAACGTGGGGGGCTGTTCAAACCCAGCAAAGCTCTGGGCCTGGCTGTAGCTCGACGGGGCGAAAGTGCCCAAGTCCTTGTTAGCAAAATCAAGACCGATGTGGCTCCAGTCGACGTCAGGCTGGCTCAAACCAGCACTGAACATTGGCTGTTGGTGATCGTCCATGTTACTGAAGAAATCGTAGTTGTCGGGCATGAACGAGCCCGAGGCCCAGCCCGTGACGCTCGAGAGATCCAGAGGTGGTAGTTGGGTGTTGGACTGCGGGACCGACGAGGCTGCGGTCAGGATGGGCGAAGCCGTTTCGGAGTTGGACATGCACTGATCCTGCGCCTGCGGCATGCTACCGCTGCTGCTCGCTGACGACTCATTGGCGAGGTCTTCCATGGAACAGTTGGCGCCGCTGCCACCGCTCTGCGCAGAGTGCGCCCGAGTGAGCTGGTAGGGACCAGATTTCTGGGACGCCTTCGCGTGCTTGTAGGTTGGCTTGTGGTGGCCGTTCTCGTCGAAGGTCAACATCCCGTCTGAGGTCTGGGTGCTAGCCCTGGATCGGCGATTCCGCACCAGCTTGGAGGCCTTTGCATTTGTGCTCGAGCTGAGCTCCTGCTCGGAATCGGATTCGGGCACCGTGTCGAGCTGGTTCTGCTCCTTCTTGTGCGAACAGGTGCAGCGACCACCATGGTTACAACAGCAGCTCTCCCTGTGGCCGTCAACGGTAGCCTGCAAATGCACGCATTTGCTGGTCTTCTCGCCGCAGTCGCACTTCACATGAGCCGACTTTGAACGGCGCATATTGCGACAGTGCGAGCACTGGGATACGGGGCGACCCTTTTTATTGATGTGCTGCAGGGGCCGATCTGGAAACCTAATGTTAGCGACCAGTTCCCATCAAAGGTTTGCCCAGTTCGCGCGTTGTGCATTGCAATGCGACGCTCGCTCAGTCGACGTCACAGTGAGCAATCAGAGGCCGGGATTGTGCGCGGGTATTGCGCGGATATTGCTCACCCGCATGCTGGCAGTTGCTGACCCTGTGGCCACGCACACAGGACTCGCAAGCCCACTTTTCGCCGTCTATTATCATTTCGGTGGTATTCTGTGATGTGCTGTCTTGATGTGTGGCTGAGGTGGTTGTGTTCTCGGCTGTGCCAAGGTTGGAGGCCGGCGAGGCAAAGCGCGTCAACGGCAGCGCTGCGCTTGTGCTGCACGTAGCGAAGTTGCAGATGCTGTCAATTGGTGGGGTTCGAATGACACCTGCAGCAGCCCACGAGCAGGTGACTGACTGACTGACTATCTGGCCCGCCAAGGTCTGAAAGCCCAATTGGTGTTGCGAGGGTGCGTTCTGGACGCACGAGCAAAGCGGTTTGGAAAGAAGAAGAAAAGTCTGGTATCGAGTCTAATGAAACATTCGATTGGGTATCTGGCAAAATAGCTTTTGTGATCCTGACCGGGAAACTCCAATTGATGCAAACGCCGGGAAACAAGGACAACAGCAGGGCTGAGTGGAGATTGGTCTAGTGGTGTCTGTCTGGACTTGTCTTATTCAGACTGGTGCGGGTTGCGAGTTGCAGGCGGAGCACGTTGTTCAACTCAGGTAGGTCGAGATGGGCACTGGACGGATGTGCGAGATGTGGAAGGCTCACAAGCGCGGTGTGAGATGCATCGGATAGGCGGCTGGTGGGCGGATCGAGGAGATGGGAGGGATTCTGGGCTTAATCGCCTTGCGCGCCTGGGAAAAGCCAGGTAATGATGGATGGGGGCGGCGGGACCTCCTTTCGGCTAGGTAAGGCAGGTGGATGCGATGCGATGCGATGCGATGCGATGTGATGCCGCGCAAAGTGCAGGGTCAAGGCAGGTCAAGACTATGCCAAGGTATGTATTTTTATAAAACACGTAGGCTGGTCTGGTCTTCTTCCTCTTGCTGCTCGGAGGCGCTGGAGAGTCAGTGCCGCAGTGTGGTCGGTCGCTTGGCAGTGAAGATCAGAGTCCCTTTAGCCGAGAAGCGCGGTGGCTGCGTGGTGGGCGATGGCGGGCCGTGGATGAGAGATTGGCCGGCTTGACTCGGTCGAGAAAGCTGGTGGTATAAAAGAGGAGGGCGAGGTAGGTGTATGTATATATATGTAGATGTGAAGTGCGTATGAAGGGGTGTGTGTGTCTTATATATAGACAGTCCACACACACACACTAGACACACAGGTATATATATAAATATAAATGTGTGTTTGATGCACGCCTCTCTCTCTCTCGGAGCACGAGATGGCCGGCGATGGCACAAGGCCCGGAGAGTCGGGAGTCGGGGTTGAGAAGTCGAGAGGATCGCAAGTCCTCTGACATTGACCCAACGTCAACCGACGAAAAGGCAAAAGGTGCTTGTAAAGTAGGACAAGGCTGATGGAAGTGGTGGAGGTGGGAAAAGGACAGGAAACAAAGGAAGGCGCGAGATGGAAGGGGGCGATGTCGAGAGCGAGGAAGGACCGTTTTATTGTTCAACGGGCGGCGGCGAGTGGGACAGGAGGAGCCGGGGCTGGAAGGGTGGTGGGAGGAACTGGGGGGGTGTGGTGGCTCGGGACTGGGACTGGGACTGGGAGTGCTCGCTCTCTGTCTCTGGCCCCCTCGCGGAGGATGAGTGCGAGTGCGCGCGCGTGTGTGAGAGTGTGTGTGTCAAGGAATTGGCAGATGCAAATGGCAATGCAAATGAAAATGCAAATGGAAACGCAAATGGGAATGGAACCAGCACCATGATCGGAGTGGGTGCGTGGGCGTGGGCGACGAGGACACGGGCGTGGGACTTGGGACTTGGGACCTGGGGACTTGGGGACTTGGGAACATGGGCGCGGCAGAGGACCTCGACTCAACCCGGCTCGACTCGACTTTTTTCGGCTTCCTACAAGCTCTCTGTCCTCCAGGGCCCAGGTCCAGTTCCAGGGCCAGGGCACCTGGCCAGGGCCCGGCAGCCACCCACAAAGTACAATCGAGATACCTGACGATCCCGCTTACGGCGCGGCAACCCGCCAAGTACCGCCCCAGATCACATCTCGCAAATGACGGCACCACCCAGCAAGCAACCTGCTGGGCCCAGCACGCTTGTCTCGTCTTGTCTTGCCTCAGTGCTGGTGCAATCGCTGTGGAAGTACCCAGGTACTGTACCGCAGCTGTCGTATCGTGGTCTTCTGGGCCCTGACAGGCTCCAGAATGTATCCATCTATCCATCCACCCGCCCATTCATCCGTACGCGCAACAGTCGGCCATACTGTCCTGGCTGTATCCATCCAGCATTCAGGTCATTTAGTCTGCCTGCGCCTCAACGCTGCAGCTGCGGTGGCATAGGCGCAGAGTGCGGAGTGCAGAGTTCACAAGCCAAGGCATATGCTAGTCTGCCTGCTCTTCCCTTCTCTTGATTGCCTGTTCTAGGCGAAAGACGGGGCGGGAAATCCTCGACGAGCAGCGCTGCCCGTGGCTGTGGCTTGTCCCTCGTCACTGCGACTGCAACACCGCTTGCCGCTACCGCTACCCGCGCTGCTGGGTGTGGGACCAGTACCGGGGTACATACGCACAGGATACAGTACTTGTGTTATTGTACGGCTCAATTTGGGGGGTTCCCATCTGCAAGGTTGTCCTCTTGATCCAGTCTTGTCTTGGGATGGCTTGGGGTGCCCATGAGATGGGGATGCAGCCGTGCAGAGTTACACGTTGGCCAGGTCCAGGGTCGCAGCGTCGCAGCGTCGCAGGCTTCCAAAGTGGGCGCCAGAGAGTGGGCGGCTTCTGCCACCATCGAGCCTCGAGTGTGGGATGCCTGTACCCCATGCCTGGCCTGCTGGGCCTGCTGGCCTGCTCGCTGTGGCCTGCTGGCCCGCCCATCCTCGCGCCTGCTCGCTGTGTCTCTCGCTCTTGGTCCGTCACCAATCCAGCAAACTGAATACGCGATAGGATTACCCTACACCCAGCCGAGCCAGTCCCGATTGCAGCGCCCATCACGACCGCATCTAGCTAGGTTTTTTTTTTCTTTCGCTTTGGGTCTCTACTCCTGTGTCGCAACAAACCCTCTTGACACGCCCAGTGTCGTCGACACCGACTCCAGCAACCAGCCCACCCACTTATTGATTCTTTGAATAACTGACGGATTGCACCTTGCATTCCCGAACCGCTCTTTCCACAAGCCCGCACGGTGTCACTCAGTGTCACCTGCCAAGTGCTGACTGTCTCAAAAAAGTGCAAACCCGGAGATCCAAATCCAGCCGTCCATGTCTTCCGCCGTTGACTCAGATCGAAGTCAATCTTCTGGCCTTTTGACGACATCTATCCGCGACACTGACCAAAGCTCCTGGGCGGAGTACCATCCCGCGTCTCGGTCGCTTGGACCTAGCTCCACCACAACGAAGGATACCCTGGGGAGCTCGCGATGTGTCCTACGCCGGCCTGCAGCTTCTCCTTCCGGCATGGTGCGCCGCACGCACGCGTCTGCATCCAGTGGTTCATCAGCCTGCTGGTACTGTGTGTGTTTTGACAGCAGTGGACTCGGGCCGTCTTGCGGCGCTGCTCAACTGAGGGTGAACCTCCAGGGCCCAATGCTTGAACATGTCGCTCCGTCACGAACCGCGGGTCAAGAGTCTACATAGTACTTCCCGTGTCTGTTGGGTCTCGGGTTGTCCAACGACGGGCATATCCTACCCGCACATCCGTCCACGGTCCCGTCCAACAACAATACTTGACATACTCATCCTGCAGGAGCTAAATTCAGTGATATGCGGTTCACCACCTGTCCTGCATGGTGCTAGTCGACACAATCTTCATCAAGCATCTCATCAGGGCTCCAAGCTAGCTCTTGCAGCTCTAGCAGGATCCGCTAATCGCTACGACCTCACCCAGACCGCTCTTATCTGACCAGTACAGGCTCAATCCAAACACCCAGCAGGAACGGGGAGTCGTGGCCCGGCAATTTGTCAAATCAACAAGGCGAAACATTCATGCCAAAGGCAATCTCCCGCCAAGATTGCGGTGATGATCAAAAATGTCACAAGCAATCACGGAAATCAAGCACTCCACACCTGCACTGGGTTCCGTGTGAGCTGTGGAATAATTATAGCATCTGGCAGGACGACGGATGCCTGGCAGTGGAACCGCGCTTCCATATGCTGAGGGATGTATACTATGCCTATGTCAACTGATGGTCGTCCAGCCAAGCTTTGCCATCTCGGTCAAACATCTGGAGGGGGCTCGTCATGTGTAAGATGCCAATATAGAGGCTCGGATCAGCCTTCCGGAGATCTCAACCCGGCGAAATAAGCCTCCTCGAGACATATATTGCTGCCGTTGAAAGCCAAGAACTACTATTACTGTACCAGCCCCCGGCTGCCATTCAGGCACAGTGTTCCCTTGCCCAGAGACTGTCATGAAACACAGCCGCTGGTTGTGGACGACTCAGACGCAGGCCACGGTCGACGATGCTGTTCATCCCCGAACCTTTCACCGAGACACATACTCAAGGAACGCGTACAAGCAGCTTGGCGCCGAGGACAATCACTCTTGATACTCCGGCAGTCTGTGAAGCGTATCTGAGCTTTCTAAATTTACCGGGCCACTTGTTTCGTTTCGAACCCCCGAAATTCAGGGCGTCACGACCATATTGGCGTCTGATATTGCAGACGTTTACGTGTACGGGACGAGGCGGCGTACGTTTGTCCCTTAGCTCGGCAAACTTGGCAGCGGCTGAGGCCGTCTGGAAAGTTTCAACGCTCGGGGACATGAAGATCATCTCTGACGTTGCCTGTCGACATGCAAGCTCTTATGGCAAGACAACCTGCATCCGGCGTCGAGGCATACAGTACGTTCCTCGAGAGCTGGGAGGTTGACAGCTACACGCAGCTCTGGAATGCAGGCCAGCTCCTGCGTCAGCTTCATTATTTGGAAGGACCCTGGTGCATCTTCGGGGTCCGATGCGCTGCACCGGGTGAAACCTCGTGGGCCGGATATGCATCACAGAAACGACCCTTGATACGAAATTCGGAGGTCTCCATCTGACAAGCCGGCGATGACCATCTCGACGACGAGGCGTTGTAAATCCGCAACTTCTGAAGGGGACTCTCGAACGTGACGGTGGAAACGTAGTCAGCAACTGATTCGGTTCATGGACATATTTCGGGCCAATCGCCTGCCCCCTGGCACCGTCAACACATGCCCAATCAGTCCAGCACGGATTGGGCCCCACACCTGGTGATGGGGAGCAATGACCGCCCGGGCCCATAGGTTGGCGGCGCATGTCTGGGATGCCTGCCCTGGACAAAGGGCCGAAAGCCAACTGTCACGGAACAGCCCTGCTGGCGTCGTCGGCCGGGATCAGACAGACCCCACCGCAGCGAAGTTCGGTCGCCAGCACCAGAAACTTGGCCCAGCACCAGCTGTGCGCCATTGGCGAAGTTGTAAAATTTTGCAAGTGCCCACACACCCTGCCTCGAACAAGATTTTGCGGATCGCCACCGACGTCGTTGTCATTCGCAGGCGGCTGCTGATGGGCGGGCTGCAGAGTGAGGAGCAGCTGCGTGTACGGAGCACGAGGCAAGTCCCGAGGTCGAGGATCGGAGCAGGAGCAGGTACGTACTGACTGTGCCGTACCCCCAAAGGTACGTACCGGGTGCCGGAGATGGGCAGATCTGGGCCCTTCTCCCTGCAACGAGACCGAGAGAGAGCACTGTACCACTTTCCGTCACCGCGGCTGCCACCGTATGCTCATGTCCCTTTTTTCTCCCGGGTCTGTGTGCCCTTCCGGCAGCATCAACTTCCATCAACACCACACTCTGGAACATGTATGACAGAATTCAGGCATCAAAAAGCCACCTTCTCCATTCCAGATGGTCAATTGACGTCGGCATTGAATCCCAAACTCCATTTTCCCCAGATTCTCTCCGCAAAACACCCTTGCCATGCAGCCCGATTTCCCCAGAGCGCTCCCGAGTCTTTCCGATCGCTGGACACCACCCCTGGACGAACCACTCCCCAGAGTCGGGCGACGCGATTTGAGCATCCCTGCAGTCAGACTCCTGTCCTGTCACACCCCAATGCCCAACGTCTCCTGCAAGGGATTGGTTTTTTTGTTTTTGTTTTTGTTTTTGTCGTTATTACAACAGTTCGGCCCATTCCTGATTTGACGCGCGGTATAGTTCGACCATGCTGTCAGAGGGAAGAAGCATGTGCCTGTGCTGTGTAACAACGCTCCAGCAGGATCGCATTTTGAAGGATGCTGCTCTGTGGAACAGTTTCCCGCGGGACCTTGGATTCCGCGGTGGTCAGCGTCGCACAACTAAAACTGTCCCGTTGCGCTTCGCTGCAGCGGTGCTCCTGCGCTACTGCGCTTACAGCATCGAGACTCACTCGCTCCCAAGGCCGTCGTGCATCGAGCCAGTGCATCCACGACCGAGTGCCTACCCCAAAGCTGGAGACTAGGCCCTCGATCTTGAGCCTCCTCTGAGCGTCAACGGTTCCTTCTGGCGACGTTCCTGGATTTCCCCAGGATTGAGTCCTTTGTTTAGTCCCGGGCTGTCACACCTTCCCGCCCGTGTTGTACGAGGCGGAAGCACCTCGATCCTTCAGGGCTGATCTTCACCTTCTTCCTTTGGTCGCCTTTGATTGAACAGTCGAAGTCTTTGGTCGGGCAACAACCATGCTATCTACCGTGCCTCGTCTGTCATCTCGGTCCTGAAGTGGAGTCATGTGACGGAGCTGGAAACGAGATGCGATACCGTGGCCAACGTGTTGCTTACTTGAGATTCGGTGAATGGCCAATTGGCTCTTCGTACCCTTGAAGATATTACGACTGTTCATCATACCGACATGATCGCCCTGGTTCAGCAGTTCGCCGAGCTGGCCTGTTCTGACCTCGACAACATGCTGCCGGGGCCCACAAGCAGTGCCAGAGTGCTGGCTAGGAACACGGCAAGGCCCCGGGCTACGGAAGAATCACCGGTCTGGTATTGGTCCAACTGCGGGACATCGGGGCCTGCACTACTGGGTGTCACTTTCTCTGCAAAGGTGTTCGTGTACACCATTTTCGTTGTCTATTTACACGCCCACGTACAGGTAACGAGATGATGTCAACCGACTGCTACTTCAAGCGAAGACTTGGCCGTCGGTTGGTGCTCGGTGCCGTCCAGGCCGAACCGGCTCCGGTTAAAGGAATCTCACGGAACCAGGAACGCGGAAGGATGAAGAAGCCTCGCTTCTAGGATGTCTCTTTTCACAGGCATCTCACGTTTGCATTAACACGCCTCTCTCCAAGCGCCGCTGTTGTTGTTGATCAACAGGTTGGGTGATCCCCTCGGGTCCTTGATCACCCCTTTGGGCGCCAGATTCTTGATCCTCTGCGTTATCGCAGCTGCAGATATATTCGGCGCCTCTGCATGCACTGCTTTTAGATACGCCATCAGCCCAGCTACATGTGGCGTTGCCATGCTCGTGCTGCTGAGCAGGTAACAAGTTGACGTGTTGCTTCCTACCCATGCCGAGTAGATATCGAAACCGGGGGCAAAAGCATCAACACCAGGGCCCCAGTTCGAGAAGAACACGCGGTTGTCGGCCCTGTCGGACGCGGAAACGGTGAAAGAGTTGGGGACCCTCCCTGGTGTCCTATCCGTTATGAAACGTTGTCGTTTCCTGCTGCCGCGACTCCAAGGACTCCCTGGTTGAACGCCGGCGTTGATCAGTTCGACCGTGATATCGGGCGGCTCACTGTATCCAAAGGACATGTTGATGACATAAGAATTCGCTCTTCCGTTCTTCAGAATGTCATTGACTGCCAACTCAACGCTTGCGATGCTTGTGGACAGCTCTCCCTATGCCCGAATAGGGTGTCAGTTGGAGTCCGGCCTCGGGTCAGATCGACGGGAGGGCTAGTGCTCAGCATGGGGCGACTTACATTGGCGCCCCAGAACGCCTTCACATCGACCAAAGTCACGTCCTTTGCGATGCCGACTGTCCTGTCCCCTATGGTGCCGGCTACATGCGTGCCATGGCCAAATGTGTCTTCAAAGGCCGTGTAGTTTTCCCACACGTTGAAGCCCTTGATCACACGTCCTTCAAATTCCGTGTGGTTTGCTTGAATGCCCATGTCAACAACATAGACGTACTGCCCACGGCCTGTTGCATTAGGATCAGAGACATAGGTGTACTTGGTGCCGTTGTTGGGCTCCCTGTGCGAGATCCTGTCGAGTCCCCAGGACCGGCTTGACGCCTCGGCGATATCGCCTTGAATAGAGTCGAGGGTGAGCTTCTGGTCCGGTTCGACCAGGGCGACCTTTCAAGAAATTCTGTCAGCACACGGCAAGGCGAATCGAATCTTAAATACCCAGTCTCACCTCTTTGCTCCACTTGATATCCTCGAGGGTCTCTTCGTCGAAGCTGCCAGAGTAACCCCGGAAGCCGTCGAACGAGAACGTCCTCTCGACACCCGCTGCCGTCTCGCCAGACGACTGCCTTTTGCGCAGGTTACGGGCGTGCACGCCCTGGACCCACGACGTGTGCTCTCTGAGCTGGGCAGGGGACGACTCCGGCTTGATGGCGACTAGGTATTTCCCCCGGATGGCGGAACTACGCGGCTGGGCGACGCCGGCGTGGGGGACGGCCAGGCCCAGCAGAGGACAAGTCCCGACGAGAAAGGTCAGGAGAGGCAGATACATCTTCGACTATATTGTTTATACGCTTGTCTATCCGGTACGTGAGTTTCTCAATTCTCCCCTCGCAGGTGGATCAACAATATATACATATACACAAACAGCAACCAGGTTGGCCGACACTGCCAACTTGTGTCTTTGCCAACATCCGTCCCTGATGATGTGCTCTACACCTTACCGTAGATTCACATATAATGATCGCGTCTTCCTGGCATATTGGGATCAAAAGGCAGTTTTGTCCGGGTCTGAGTCCATCTGAAGACATCGAAAAGAAAAGGTCGCAGCCGCAGCAGATTACTGACCAATCTCCCCCGTAATACGGCTTGGCACTCGCCTGCAGTTGGCAACAATTACCACAGCAGACGGCGCTGAAGACCTCAAATGTGGAACAACGAAACAAGAGTTGGGAAAAGGGCACCGGGGCAAGAAAGACCTTGTGACCTGTGCTCTTGTAGTGGCCGTACCATGGCAAAATTATTGATATCCGGCGCCGCAGTGCCAGCGGGCGGCCCGTTAAGCGGCGCCGGTGCCAATTGTTTATGCGCGCCAGTACGACGCTTTGGCGAGACACGGGAACCCGACAGCTGTGGTGAATGTTACAGCCTTTGCCGATTTGGCGCCCGAGAAAAGTTCAGACACGACTTGCAAGACCTGGTGTTCCCGGCGCGTGGATGTAAGGGGTCTAATCCTGTTCTCCCAAGGGACTCACAGCATCGTCGAGAGTCTAGAGCGACTCGTCCGGCACAGAACCCTCGTACTTTGGTGTTCCACCAATGCAGGGGAGAGAAAGCAGGAGAGTGAAGAAGAAGGTTCACGGCTGAGCGCAGGTCCTCAGACCATCAAACAATGGTCTGGCGGAGCAGGCGCTGCCCGTCGACGATGGCCACGGAGAAATCGAGCCGCGGGACAACAAAGTTGTGGGCCGCGCAGGATGCTCATGGGTTTTCCCTTTGCGGCCTGGCTTCGGCCTCGGTCGGGCAGGTCATCAACCGTGAGACCCATGCAATCCACCACGGGTGTTTCGTATTGCCCAGCCCAGCCCAGGCGCCGGTTAAGCAGTCTTGGTAGCTGGCTTATACGAGGGGCAGCCATTTCCAGGCCAGCGACGGCCAGGGTGCACGATGGCGGGGCGCAAAGGGCCAAGAAGGCTATGGCATCCTCGCTAGGATGAAGTCGCCCATTGCTCCGGGATCCCGACCTGGGGCAGAATGGAACATCGTGTTGGTTCTTCTGAAGGTGGTGAGAGCGCGGCAGATCCGGCCCGCCAGTTGGGGATGCTGCGCGACGGTCGTTCGTTACTGCTGCGTCAGTGTAAGACGACGGGGACAGGTGGGATCAGCAAAACCGCCAGGAAAGGGAACGGGATCGTAGTGCGAGGTCAGGTCGCACAGAGTTCCCAATGCGACGGACCCCAAATCGCTCCCCTCACACCCACCTCGCTTCCATCCGGTCTTCTAGAAGCCTGCCGTCCTTGTCCCCCGAGGCGACCTTGTGGCAAGCTGTCTCGCCTCGATCCTGCACCGGCGTCCGTCCTGCGCCGCATTCCTGCCTATGCAGGCCATGCAGGTGATGCACGCGCTGCAGGTGACGCAGGCGATGCCCTTTTGGCTCTCCTGAATATCCCGCAACACCCTCGTCACAGCCTATCGCGGGCGCCGTATTGTGTGCTGCAGAGGACTCGTCCCTCGCCTTCGGGGGAAAGGGGGACGCCCAGGTCCTTGGTCCTGCCCATGTCACACCACTCCGGCGAGGCGTTCATCCTGATCCTCAGTGTACTGTATCCTGTGTGTGTGTGTGTGTGTGCGTGTGCAAGTGCGACTGAATTATTTTTTGCACCGCTCATCGCGGCTTCGTGCTGCAGCAGGAGCTGGCTGGTAGGAGCTGGCCTGCATCGTGGCGATCTCTATTCGCGGGTCTGGTGGCTGGCAGCAGAGAGAGGCCAGGCTGAATTGCCTCGAATGCAGGAGGATGGATGGAATCGATGTCCGTGGAGGGGGGTGCAGCGTGTCCACGAGCGTGCAGCTCACCCCACCACCACCACCATCATCGCCTGCCCTCGGCTATCGCGCATCACCGAAGCTGTCAAGCTGTCAGACTGGTCAAGATCTGGATTTGGTAGCTGCCCACGGAGAAGCCCGCCATGACATACCTAGGTAGGTATCGGCCTCAGGCTGGCACCCTTCGCCCGCTGGCCGCTCCTGCTGTCCTTGCTGCAGCACCTACTGTGCCGCCTGCAGGTTTTTGGGAGCTTGGGCCACATCGGACCTTTTCCCTGCAGCCTCAGACGAAATTTTCTTCGTCCTTCCACTTGGAGTATCCTGCGTACACACACGCACACACATGCGCGCACATCTTTTCTCTTCTCTCCCAGAACATCCCACTCTCCCACCCCCCACGACCAAGCCGATTTGACCTCCCTCCACACGCCGCCACCCCCAATTCCTCTATCTATACTGGTGCGCATGCTGCAGCAGGTCGAGCAGTTCGAATTGAGCTTCTCCGCAGCTTGAGGTTGTCAGTTCCTAGCTCCTCGGCGACCACGCTGCCACCCTCAAGCCTGCTTGCTAGCCACGGCCATGTCCGTCACCAAAGACGGGCAGAGGGAAGGGCTCACCGGATGGTCAACCGGGATCAAGCAAGCAGGTCTTTCCTTATGCGCGGCGACCATTTGAGTTCGAGCATACCTCCTTTTGCAGGACAGCCCCAAAACTCTTGGGGCCACCCACCCAGGACCCTGCTTAGGATCTGCTCAAGTTGCACTTGTGCGAGAGCGCCTGTTTGTCCGCGCCATCCTGCTGCACGTGTGTGCCTCGTGCGGTGGGTTTTCTGCCTCTGACCATACTTGATCATGCAGTCGTTCAAATGGGGCTGCTTCCAGATCACATCGCTTCCAGGGTCTCTTCTCCCCGGATGCACACCCTCTTGGGTTGCACATACCCGCTGTTGGACAAGGCTTTCCACCCGTCAACGTCTTCAACAAGGTCTGACATCCGATGGACTGCAAGTGCCGTTATCCTTTGGACATGCGATGGGACCTCGCTAGGCCGCTGAAGATGGTGTGCAAGACGCGCGAAAACCTCCGTCAGAACGGTGTCATGGTCTGCAATGCATTGCAACAGGTAAGCCCTGCCAGATATCACGTGTTTACACGTGTATCGACGTCTACTGTCCTATCTCTCCGTTGGCGTAGACGTTTTCGCACTGGCAAAGATGAACACAAGACCCGTTGCTGGGCGCCCGGTTTTAAGAGGTCGTCTTGACTCTCCTTGAAACTCCTGGGAATCAGCTGTGGCCACATTCTCTCCTTCTCGAACCCTCTGGGTATCTCTTTTTTTCTCTCTGCTAGTTGTTCATTTCAGTTTATCACCAGTCATCAGAGTCTTCACCGGTCGTCAGACGACCAGGGACTGGCACCTCAAATCTATGGTAGATTTCAAGATTCTCGATCAGAGGTCACATCGCGTTTTACAAGGCCGCGCTTTAGGTCTTATTCTCGCTGAAGGAGTCAATAAACCACGAGATATATCACAGTATCTTAGCTGCATATCCCACGTTTTAGAGTGGGGAGCTCCCTGGCACAAGCTCTCTCCATGTCTCATTCATCAGCTCGTAAGGTGGTGTCCCAACAGTCAGCGCTCTGCAGGGCTAGGCTGGCGGCAGGGCAGCCATTGGAGTACTGGTTTGCTCGATAGGTGTGCCGGGTTCGCCGCCCTGACCGAGCTGTAAACGATTCGGCCCCCCTTCCTGAGAAGAAGAAGCAAACATGGGACTCTCGCGGCGCTACTGCGGCTTGTGGGGGTGCATCGGCACTGTGGACCGCTAGTAGCTCTTCCCTGTCCTGATATCGTCGCTTTCCGAGTAAGTGTTTGGAAGCTGACCTGAAATTTCTCTAGCGTGGTGGTATCCATTCATCATCTTGCTTTTCAATATCAACACCCATAGTCGTACATGAAAAAACTTGATGTCTGTGTGCTGAACTATGGTGGACGAAGTCCAATCACCTCGTCGCGGCCTCTCGGGCTGCGCCATCAGACAGCACATTGCGTGGCAGCGTGGGTGACTTGATGCTTGTACAGAACCAACACATGATCTCACGGCAGCTCTAGCCGATCGCGACCGCAACTTGTCGCGAACGGCACGGCGGGGTGAAGGCGGGCGGCTGTCGCCAGCTTGCATCTCCGCCTCCCCGCCGCCGTGCCATCCGGGCGTCTGGGTTGAACAAGCCTTCTCCTTCAATATAGAAGCGGGTGGATCGGCACCGAGGGGTGTAACCTCAGCTCCATACCACACGTATACACCCGACTGCCCCCAGGACCATCGTGTCGGGGTGGCCGTTTATTAGGGTGGGCATCTAATTGCAACCTCGCCCAACACCCACCCACCCCAACAAACACCCGCCCTACCCAGATTGCCGGGATTCGTGTGAGAGAGCAAACTGGGTGGGACTTTCTGCCCAGCGGCGGCATGGTGGGACGGCCGGCCCTCCATCATCAAGCAGCGTCGCATCCAACTTAGACGTGGTGGTGGTATCTGCGGGAGGTACGTAATGAGATAGATATATGGGTGGTGCCACAACAAGCTTGCTGCGAAAACTAACGGAGAAAGCCAATTCGGAAACCCGACGGGCACTGCAGCTTGGTTCCGATGGCGTCTGCTACGCAGGTAGCTTTACGCTGCTAATGGAGAGCAGATGGCAAATTACCACAGTCTCGCGCAGGGTAGAGCCGTCGCTTGGGGCGGGGGTGGCCAGGGACTTGGAGTTGGAAGGGCATGTCGCGGTCCAGGACGCAGCAGGGTCATGGAAGTTGAGGTGATGAAACGTTCGTCAGAGGCAAGTATTGATTACACCGGGATTTGGGCGATGCACCGAGCACTCGTGAACACACGGTTGCGCACGGCTGCGACTGTGTGTTCAGTACCAGGCCACACTCATAGGCCCATCAATGACATTGACCCGCAAGAGTCGTGAATATATATGACTGTTGTACAGAGGTATCTCTTGGGTATATATTATAGCAAGCCAGTCATCCTTGCAATCCCTTTGCAGGCGGCTCTGGTTTGGAATCTACATACCCGATTCAACAGCTGGTCGGGGGGTAAAATAGAGAGATGACTGATGAAGTATGATATCGTTCGTTGACATCCTCAGATGCCTCAAAGTGTATCATGTACCTCGTTGCAGGGGCCAAAAAGGTGGCTCAATAAGACATTTCGTCTCAAAGCCAACGAGAGATCATGACATCTTCCTTGAATCTACCTTGAGTCGTCATTATCCGACTTGAAGACCGGTACTCAACGGTGGCTTCTCGCTTCTCGAGATGGAGGTGGTCGTGCAGAACAACATAGAGCTCCATCGAAAGACGGCCTTTCCCCGCCGATGCAGAAAAGACAAGCATGCGCAGGAAGCCCGAAGATTCCCAGCCACATCATCCCAGCAAAAGACAGTTGACGCCCAAAGAAACTTGCATCCCTGTCTCGGTCAAATGAGTACAGCGCCATGGTATGGCGACTTCTGGGATAACGCCCTACGCAGAACTCGAGTATCCCACGTCCTAAGAGGGGTACTGGCCGATGGCATTGAGATAGCCGCCGCACAACATCTGTCGCGGGTCGAAACCGAGGTCTTCGTACGTATCGCTAGTGCGGAATTTCAGCACATCTTCGATATCCCCATGGTCCGGCTCCATTACCGCAAGAGGCGCGGTTGCTCCGTTACTGACACCAGCCGGCGGAGCCTCTGCGGCAGCAAGGTCGGCGAGATGTTGAAGGCTTTGGCTCGCAGTAACCTCGGTAGACTCATTAGGAAGAGGGCGCATCGTGTCCCGAATCTTGTATCGAATTGGCCCATCCCAACTCGATGGGGCAATGTTCGCCTCCAAAAGCTGATTCAATAGCTCCTTGGCTTCCCCCTCTGAAGCCTTGAGATTTGCCAGCTCGATTAGACACAGCGCAACCAAAGACGTGAAGTGATGGTTTAGCGGGCTTATCATCTGGGAGTGCGTGGTCAGAAGCCCAACGGATTCCTTGACAGCCCAAAGAACATCTGACAGCAGAGAAGACGGCGTGAAAAGGAACGCAAGCAATCGGCAATGCCAGTACGCGAGATGCAGTACAGGTTCCACGTCCGGATGGATGTCTCCAGGGAAATGAGCCCGCCACATTTCCATGTTCAGGTGAAATGTAGCTGCGGCCCTTGCTGCGGATCCTGGAGTCGAGTTCGTAGGCGCGAGCACCGACGCGGGCACCCAATGTCCCATTATATACGATAGCACTGGAGACGTTAGCATGATACAGTATGCTCGTTCCAAGTCTGGTCACTCACAAGTAAAGCGAAAGTTTGCTTCGCCCACAATCGGCTTAAGATTCGACGGCAGGACTATCGTATCACCAGAGATTATCAAGGGAGTGGCTGTTGAGAGGGCATTCCATCGATCCAGTATGACCAATGTCCACCACGCCCGGACCCGAATGCACTGGTCTGACTCAACATTGGAGACGCCATCCAGCGCGGTAGCCTCTTGTGGGACGGACATGGCGTATGCTACACCGGCGGCTCGGCCGAGTAGGGAAGCCTTGGCTGGTCCCTCGTGTTCTCCGGTGAGTGAGGGCGGGCCGACATTGTCAGTGTTGATGATCATGAGAATCAGACACTGCAAGTGAACTAGACCAGAAATTTGCGACTTTCTGCCACCTTCAACCTCGAAGTCTGCTAGAAGTCGATTGGCATTGGCTAGACTGCCTTGGACATCACGCACGGCAAATGATCCAATAGCAGAATTCAGAGCCTCGACGAAAGCGTTCCGCAGATTGGGACTGCAATGTGCCAAGTGCGAGTTCAGAATGTCTTTGGAGCTGGGCAGGAAGGGCAAGACGTGGTGCACGATAGCCAGATACCTGTAGTCCATGGTCAGTAAACAGAAACGAAGACACGCAGGGACTGAGAGAACTCACGCGTTGAAAGCGCCATCTTGAACCCCGGGGACAAGATGATCAGGTTGGGAGGGTTGCGATTCCTCTTGGAGAGGTTCTACGTTGGGAGGGTGCGGCGGTGTCGTGCTGGTACTCTCTCTTGGCAGAAGGGGCTTGAGACCCAGGCTGTTGGCAGAGTAGGATGCTTGTTGGGAAAATGCAGGGCGAGATTCCGAGGGCGGTCCAGTCTGCCTGATGGGGGAAGGAGTAGAAAAGTTTTCGGTAGAAATGTGAGCATACGGCCGCTTTCGAGACTCGTCTGCCGTTGCGGCAGCCGCAGCAGCATAGCTATCCGCGAGATCTCGTCTCGGCAATGAAGCCAGCTCTCCGGCTAGAGCATCTGCTGCTGCTTGTCCTCCTAGCTTGCCCTCGATGGAGTGGATCCTGTCGGCCAATTCCTTGATGTAACCCTTTGACGGCCCGCGCTTCTGTGGAACTCGACTGAAAAGGCACCGGACATTGGAGCGCCGGCAATTAGAGCAAGCCTCCTCTCCTGTCTCTGAGGCAGCGTCGCATTTTACTTTCTTTCTCCGACACTCATCGCAGGCCCTGCTGACTTTTGATCTCTTGCGGGGAGGTACATCACCGACACCGTACTGGGCTTGGCCAAGCCCCATGGGAACAGGTGGACCGAGATGGGGAGGCTGTTGTTGAGGGTCCATATATTGGGCATGGTGTGCGTGGGACGTGTGCTGCCCATGTTGGGACAGCTGAGGTTCCTGCTGGCCGTCTGGGTGCGGCATGACATGCTGGAGACTCTGCTGTAGATCCTGCTGTATGTTGGGCTGGATATTCTCGGGTAGCTCGGGAAGCACATGCTCCTGGCCCTGCATGTGGGCGTCCGGCGTGTCTTGAAGCTGTTGGAGGCTCTGAAGGTTCGGCTCTTGGGAGTCGAATTCATCCTCTTCCGGGTTCGAGCCGCCGACCACGCCGGAGATGGCCTGGGACATCTGGGCAGCAAGCTGCAACTGCTGGATCTGGTCCTCGCCTGGAACACCCAACTGGAGATCCTCCGCATTCACATCTGGGCGAGACGCTCGCTGGGGCGGTGTTGGGGGTTCTGCATGCTGCTGATCCGGCGGCTGGTCGAGCTGCCGGTCACCCTGGAAGAAGGAAGCATCAGAGTCCTCGACACGAGGAGAGGGGTACTGCTGAAGCGGCTCTGGTGGACGAGGCTGTTGGGGCTCTTCCTGTTGGATGTCCTCGGGTACAGCCTCCACCTTTGGGGCGGCAGGTTCCTCGGGCATCATCTCCTTATCCATGGCGCGGAAGCCCTTAGGTCTGGGACAGAATCCGAGGGCTTCGCATGTACGGAGCAGAAGGGAAGTAGGCCGGGTCAGCTCCGTACAATTACAACATGGGGCAGCCTGGATGGAAGGTGTGGTGTCCTGGAAATGACCGTCGCCTCAAACCTTCGCATCAGCGGCAAAGGGTACCCTTGGCAGACGCGCGGCGGCACAGAGGCTCGACGAAGACGGGCCCTACACCTGGTCAAGTAACGACGAGGTAGTGAGAGTGACCTTGTCGACGCGTCAAATGAGCTTGCCAAAGGGCGCGACGTCGCTTAAGGAATGAAACATGTTAGCTGGTGGCACGGAAGATGATGGCAAGGCCGGGGCCATTTGGAGTGAATAATTTTTTCCTTCTTGACATTGCAGTGACTCTAAATGATACACAGACATGAACAAAGTCATCTTGGCTCGCTTGAGAGTCGTTTGCCGGTGATCAGGTTGTGGGATGCTTGATCAATGGAGGAAAGCGAGATGCATGGTGGGAGGTGCCGCATGGGCGAGCAAGACGTACCTGGGGGAGACTTGGTTGATGACAACTCGGCGATGGGAAAAAGTGATGATCCAGGTGAATGTTTGAGACTGGCGTGCGGCCTGGGGGATGGGAGGTCGGGTCGATCGTAATTCGGCGGCTGGCCCAAAAAGTGGGCTACCCGAGAACGGCGTCGATTACATAAGCATGGTGGCCCAGGCCCAGGCCCAGACCATTACCTGCGGGCAGTGACACAGGAAGGCATGCCCACCAGTCCTCGATCTACATACAGTACGGCGTGCACGAAGCGCAGGCTCACCCAGCCCGAGATAAACTCTTTCAGAACGCTCTTCGCGATCGAAAATACGGAGCAGTGCAATATCCCGTTGCTCTCTCCTCGTTCTCTCACATCTGACGTGCCTCTCACCTTGGAATCATACATCCCCCTCTCTGGTCGGCCGTTCAACATCTGTCTGTGGAATACATGGCCATCTTCCAGAATGCCAGAATTCAGGCATATTGTTCCATAGCTATCCTGTTCACATCTATGGTCATACTGCTGCCTGCTTGTCTAGGTGAGAAAACATATGCGGTAGATCTTCCAGGGATGCATCTCTAGAATTGCCCCTCGCGAGTTTCATCTGTTGAAAGCATCTCAGGTGCTGTCATGCCAGTCGTTCGACAGTCTTGAACTTTGTTGGAATTCTACAATTCCACGGCATTTGTCCTGGAAATCCTCGACCACTCTATTTCGAATTGATGAAGACATATGGCCCCTGCCAGAGACATTGAATACACTGGATGGGATCATGACGGCTGCATGAGAGCGGTCCAGTCAAAGGCTCATACTACGGACTGTGCCGGCACTCCGATCCTGCGTCTTTGGATACTTGCTCACTTTCTGTCCTAGCTCGGGCGCCTCAGTTAGCAAGTCTGATGGTTCAGACGAAGGATATAAGCTTTCTGCTCCCGGGATCCCACCCGAAGATCCTGTGCTGTTTTGCCTTTGTTTTGCGATCACCTAGGGGCCGAGACGTTTCAACTGATCTGCTGAGTCGAAGAGTACTACGATCCTGGCGTGTTGTCTCTTTACCACACAAGTATACCTCACTCGACGGGGATTTCTAGACATTGCCCCTTAGGCATAGGGATGATGCGGCTGCGCCCGGAGCTTATTACTCGCGGGTGCTTCATCTCCTGTGTGAGGGCGACGATACAGAATACATATACATGGAAACATTCCCAATCCCCTGGCGACTGCGCGGAATGCCTCGCTCACCCTGCAGAATAGCCCGGCACCAAAACTGATACCCACCTTCTTTCACAATGCTGTCGGCACTCCTCGGCGTAGTATTCGTTCTTTTCGCAAATCCTAATCTGGCATTAGAGTCCAACCTTGTCCAAGTCGAGCACCTCAGATCAGCACCAGCGCCATGGGCGATCTCCCGTCAAGCAGACCCGGGACAACGGTTCCAACTGTCGATCGCGCTGGACCGGAGCAAGCATGTTGAGGACAAGCTCTATGCCGTGTCCACACCGGGCCATGAGAATTATCGCAAGCATCTTACCAGAGCTGAGGCCCAGGCACTGCTGAGCTCCGACAGCGAGACCTCCGGGAACGTCAAGGCTTGGCTCATTAGCAACGATGTCAACCCTTCTGATATCAGGGATGACAAGCATTGGATCCGGGTGACCACCACTGTGGAGAAAGCCAACCGCATGCTGGACTCCGACTTCGCCTGGTACAAACACATGGGCAGCGGTAAAGAGGTGCTGAGGACGCTGCGTTACTCCCTACCACAGGAGATGAAATCCGATATCTCGCTGATCACGCCCACTACACGTTTCTGTTCACACCCAATGATGCACCAGCCCAGACCAGTCCAGAACACCGAGTCCGCGGCTGATACACAGCTTCCCGAGGAACTGCGCAGGTTGAGGACGAGAGGCTTCGCGGGCACGAACCAGCGCCTGACCCAACAGAAAGCTGCCGCCCAGGTCGACGCATCATGTAATACCACAATTACTCCAAGCTGTGTGCGTGCTCTGTACAACATGCCGTCGAACTTGACCTTGAGCAAGGCCAGGGGCCTCGGCGTTTACTCGTCCCAGAACCAGGTGCCGAAGTTCGCGGACTTTGCACTCTTTGCAAAGACCGTCGACCCAACATCACCGACAACCAACTTTTCCTTCCTGAGCATCAACAACGCCACCATTGACCAGAACCAGAACGAGGCTAGCAACCAGGAGCTCCAGTTCGACGTCCAGTACACCGCCACGCTATCTAGCCCCGTGCCCAACATCGTGACCGCCGTGACCGGCGACGGGCCCATCCAGCCAGAGCTGGGCAACGTGCCAGGGGACTCGACGGAGCCGTGGCTGATCTGGCTCGACGCCATGCTCGCCCTTCCCGATGACCAACTCCCTCATACCATCACGACCTCGTTCGGTGAGAACGAGCAGTCCCTGCCCGACGGGTACGTGCAGCAGATCTGCAACCAGTTCGGCGCTCTAGGCGCCAGGGGCGTGACCATGTTCGCCGCGAGCGGCGACAGCGGGCCCGGCAACGCGTGCGTGTCCAACGACGGGAAAAACAGCACCAAGTTCGACGCCGTCTTCCCGGGGTCGTGCCCCTTCGTAACCGCCGTGGGCGGGACGCGCGGCACGGCTCCCGAGCGGGCCCTGTCCTTCTCGTCGGGCGGCTTCTCGGAGCGCTTCGCAAGGCCCGCCTACCAGGATAAGGCGGTGCCGGCGTACCTGAGCGGCACCATCGGGAACCAGTTCCAGGGCCTATTTAATGCGTCCGGACGCGGGTTCCCGGACGTCAGCGCGCAGAGCTTCAACGCGACCTTTGCTGATCAGGGGAAGGTCCTGGTCGGCTTCGCTGGTACGAGGTATGTATCACCTCCTTCTTGTTCAATGTGGCTGTACGTGTGAAGACAAGGTGGTTGACGAGGTTCGCCCAACAGTGCGGCCGCACCCATCTGGGCAGGCATGGTAGGACAGGTCAATGCTGCTCTCATAGCGCAGAACAAAGCACCCATGGGATTCATCAACCCGTGGCTATACGGCGCTGGGCTGTCTGCAATGAATGATATCACCACTGGCGCATCCGTTGGGTGTAATGGTAAAAGTGGATTTGGCGAAACCCTCCCACCAGAGCTTGGGGCCAAGGTACTGTACCTCCCATATTCTTTCTCCAAAGGCTGTCTCCTTGGGACATACATTCAACTTTACCAAACCATGAATGAAGTTCGCTGACAGAGTCCACAGATAGTGCCGAATGCGAGTTGGCCAGCAGTCGCAGGCTGGGATGCTGTGACTGGTCTGGGGACGCCTGATGTTGGTAAAATGTTAGCCTTAGCAATGGCGACTTGAAGGAGGTGAACATCAGTTATATGTCCTTTGGCTTTGAAGGAAGCCGGGTTCATATTGAGGCACTGTGGGATGTACTCACCCAGAACGTAAATTGAACAGGCAGAAAGTGAGAAAATTCTGCGTGAACCCAATATACGGCATTCTCTGTACACACCGTCAGCCACGAATACAGAGGCCCGTTCGCTGGAGCTCATGCTCAGTGACCCAGGTGCCAGAGTTGTGTCGTACCGTCGTGGACCAGAGCGATCTGTCCTCCACCGAATGCTACCAGACAACAAGCCCTCATGGTAGCCCCTCACCTTCACCCTCGCCCTCATCAACCTCCCCCTTCCTCTCGCCCCAGAATCCCTTCCCGTAGCTGATCAAGATCTCCTCCCCTTTCGCAATGCCGCCACCCTTACCCTTGGCCTTCTTACCCACCGGCAAGACAAACACAGCCATCCCCTTCTCTCCCCTCCTGAGGTCCCAGACCTCACAGAACTCGGCGTTGGGCTTCACGGCCCCGGGCACGCCGCGATAGTCGTTCACGAACCTGGCCTCGTTGCCCATCCTGGCGGCATCGACCGCGACCTCCGCGTCCCGGTCCAGCCACAGGTCGTAGTCCGAGGTCGCGTGCGCCGCCGAGTCGGCCGGGTGGTACTCGCCCAGATAAGGTAAGATCAGGCTGCCGGGTGGCAGGGGCCGGGCGGCCAAGAGGCCGGACTGCCCGCAGGCTGGGTGGCTGGGGTCGTTTATGGGCGTGATCTTGACTAGTGAGCAGGGCCCCAGTTTGAGGTCGCGAGGGATCTCGCGGAGCACCTCGTCGGTGGCGGGTGGCTTGGTGCGGCAGGACTGCAGCTGGGGCTTTGTGAGGGATGGGGAGTATGCTGGTGAGGTGAGGTAAGGGAAACCCTCTGGCCAGTTCCTGGGCAGGGGTTGCTTTGAGCCTCCCATGTTGTCTGGCCGACAATGCGTGGAGCCTCTGACGATTCTTGTACAGGGGATGTATGGTCAAATTCTTGGTTCTGCCTCGTGCGTAAGTTCAGTAGGTGCCCTGGTCAAGCATTTTGGCTTGACAGGAGCGGGCCGCGCCGCTCAGAATTGAGTTTGCCAAACGCGAACTGCGCAACGTCCTCGAGGCAGTCTCCTCAGCCACTGGCATCCTGCTGAGGCTATTCCTCTAGACCACGATAACAGAACCTTCCATGTTTTTGTTACAAGACGAGTTCCTTGTCAAACCATGGTCATTTTCTCTGAGAAAAAACGGACTGCTTCCGCTTACTGAGTTATGGGTACGAGCCCTTTGTTGCTTCTGTTCAAGTGGCATCTTTTTGGACGCAGCGATTGCCGTAATCTTTTTCTACGTTCAATCTGTTGCAGGATTCTACGTATGGGGAAAAGGGTAGGAAAAGCCTGAGCTCCGATCTACTGCACAGCATTCGGGGCTATTGCGAGCCCAGGTACAAGATTCGGAGGAGTGGTCATCTTTGCTGTGCAGAAAGCTGCTCTGGTCACCATGACGTAAGACCTCATTCACCATCAACGATGATCACTGCATATTCCAATTTCTCAAGCTTCATTCCTTCACCTTGAAGAATCTCATCCTCTCATGAACAATTAATTGATTTGGCAGGACTACCACGAGATCAATAAATCTGCGCCTACGCCTTACCGTACCATACCATACCAGCCAGCAGACATGGCATCACTCCGATCAATGCGCAGCATCCTGCGAGCGCCCGCCCCAGCCCGGCCGCAGACCCTCGCCCCCCGCCAGTTCTTCCTCCGGCAAGCCGCCGCCGCACAGTGCTTCCACAGCTCACCCCGCCCGCAGCTCCCCTACAAGGACGACCAGCACCGCGAGTCCCTCAAGCCCAAGTCCACCGAGGGCAGCAAGAGCGGCACCGACGACGCCGCGGCGCAGTCCGGCGCCGCCTTCGACCCCTCGACCACGAGCCCCGAGGGCGCCAAGGATAAAGCCGAGAGCGAGGGCGGCGGAAACCCGCTAGACGTGAGCGGCGCGAACCACAGCAAGTCAAAGCCCCTCGGGGAGTCGGGCGGCGGGGAGATGCAGGGCACCGCGAGGCAGGAGACCAAGAAGTCGAGCCATGGCCACAGTCCCGAGAAGAAGGGTAAGGTGTAAACTGCCTTGTTGGCGGACTGGACCTGTCGTGTGGACTTGTTGCGACCAGGATGGATTTGTGTATGTTGGACGGCGGTATTGGGCTTCTCCAGCGGCAGCACATCAGGGTGCTGTCAAACATCTACCGGTCGCTGGAAGGTTTCCATGGCTTTGCATCGTCGATAATGGGGGGGGGGGGTTTTCATCGTAGAGTCTTTTAAATGCACCACCCTTGATCCTCAGCGCCTTCGCTCTTCTATGCATGTGTGACCCGTATCCGCTTCGCCACCTAGTTATACAATCCGTGCGGGTCGTCGTCCTCTTCGTCGTCTTCCTCAGCCGGCTTGCCCTCCTTCTCCCACATCTTCTTGATCCTGTCCGACGTGTCCTTCCTCCGCGGGTCGTACTTCGTCAGGTCTGTCCTGCACATGGGGCACGTCCCCTTGAGCTGCAGCCAGGGCCCGACGCAGTCCATGTCGAACCGGTGGCTGTGGTGGCACTGCAGCTCCACGACCAGCGGATACTTGTCGTCGAGGAACTTCTCTGCGCAGATGGGGCACGAGTCGTCCGGCTTCAGCGTCTTCTTCGGCACCCGGTCCAGCGCGTCCAGGAACTCCTGCGACACGCCCGCCACCTCCCTGGGCGGGTTGAGGATGTCGCCCTCCAGCCCGTCGAAGAGCGACTGCAGGAAGTCGCGGTTTGTGGCATCAGGCGCATCCTGCGCCAGTGTGCTGAGCTGGTCCTGCACCAGGCGGAACAGGCCGGCGAGGTCGACCGGCGTCGGGACGGCGTGGGGGTTGTGCCGTTGCGCGTCGGGCGAGGAGGGGTCGTCGGTTAGCTGGTGCAGCTGCGAGTTGAACGAGGACATGTCGATCTGTCTCCGGCGCCTGGGAGGGGTTGCCTCCTTGATACTGTGCTCGACTTTGGGGCTTCTGCGTTAGTGTCCCCGTTCACTCGGGCTGTGTCGCAAGTTCACGTCTTCACTCACCTTCATACTGGGTCGCCATGGTCGTTGCTTTCGTGACAGGTGGTAGAGAGGCAAATTCCGAAATCTATCGTAGCATCTCTTTTGTGTGAGAAGTGTACGAGAGCGTTTCTAAGGGATGAATGGGAGAAGAAAGGTGGATGTGTAGCTTCCCACGGAAAGCTGCTGCAGCTCACGTAAACCCCGGTGCCTGGCAGGCAAGCAAGCGATGACGGAAGTGGGTGGCTTTTCGGCCTGGGGCGTGAGATCGGAGCCGAGGTCAGCATCTTAATTCAGAGATGCAGGGATTCAGTTAGCTGTGAAATACATTAATTGGACCGATTGCTAACATCAGGCAGCTTCAACATATCGTGGTCCTTACTATTCCACATGTTTGTCAAGCAAACATCACAAAGAACGGTACAAGCTGCCGTGGATTGGCTTTGCGCATCCGGAGCCGGGACGGCCGGAAGCTGCTAGGATCCGTGACTTGGCCCTGCCTACCTAGGTACAGAAGTTGTCCAAAGGCGGCATTTAAGTTGCACCACCCAGCTGAAGTCGTCATCGGCACATGCCTATGCTCTAATCTTGATCAACTATTATAATAAAAACCGACTGTCGCACAAAATCAGCCACAACTGTTACCCGGGCAATTTTTGTTTTTCCCACATCCAAACATCAGTCACAACTGGCACAATGACTACAGCCGCAGTTTTCGGTTGCACCGGCGCCGTCGGCTCCAAGATCTTGGAGGGCCTTCTCTCATCAGAGGCCTTCTCATCCGTCAAGACCGTCTCAAGGCGGGCACCACCCTCGCAGTCAGCCAAGCTTGAGGCAGTCGTCGAGACCGACTCGTCAAAATGGGGCGGTCTGATCTCGACCCTGAGCCCCAAGCCATCCGTGGTCTTCAACGCCGTGGGTACCACACGCGCCGCCGCAGGTGGGATCCAGAACCAGTGGAAGATCGACCATGACCTCTGCATCGAGAACGCCAAGGCTGCGAAGGAGGCGGGGGTGAAGACCTATGTCTACATCTCTAGCGCAGGGACTCGAGGGCTGCTGTCCGGCTACGTGCCGTACTCCAAGATGAAGGTTGGGGTTGAAGACGCCATCAAGGCGCTCGACTTTGAGCATGCCATCATCCTGCGGCCGGGCGCGATCCTCGGGGAGCGAGAGAAGCCCAAGAACAAGATGTTCGAGGACCTGATGGGGAGCCTGCACAGAGTCAGCCAGGGGCTACAGGACGCCTTCGGTGCGTATCTCATCATCCCGCCACCACCTCACGGGCGTGATACTAATCTCTTCTGTAGGCCAAGACCAGAAGTTCATTGGAAGAGCTGCAGTAGCAGCTGCGCGTGCTGCCGAGGAGGGCAAGGCCCCGTCCAAGTTCTGGTGCGTGGAACAAGCAGAAATCCTGAAACTCGGCAGAGATGAGTGGAAGGAGTAAGTCAGTATAGCGAGGGAAATGGCGAAGCTGTGCTTTCAAAGGCTTTAGTAAGGCAGTACCAGAAGGGCTCAGCCGGTCAGGGTCCAGAGCAGCCTCAGGAGCTGATATCCTCGAGTTGGAGGATGGGTCGTACTGCATGAGGGCACCATGATGGCACACAGTATGAAGTCTTCTCCCCTGGCGTCGTGCATTTTCATGCTGCAGAATGTAAGACACCGGGGACTGGCGAGCCGACATCGCTTGGCTCTTGGATTCTGAGATGTCATGTTGGACCGGCGAACGCGAGTGGAGTGTAAGTTAATCTTTTGCGAATCTGCAACGGTAGCACTGTCAAATTATGCACGCTTGGGATGCAGCAGTGTTACGAGCCCCTCTTCCCCATGTGGCGATCAATGTGATGCATATCTTGCAGCGTATATTGCTTTCTCTCGAACACAGACCATGCTCGCCCTGTCGGTATTAAAAGAATGGCGGGCCGTCAAGCCGGTGCAGGAGGCTTAAAGTGTTGCTGTAGAGATACTTCCTGGCATTGTCACATTCCAGCATGGATCCAAACTTGGATTTGACTGACTGGCGATGAGATCCACTTCTTACTTCGGTCATGGCAAGCTGGAGAGCTAGAAAGGGAATGAGTAACGAAGATGGAGGCTTCTGAGTTCTGTCCCTGCTATCCAGTCCAGCACGCAGTAGGTATGGTGGTTGTTGGTCTGCGGCCTCCCCCGTCAAGAGCAATGCGGACCCTAACCCTCACCCCTTCAAAGGTGCTGGTCAGTAAAGTAATTCGACGCGTCGGCCACTCAAACAGACGCGTCTCCCGCTTAATTGGCACTTTCACGCCTTTCGTCTCTCCTGCCCACCTCAACACAAAGCTGTCACAACCTCCTCTTTTCAGATTAGAGGGCTTAATTTTTAGGCTATTTACACCACACTGCTTCAAAATGACGGCATCATCCGCTGAACCGGTTGCCAATTCTACGGCTGAAACGCCCGTCAAGCAGAGCGGCACGTCGGTCGGGAGACACGAGGAGTACCAATATTTGGATCTTGTTCGCGAAATACTCGACGATGGAGAGCATCGCCCAGATAGGTATGAGGTCTCATGAGCACTGTGGCATCCAAACTTATCTGCTCACACAAAACCTCCACAGGACCGGCACAGGGACTTACTCAATCTTTGCCCCGCGGCCGCTGAAGTTCAGCCTCAACAGGGACGGCAGGCCCATCTACCCGCTCCTCACCACAAAGCGCGTCTTCCAGAAGGCGGTGCTCGCCGAGCTTCTGTGGTTCATATCGGGGGAAACCTCGTCGCTCTCGCTCTCGGAGCAGGGCGTCAAGATCTGGGACGGCAACGGCTCGCGCGAGTACCTCGACAGCGTCGGGCTGGGCCACCGCGAGCCGGGCGATCTGGGCCCCGTGTACGGGTTCCAGTGGCGCCACTTCGGGGCCGAGTACGTCGACGCCAAGGCCGACTACACGGGTCAGGGCGTCGACCAGCTGGCCGAGGTGATCCACAAGCTCAGGACGAACCCGTATGACCGGCGCATCATTATGAGCGCGTGGAACCCCGCGGACCTCAAGAAGATGGCGCTGCCGCCGTGCCACATGTTTGCGCAGTTCTACGTCTCCTACCCTCGGTCGAAGAAGTCGGCGGCGGCGGGTGCAGCGGAGAATGGCAACTGGGAGAAGGAGGAGGCGAAGCCCCAGGGCCACCTGCACTGCCAGCTATACCAGCGCTCCTGCGACATGGGCCTGGGCGTTCCGTTCAACATCGCCAGCTACTCGCTGCTGACGCACATGATCGCGCACGTGTGCGACCTCGTCCCGGGGAGCCTGACGCACGTCATGGGCGACGCGCACGTCTACGCGGACCACGTCGACGCCCTCAAGGTGCAGCTGGAGAGGGAGCCGCGCGACTTCCCGGAGCTGGAGATCAGGCGGGAGAAGGGCGGCAGTATAGACGGCTGGAAGGTCGAGGACTTTGAGGTGAAAGGGTACAACCCGCACAAGACGATTGCGATGAAGATGTCGGTATGAGCTGTTTGAGCTTGGCTTTATATTGCCACGAGGTTTTGAAAGAGCAAGTGGCACGCTGATTTACTCTCGGCTGTGCTATACGTATATGCAAAGCGCGGTGTAAGTGGAGGACCGGTTCACCCACGAAGTCGGAGATGGCCATTTGATGCATTCATCTGTCTTTTTCCGCTTTTGATATAGGAAGACCGCAAGGTCAACGGAGACGTGACGTTTTCGTTGGGGGGCGTCGATACAGTGGATTGGTTCAGTCTGGTTGGCTTGTGTATGACGGGCCTGGTGATATATACATGTCCTTTTTGTCTATAGAACCAAGTATCAACGATGCATGTGAAGAAGGCTTCATGATTATGACGATTCCATTTCAATGACAGCTTTGGCAGGTGGGGTGCGAATCGAGACAATATGCAACCCACCAAACCCCATTTACTCAATCTCACCAACACTTCAACCTCATCGTCGATCAACCACATAATTGATCATCACCTTCTCGTGGGCTCATAACAACTCACACATCACCTAACCCCAAGATTCCATCAAACCAAGGCGCTTTTCAGCCAGACAATTCCACACAGGTCGCCCCAATAACAAGATCAAAAATGGACACCCTACACATCCTCATCACAGGCGCAAGCGGAGGCATCGGGGAGGCAACTGCACTGCGCCTGGCCCAGCCGAGCCCGAGGTACACGGTCAAGACGCTGGTCCTGCACTACAACTCGAACGCCTCCAAGACCGAGCGCATCACGCGCGAGATCGGCCAGGTCAACCCGGCCATCAAAGTCGCCTGGCTGCAGGCGGACCTGGGCTCGGCCGACGAGGTGGACCGGTTGCACCGGGACGCCGCCGCCGCCGCAGGGGCCCCCATCAACGTCCTGTTCGCCAACGCGGGGACCACAGGAGGCCGTACGTATATCATGCAACCATTTCTCTTTCTACTACGCAGGATCGAGCTGTCATCCCCAACGCCATCACCAGATATATATACTAATACACCTATACACACGAAATACTAACACCAACCACAGACTCCGGCCCAACAGGCACACTGGACGCCGTTCCACCCGAGGTCTTCGAGCAGACCTGGCGCGTCAACACGCTTTCGGTGTACCAGCTGACGCAGCTCGTGGCCCCAGGGATGACCGCACAAAACTTCGGGCGGGTGATCTACGACTCGCCGGTGGCAGGTTTAACAGGCGGCGCCCTGATCGAGGGGACGACGATGCTGCCCGGGGGCGGCGCGGGGGACGGGGAGCTGAAGGCCAAGATCCCCGTGGGAAGGCTCGGGCGGCCGGGCGAGATTGCTGGGGTTGTCTGTCTGATGGTGGAGAATGGGTATGTGAATAATAAGGTCTGGGCTGTGGATGGGGGGTGGGTTCCAAGGTAGTAGAACGAGAATGAGGAGGCAGGGCTTGGTCATGGTCGTGGTCATTCATTTGGATAATATTCCATCTTAGATCTCGCTGTCTACAAATCTAGCCTTAAGATCAATGCCGTCGCTGTATATAAGAAAAGGGCCCGCCGCCCCGTCTACCTCGTGAGCCACGAGCCGTCCAGCGTCCCGCCCTGTTGGCCGGCGGGCTTCCAGGCGTCCCTCTCGAGGCTCCTCCTGGCGACCTCGCAGTCCGTGTTGATGTCCTCGATCAGGGCGTCCAGGCCGTCGTAGTTCTTCTCGTCGCGGATATAGCCGACGATCAGCAGGCGCATGTCGACGCCGTAGAAGTCGGCGGCGAACTTGTCCAGCACGTGCACCTCGGCGCTGCGCACTGTGTTGTTGTAGAAGGGGTTGTACCCGATGGACATGACCATGGGGAAGATGGAGAAGCCGCCCTCGCCCGCCGGTGACGGGGACGACGAGGACGACGAGGACGACGACCTGTAGTTGGGATGGTCCTTCGCCAGCTCGAGGGCGGCCCAGCCGAAGTAGACGCCGGATTTGGCATCGGATATCCAGGGGGTCACGGTGGCGTCGACCGGGAGGTTGGCTGTCGGTATGCCCAGCTGTGTTGGGGTTAGATCATGGGGCCGGTGAGAAGAGAGCAGAGTGTGTACATGAGTTGGATGTAGATGACCGAACGGCAGGCTAGCGGGGAGTGTGCCCTCTCTCTGGTGGGAAGGGAGGGGGTGGGGGCGAGGGGACGAAAGAGGCGAGGGTGTGTTGTGCGGCGTGCGGCGTGCTGTGCGTGGTTGCATCAAGTGCAAGACTGTGCAGGGACTGACTGCACGCATGTACGTGGATGGATGTATGCCCTGCACTCCTGACCGGCCGTATCCCCCTCCCCCTCCCCCGTGGTCCCTTGGACTACCTTGCCTCTCATGCAATGGCAATGGCAATGCCCGCCAGTGATCGCTTTCCACCCTCCCCTTCGGTCCCGGGTCGACCGGGTTGTCACCCCCATGCCTTCACTCGATCGGCAACAGGCGAACGCCGCGATCTTGGACTGCTTCGGCCGCCTGCTTCTGCTGCTGCTGCCGCTTCTGCACATGCGCATGCTGCTGGTGGTGCTGATGCTCCTCCTCCTCCTCCTCCCCTTATTCGTCCCCCCCTGCAGGGACAGCGCACTCATACATCGTGTAGAATGAGACGCAGCGAGCGCACGGGAAGACACCCGTTGGGCAAAGGAGAGCGCGGAATACGAGAAAGCAGAAAAGAGTCAAAGCGACCAGCTACTCACCTCCTTGGACCCCCGGCCGAAGCCCTTGATAACCTTTCCCTCCATCTGCAGTGGGAATGGGGGTTCCGGCCCGGACGCCGGTCCCACGACCAGAGGCCTCGTGTTCCCCATGGCTGCGCAGTTGCTTTCTTCTTCTTGTCTTCCCCTTGACTCACAGAGATCGCGTGGATTGCCCGATCAGGGGGGAGTGGAGGCCCTTGTGTGTTGCAGGACGCAGGACGCAGAACACGGTGATGGGCAGTCCCAAGAAGCACAGCGGGAACAGCGCAGGGGGGGCAATCCCCAATGCTGGACGCAGATTTCAGGTCGCACGAGATCGTGGCAGAATGTGATATGTGATATGATCAAGAACGTTGCAGAACGGGCCAGGGGGGTGGGGTGGTTGATTCAGAGTTCCGTGGGGTTCGTTCCTGTCGTGCGTCGTATTGCTCGCGGCTGGAAACGTCAGGAATAGAATGCTGAGGCCGTTCGTATATTTATTCGCAGGCCTGAGTGGCCGAGTCGCCTGCAGCAGAATGCCGTGGAAGGCAGCTCTAGGCGGGGTGAGTAATACCTGATAAGATAAGTGCTGTGTCTACCGCTGACCGAGCAGTAGGCACCAAATCAAAGGCATAATAATCTACCTGTAGGTGCGACTGGTATAGGAAGTAACTCCTGCCTACGGGCAAATATACATGTGTCTAGACTGGCCATGACCCCCCCCCCATACCATCCTCAACATTTTGAGGCGAGACCCTGCCCTTGGTGGACGCAGGGAGGCGTGCCGCACCTGAACTAGGCGGATCTAGCAAAATTGATGGCCGCTGTTGCGTGATTGCCCGGCCATCAGCCAGCCATCTTCAAGGTTAACCGCTCTATCAGCCAAGAAAGTGGAGCGCTCGCCGTCACACACGACACACAATCATAACCTCGACCACGAGGCCCTCCGCTTCTTCCCACCCCCACCCTACACCCGAGTCCCAATAGAGTCTGGGGTTACACAACAAGAGACGGGAGCACATCTAGGGTAGCTAGTAGTTTTCAGGGACTTTTGACAACTCCTCGATTCAGCCTCGCGAAATAGACCGCGACCACGTCGATCGCCTGCGTCGATATGTACTGGCTTCTAATGATTCATCGCTTCCGAGGATGCCGTCCAGCAAAAGGAAAAAAAGCAAACGGGGTATAGTAGTAGTTCTTGTTGTGTACCGAGAAAGCCAGAGCCTGTTTCTTTTGAAGTGGGACCGTGACCGACTCTTCTCTTGCCCCTGATCACTCTCTAGTATAGTGATGGGCGCGAAACCAGAAACCACCCGTGACTCCACCCCTGGCTGTTTGTATAATGCATTCTGCCCCGGTTCCCGTCCCTCGCGGTACCGGTCCCTTTCGAAAAATCAGGAAATGCGTGCTGTCCTACACCGCCAGACCATGTGGGTGCTGATCAGGATAATAACAAGGTAGGAACTATAGATCCGTTAGCCACCTTCTCGTCTGCTTGGCCCGCCAAATTATTCGGGCAGAGAGGGACACTCACATTAATGACAATCATCATGGGCATATCAAACGTGTCCCTTCGTATGACCCAGCAATACGTGCATTCCAGCTTGCCGTCCTTGGCAATTCTCGAAATGCCGTGCTCTCCGTCGATTCTCGCGACCCTGTTGCTGAGGAACATCGCCCTCGGGTCTTTTGGCGGGGACTCGTTGACGCTGGAATTGCTTGCCGTGCCGTCAATGCTCTCCTGCGTGCGGTACTTGAGCAGTCTGCACTTTCTCATCACGCTGCTCCGGCTGTCGCCGAAGGCGAGATGCGCAAAGTCCTCAAAGTATTGCACGACGCTGTCGTCGTCCATGAGCTCTGCTATGAAGAGAGGGTGCCGTTCGTTCCCGGGAGTCTTGCTCTTGTCTGTCTGATCGTTCAGACTGCCAAGCTTCGGGGTCGTCAGTGTGTCGGTGGTCGCACCTGACGCCCCCGCGCTGCCGCCCGTATTAACGTTCATGTTAACCTCATTCCCGAGAAGAACCTCCTTGGGCCAGCCCGTCAGCGCAGTGAACTCCTTGTTTACGCAGCAATCTCGCCAGTCCGGCGGCAGACAATGGTGGGGCTGGAGCCATGATGCATGAAGTCTTCGTATTCGAATAGTGTCCGCTGGAAGCACTTTTCCATGAACACCATGTCGGCCCGGTTCAGTGTTCGGGTGACCGAGATAAAAGACGGTCGGAAGCTCGAGAGCGCTACGGCGATGCGGACCAGCTTATCGTTGCTGGTCCGGAACCTTCGCTGTAGGAAGCCCATCAGCCGGTGGAAGTTGTGCACGTATTGGAACGGTTCTTTGACCGTGTCATAGATGGTCGACGGGTCCCGCTGTCGCTTGCCAAGCAGAGGCTGCGGGAAGACCTTGGGCATGCCGGGTTTTGCCTTTGGACGGTTTTGAGCGCCGAGTACCTGCGGACCAGGTCCGTTGTGGTAGGTTGCTGTCGGTGAGCTTTCGTAGCCGAGGCCGTGACTGGGCTGAGGACTGTCATGGTCGGTGCTGGGGCTTTGTAAACTTGTTGGGCCTGCAGCAATGGCGTAAGCATGAGGGAGACCGTGCTGGAGGTTGCCTTGGGTATACAGGGGGTTGCCGGACTGGTCGATGGAGAGGATATCGCCGATCATACCGCCGTCGAATTGTTGCATACCATTGCCGAAAGCACCAGCTGAAAAGTTGGTCTCGCCAGCGCCAGCCTGGGAGAATGACGGCTCCCGTGGCGGCGTGTCAGCAGCACCGGATGCCATGTGGTTGAGCATGCTGAATTCCATGGCGCCATACTGACTCCCAAAGTTCAAACCCTCAAGGTTGAAGTTGTACAGCGCGGGATTGCTTGGGTCGAAGAAGGCCGAGGTCATGTCAGATATATCTCCCGAGACCTGAGGGACAGTAAGACCACTCATTTGCGGAGGATTCGGTGGCTGGAATGTGGGGGATACGGGAGACTGTTGGCTGGCGAAGGCCATGCCCTCCGATATTGACCCCAGCGCCGACTGTGGCGAGAAGAGAGGGTATGGGTTGGAGGAGGTTGTTGGCGAAAAGAAGCTGCCGACGTTGGAAGATGCTTCAGAGCCAGTGCTGGACGGGTGGCGATGCCCGTTCGGCCGGTTCTGAGGTGCGTTGGGATTGTAATTTGGGCCCAGAACCGGCCTCAAGGCTTCTGGCGGAGCATCATGAAGATATTTGGCCTTCTTGCGGACTCCATCTTGGCAATGGTCCGCCAGCCCACGTTTTATACACCTCTGGCAAGGCCGCTCATCACCTGCGCCCAAGGAAAATTAGTCTCGTCCATGTGCACTTGGTTAAGAGGCTCTAGTGGTAGACACTCTCGTGTGGAACGCAAAAGAGCCGCAGGGAAGCCAGTGCGAAGAGCATGTTCGCCTGGTCATGGTTCGGGTTCATCATGGGCATACCGCAAGTAAGGTGAGCTCTCTGGCAAGCAAAACAAGCCCTCCTCGCCTTCTTCCTCCTTGGTCGCAGAGGATCCTTAGGGTCATACTTTTTCTTGACCTCGCCGTCAGGGCCGACCTCTTGTTTTATGGTGCTCTCAGTCATCTTGTCGTCGTCTTTGAAGGAGGCGTCGTTGTCGTCGTACTCATGCTCATTCTCAGACATGGCATCTGAGACCTCGCCTCCGTTGGAATCGACTTCTTCCGGCATCGTGTACCAGCTACATATATATGTGCGGGCCTGTAATGGGAAGGGTGCCCAGAGCTAGACGCTCGTAATGACGGCACGGCGCTGCAAGGCCGGCGACCTCTTTGCGAAACCACTCGCGCTACCTGTTCCAGTTGTAGCAAGTGGTCTGGATGGCAAGATGTGCTCAACTCCTGCAGGAATGCTTGGGTGGTTGCACGACACCAGGGATCAGCTGCGGCCGCAGTATGTACTGTCACAGGGACCCCGGCTGCTCAGTGGGCCGTCTGCTTTTCCTTTTCTTCCCTGGAGCCCACCGATGAGCTGCGCTGCGCTGCACGTAAGGTACGTGGACGCAAGGAAGCAACGTGTGGCAAGCCAAGGGGCTGAACGTCCACTTTAGCCCTGGTCCTGCGAAAGAAGACGCAGGTGTCGTGCCGGGGTGTCTTGGACTGTAGCCGTATTGGGGGCGGGATGGCCCTCTGTGCGCATCCGCAATATTGGCGTCGATCGCTTCGCAAGCTTCCAGAAGGACGTGCCGCGAGGTGGAAGCTGAAGTCCGGGCAAGTCGAGGCGCGAGAGACCACAATGGAAGCGCAGTCGCTCGTATTCTCCGCGGACGGCTACCACGACCAGGGCCAGTTCTCCAATGGACTCGCAACCAGTGTAAAAAGAGGCGTTCCTTGTGCGACCGGCACCGTGTTCGCGCACTGGAGAGGGCGAAAGCCAGGGCAGGCGGACAGGGGTGGGCGGGTCTGTCGGTCGGTCGGTCGGTCGGCGGAGGCGGGAAGTGTCGCAGTCGCAGTTTGCGGTCGCAGTCACCGTTCGCAGTCGGTGTCGGCGTCGCGATCGCAATTGCAAGGCAGGCAGGCCTTGTGGGTCCACATACACAAGGGACAGGACAGGCAGAGGCACACGAGTACAGGCACAAGCACAGACACAGGCACAGGGTAGGCGGGTAGGGCACAGGATCCTGGCTGTCTGGGACGAGACGAGGTTGTATGAAGTGTGTCGTGCTTGCAAGAGGGTGGCGGCAGGAGGGGTTGTGTGCTGCAGCTATCCGTCGACTTATATGAGAGTTGCATATGGCAGCGCTAGGTTGATCGGCGACCTTGTTGGAGTGGAGGGGAGGGGAGGGGGGCAGGAGAAGGAGGGCGGATGCACTGGCGATGCTGTTACTGCTGGCTGGCTGGGGTGTGATCAATGCAGATTCGAACAGGAGAGACAGGCGTCCTGTCCTCGGTCGTCCTTCAGTACATGGCGCTGTTCGCAAGGTGGTCCGGCTCGGTGGGGGAAGCGCCTGGTCGTCGTTGTTGGTGTTGTGCTTGCTCAGGCGGCCGGGCTCGGGCTGCCGAGTGCTGGCCGTCGGGAATGGGAGCGTCGCGGGCGTGGTCGTGGACGTAGCCAGTCGTGCTGATTACCAGACTGAGACCTCGGCAGTACCTTGGTAGCGTGTCCCAAGGCTGCGGCAGGTGATGGGTTCCAGCAATTGGAGTGTTCTATAGCCGTAGTTTGGTAGGTAAGGTTGTAGTTGTGTCGTGCTTCTGCATGTGCCTTGACTTGCCTCGTCCTGTCTTGCTCTTGCTTACCCGCTGGGGGGGGGGTGGAGGAAAACGTTGGAGCGGGCATGGCATCAAAACTGGGAATTGCGGGGTGGGAAAAAGCCTGGGGGGGGGGGGGGCAGGGCTTGGCCTAGCTGGATCGGTCGAGGTACTGAGGTACTGGTGCTGTACTTGGATCACAGACATGGACAGGGAAGTGCCTTCCCAGCTCACCGGCCAGCTCGACTTCGGACAAAGACAACGCTGTGTGCTAGACTGGACTAGTAGGTACAGGCCTGAGGTACCTTCCTGGAGCCATATTTCTCCCGTTGTGCCTGGAAAACCCACCATCACCGTCACCACCACGACTGTGGAAGCGGCATCGACTACACCTCTCAAACAATGCTCCGCGCACATCCGTCCAGTCAGTCGCCCCGCGTGCCTGGCTGACGGCAGTCGGTGGCAAGTGGCAGCACTTCTAAACTTGCCTGTCCGGATCACACCTCAGCTGCCGGTGCCGAGCGTATGGCGTCCACACGAGGGAGAATTAGACTATTCCCTACCACTCGATTCATCCATCACGGTTCACACAACCTTGGAAGTCCTTCTCTGCGCCCTTGCCTGGCCTGGCCTGCTGCACATTGCACAGCACAGTCCTGCGCAGTCCTGCGCAGTCCTGCACAGTCCTGCACAGTGCCTCGAGCCAACCCAATCGCGGGCGCAAGCAGGCGCAAGCGGGCTGCATCTCACTTCAGGTTGTGTTCCACATTCTTCCCTGCGCAGCTCATCATCATCCCCAGCATCATCACCGCCATCGCCGTCACCAGGACCACCCACCAGCCCCATGCCAGTAGTCATACATACTCCTGCCCATGTGGCCCTGTGTTCTTAACTTCTACGAGGCTTCGGCGACCTGCCCGAATTTCCGGATCTTGCTGCTGGCTGGCTGGGGTGGCTAGCACGCGTATAGCTGGGCTTCCCACGCAGTCATCAGGACGAGGTGAAACCTTGGGCACCTTGTTGGGCCCTTGTACCCACGCACCCACACACACGCACATACACACACTCACACACCTCATTTCTTCAACCATGCCGCCCGAGCACCAGCTCTCGCCAGCTATCTGGCCAGCAACAGGCAGGAGTAGGCGAGGTCCAGCTGCTCTTGCTCCTGTCGCCAGAGCGCATCCGTCAGTCGTATCTGCGACCTCGCTCTGACCAAAACGCTCCCGTGTCGCAGTCCCAGCAATTTCCTTGAGATCTCTCCGGAGCCTGCTCCCTCGTTTCTGGCGCCCCTCCCCCAGGACACTGGCTGCTTGGGGAGAGATCGTCGGTGCGGTGCGGTACAGTGGATGGATGATTGCCCACCACTTTGCTCCATTACACTCCCCTGCGAGCGCCTCATCTTGGGTCATCTGGGGTGGTGCATCAAGCCTCTTACAACAGCTCAATAGATCACGGGCGCCGGCAGCGCGCCACCAAACATCACTCATGGCTGCGGCTTGCAGATGCCATCTGGATGTGTGGGCTTTGATGTCGCTCCTCTCGTCTATCTCATGCCGCCCTTCCCTGCCTTGCCCTGCTCCGCAACTCCCCCTCCCCCCTTCCAGTGAAGAACATGCAAGGTGGCCTGCCTAACATACTTCACCTCAGGTCGGTCAGGATAAGGAATCACTCCCCCGGCCGCTCTCATTGGGCATCCTTGCTTGTTGATCTGCTCAAGAGGCGTCCTCCCCTCCCCCTCTGGAGGCGGGCAACGTTTAGCCTATCCACGGGCCACGGGGAGGCAAACGTGATCGATCTCTTACGTGCAGCTGCTGGGGATCTCCGAACCGAGATTGTGCGTGTTGCATTCTCGATCTTGTCGCAGAGCATCACTATCTGGACCCGTTCCCTTGACAGCCAAGTCTCTATGCCACCGCGCACGCATCAGCTGGATAAGGGTCTCGGATAAGGGCGCACCCAGGCCCGCCGACTCTGCTGTAAGCTGACGACAGAACAATTTCACGGCAACACTTGCTCAGGCTAGATGCTTTCGTGCTCTGCCCTTGGGGTACACCGCATATAAAGCTTGCATGAGCGTCGACTGGGCGAGTGCTGAGGGGACTTTTGGCGAAGGGACACCAGGCCTGATGTGTGGGAACTCGGCGGCTGATCTCCTAGACAGTGTGGTCGCTTCTCTACGCTAAGACCTGGAGCCTGGTGTTTCATGGGCACGCGGGAGCGGCACGCCTGTCTCAAATTGCTTCTTACACTTGGGGTCGCCGTCAAGTCCTGTCGTCGGCCCGATTCTTGGTCTGCGAGGCCCGCAAGTCGCGGTGTTGAGCGTGACCAGGCTAGGCCATATTGTCATACATTTCGGTATAAACCAGCAACTCCTTTTATGCTTTCAAAACAATGGGGTATCTAGCATATAGTACTCTTCTCAAAATGACGCTCTTCATACGAAATTCTTCAGTCCGTCGTCGCCATTCTGCTGTGTGCGCGTATCCGCTTGCCAAATTTGTAGAACAAATACCTACATGCATGTTAGTAACATGCATCAGAGCCCAAAGGAAATAGTTTCTAGAAGCGTTCCCAGACACGAGCACGGCCGGGGTTGTGGGAAGGGCGGTGAACCCCAACAAGAAACAAGAAAGCCTATACGTACGGGAAGGGCAGCATGGCCACAGTCAGGAACGCCAACAACGACGTCGCCCACTATGAAGCTCGTATTAGCAACCACTGTGTTTCCCCAGGAGGCAGCACATAGCCGTCTGATGACTGACCTGATTACCAAGCTTCTCATACATCTGGAGCCCAAAGAGGGGGAAAGCTGAAAACAAGAGAGCATGTGTTAGTCAGATGCGGCAGACAAAATTGGGATGAACACGTCCCCCCAGGTCGTATCACCGTTCGTTTGGGGGAGGGTTCATCGAGGAGCTTCCCAGCTGAGCGGGAAGGGGCGGGCTGGATGGCTGGCTGGCTGGCTTGCCCGGCCGTCCGCCCAGCCCGTGTGCGACGACTCACCAGCTGCGAAAGAGCACCGGGCCAGTGCGTTTGCGGCCAAACTCGAAGCCGCGTAGAGAGGGTAGGCGTCAACCTGATTTCCCACCGTGTGACGTTAGCCCCCGGATCTTAGTCTCGTAAATCATCCAATTACTCTCCGCCGCTGCCCTTGCACAACAGTGTTTGGGGAGCCACAGAGAGCACGTCAACGTGGGTTGGTTGCTCTGGGGGCATGTTTTCCCTCGCCCCGATGGGGGGGGGGAGGGGTTGGAAGAGGGAATTGGGGGGTCCGCAGGGGATGAGATAGTACGTACCAAATAGCTGAAGGTCCCGGAGAAGACAAGCAGCGTCTGTGAGACAGGATTTTCCAATCGGTTAGTCGCAGTGTCCCGGATATGCAGAATGCGAGATCACAGCAAGCGGGAAAGAGAGACACCATGCGAGGGAAGGGCGTGGCAAGCCGCCTTGACGAACAACCGTGCTTGGGCGGGTCTTGTCTGTCTGTCTCTGCCCCTTGGGTGCCACAGTCGCACAAGATGTTGAGCCACAGACGGCTGAGGCTCAGGGGCCGACGACATCGACTCCAGTATTCATGCCGGGTTCTGTCTGGGTCGCACAAAGAGACCACCATCAAGCCCCCAGAAGTGGATATACAAAACAAGCAAGGAGATAGTGAAGGACTCACCCCACAGCCGAAGATGCCTGAACCGATGATCGGCATGATCCAGTGGACCCACGGCTGGGAAGACCACCCAAACCAGAACAAACCAATGGTCACCAGAACGCTCCCCAGTATCGCAGAGGGGAGGCGGTACTCGGGCTCGGCCTTGCCCTCGACGCCCGTGAGCCTCGCATTCTTCTCGATCAGCTGGGCCCGGATCTTGACCCAGAGCGGGCCTAGGAGCGCAGCGCAGAACATTCCCACGAGCATTCCCAGAAACGTCAGCCCCGTCTGCCACAGATTAAACCCATAGGTGCCCTGAAATACCAGTGGGAAGGCGCCGAAAAAGAGGTACAGGATTCCTAGCAGGATCGCCGAGTACAGGTTCAGAATCAGCGCCATGGGCTCGAATATCAGAATCTGGAAGGGTCGCAGAAGGGAGAGCCCCACAGTGCGGACAAGGGACTTATTCGTCTTCTCGATCGGGGCCTTCCATCGTTCATCACCGGTGTCCTTGCGGATTTTCCTGGCCTTGTTCCGCAACACGACAGGGTCTGGGAGGGTTTCATCAGTATCAACGCACCCGTAGTCTTGCTACGTCGCGGATCTCGATCTAACTTACGGTATGTTTCCGGCACAGTGACCGCGAGCGCCAGGCATATTACAAAAGCCCAGATGATGAGCATATAATGAGTCCACCGCCAGTTCACGTTAGAATTTATAAAACCCCCAATCATAGGACCGAAGCTTGGACCGAGGAATGGCGACGCCGTGAACATGATCATCGGATAGTGCATCTGGTTAGGCGTGAACAGGTCACCAACCGTGCCACCAGACACGCTGAGGAACGCGCTGCCGGAGAGGCCTTGGAAGAAGCGGCTGACGATGACGGTGCCAATGTTGCGCGCGACGGCGGTCGGCACGATCCAAACTGTGAATACGGCAAACGCAGCCAGGTAGATGGGCCTCCTCCCGTAGAACTCGGACAGCGGGCTCCACATCGGCCCCAGCGCGATGCCCAGGACGAACATGCTCAGGCCCAGCGTGGCGACGATGCGCGAGCAGCCGAACTCGGCGTTCATCTGCGTGTACGTCGACGTGTAGATGGAGCTCGCGCACGTCACGCAGAAGCTGCCCATCGACGTTAGCCCCACGATTGCCCACTTGCGCGCCGGCGCCATGCTGCGCGGGCACCACGGGTCCGCGTTGCCGCCCTCGAAGCCGACCCCGAACGGGTCCTTCTCCCGCGCCTGCGCCGCATCGCCCTTCTCCGGGTCGCCGCCCGAGTCCTCCTCCGACGAGCCCGGCTCGTCCAGGTCGTCGCAGCCGTACCCATTGTGCGACCGCACGCGGCTGAGGGACGACCTCGTCGACACGCCTGACGAGCGCGTCCTCACTGCCGACCTCCCTGTGGCCCTGCCGGCGGCCGATGTTGCCGTTGCTGGCCTGATGGATTCGAATCGCGCCTCATCGTCGTTTGCAGTTTCTGTAGTGCCTGTCTCGGTATGCTCCTCCCCGCTGTCGATTGAGGCCTTGTCTATCGAGGCCTTCTCCATCTTGTCGCTCATTGTCGAGGTTTCCGGCTGCCCGAGGGTTCTACTGGTGACGTCGTTCCCCGCAGCTCCTTCGTTCGCCATGTTCCGGTATCTCTGTGGTCAGAGGAGTGAAAGTGTCTTGAATGAAGCTATCGTGTTGAAACTTCGAATGTGCTGGCAACAACCAGGTGAATAAACTTGGCCTCAGTTGCGTATTTGTCCCTTTGATATGTGGATGACGAATAAGGGATATATTGAGCCCGGCGTGGAGTGAATGGCCGTTGTTCAATTTGTCAGAGCCCTTAACGCCGTCGAGTTGGCGACGTTCAAACCCCGAAGGAAGCAGGGCCACAATGTCCTAACGCTGATCCGCCTAGCTCATACGATACTCGTCAAAGTCAGTGGCTGACACGAGAATGTCGCCTGTCGCTGTTGTCATGAGCGCGACAACATAAACAGACGTAAGTTCAGTTAAAGAACTTTTTCGTTTTCTTTTCCTTTTTTCCTCTGTACCTGGAAAGTTTCCGGGCTGGTATCTTCTCTCGGCGCATTCCTCGGAAGGAGATCGTCCTTCCCGCATCACTCAGCAACGGCGACAGACCGGTGCTGTACTTGTAAATGAGGGTGGAGCAACTGCTCGTTGCTTAGTTGGATCCCTGGCAGGGATCATTACTTAGGTGCGACTGGGTACTCGGTCCGGTATATCATCGTCATCCCCCTTTTGGCTGGCCGCTTCCGGGCGGGGAGAGGAGGGTGGGAAGGCGTGAATGGCACCCATTGCTGCAACGGACTTAAAGCGGCAACTTGCCGATCCTCTTGCCGACGTTGTGTGGGGCGGCCCAATTGGATAAAATTGTTGCGATACTGCTTCTGAGGCAAGTAGTGTTATTCATCTCTGTGAATGTGTCAGGAAGCGGTAGGGGTGGTCGCTGACAGGACTTGGCATGGTGGATTAGCGATGATGATGCGTATAAAGGCGAGACGCGAAGGCCGACCTCTGCTGGTTCGCCTCCCGGGATATCACTTTGTGCCGCCCCAGGGTAGTCGGCTCTAGCCTTGCCAAGACTATATGGTATGCTGAGGCTCCAATCCTACGTGATCTTAGCTTGTGATATCAGAAACGCCCATTGACTTCCCCATGCCATCATCGTTCAATTGCTGGTAATAAGGCTGAATCTTGATCAAACTCTCCAAGACACCGGGTCGTCCATGCTTGGCGCGCCGAGATCGCCGATCTACCGAGACGGAAGAGGATTGAGTGGCCCAACGGAAGTGCCCGGCTTGGCCTGCTGTAGCGGATGACATTCGCTATCAATTATAGATAATTAGACATATGAAAAGGCTGAGAGAAAATGCTGGTTTGTGCACCGAGACTCGCTGGCAAGCTCTGGAGTCTCTCATGGCCCCTTTTGGCCCTGATTCGGCATTACTGAAGATTGTCTGCGGCATGCTAACCAGGGCTGAATGTCGTTAAATCCACCTGCTTCTGAACAGGAGCAGATGCTGTGTGCCGCATCATCAGTTCGCCGCGCCAATCGGTCTGTGTAGTTCATTGATTGAGAGAGCCAGGGGTACTGGCGGTTTTGTCGGTGGCTGCATGAGAATGACAAGACAAAGCTGTGGCAGACTCACAAATCCATTTAATACATTTCTTGTGCAAGGTGATCGGAGACAGAGCCACCCCCGCTCGAGAACGTGAAGATGCAGTTGCTGAGAAACAGGAGCAAGCCAGCTTTCGAGTTCCTGATACGGTCCCGGACTAGTTATCAGGACGAATCTGGTGTGCGCGCACAAGACTCGAGCAATGCTCACCTCATATGTCTCATGGGTTGGCGCTGGCTATTGTTTGGGATGTCAAGCCCGAGGATTTTGTTCGAAAAGGCTGATCGTGATTTCCGCGACCATTAAAGATCCTTCCTCACAGCGAAGAAGTAGTTCCCGACCTTCTCGCTGCCAGCGACCTCCTTCCAGCCCAGCCCAGGCACGTACACAACACCCATCACCCTCGGGTGACTCCACCCTTGCTTCCTGGCAAAGTAATTCCTCAGCTCCTCTTCGTTGATGTACTTGTCCCAGCTGTGCGTCCCCTTTGGCACGATCCCCAGCACATCCTCTGCCATGAAATTCGTGGTGAACCAGCTCGTCCACGTGCGCGCGATCGTGCTTAGGACCAGCCAGCCGCCTGGACGCACGAACTCGCCGCACCGCTCCAGGAAAGCCGACGGCTTGTCAACGTGCTCGACGACCTCGAACAGGCTGACCACGTCGTATTTCCCCTCGTCGGTAGCCGGCAGGGGCAGCGTCTCGATGGCGCCACTGACGTAGTTCAGTTTAGGGGCCAGCGACGGGTCCTTGGCGGCGTGCAGGCGCGCGACCCTCAGGACCTCCGGGGTCGGGTCGACGGCCGTCACGGAATCGGTGGTGGACAGGCGGGCGGCAGACTCGGCAAAGATGCCGCCGCCGCAGCCGACGTCGAGGTAGCGGAGCTTCTGGCCTGTCGATGTTGGGTCTGGCTTGCTTGCCCGGCAGTCGCGGATGAAGTCGTGGCGCAGAGGGTTCATTAGGTGCAGGATGCGAGAGGAACCGTGGGGATCCCACCACTCGGAGGCGAGGGCGTTGAAGTGCGCGACCTCCGAAGCGTTGACGGAGGAGTACGAGGAGTGTGATGACGAGGAGGACGGCGCGGATTTCGAGCTCGAATCAGATGTGCCGCTCTGCCATCTCCGACATGATGGCAGGAGCTCGAGTGGGAGTGGGCGAAAAGATGATGGGCGAGCTTGACGAAGCTGTCGCAACAAGGCGGCGGGTGCCCTCGAGGGCGCCATATTGTATGTGGTGGGCCTGGTGTACCTCTGCGTGTAGCTGTGAAGTTGCTTGCAGACACATCGAGCTCAATTCTCAATTCTCGGGTCTGGAGGATCCGATTCCTGCAATAAGAAGGGAGACTTGGTTGAACAGTGCCACCGATGTGAGCTTGAGGTTGAGCGAGGTCAGGTCCGGTCTACATGAGGTCAGAGCCTCAAGGTCTGTCCACCCTGAACTTTTTGCCGGCTCGGACACCGATCCCTGCAACGGTCGCTGCAGCTGCTGCAGGGTCACTGCAACGGGTCCACTGCAGTTCAGCCCAGTAGCACCCAAACATCGGTAGGAGCTGGAGGGGCATCATAAATCAACCCCAACGGCTTGGGGTGGCTTACTTTGCTTACGGAGGAAGACGATAGAACACCTGGGCTGTCTTCTGGCTCAGCAAGGGGCGCGAATTGACCCCTGGAAAAGCGAGAACAGGCGTTCAAGGAGGCTCTGTGCTCCAAGGTTTGCGGCATTGTCGAACTCGAACGATGAGATGACCTAAGCATTTCCACATGCTCACTCAGCCGATTCCGGGCGAGTCGGTCATTCAAATCAAATCCAGGGTCTCGCGGGGCTCGCGGGGCAGAGTGACTCCATCAATCTAGACGACAAACATCCACCAGTGCATATCTATACAAGGTATTGCGCAACACATAGCGAGTTTACCCTCTTCTTCCTTTGATTTCCATAGTGATTGGCGACCTTTGTTGAAAGTTACGTACCTAGAATCCCCCGTGCCACAAGTCTCCTTCAGCCCCGAACTCGACTCGCGACTGGACCGAGGAAGCCGACATAGTTCCGGCTTGCCCAGCTTTGCTGAACGACATCAAGGACAGACACCACTCCAATTGATCCCCTCCCACCTCCGAGGCATCACCCCCTCCTCCTCATGGGATCGATAATGCCGTCCACAACCCTCGACCGGTCCGAGTTCGACTCGATACCCGACACCATCAAAGCCTTCCGTACGTACAAAATCACATGCCCACACAGGCCTCTATCACAAAGACATACCTCTCTACCGAAGCACAGCAGCAGTCCTGACTCTATCTTCTCCCCTTGTGATAGGCGACGGCCAGTTCATAGTAGTCCTCGACGACCCGGGCCGCGAAAACGAGGCCGACCTGATCATTGCCGCCCAGGACATCACGACGGAGCAGATGGCCTTCCTGGTGCGCCACAGCTCGGGCTACGTGTGCGCGCCGCTCGTGCCCGACCTCACGGCGCGCCTCGACCTCCCCCAGATGGTCGCCGACAACGAGGACCCCCGCGCCACCGCCTACACCCTGACCGTCGACTCGGCCGACCCCTCCGTCACCACCGGCATCAGCGCCCGCGACAGGGCCCTGACCTGCCGCGCCCTCGCCGACCCGGCCTCCACCCCGGCCTCCTTCCGCAGGCCGGGCCACATCCTGCCGCTGCGCGCCCGCCCGGGCGGCGTCAGGCAGCGGAGGGGCCACACCGAGGCCGCCACCGAGTTCTGCCGCCTGGCGGGCAAGGCCCCCGCGGGCGTCATCTGCGAGCTGGTCGACGACGGCGAGGAGGTCGAGGGGCAGGCTATATTCAGGGAGCCGGGCATGCTGAGGGGCGAGAAGTGTATCGCCTTCGCCAGGAGGTGGGGGCTCAAGGTGTGCACCATCGAGGACCTGGTCAACTACGTGGAGAAGACGGAGGGGGTTCTGGAGCTGAACGGGTCGCAGTAACGACGGCGAGGAGTCAGTGGAGTCTAGGGGCCAGATTTAACAAGGGCATTGACCCCTATGCGTGTGGCATCGACGCAAGAGGGGCTACCGAAGTGATGTTTATACAGTGGCGACCAAACAAAAGGTTGGAATGGTACATCGGAATCTTTGCCGCGAGGCATTCACAGGCCATCTGGAGACATGTACTTATTTGTCTGTATTGGTACTCAGCTTCTTGTACGATTATGCCCGCGCTTTGGGATGGTCGTTGAACAGGAAGCTGTGCAGTCAGGTCGAGGATCAGGGCTTCCAACGGAATGGCAATGCTCCCCACTCCTCGCTCCTTTAATGAACCAGCCAGGTCTGCGCACTGGGTGATCACCGGCTTCTGTCAAGTCGTTCCAACTAGAGGCCTGCGGTGCCTCCACATGAGCTGTGGCCACATCCGGGCCATTGTAATATCACTTGTATGGATGCCCAGGCACAAGGTCGGGGTGTTTGTGACGAGCCAGACCGTCGATCACGGACTGCGACACTTCGGCCAGATCTGACGGTCGATCTGAGCCCTCCAGGGCTGAGATGGAGCATCGGTTGCCGTCTTGCGGGTCATCCTTTCCCACGGGCGCCCAGTCGCAGTCCCTGGCTATACAGCTCGCATCACTAACGTCCCAGGGGCCAGGTGCATTTGTTGTCCTGATTCACCTGATGTTGCCTCATGAGGCTGGCCATGCTTCACCTGAGGCCTTGCTTGACCCTCCCGAACACGGCGAAGCCGTCTGTGGCCTGAGTCTTCAGAACAGTAGGCAGTGCGACACAATGTGTCCATTCTACAAAGCCGACTCTCCATGATCTTGCAACTGAGGGCATATGCACGTGGCGACCGAACACATCTCAGCGACCAAGTCTTGCCGAGGTGACGCCCCGATCCCGACGGGCTGAGAGTGGAGGGCCGCTCGAGGGCCACCGAGGGGAGTAACTCCGGACCGGCATATAACAGGCAGGATTCGCGGGTACAGAAGTACACTCAGGCGCACGCCGTGATGCCCCCGGCTTGGGTGCCTACATCTCATAATACTTTCTATTATTATTATTAATACTACAGTACTCACCATCCCGTCTGAAACCGCAGACAGAACATCGGCGCGTATGTCTCGGCCTCGCCCGTCAGCATTGACCAGAGGACAACTCGTCCGATATGCCTACAGGTTGCTCTCTCGTGGAGGCAATGCAACGGTCTCGGTGAGGTCCACATGGTAGCCCGGGGCGGGAGAACGGGGGCAAGGGACTAACGCCACCAGAAGCTACCTCAGATCTGGGGGAAGATCGAATACAACCCAGGATCTACACCGCGATTGGAGCGTGAGAGGAGATGAACTCTGGCGGGGCCGGGGCCAACGGTCAACGGCGAGGCGCGGTTGAGACACGATCTTGCGCAAGCAGCTTCTGCGTGAGTCTCGGGATAACCCTGTTTGCTGGGGGCGGGGAGTCGGTTGAGGGTCTCTGCTGCGGAAGTTTTGGTGGACGATCGGCCCAAGTGGGAACTGGTGTGCATCTGTCCACGGCGAGACAAAACATCATGACCGGATCGGTGCCGGGTACACGGATTGGGGGGGTTGGCGCGAGCGTCTAAGTTGAGGAATTCTGTGTAGAAGCTGGAACACACCGACAGGGAGCGGTCTGTGCTTCCTCCCCCATTTCTCATTCATCCCCGGGAGCAAATCGTAGCGAAACGAGCAGGCATTTCCCATCTGACATCTGCCACAGTCACATAATTCTCCGATGCACATCAGCCACCCGGGGCCAACGGCGACACCGGCAACTGGGAGTGCCAGAACCCCGAGGCGCACTCCTCTCATTGTAATCTTTGTCGTCACTTAACTCATGGTTCGGGACGGGGATTCAGCCTCGGCTCCTGTTGGTTCCCCGGCTGGCTTTGGATTGATAATAAGGCTTGTATCGCAGGTTCGTCCAGGCTTGACCTGAGTAGGAGGCATGGGGGTGGGGCCGAATGCCCATGCACTGTACATCCGCCCGTGCTTTCATTCCACGGAGGACGACATTGTTGAAAAAAAGGGGGTCTGCGTATAGCAGTGCTCGTCATGGTGCTGGGACTCGCACCATATTGATAGAGATTGTGAAGAGCCGTGGTTTACCAGTAACACCGCCAAGTGCCTGGTCTTGTACCTCACCCTGTGAAAAAAATGACGATCACCCTCTGACGCGACGATCTGCTCTGGTACCCTCGTCTCGCACATGAGCTCCGGAGGTAGTGCTGTGCAAATCAATCATAAATGTGGCACGGGAAGGATTCCTTCGAGAAGGAAGCTCTGGCCTTCTTGTAGACACTGCGTCTTTCCGCCGGCCCAAGCCACCGATCTATCATCTCTGATCAGATATGGAACCTAGCCAAGTCCCGAAGGTGCAGCAGGTGGGCAAACCAGGGCTAAGGACACCAGGTCCTGGGAAGAACGTGGAGGAGGCGTGGGTGAGCATGTGCGCGTGTGTGTGTGTGTGTGTGTGTGTGTGTGTGCGCGCGCGCGCGCGCGTGCTGCGTCTTCCGGTGCTTGGTGCGGGTGTGTGCGCGTCTCCGTGGGGCGACAATTCCAGGGGAGTCTAATTCATTGCGCGCTCACCCCTGATGTTCAAGTACGTACTCTCCAATGCATACAGACATCGCATTCCCCAAGATCCCGGCTTCTAAAAGACCCCACTCGCGGAACGTGGCCCGAAGCCGGGAACGAGGAGCAGTCCCAGCTCGTGGAGCATGGCCCAAGGTCTCACCTTGAGTCGCGCAACATGTTACCGCGGTGTGGCTTGCTGATCGGAGTAGACGAGAGCAGTCTGCCTTGGGCTATCCTCGTATTCGAAGCTCGCTCGAAATAACAACCGTCATTCTCGTCGCAGTATGGTTCTTGATCCCGATTTGACGCCGCAGACAATCACTGATGTTTTGCGCTCTGTGGTATCGGATCGCGAGCGAGTAAAATTTCGATGCGCGCAGGCCTGAAATGAGGACTTCGCTCTACGACAAGCGCTTGGGTACGTAGTCACCGCTTGGTCCGGCTACGAAGCTTTGGCGCCCCTTTTGTCCCAGGACGAGCATCAACATGGTGATCGGTTGGACGTCGACATACGAGGCGATATTTCTCGGTGGCCCGTTCTCGGTAGAATTTCAACCAATTAGACAAGGTATATCTTGCCTTCCAGCAATGCGAGATTGACTGTCTCGTCCGCTGCTAGCCTTCAGTAACGTGGCTCACAAACAATACCGGGCGTTGATGAGAGGGCGTTGACTCCGAGCACGTTTTAAGGGAGACGAGTAGGTTCTGTGGCCTCGAACCTAGTATTCAAGCTTCCGTTATGTTTCGCGTGGAGAAAACGTGTTCCGGCAAGGTCACAATCACGAACCGAAAAGGTTCCTAGAAGCGGGAGCTGGTTTTGCCTTCTGGCGGGCGTGGGGTAAACAGGTGTCTTGAGCACGGGCATCCAGTGACGCTCTATTTCTTACTTGAAAACAGTCAACAATCGTCGAAACCTGTACGTGATGCAGCGCTTGTTGGCACCAGGACTGGCTGGATCGAAAGCTGGGCCTCAAGGTGGGTGAGTCTGATGGGACGAGTCAATGGATGGTTTTGCTGAAAGTCAGAGCTCTCGAGATCTATGTTTCGAGATCTGCTGCAACGTTCAGACTAAGCGCCGCCCTTTGAAACACGGTCGGCCAGTGCTGAAGCTGAGGTATGATGGACGGGATATCCTCGACATCTGTGGGCTGAGATGGCGCTTTGATGTCTGATCGCAGGGCTGAGGACCGGAGAGGAGGAGAGGGCCGACTCGCCCGAGAAACAATGGGCAGCTGGTGGTCTGCCACCTCGATCACCAACGACCAGGTCGGTCGGTCAGCCAGCACGGCTGCTCTGTTATCCTTCGGTCCGTTCCACGACAGAAATAATGGATCCTGCTGAGGGCCCGGTACACGGGCCAGGAGAGCCAACTTGTGATCGCTGCGGCTGCAATGCCAAGCTCCGCGATCCATCTCCATCGGGGATTTGGACCAAACTGATCCTGGACTCGAATGAAAAGAGCCTCCTCTATGGCAGAGTGGTCCCGAAATCACAACGACTGAAAAAAGACGGCCTTGGCTAACGTAGGAAATTGTTGTCGAGTCTTACTAGATCCGGCATAGAGGAGAAAGCGACCAAAATAGAAGATGGTTTGAAGATGAGCCGACCGCCACGCCGTGGCATGAGTTGTGAGCCTATTGGCCGGGTTGGGTGCACGGCAGATACGCAACAAAAGCTTGCTGTAGTCGCAGTCAGTTGGGCAACGACATTTCGTGCGAGGACAAGATTAGAAACTGCGCCACCTCAAATTTGGTGGTCACGAAACCAAATTTGGTTTGTAATGTTGACTGCCTCAAGTGCTGTGTGATGCGCGATTGGGCATCACAACATCCCCCATGTCTTGCTCTCCTGGCTTTAGATGAGGTACGAACGTGCCTAACAAACAAATAATCAGACAAATGATGAGTTCTGAGAGTGCGAAGACCCCCATGACGTAGCAGATGATATACGCACGACTAGAAGCCAAAGCCGACGGCAAACAGGCTGGACAGGTCGCAACCGTTCTGCCGTTTCAGCCGGATTTCGTAGAAAATAATGCATACCCTAGTACCTGGATGCATATCATGCACTGCCGGGTGGTCCAATCCGTTAGCCGGAGATCTTCATGTGGCCCTTGGGGCAGAGCCAGCGATTCGGGAAAGCCGGCCTTCAAATGAGCTGAGGCAGGGGCTAGCCTCATTCCGTGAAAGGAAAAGACGGGCACGAGGAAAAGAGTAGGTGGGCTCAATTTTTCAGGTGCAACCTCAATCGAGCCTAGACAGATTAGTTTGCAACGATCAGAGCTGGAGGTAGTCCATGCTTGTGGTTTCGACCTGGGTCAATATCCGAGTAGGCTGGCAGGCTGGTGGAATGTATTGGCAGGGAGGCTGAAATGGAACGACGTTGAAATCGGGCTTGCAGGGGACTTGGTCGACGAGACAATCAGCAGGTTCATGTACCTACTGCCGATTGGGGGGTGACACGGGCCACTTGAATTGCGCAGGCAGGTTTCCGAGCAGCAATTTCATCATGGCCGTTTTATCTCATCTCCGACCAAGCCTCCTGTTGTCTGCTCTCCGTGTCGAAGGCTGCATGCAATCTAATCCGTCTCGATCTCTGCACCTTGAGCTACTGGGTGCTTCCGACCACCGAGTAACGCTGTCAGTTCCCTGACCGCTTCGTGGGATGCAAGACCAGCGCAAGCGGCACCGACAACGAGCATCTGATATGCTTGTGTGGTCCCTGCTCCCACCGCAGTTTTGCCTCGCATTTCACACTCGACTAGCGAGACAGGGATGATCAGGGCTTCGGCTCCACTCCCCGTCTTTAGAAGGATCCATATCTTCTAGAATGGTTCCAGAATCTTGCCGCTTCTGGCAAAGCCAATTTCAGGCCCCAGTCGCTGCCCCAAGCGTTGGCCAACAAGCCAGCGCAGTCTCCCCACAGCCCTCCTTGACAATGTGACCCTGCAACCGGGGGGCCCTCCTGAAGTGTGATGATGATAGTTCATCTCCTCCGCCGGGTTTTCGATGGGTTGCCCCTTTGCGTCGTGTCCACTGCTTGTCAGGATGCCTGAAGTAGCGGTAAGGCGAGAGCGACGATTGAGTGCTGCGACGGGCAGCACGCGAGCCTCCGCAACAGGCCGCGTGAGTAGCTCCTAAGAATCCCTCTACCACGCCTTTGAGTAGGGCAACAGTGGCGAGCGGGCGACAGGTCAGCTTAATGTAAATGAGACTTGAGGTAGGGCTGGACAGCAGGGACGAGCGCTGTCACGTTGCTGTCCCCGTTCGTCAGCTCCCCCTCACTTCCAATATCCATTCTCGTTTCCGAGGCCAAATTGAGTTGCTCAGCCGTCCGAGCGTCTCCTGTGAGTCGAAGCGCGGGCCTGCTTTTAAATCGACGTACGGAGTACCTTTCTGCAGGCTCCCGCGTGCTCCATGACTGATGGCCCGGCACAGTTGAGAGCGGGATGCATCTGGCCTCCCACATAGGGAAGGCATACGGCATATCTGAATCGTCAAAACGTAACTGGAGCCTTGTCCATGTCTCGTGGCGCCCGCCCTGGCAAAGTTACGGTGTACGGCCTGAGGGACTATCGAGCGTCGAAACCGACCAGGCTCCTAGAAGCAGCAGTTGAGTACTGCGTGAGTACTTACGGAGCTACCGTGGCAGGGCCGCCGGCTCCGTATGATGTGGAGATTGTCGTCGTTACAGTAGCGTTGGTCGAAAAGCACAGTGCACGAAGGGGAAGCCGCTCTGCTCTGCCCCCGCTGAAGTGAAGAATCGTAGAGCTACTCACGCAGCGCTATGGACATCAGGCTGTTGTGTGAGAAATACCTCCCGGCTGCATCGGTGTTTGACAGACAGGCAATGCGAGAGATTGATCACATCACACACTGCTGCTGTCCTGCGGCAGATCGGACGGGAGTCTGAGCTCTCAAGCTGGGTTCGCAGCCTGGCGGTGATTTGAGCGCTGATGTCAAACGCAATATGCTATCCTGTGCCGTACCTGTCTGAAGGCTGTAGCAAGGTGAATATACTCGGCTAGACACCTCCCTGCTGGGTCTGCTGGGAAAGTTTTTGCCCTCGCCCTCGCCCGCACCCCCGTTTCCTGGGCATGACCACCAAGCTGGCACCAAGCGGCCGTCCGAGATCTCTCATGTGAGAGGCGGCGGCAATCAAGCAGATGTTGGAACAGCGCGGCTTGCTTGGCTCATCTCGAAGCCTGGCAGATTGAGTTTGTTGCCATGACACAGGGACCAAATGGCAGCCCTTGGAAGGTCTTGAGGCTTGGCAGAGACACAGGCGCAGGCCGTCCGTCCGCCGTCGTCCGAAGGCAATATTTGGGTGGGAGAATGTTCCAAGGTTGAGCGGGATTGGGGGGTCTCATCGAGGTCTGCAGGCTCTGGCTCCCGGTGCCCCTAGCCTTGGGAGAGCGTCTCAGGACACCGAATCTCGCAAATCTTGACGATTCATTGAGTTGTGTGAGTTGGGAGGATCTGCCAACGAATTTGCAGGACAGACAGAAACAGGCAGGCAAACAGGCAGGCAAACAAACGACGAAGCCAGGCATAGGGATAGCTGTCTTGGTGGGTAGCACGGTCTTCGTTGTTGGTAGTTCGACGTCGAGGGAACACTCACGCACGTCACGTCACGCACAGGCTGTAGAGAACGGGGGAGAGTCGGGAGGGAGCAAGGGGAGGTCTGCGGCGATCAACGACAGGACACAAGAGACGGGACTTGAAACCCCGGCAGTCCGTGGATTTGGTCTGTTCAGTCAGGCCTGGCGCCCTGGTAGCCGGGGGCCTGGGCAGCAGCAGAAAAAGGGTTCGGCTCGGTTCTGCTCTGCTGCAGGCGGGCGGAAGAGAAGGAGCTCCTAAGTGCCCTGTGCGCCGAGGGGTGGAGTGGGCTGGGCTGCACATGGTGGATGCTTGGGCGGGTGGGTTCGATGCTGGTGGGCTAGGTGGGCTCGAGGTGGGCTTGCCTTGCTGTCCGCCCCCCTGGAGCCCCGGTCGTGGAAGTACCGGCTGTGTACAGATGCTGCCCCCTGCACACCTGGGCACACACCTGGGCACCCTCAAGGTTGGGATGTTTCAACGGACCTGTCGGTCTGGCAGCCTGGGCAAGGGTGCGGCAGCAGGTAGGTACTGTACCAGACTTTGGTGGTCTGCGTCGTCCACCCAGTCCCGGTACCCAGCCAATGGTCGGGTGGAAACCCTGGAAGTGAAATAGAGTGAGTGGGTTGGAGCATGGAAAAGCTACCTGCCTATGCCCGCCCCGGGGATGCAGTACCTGCCTAGGGCCCTAGGTACGATTTTATTTTTAAGAAGACCCCTTGTCCTCGACCCAAAACTTCCTCCTTCCCGTCAGAGCGTCATATCAGCTTTCTATCACCACCCTCATCAACTTCACCTGCGCGACCTCCTCCTCCCTCCGACTCCGACTGACTCCCGTCTCTGTCTGTGCCTCATAGCATCAGACAACCTGCACTTCACACTCCCTGCCTAGAGCGAGGGCGTCGCCGTCATAATAACCACCATAATCACCACGTCGTAAGTCTTTCACCGACTCAAAACCCCTTCCTTGCCTTGCTCTGCCTCACCTTGCCCCTTGTTATTGTCCATGTGGGAGGGCTCGAGACCGTGACTGGGACTGGGAGCATTGCATCGGACTATCGCATTGTTTTGGATTCGACGCGTGGGACACGGAAAGCAGCAGCAGGCCTTTCACCTTTACTCGTCCCCAAACAAACGCTGCATCTGCAAACTGCAGCCCAGACTCTGGAACGGCGTCGTGCAATCTGTGTTGACCCTCCCTCGCCTCCTTCCATTTGAGTTTCCTGGCGTCCCATCCGTCCATCTGAGCCCCCGACACTCTTGACCGTTACCTTTCCCTACCCTTGAAGTGCTGTGCTGCCCTACCTTTCTCCCAGGCACACCACCCTCACCATTCACCCTCAAATCGCATTTTGGCGAGCTCTACCCTCACATAGCGGTTCTTGTGCTTGTGGGCGTCATACTCAGACTGCAGCAATCTTGCGAATGTGGCATCGTCTGCGTTGAACCCTCCGGTCCAGTCTAGCTGACCGACTCAAGCAGAATTTGACAGTCAGCGACCACACCGACTTGAGCTCCCTACGCGTCGACAGCTCCCGCCAACCCCGACGGTAACCTGGGGACCATCCATACCGAAGGCACAAACATACCTGTCGCGTCCGAGTAGACATCGCGAAACCGATCTGGCTGTGCAGATTCCAGTCGGCAGTACCCAGAGATATATTGTGTCGAGGCGCCTTCCTACGACTTCGACCGCACTGCCACCGACGGCACGGGTTACCTCCCCAACACTGTTCTTTATTCAACGTGTCGGGGCCGAACAGCGAAGGGTAGCTGGCACCTTGCGCATCAACTCTGGTGGAACGAAATCCTGGTACTCGCGCAAGTGAACCAGGTCCCCGTGCGCTGTGCACTGCCATAGACAGAATACGAACGGGTCTTCGTTACTGGACAGAGTAGACACTAGGTGCGTTAACATCCTGCAGCGTGGGTAAAGGGGCTGTCTTTCCCTGCTTCGAAGGTTGTCGGTCTGGGGTGACAGAGTTTGTTTCCAAGCTTGTTCGGCAGAGCCATCTCCTGCACTTTGCCACGTCATCAGAGTTCCACCAGCATCACCAAATTTGTGGGCGGGAAAGCGAGCCGGATTGCGAGAGCATCGAACTGACATGGCAATTGATGAAACCAGGCTGAAATTGGACAGAGCGCGTCTCTACTAATCCAACACGCGCCTCTTCCTGCACCTTGATCCGTGCACGACAATCTGGTACCCACCCCCAGTATTTCACCACCGCGACCCCTACCGGTCTCCAGAGAGGGCCACCTCTGCCGCGTGCAGCAACCGCCAACGACAGGCGCCTTTCTTTCCCTGCCCCGTGCCGCATTGGTACCGCTGTGGTCTCTTGTATTCACATTGAGTAAGTCACCATCAATTCATCCAACACACATTCACAGGATTGCAAAGCCCCCCTGGTGATGGGTAGAGCAGCCAGGGTGGAGCTTATGCACGCCTACAGTCACTAATTGGAGGCATTCACCAATATGCTCCAAACAGTCACGGCTTCTAAAACATTCATATTCCTGCTGTTGTTCGACGTATCACTTTGGTGATGGGACGCAGTTCACACCTCTCTTGCCCATCAGTCTCACCGCCTCTGCCCTCAGCCTCGGACATTACTGACAACAGCTTCAGTTGATTCGCGACTTGCACCTAGCGCATCTGCAACCAACAGCCACCGGGTTCCGAAACATTCTGGTGTTGTAAGACACATCTTATTTCCTTGCTGCGGGAGTGCAATTTCCTTGCGGACGAACCCGTGGACCGTGCGTCACGTCTGTCCAACTCGCCTCCTTTGTCTGGCTCCAGCTTAATCATGTCGTCTCCAGCTCCCGGTGAGGTTATGGGCATTACCAATATGCTGAACCAAAAGGGCGGCATTCAAGCAGCGACGCACTCAATTCCAGGTGTTCAGGGATCCACTCCAGAACAACCTGCTCACCAGCAACTCCCCCAGATTCCGATGGATCGCGCCGACTCGCCTCACGGATCCGAGCATTCGAGGTACTCGCAGCCTACCATGAACGGCAGCATACAAAACGGACGGCCGTACGGCTCTCCGAGTGCAATGCACGCCCCTCTCCACATGCCCGAGCCCAACATGGGCCCCATTGGATTTCCTGGCATGGCCCCCGATATTGCCCACGCCATGCCTCAATACGCGAAGCCTCCGGAGGCGGTAGCGGCGCAGCCACCACCCAAGGCGTACCCATGCAGCACTTGTGGGAAGGGATTCGCAAGACGCAGTGATCTTGCCCGTCACGGTATGTGATCCTCAATTTTGATCAAGAAATGGAGCCCCTGCTAACCTGAACTCAGAGCGCATCCACACTGGAGTGCGGCCACATGTCTGCGATTACCCAAACTGCGGCAAGCAGTTTATCCAGCGTTCCGCTCTTACAGTTCATCAGCGAGTACACACTGGAGAGAAGCCACACATGTGTGAACGTTGCGGCAAGGTGAGCAATCTGACAGTCTCACAGGCGAGCATATAACTGACTAAGGGATGAAACAGCCCTTCAGCGACTCTAGCTCTTTGGCTAGGCATCGTCGGATCCACTCGGGTAAGAGACCGTATAAGTGTCCATATGCTGATTGTCAGAAGACATTCACGAGACGCACGACACTCACTCGCCACCAAAATCACCACACTGGCACGGTCGAGGACGCTGCTCGCGCCACTGCGGAGGCTCTGGCCAGAAACAGCGTGGCCCGCTCAGGCTCCGCACGTCCTGCGCGGTCTGACGGTGACCAGGTCAGCAACCACGGGTCACCCATCTCTACGCCGTCTCCTGCACAGAGGACTATGTCGATGTCGCCCAGTGCTGAGATGGTGGGTGCCAACGGAATGCAACACGGATATGTGGGAAATACCTCCCTGCCCGCCCACCTGCGCAGCGACCTGCACACTGGTAGCCCCACCTCAACGACGTCGGCAGGTTTCGCCAACAACGTCCGGCCGACCTCTCACCCCACGGCCTACGGAGCAGCGCCTCCAACGACATTGGAACCGAGCATCGAGAACGGACAAGGGCCTGGCAGCGCTGCTGGAAGCCCCCACATGAGCAGTGTTGGATGGGCTTCTCCTTCGCATGGAGTGGCGTCACCTGTTCACAGTAACAACGGCAACGGCAGCTACGTCTACCCAGACCCTGACCAGGGGTATCCCAACAACGCGGCTGCACAAGGGCAGTTGTTCTACAGCGCTGCTATGGGCTTGCAGAGGCCGGGAAGCGCTGAGCCTGGTGCGGCGACCTATAACAAGCCACGTCAAGGTGAACTCTGGGCTGCCTAAGGCGCCTAGAGATGGAGAGGGCCTCACTGGTGGCGTGCACAGCTTGGGAGGCACAAGGAGATGCCTCGTTTCTAGTTGCGTTTGCAAGTACTGCAAGACAGATTATGACAGCAGAGTTACCGGCTCGGTGTTTTCTGAACCGTGGTCGGCCGTCAAACAGTGACGTTTCCAAAGGGTTTTCGGCGGTACCCATAATTACTGAATTGGTGTGGATGTCTGCATCCATTCTTTATAATACGGAAGTTAGGGCGCAAACTCGAGCCGACTGTGGAGGGTGGTAATACGGGACTTTTGGCCGGGAGAACTTGTTTTCCTTCACTCCTTTAGACTGGCAACCGGGCATGGAAAAGGGGGGACAGGCGTGGCAACGCAGCGGGGCGACGGGGGGAACGGTGTTTCGGAGCTCATGGTCGATTGCTTCCCAGATCAGCAGACACAAAAGTGACTACCTGTTTACTCTTTTGTTACGTGTAAAACAATTAGACATCCGATAGCTTCGAAGATCAAGGAAAGGAAAAATAGGACAAATGTGTACTTAACGCTGCTTACTTGACAACAGTGTGACGGCGAGGGGAGCTATCCAATACCAGTCACGCAAGGCTGGGAAACATCGCCTCCCTTCTTCCTTGTTGAAGCACTCACACGCATTGGGACACAGGCGCCTGAGTGAGTTCCGAGGCAAGAGAGCTGGGCTAGCCTTGCTCCAACTTGCGGCCACTGCGTGGAAGAGGTCGGGACGGGAAGCTGGGCCAGGATCCGAGGTCAGGCTAGTTTTGTCGTAGGGTGGGCGCTGGCTCGGTATTTCTGTTTACTAATCTTCGGCCACGAGATGTCGTATTTCCCTCATGTGTTGGCCCCTAATCGTCGCGTTGAGCTATTTGCAGATACATGATCATGAAAGGCAAGGATTATCTGAGTTCTTGTTTTGTCTCTTTACATATCTTGCGTCTTGTTCCGCTCCATCTCCTCCTAGTCTAGGTTATTATAAGAATTGGCACGGGGTTCCGCGTAAACCTGCTGCTCGACCTTGTGTGAACAGGCATTCTTCGAAAAGAGCAGCCTCGTCAGATTTTATTCTTGGAAGCGTGTACCTGACCGAATTTTGTCGGACGAACTCAAATTGCTGATGTGGAGTTACGAGACTTGAAACCATGGCGCCGGCTCTCACCATCACGATTCAGACCTTCTCCGATACCGTCTGCCCCTGGAGTTACATCGGCAAGAAGAACCTCGACAATGCAATAGAAGCATACAAGGAGCAACATCCGGACGTCGACTTCGAGGTGACCTGGAACCCTTTCTACCTGCACCCAGAGGCGAAGATCTCCGGTGAGGCCCCCCGAATCTGCGTTGCAAGCATCATCGCCATCACCATCGCCACTACCGATCATCACCAAGATGAGTAAGAGCTGACCCCAATTACCAGCCTACAAAAAGAAGGACTACTACGCCGCCAGGTTCGGGCCCTCGAGGACAGCGGCGCTCCGCGAGCGGGTGGAAAAGGAGGCCGCGGCGCTGGGGCTGTCCATCAACTGGGACGGGCTGTGCGGCAACACGCGCGACTCACACGTCCTCCTCCTCCTCGCCCAGGAGCTCCAGCAGCAGCAGCAGCGGCTACAGCAACAAGACCACCGAGAGCAGCAAGAGGGAGGCGACAACAAAGACAGCCTCCTGCGGGAAACCCAGGACGCCCTCTTCCACGGGTCGTTCCACCGCGGGCGCGACGTCAGCGACCGGGCCTTCCTGGCCGAGGTGGCGCTCGAGGTCGGGCTGTACGGGAGCGAGGACGAGGTGCTGGCGCGCCTGGACGAGGAGGGGGCAAGGGCCGAGGCGGACGCGCTGGACAGGCGGGCCAAGGAGGTGGTTGGCATCACGGCGGTGCCGAGCTATGTCGTCCAGGGGCGGTACAGGGTGGGCGGGCAGCAGGAGTCGGAGGTGTTCCTGCGGCTGTTTGACAGGATCAGGTTGGAGGGGAGGGAAGGGCAGTGAGTATGTCTTGTGTTGAGTCTCGGTGGGGATGGAGAGTGCTGGGCAGATATCACTTCGTGTGTGTCTGGTGGGGATGGTCAGACTGTATGTAAGAAATGTCTGATAGAGATGGCATCTACGCCGGGTTGGCTTTTCCTGGTCAGATCAGGTCTGGCAAAGACGAAGGGGTCGCACACCACTGTGTCGCTGTTGGCGTTATGAGTGAAGTACATGTCAAGATAAAAGCCAAGGTTGTTGCAAAGAATGATCAGCCCTAATTTGTGATCACGATGTCACTCAGCCACTGACATTTCTGCAATATTTTATTGATGATTAGTATGAGTATGCTCAAGATTGAGAGCCTCTGTATCCGCGAAGATCCCCTTCCCTTCCGTAAAAGATTCGCATCAAAAACTCCCTGGAACTTGTGATCCTCGTTCCACCGATGCTGAGTGCCCATACGCCTCGAGTGGCCAAAGTCGAAACAATCTGTCGAGGGCATCCTCCAGATCTACCATTTGCCTGCTTTTTTTATTGTCTTTTTCGATCTCAATTCACTCCGGTACGCCGTTGATGATGCACGTAACAAAAGGTCAACCAATACTACCTCACTTCTTACCTCGGCCGCGGGAAGAATGATCCTATTTCTTCTTGTTGCCGTCGTCGAAGAGACCCATGAGATGCGTGTTGGTCAGGTTCTTGGGCCGCGTAGAGGCCCTCTTCTTCTTCTTCTCCACCTTTGCGGCCACCACCTTGAGGCGCGGGTCCTCGCTCGTTGGCTTCTGGCCGACCTGGGTGAGCAGGCGGTTGATGTCCTCGACGGCCGGCACCGAGACCTTGTGCCACAGGTTCTGGAAGACCGGGTCGACCTCGTTCCAGAGGCTCTGGTCGTCGCTCCACACGTAGCGGGGGTGGTTGTCCTTCTTGGTGCGAACCACGAGCACCTTGTGATCCCTCTCGAGCTCCGTGAGCGCCTGGTACAGCTTCTCCTTGGGCCAGCCATCCTCCAGGTCCTTAACCTGGACGTACATGGCGTCCTTCTTCTTCTGCAGGTACGCTAGGAGGCTCTCCTTGCTGCGCACGCCGGGGATCAACGGGTTGTGCACGTAGGTACCGCTGTCCCAGCGCTGCTCGGTGAGGTTGGGGTCGGGGATCCAGCGCACGCGGGGGTTGCGCCGCAGGATCTCGGCCAGCTCGTTCTGGTCCTTCTCGGTGACGGGCCGCCGCGACATGTGGTCCATGATCTCGTAGATGTTCAGCTCCTTGTCCTTCTCCTTGAGATGGTGCACTGCGTAGACCATCTGCGTGCCCAGCTCCATGCCTGTGCCCGTGAGCGAGGGCTGCGAGAAGATCTCGGCGGCATCGGCGGGCCGCGACTTGTTCTTCTTGGTCGGGGTGCTGCCGGCGAGCGCACTGCTCGTGGATGCGACTGATGGAGAGGGAGAAGGTGGCGCAAGGGCGGCCTTCTTCGACGGACCCGTGAGGTCGACGACGGTAGGGCCGCTCTTCGCCGCGGCCGACGCAGCTCGCTGGCGCTCGAGAAAGGACATGGTGACGAGATGACAGAAGAGCTGGATCACTGTCAAGAGGTTGTGGTTGAGTCGCGCGATGACGAAGTCAACGCCGCAATGTGGAGGAAGAAGAAGGGGTGGGAGATCATAAGGCTGAGACAGAGCGCCGCAGGCCCCCAAAGTGGTTGATTAGGCTGTGGAAATCGATAAGGAAGTGGGCTGTGCTAGCTCCGCTGGTGGGTTATGGGTTGTGGTTGTCAGCAGTTGAGTGATCGACAAAGATTGGCGATGACCAGCCCGATGGTCTGTTGGAAAAAAAGTTGTTGGAAAAGCAAAAGCACTATTAACCAGTTCTTACCGTAGACGGTGTTCTTATTGAGTCTCTTGGGGTCTATTCATTATGGTACGTGATGTGGTACAATTGGTGGCTCAACGGCAGGTAGCACGTAGATTTGTATAGCAGTACAACGAGACCACTGGCACTGTGTTTGCCAGCAAGCCCCTTTCTACAGCACCGCCGTTTGTCAAATGTGAGCCACTGTGCCTGGGTCTTGAGATTCTCTTTCAATTGAATTATTGAAGCCGGCCGCATAGAGGTGAAGAGAAAGTCCAGTCGAAATACCAATCCTTATTTAAGAACCATCACCATCCCGGGAAATGTATGGTACTGACATGTTAAACCACTCTTCGGCACATGTTAGTCAGCTGACCCCAAAGTGCCTCTGATAAACTCAGACTTGGAAGAAAGTCCTCGGGGAAAGGTTGAAGTGTCAACAAGGCCGAGGCTGGATTCTGTCTACCTGCAGGGGCAAATCGAAACAAGGCGAGGATATGTAAGGTAACACCACCAGTGAAGCATGTCCCATGTAGTATTGGCACGAAACCGGCAGCAACCCCTTTCGTGCCCAAGAGCCCCCTTGCACCGCCAGCACCCACTCCAGCTCGTGTTCCTTCTAAGCCTGGCCTGCCGCCTGCTGCTGCTGCTGCCTGGAGGTATTGGTAGGCGAAGTAGGCAGCGGCACCACCGATGAGCACGATGGCGTACACACCGATGCCGAGGCCGGTGGCATCGCCCGTCGTCGCAGGCGTGACGGCACCGGGGTTGGGAGCCTTGGGGGTTGGGTCTCCGGGCTGCAGAAGCGATTGACCGTCAGCAGATGATCGGACCTGACTCCGAGGGGACTGCATGTCCTCCCCGTCTCCCAATGGGGTGTTTAGGGGGTGCTTGTCGATCGTCTGAACGTACCTGTCTCTTCAGCACGCCGGCGTAGAGCTGGTCCAGTGTCTCGCGCGCCTCGTCGCTGTGGCCGACGTCCTCAAAGGCCTCGGTTGCGTCTTGTCCGGCAACATCCAACATGACCTCCTCACCACCGCTGTTTCGCGCGCGAGCATGTGTCAGCTTGAGCTTGCCGGCGGGGCCGAGGCATTGTGATCGGGGAAGGCCCGGCATTGGAGTTTCTGACAACATTGGACGGCAGAACTTACGGATGCTCATCTATAAACTTTGCGCAGTCGTAGACCTTGTCGTGGATGACCAGGAACAGGTCCTTCTTGGTGTTGTGCTCGGCAACATCTTGGTAGGTGAACTCCTTGTCCGACATTTTGGCTGATTATGTGTGGTGGTGATCTGTTGGGGAGAAAGCTCGGGCAGTTTTGTCGAGAACGGGGTAAGGCCAGTTTGAGGAACTCGGCACGGTGACTGATGCGACAGACAAGCAGCAAAAGGGGGTGGAGAAGAACGCCAATGGGAAGCCCTGGAGAAGAAGCGTCGACGACTGACTGCAGGTAGAAAACTCGAGGACGGTGAGGTGGATTAGGCCGACTAAGCGGACGGGGATGGGGAATCGAAAGATAAAGTATGTTGCTTCTCGGAGCGCTCAACTCTGTCTCCCGGCGGGGACGGAACGGAAAGCATCACCGTTTTTGACGTCCTCGAGCAGCGAGAAGGGGGCAATTCGCAATCCGGCAGCCAGCCTGGCCAGTGGGAAAGGGGACCACCCGGCCACTCCTGGAGCCCGAGCTTAACAAATGGGAACTGTGAGCTGTCCACATGCCGGGGACCCTGGGGCTCCCCACTGCTGCACCCAGGTCCCGGAGATCAAATCAAACAACGCTGGTTGGCCAGAGCAGGCGATTCATCATCCTGTCTTGTCCAGAATGTCCTTGCCGTTTGGCACCTCTGGCACCGAGCATTCTCCGTTTTGGCACAGGATCCCCACACAAGGTCCTCCGTCACGGCAACGGCACCATGTCGAGACCCCGAGGCTGACGGGGCCGATGACAATCGCCGCTCCCAAGAACTTTGGTCCACTATGGCTGACACAGATACACATTTACCGTCCGCTTAAGTTCTGACAGTACGCTACAGTCTCAGATGCCCTCTTTCACAACTTCAAAACGCATGCATTAACGGGTCTGAAAACTGAATCGAACTCGGAATCGTATTCGTATTTCAATGTCCAACGGACGCAGCGCCTGTCCGGGTCGCATTTCTACCCGATCCAGCTCACCAGTGGTGCCTCTGATGATCCCAAATGCAGGACTACGAACTCTCACGCCGAGTAAGGCTTACATAAGTACACACAAGGACAAGACACTCTGTTGGCGGCAAAGCACTCTCACTCACAGAGAGATTGGGATGCCTGGCGCGTGGAGATACATCGTTCCTGGTATCATGGGCTCTTTGACAGCCTGACTGGATGTTGTCGTCGTTGATGAGGATATCCGCACAAATCCAGCCTTGAATATCAAGAGCGCTCATTCAAACATCCACTGCTGAGTCTATGGGTCGAAGTACGCCTGTATACAGCCCAACGCCCCACGCTCACCGCCTAGAGCTGCCGCCGCCAATGTCTTGTCCTAACCGGTAGCTGGCGACCTTGTCCCACTCGATCTTCTGTCTCGTCACCGGCAGCTGTCTCCGGAGACTCTTGAACGCGCCCTCGCTCAGGCTCGTGAAGCCCTTGTTCAGCTCCTCCTGGTACTTCTTCTCCGCCGTAGAGATCTCCTTTGCGATGCCACTGCCGGTTCCTGACGAGACAGAGGCCGTGACCGCCTTGTTGGCCAAGAGGCGCACGTTTCCGTCCTCGTAGTAGTGGACGTCCACCTTGATCGAGCCCTCCAGAGAGCTGTCAGATGGGTCGAAGAGGTAGAGGGATCGCCACCGGCCGTTCCTGTTCTCCGTTAGCCTTCGTCCTTGCCGCCGAGCGTTCATGCAAGTAGCGGCAATCCTCACCAGAAGTTGTTGGGGCTGTATTTGCTGGCTACGGTGATAATGGCCAGCTTCGAGTCATTCTCGATAGGGTACACTCCGTAAGATGCGTTAGGGAAGTGCTCCTTGACGTATGTCCCCAGGCTTTTCAAGGTCGACTTGCTGTGGGCCATGACGTATCAGCATACAAGTCCTTCACTGACGGGCCAGCCGATACATACACGAGATCAGAGTGCGCGCTCTCGAGGGAATGGCTCTGGGCCCCGCTGGCCTTCTGCGTAGCATGATCGAACTCGAAGCTCGTGGAGCTCTCGACGTCGTAGTACCGGCCGTCTCCCAGCGAGTTGTGCGAGCTGACAATGACTGGGTCACTGCTTCCCGGCAGCTTGGCTGTGGTGAACTGCTCCTCGTTGTATTTCTGGAAGGCCGGCCCGAGCTCCTTCACGAGGCTGGGCTCGGAGACGGTAAGGGCCTTGATGTCTGCATCGGAGAATTAGTGTCGGGGTTCGTGGGGCGCGCTCGAAGTCTTCAACTTGCCGGCGATGACATCTGAAAGCTTCAAGAGGTCAGCGGAGTATCAATGGCATCTAGGGGCACGGGGGCGCACCTCTCCTGGGGGAGCGTCTCCAACGAAGGAAGACACCCACTCTAGACTCTCAGACATGGGCGGTGGAATGATGAGGTACGAATCGGTAGGATACGAAGTCCGAGTCTTGGGTTCCTCAGCCACGCCGGAAGTTGATGGTATGATATCTGCGGATGAGAGCTGGTACCGTTCGAAGGCGACAGGTTTCAGGGGTAGCGACGACACCGCCGTACATCCCCCGACCGCGCTTGGCCCCTTGAAGTGGGGTGGGAAGCCGCGCGTGGCGGGGTAGCTCAAGAGCCTCCCAATTTCTTCAAGGAAGAGCACAGCACATGCAAGAAATCTATCTGCTGTGTCAAACCTTGTCATCTCCAACCAATTCCAAGCTTCAATTGGAAATGGCTATACCTCTTTCGATTTCAAAGTATCTCATGTTTCATTATTTTCTACGTCACCCCAAGGAACAGCCGCTTAATCAGCCTTCCGATACGCTCTTGCCCAGCAATGCCAGCCTCCCAGCCAAGGAGCAGAGCGCCCGGCTGCCATAGTAACCACCAACGCCGAGCCTGATGCTCTGGAGATGCTAATATTCCAAGATCTTTTTTACGTTGTCATACACCCCTGACAGTCGTTAGCTATTTCCCCAGCCGAATTATTGGCTTGGTCTGCTTGGGAAGGCCACTTACTCGCAACATCTGGCAGGTTGAACCTCTCGAAGACCAATGGGGTGGGTGTACTCCAACCAGCAACGCGTGCGACAGGCGCCTCCAGCCGGATGAATGTGGACGGGTCCTCCTGGATGGCTGCCGCCACCTCGGCGCCAACGCCAGCATTGACCATCGCCTCGTGTACGACCATGCACCTCCCTGTCTTCTGGACGCTCTTGAAGACTGTTTCCTTGTCCCAGGGGTATACAGTCCGCAGGTCGACTAGCTCAATGCTGATGCCCAGATCCTGCTCGGCCTGTTTAATCGCATTTTGGCAAATGTACAGCGGCTGGCCATACGAAATGATGGTCAAATCCTTGCCCTCTTTCAGGACCTCGGCCTTGGACAGCGGCAGCTCGTACGGCGCAACGGGAACTTGCTCAACAGCTGCTCGGTACAGCACTTTTGGCTCCATGAAAATGCAAGGGTCGTTGCTCCGGATTGCTGCCAGCAGGAGCCCCTTCGCCTGCAACGGTGATCGCGGAACAATTACTCGGAAGCCTGGGATGTGAGTGAACAAGCTCTCTGGGGACTGTGTGTGATACAGAGCACCATGACCGACCGCTCCACATGGCATGCGGACGGTCAGGCCTCCCACATGTCTGCCACATGCTCCGTCTCTGTATCGATATTTGGCTGCCTCATTGACCATCTGATCGAATGCCGGGAAGACGTAGTCCGCAAATTGTATCTCTGCGATGGGCCTCATGCCCTCGGCAGCACATCCGATGGCGAAACCCATGATGCCCTGCTCTGATAAAGGGGTGTTGAAGACGCGGTCGCCTCCGTATGTCTCGGCGAGCTTCATTGAACAGCGAAATACACCGCCAAACGCGACATCTTCACCAAATAAGAGCACACTCTCGTCCTCGGCCAGTGCTATCGACAGAGCGTCGTTTATGGACTGGAACAGATTCATCTTCTTCGTTGTCCCCTCGCGAATCTCGGGCGGCAGCTCTGGGTTGTTCAGGGCGGACTGCGACGTGTGTGCCAGGAGAGGCGTTGTTGCATAGTCGATTGGTAGGTTGAGCTTCGCATTAGGAGGGTGTGTCGAGTATCTCCTCTGTGGGAGGCTCTGATTGCTCCAGGACGGAGGCTTGCAGCTTCGCGAGGGAGCAGCCGCCACAGTCGCAGCCCTCTTGAACAAGTGTCGAGGCAACTGGCCCCTCATGGTGTCGAATGCGGCGGTAGCAAAGCGAATGAAGTTTTAATTTCACCAGTATCATGACGCGTCAACACACGCAGAAGCAAGTAACGGGTGGACACAGTCTCCTGGCATCTACCAAGAGGAATCGTGTCCACCATTTTGGGCGGGATGACGGCGGCCCTGGAGTCGTCTGGAGGTCGAGGGTTCGGCAAACGGCGGTTCAAGATTCGTGGGGGGGATTGATCTGGGGTTAAAGGCCTGGTCCCTGGTTCCCCAGACGCCGGACACCCTCCCTGGGCCGTACCCTTGTACCCAGAGTGCCAGGGGAAGTACGTACCTGGCAGCCTGACAGGCCGGAGCTCGGCACCTGCAAGCATGACATGCACAGTGGATCCCGGCCGTTTTTGGTACTCCCAGCCTCTTGATATCCAAATGTTACCTGGGAGACCAGCCACCCGTAAACACCAGCAGGAATAGCTGGGCAAATCCCACAGTAGACGGTCAATCAATTTATTTTTCTGCATCCGCTTCCTACCTGCCCGTCATCCGTGCTGTTCCACATAGGATCTGAGCTGTGTGTGTGTCATGCTGCACGTGTTGCATGTGTTGATCTGCCACTGACACTTTTGGTGGGCTGGTGCTGCTACACACTACCTACTACTGTAGACCATCGACCTTCCCGTCGGCTAACCGAGTCTCCGCACTTTTCTCCAGCAAAGTTACTCAAGTACACACACATACTTCAGGATCTGAGCCATGGCGCCAGAGCGGTCTTCCAGGCACCGCGAGTCTGGTGAGAGGAGACACAAGAGCCGCCACTCCAGACCCCATCATCATGCCTCCGGTTCAGACGGCACAAGATCTGGCAATAGCTCTCGTCAGGCCCTGTCGATGGATGCCCTGGCGGCACTGAACGACGCCAACGTCCAAGGTTTCAGTACTCGGGATGCCGAGGAGGAGGCCGAGAGAAGGCGGCGTCAGGAGCGTCATGAGCGCCGGGAGAGGCGAAGACGAGAGCAGCGGGCCAGCGCCGCCCGGGATGAGTATGAAGCCGTCGAGCAAGACAGCCCACGAGGGCACCGGACACGGCAATCACGGCAATCACGGCAATCGAGGTCCTCTCAGCCGCCACCACCCCGTTATGAGGACACGGACGCCGACTTGAGCCATCACAGAGACTCGAGAGACAGGAGAAAGCATCGCTCTTCCAAGGCGCATGGGCAATCACGGGACGCTTACCGAGATGACGAGGAGGAGGAGAGGTATCGACAAGAACGCAGGGAACGCAAGCGTCAAAAGAGAGTGGTCGCCAGCGCTGCGGCACCCGTGGAGGCCCAGCCCAAATCCGGGGGATTCTGGCACCACCTACGCGGTGGTGGAACGAATACGTCAAGCAGCTACGATGGCTACGACGACAAAGAAGGCGCGTATGGCGGCGAACGACAAAAGAAGCGCTTCTGGACCAGAAAGAGAATATGTAAGTTTGCTCCTGGGTCGTGGCTGACTGTGTAACTAACATGCCCAGTGATTGCTGCCGCATCATCATTCGCCATTGTCCTCATTATCGTCATCGCGGCAGTAGTAGTGAGCAAGAAGAACTCCGGAGGCTCTGGATCTGGCTCGGGCTCGGGCTCGAGCTCCAGCTGCCTCAAATGCAACTTGCCGGAACAGGGTAGCATACCCAGCGGCGCTCCAGACTACCTGGATCCATTCCAGTGGTACGATACCATCGACTTTAATGTCACCTACACAGATGTGCTGGTAGGCGGCCTACCCATCATGGGCCTGAACTCAACGTGGGACGACTCAACCGCGCCAAACAGCGTCGTGCCGGCCCTGAATGAGAAATGGGGCTCTTATACGGACCGGCCTGCCCGTGGCGTCAACCTGGGAGGCTGGCTCTCGCTTGAGCCTTGGATCACACCGGACATGTTTAACTACGACCAGAGCCTGGGCATCGTGGATGAGTACAATCTGTGCAAATACCTCGGTTCGAGTTGTGCTTCCACCCTGGAGAAGCATTACTCATCCTTTGTCACCGAATCGACCTTTGCCGAGATCGCCGACGCAGGACTCGACCACGTCCGCATACCATTCTCCTACTGGGCCGTCCAGACTTACGACGACGACCCGTACCTCTTTCGCACGTCCTGGCGGTACCTCCTCCGCGGGATCGAGTGGGCCCGCAAGTACGGCCTCCGCATCAACCTCGACCTGCACGGCATCCCCGGCAGCCAGAACGGGTGGAACCACAGCGGGCGCCTGGGGCCGATCGGATGGTTCAACGGGACCAACAGCACGCAGAACGTCCAGCGCTCCGTGGACGTGCACGACCGGCTGTCCAAGTTCTTCGGGCAGGAGCGGTACCAGAACATCATCTCGCACTACGGGCTGTGCAACGAGCCCAAGATGACGGTGATATCCTCAACCGAGGTGATGAACTGGACCGAGTCCGTGTACAGCATGGTGCGCGCCAACGGCGTCAAGAACGCCATCGTCGTGTTCGGCGACGGCTTCCGCGGGCTGGGCAACTGGCAGGGCGAGATGACGGGCTACGGGGACAACATGGCGCTGGACGTGCACCAGTACGTCATCTTCAACAACCAGCAGATCGTCTACAACCACACCGAGAAGGTCGAGTACGCCTGCCGCGGGTGGACGGAGCAGACCGAGACCTCCATGGACACGAGCACCGGGTTCGGCCCCACGCTGGTGGCCGAGTGGTCGCAGGCCGACACCGACTGCGCCACGCACCTCAACAACGTCGGCTGGGGCAACCGCTGGACGGGCACCTACGACACGGGCAACGCGAGCGACCCCCTCCAGGCGCTGACGCCCCGGTGCCCGACCGAGGACAGCTCGTGCTCCTGCGCCAGCGCCAACGCCGACCCGAGCGACTACAGCAGCGACTACAAGCAGTTCCTGCTCTACTTTGCCGAGGCGCAGATGGACAGCTTCGAGAGGGGCTGGGGCTGGTTCTACTGGACCTGGTGGACGAGCCAGGGATCGTGGCAGTGGAGCTACAAGAGGGGGATGCAGGCAGGCATCCTGCCCAAGAAGGCCTACGACCGGACCTTCCACTGCAACTCGACAGAGATACCGAATTGGTACCCATCTTTGCCCGAGACTTACTAGTCGGCGGCGAGCATGGACGGCGATTGGTCGTCAAGAACTCGACTTCCAGGTGGCCTTCTCGGTAATGAGCCTGATGGGATCGGGCTGTATATGAGTGATGATCGGGGTGGAATGATGTGGTTCATGGCCGTCTATTATCTTTACATGGCATTGCACACGGCGTCGGTCACGGAGGGATGGATCACAGGGTCGTCTTCACGTTCCTCCGAAGCATTTTTGTACATAAACAACCTGAAGAAACAACTTTAATTATGGAATACAAAGTACATAGGTTCCTCTTCGAAAGCTGAACAAATGGCCCAGTAGTCGATCGTACGTTCCGCATTAATTCTTGCACAAACATGACAGGATTGGGAGGTGGCAAGATATGGGCAGTGTAATGTGACAAGCAAAGCGAGTCGTCCTGGTTCGCTACAGCAGGTTCCACGTGGGGATTCCCAAAGCAAGACGATACTATCCTTGTATTCTGTTTGGGATTAATTATGTTCAGGGAACATTCAAGATGTCAGGATACGTCAAATGTTGTGGAAGCATCAAATTCCTTATATTTCTTAACATCGCAGTACTAATTTGGGTAGACTCGTAGTGCATTCTGCACTGGGCGCATCGTGCCCATCGAGTATTTGCGACAGGATGAGCCCAAGTCCGCCTAGATGCCATTGGCTGGCGTGGACAAAATCATGGACTCGCACCTGGATGTGGGCGGCACCGTTTGGTAGTGGCCATACCTAGATCTGTTTCTGTCAACCATATGCCCAGTGAATGTGCTTTAAGTATGACTGAGAATGAAGAGGGGGGTGATATCAGTTCGTGGAGCCTCTGTCAAAGGCGGTTTCATCAAGGCGTTTTGCTATGAAGACCGTCGTGATAAAATTTTATGATCATCATTTTGTCACAGGGGAAGGGACGCGTAGAAGATTAGCAACTTACTACTGTAAACATGTCAACAGCATCGAATGGCAGATGCCCATGTGAGCCCGAAGATTTCACTGTTTTTCTGGTGTCGTTGTTAGCGACATTTCCACTCGGTACATGCGAGGAAAATGAGATTTGAGCCTGGTATTCAGTAGTGACTGTTATCATCTGCGCTCGAAAGCTCTGACATATGCTTGTCATTGTTTTTTGTCAGGTCATCATTAATAAGGTGCAGAGAGTGGCTGACTCTTGTGCTTGGCCGACGGAAAGAAATGAGAATGTACCTACCGGGTGGAAATGCCACGGTGAGGCGAGTGCAAAGGTCTACCTACTTCAACAACGTTAGCAAGCTAAGCTTCTCGGGCTTGTGTGCAAAATTGTGCAATTTGGTGTCTCTGTCAGGAAATGCATGAATGGTAGGTTAAATATGTTGTCTGCATCGGAAACCCGAATAAGACTCGTCATCTAAAATCATCAGGGAAACGGAGAAGGGTGTCTAAAGCGGAAGAAAGAACGCACTGTCTTCAGTGAGAACGATCAGGTCTCATCAGCGCATGGCGAGCCCCAAGAAGCTCCCGGGCCAACGCCTGGCGAAAACTATCACCTGTGGCATGTTGGTCCACGGCCAGTCGCGCTCAACGGTATCACAGATCTGGGTTGCGACCATGTCAGCGAAGGTGATCACTTGTGGTCCTTTCAGCCCGTGGTGTCGGTTCAATTCAGTGGACGAGGTTTTCTAGGCCTGTCGCAAAAATGGCATATCTGCTCATGAAAATATTTCGGAGCCCAGTGCCGTTTCATCAGGATGAATGCTGAGGAGGACAGACGGAAGTGGTCGTACCCTGCAAGCAAATATAGTCGGGCCTGATATCCAAGTCAGCACGTCGCGCAAAAACAAGAGATCGACAGAATATCATAATCGAGACGGTAATCAGAAACAGCCATTTTTTGTCGTCAAAGAATTCTCAGTCGGTAATTCCAACTTGCCGAAGCAAAGTAAATGTTCATCATGTAAAGGATCGTCGGAGAAAGGAACAGGTTGACATACCGTCGCGATGGACGCCCGACGCAGGCAGAGTTGAGGATCACGGAGGCATGTCGACGTGGGAGAGAACTCGAGCACTACTTTTCAAGACGTTAGCTTCAGGTCGCAGACATTGGCAGTGTGGTTGTTGAAGCGCAAGTCGTGCTGAATTTCAGACTGACGTTACAATTGCAGTTTCATTCCTTTAAGGTCAAAGACTCTAGTTTGCGGTTATGGTGTTGTCATCAGGAAGACGGCGGGGAGAAGAAGAAATGTGCTCGCTTACCTCGAGTTTTGCACGCGATGCGCGTGGTTGATGTTGGGAAAGGGAAGAGATCAACTGCAGAGACTTTTTTTCTTGCCGTTTTGAAGCAAGTCGGCGGAGCCAGGTGGCCCAAGCTCCAACGCCGTTTTGCGGGGCGCTGGTCAGCTGAGTTGGCGTTTGGCCGCGACGACTCAACCGGCTGTCATTGCATCACCACGCCGCACTGAATCGCGTCGCCCTCGCTGAAGCGTAAATCGGTTCTGAGGACCAACACCACAGAAACCAATAGACCATAATGCCTGAAATCGCAGAGGGTAAGCCAATTTGAGTCATATTGTCCCCCACAACCGGAATATTGCTAATCTAATACTTCTAGTCGCGAGGTGTGTGCATTTCCTCCGCCAGCACCTGGTGGGCAAGAGGATCTCCAAGATCCAGGCTGTCGACGACAACAATGTCTTTGGCAAGGTCGGTACGAGTGGCGCAGCATTTGAGAAGGCACTGAAAGGCCGTACTGTGAGTGGGCCCACTGCGATGCCCTTCATGCAGACCAGGTCCTGAGTCCCATGCAGGTCCAGGCGGCTGGTAGTCAAGGCAAATATTTCTGGCTTCAGCTTGACCAAGCGCCACACCCTGTGATGCATCTAGGGATGACTGGTAAGTGGCAAACCATATCGAATGCTTGGGGGAATAGAAGTCAAACTGACGGGCAAAGGCTGGGTCCATATTCAGAATGATCGCACTGCGTACACCAACTACTACAAGAAAATGAACCCAGAGGAACAAGAGCAGTGGCCACCAAAATACTGGAAGTTCCAACTGGAGACGGAGGGAAGCCCAGCAGTCCGCATAGCTTTTACTGATCCCAGACGGTAAGCTCTTCTTCAGAATGATCGGCAGCTCAAGGAGGACAGGCAGACTTGCTATGCTGTCCATGCGATCACGATTCAATTCCCGAATCATTGCCCGTTGTGGAGATACGACTGTGTTCAACATCGAACTAACCCTGCATGGCCATTATTCATACCGAAGCATCGCGCGTTCATGACTGACAATTTGTCTAGGTTTGGACGTGTCCGCCTCGTCGACTATCCCGGTGACCAGATACGCAAGACCTCGCCTTTGGTGGAGAATGGACCAGACCCTGTAGTCGACAAGGACGTATTTACGGAGCAGTATCTGAGAGACAAGATGCGCAAGAAGCATGTGCCTCTCAAGGCTTTCATTTTGGACCAGGCCATGATCAGCGGTATTGGGAACTGGGTTGCTGATGAAAGTCTATACCAGGCAAGGCTGCATCCGGAACAGTACTGCGACGATTTTTCAGACGAGGAGATCAAGCGGCTTCACGATTCCATCACAGATGTCTGTCAGACAGCTTGTGACTTGCTCGCCGACTCGGACCAGTTCCCCGACCATTGGCTCTTCAACCACCGATGGGGCAAGGGCAAGAAAACGTCGAGCGCGCTACCCAACGGAGAGAAGTTGGCTTTCATCACGGTCGGCGGGCGCACAAGCTGCTATGCGCCGAGCCTGCAGAAGAAGACCGGTCTTGTCGCTCCGGGCATCAAAGAAGAGCCACTTGAGAAGGGCGACTCTGAGGAGAAGCCAAAGAAGTCCAGGGCTAAGAAGCCGAAGGTACAAGAAGCAAATGATACTGGAGGACCTGCGAAGAAGACGAACGCCAGGAAAGCCCGGGCCCAAACTGCGGATGATGACGACGACCAGCGGCCGCGGAAGAAGACCAAGGCGAAGAATGACGACGTGAAGAAAGAGCCTACGACCTCGAAGTCGAAGACCACCAGCAAGACGAATGGAGCCGCAGCTGAGAGCGATACAGGCAGAAGACGATCGGCAAGGCTCAGCAGAGGTGCCTAGAGATCGGCTTGCGGTTCTGGTTGATGACGAACCCCTCCTGGAAAGGACGAGTATCGCCGAACACCGAGGCGCGTCATACTTCTGGGGCTCCTTTTCTCCAGGACAAGGCTTCAAAGAGCTCTTCCAATTGTCAACCCAAGGCCTAGACGTCGGGATTAGAGTTCTTGTGCAAGTCGAGGCCTGTGACGAAGACTGAGCCGGGGCGGCGGAGTCTGATGGTTCTTTATTTCTCGTGTGCCGTCCTGCGAGCTCAAATTCGAATTCAACTACTTTACGAATCATCACTTCGCCCCTTGAGCACTACCCTGCGCCCCGTCAAGTTGACGATCTCAGAACTTACATGTGCATCCATCCTCGAGGCCAAAGGGCATATGATACCCTTCGGCTCAACACGTGTCCTTAGGTTCAATGTATCATATGGCCGATGAGAACCTACGGCTCAGATGGAATATCCGGCGGGAAAGTACCAAACTGCGCCATAAGATACGCTTGATCCGCCTCATCTAACTTCACGTCATCCTCCGTTCCCTGGGCCAGCATCCGGAAATCTGCAACCGTATCAGCCTTCCTAACTTGCATAGTCATGAACTTCGTGCCAGACTCACAGTCGATGTAGTATCCCGGAGTGGCAGTCATGTAAAGCTCGGCCTCCTCCGTTTTTGAGGCATTCTCGAAGTTATGAATAGCCCGGGGAGGCACGACCATCAGATCACCAGGCGAGACTAGGACTGGGTCAGCAACTTGTCTGCCTCACTGCAAGACCTGAACGGGGCTTTCGGGGTAGCCACTTGCCGTCAAGGCTCCCACCGGGGACAATGAACCGGACAGTCCCTAGGCCACAGCACGTCAGCAATAACTCAATACTTTGCAGTGGACCACCGCACCCTTTGTCACGAAGAACAGCTCGTCGTGGAACCGATGCCAGTGCATGGGCGGGCCTGAGACGCCAGGCGGGATCATCAAGAGCACTGCGCCAACGCGGTTGTCTGTGTGTGATCCGTCCTCGAAGACATAGCAGGTGATTGGACCGAGCGTGAGGACCTCGGCGTCGTCCTTGCGATACAGCTTCACGGGCGCCGGGCCGCGGTTGGGGGGCATCCTGAGTCCGTTGTGCCAAGACGGCCGGTATAGCAAGCAAGGGGGAGGGGATATGCAATTATTCTGAAAACTTAAAATCCCTATGAGCTGTCGTCTTGGTTTACCATCGCGTAGGCTTCGAGCTCGCTTGAGGATGTGCGGTGACACACGCATGTGTTTTTGGACTATCTCCTGGAATGCATGTGAGTGTTTCGTCCGACCTCCCCTAGCCGCCCGGTTGCTTGCGCTTTGACTTGACGGTAAACCGCACATGTCTAATACGGAGAGATGACGTCGTTCTGATAGTGATTGTTAATTGACAGTGCTCAATGTGCCTGTTTGTTGATAATTGGATGGCTCCTTGGACCATGGAATGGCAACGCAGGGTGAGAAGCACATCGCTCGCGATCCTTACTCAACCCTGTGAGCTCGGTATTCGCCCGCTTCTGAGCACTCACCATCCTCTAAGGAGCAGAAATCAGAAATAAATTTCAACAAGCGAGACCCTGGTGGTCGTAAACCAAATGGCGTTCATCTTGTGGAAGGAGAAGCATGTGCTGATAGGCGGAGGACATCCCTTATCTTCCTGGAAGTGCTGCTGTTGACGAGACGTTGGATCTGCACGCATGGCATCCTGCCTAACCCAAACAGAGTGTCTCATTAACCTCGCGTGGAGAACTGGCGTGATTTTCGTGAGGGTGCAGAAGCCTGTTCAAAAGCTACTCACGGATGCCAGAACCCAAGGAAGCAGATGCAGCTCCATGCCCGGTAGAGTGCCTGAGCACTCTAAACTGCCGGGTAGTACTTGGTTGTGCTGGCATAGCAAGGCTCGTGGGCTCTGCACCGCTTGGTAGGCGAGCAAGTACGCATGCGGTGACTGAAGAGCCATGCCGATATTGGGAGGGGGTTCAGCCGCTGCAACGGCGCGCGGCAGATGGCCAAATGGAAGCCCATTACGGCAGTGGCGTCGTTGTCGTCGCCGCCGCCGCCGAAACTGGCGCCTCTCTGCTCCGTGGGCCTTTCACACGACCACGAGAGGACGTGGCAACGAGCTCCCTGCGCCCGGATAATGACCAAGTGCCAGGCACGATACTCATCATGTCTGAGCAAGAAGCGACACAGCACATCAACAAATGAACAAGAAAATGGGTAGATCGGGAAGACTTCCGGGTCAATGTCCCGGCAACCGGGTGAGGCTCGCCGGAAGCAGGCATCCGGACAGCCCCCGCTGGATATCCACCCTGATGTCGACGTCGTCTCCGCTGCGAACTCTATCGGAGGGGACAAGCCTGCCAGGGAGAAACACAGCCCACTCATTGAGACAATTCCTTGGGTTCAACAACCGGCCCCGGGACTCTCGATTGACGTCGTCGGAGACGAGAGACATCATCGCGAAGGATGTGGGTCGCCGAGTGAATCTTTAGATTCTAGCAGGTTTCCGTATGGTTGTGGGGATAGTCCAAGCAATCCACCAGGCAGGTTTGAGAAATATTTGAATTATGACTTCCGATGCTCTCTGGTAGATAGATGATGTGTCTATTTTAAACTTGACCCGACAACTTGAGAGCTCGGATGATGACGCACCTTCCTAAGGTACGTAGGTGGGCATAGCTGTGACTCGTTCTATAGGGAATGCATGCGGGAGTTGATCACTCAGAACGTGAAATGGGTATCGTTCGTGCCTAATAGCGCTATGCCTAAAAGCAAAATGTGCCTGCGTGCAGCAATGGGAACAACCGAAATGCTGAGCCCGAAGCCCCCAAAATGAACTCCTTGAATGCTGCTGTACTGTGATGCCGGACTGCCTCAAAGCAGATATGCCCGCTGAACTCCTGTGTTGCGTTTATCTTTCCCACCGAAGCCAAACTGCCCAAGCGGCGATGTGTGAAAAAAAAAAAAAAAAAAAAAAAAAAAAGGCAGGAACGCCGTTATGAATGCCCCGTGACATATGAGATGACCTGCTTGTTGCCTTGTTTATCCAATCTGCTTGACACCGAGACCGAGATAGTGCAAATGAAAGCCAGAGTGAGACATGGTAGTACGCCTCCCGTTTCGTAGTGTTGTTTGATGAGCGTGCTCCAGGCCGAGACATGGTGTTTGCAATTTATTCCTTCTGATGCTGGAACCCAACCGAGTATCGGAACTCTTGGGTGTCCCATTGTATCGGGATGATGGTGAGGATGTTGACGAATGGTCTGCCGTCCTTCTTGAAGTTCGTGATCTCAGTCTGGTGCTCCTTGTTGGTCTTGACGGCCTCGCGCATCTCCTTGATCGTCCTGTGGTCGACGTATTTGCGGGCTGAGCGTGGCTTGACGTTCCCCCCAGGTGCCTGCAGGAAGCGGCAGTTCTTGCCCCTGATGTCGTTCATCCGGTAGCCCGTCATCTCCATGAAGGGATCTGAGGCGTAGACGATGGGGGCGTCGGGCAGTGCCAAGTCGCAGACGAGGAGCGCGACGGAGCAGTCGATGGGGCCCAGGTCGATCTGTGGGTTGGGCCTGGCGAAGATGCGGAACAGGACTGTCATGACGTCCAGCCCGCTCGGGGCATAGAGCCCGGGATAGATCAGAGGATCCGAAGTGGTGGATTTTTCAGTGCATTGTGCGACTTGAGCCTCTGTCGACGTGCCGTTCTGTGTGAATCGGTACTGTAGACTTGTGTGTTAGTATACTTGTTTCTTCTGATGGTATGGCCGAGGGACCATCATCAAGAGCCAGTAATCCTACCTCTAGTGCGCATGATTCCCAAGGATTCATCGTCGTGGAGTGGGAAACAGGGGTTGGAGAAGGAGACGGGACTTGGTCACGGCGACACAACATCTTCCAATTCCAACGCAGTGGAGCGAAAGGGTAAGAGTAGGGAGGAGAGGAGAAAAGCGTGCCCTCTAAAGGAATCTACGGAGACATTGGGAACCTGTCGGATAGGCACTTGCCCAGTTGTGAGAGTAGTGCACGTAAGAGATCGAGATCACAGCAGAAGCTCACATAACCCGCAACTCCGAGAGTTTGAGCACCAGGTTAGACGGAAGAGGGACAGAGAGATGGAGAGATCGTGGAGCGGGCTAGAGCTTCATCCGGTAATCGTGTGTTAGTATGTACTATGTAGACTACTGTGCGGTGTGGTGGGCGGATGGGCTGCCGACGGGATGGGAAAGTCGAGCGGCAACAAGCGAAATGGGTCCCGAAATGCGATCGCATTTCGATGGCTGGACCGGCATCTGCCATGATCGCGGCAAGATCATGTAGGCCGAGCGATCGGGGCCGCAGCAGCAAACATGGAATAATCAGTATAGTCTACCACATACACGCTAGCACCGAGCAAGGCCCCAGCCTGCAAATCAGCCTAGCTCTGAGTAGAAGTCGCCCTCTTCTTCCCCCCGTGCCCCCTTCTGCACCCGCATCCACTTTCTCGTTATTGCTTTGCTTTCTCTGTGCTGTGCATGCGAGCACGCTGCTTCCAGGTGACAAGGCAGGGATGTGTCTCGTGCTGTGGGTGGCGGATGGCTTGACGGACAACTTTATTGTCACCCGTCTCTAACTAGGAAACAGACAGCCGCGGAACGGCTTGACGAGCTCACAGTTGCGGAATTAGTCAGGGCGGGAAAAGTGAGCTGATCACGGTGTCAGCTGGACAAAGCATTGACAGAAGCACGCAGGAAACCCCCTGGGGCGGGTTGACGGAACCGGGCGGATTGACATCGTGGCCCAGGCTGACGGGGAGTCGATGAGTGACGATCGTCGTGGAGGGCAGACGTCGTTCAGATCTGGAGCTACTGCCGTATCCTGCCTAGCTGGGCTGCCCAGGATCCAGAGGGGGGGGGGGCGATCTGTACGGACGTTCCGCCGGTCAGGTACGATAAAATAGTGGGGCAACCCGCTCAGAGACTTGGAGAACAGCGATGTCAAGCCGATCGAGCAACAACGGTCGCCTGCTGCCCAGCCTCACGTCTCGTGAAGATTCACTGATATCTGCTGTTAAACGGTACATGACAAGCAAAAACACACCTCATCTGATCTATGCGAAGCCACATCTTAAAACCGTTCCGGCTGTCAGGGAAAGAGCGACACATCACTGCATGTGGCCGCACGCCCGGGGGGCCGGACACATGGGATACTTGGCATACTACGGCGCAGTACATGGCCGCCCACCTAAGCTACTACGGCAACCCAAGTCTCCGGAGACGGGCTGCTGAGTCGTTTGGCCCCTGGGACATTCCGCCCTCCCCCTGTCTCTCACCCTGTGCGACCACCCCCCTACTTGTTGCTTTTCGCGGCAGCACGACGCCATAGCCCCTCATTCTCGAACTGCCTTCAGGAGTTTATACTCCGTCGCGGGCGTCCAGGCCCAAGCAATGAGGCTCAAGTGGTAGGCAGACGGCTTGCCGTCCTCACCCCACAGCTGGTCCTCGGAGATGTCGTCGTCCCCCCCAGGCGCGAGCTTGCTCAGCGCAGTCGTCCTCGCCTTGTCCCAGTCGGCTTCTCCCGGCTGGCTCTCGTCCACCAGCGTGTTCGCGAGGCGCTTCCTGGGCTCAAGCTCGACGTACATATCGGCAAAGGTGGTGTCGACGCCCTTGGCCTTCTTCAGCAGCGGAAGCACCGTCTCCATGGTCTTCTTTCCCAGGACGGGCTTGAACTCGCGCTGCTCGGACTTGGCCTTGGGATACGTCTCCTTGAGCCACTTCTCAAACACGGCTTGGGCTGCCTTGATGTCATCTGTCTTCTTGGGATGGTGCTTGGCCCTGTTGAACATCGTGTTGATGGTCTGACGCTGGTCTACGATGTTTCTGGTCAGCACGTGTGCCCCACAGCACGGCAGCATTCCCAAAAACAGTCACGAATGACATCTCTTCCGAGGGGGCCGTGCCGTCCCTTAGTTGCTGCTGCTCCAGAACCCCGTACTATGACATATGCACGATAAATCGCGTGGACCTGTCGAGCTGCCTTTCCCGGGGCGTTTGCACACAGACAGTGGGACCACCCAGGTAGCTTACCACCTGACGGGTTGCCACCCAAGGAACAGAGTTCAACGGACCAAGGTATTTGACACCTGCACTTGACAGGTTGAGGGGCTAATGAAGAGAGGGTTGCTTACAGGTCAGGCTTCTCTTGGAAACAAGTTCGATGGTCTTATTTGCCGTCTCCACATCTTTAAAACCCGTCCCCTTGAGTGTAGTCTCCGGATTATCATCAGTGTCTATGTGACAATAAGGTTAGTAACCTTTTGAACAGGGAGGTAAGAGTGGCGCGAATGTGGCTTGGTAGGCGAGAGTTACGCTCTTTCAATTACATAAACCTTAAATCCAACGAGGGACGGAGCGACAGTCATTTGTGCGTTAGACCATACTTACACAGATGCGACTGCTTCGGATCTTTGGAGGACTGGCCTTCCTTTCCATCCTTCTTGCCACCCTTCTTGGACAGTGGGTCGGCCCGGTTGTTCTGCTTCTTCGAGGGTGCTTTGGCCATTTTGTTGACACTGAGCGGTGTTGCTGGGGCTGATACGGATGGGTGTAAGGTGCAGCTGTGGCTGAGAACAAATGTTTTCACAACGCTGCCCTGCCGAGTTGATATAACAAAACAGGTACTGGCGGTGCCTGTGCGAGGCAACGGGGCGCCTGAAAGCGGTCAATATCTTTTTATTATTACCATGAGAAGCCCCTGGCGTTTATGTGCAGGGTACTGGCAGCCCCTTCGTCATGAATGGACGGCCTCTCTGGATGCCCACAAACGGAGCCTGTTCCAGAGTCGACAAAGGCGGCTTTGATTAGCTGCCCATGGCTGAGGTTGGGGCTTTTGATGTCATAGCTGCCCAGGCACTGGTGGGCAGACACCAAGGGGGAGCTCCAGCCTGCAGGGTTGCATGGTCCTTTTTTAGCCAACGCGTTCGAAGCTTACAGGTCTAGGTGCAACGACGCGACGCGCTTGCACCCTGGAAAGTTCCCCACTGATGATCGGCCTTAACTTATCGCAGAAACACCGCGATTCCTGGCATTAAGGCGCCAAATGACCATTCAATTCGTACCGCTCTGTTAGTCACTCCGTCGCCTTGCCGGTGGCAGATTTTCTTTCGCCACAATATCCATCTGGAGGGCGAGACGCGCACGCGAAGCCCTCCCCGCCAAACCCTCGCAGCCAAAGCACCCAAATTCCCATCCCACCGATCCACACCTCACAATGCTCGGCTCCCAGCGACGTCCAGGGCGCCCTGCAAATCACCGGCCGCGACAGTCTCGGCCCAACCAGCACGACTCCCTGGACCTCCCGCCGTACGAGCCACCGAATTGCCCTCTCACGGACGACCACAAGCGCCAGCTGCACGATTTCTGCACGGGCCGCATCAACGACACATACGAGAAGCAGATAGCCCAGTCCGCCCAGCTTCTCAGCCAGAGTGTATACGGCATCAACGAGCGGGTGACGAATCGTAGGAAGACAGCCGCGCAGAATGCAGAGAGGGCCGCCAAGAGGAAGCACGGCGGCGACGACGGGGAGGGCGACGACGAGGCCGCCGCCGCCGCCGAGAGGGCAGAGGGCGAGGTGCGGGAGCTGGAGGGGGAGGTCCTCGACCTGGCCACTCAGATCGAGGAGGCCATGAGGGAGGCGCTCGACATGCAGGCTACGGTGGAGGACGAGAAGAGCACCCTGAGGGGGCTGCCCGAGCTGGTGGTGGCGCGGCAGCAGGGCGTCGTGGAGCAGGCACAGCAGGACCGGGAGGCCGACGAGGAGGACGCCGACCCTCCCGAGATCCCCGGGGTGCCCCTATTCGACGTCCTCAGGGAGGCGTGCGGCGCCAAGGCCGCGGAGTACGACAGGCTGAGCCCCTACGACAAGTACGCGGCCAATAACAAGTACATCGACTTCAGGCAGTCGTGGCACGAGGGCCTGTACCAGAACCCGGACGACATCCCGCTCCCCGATGCGACGAGGTGGTTCGACCGGGACGGCCGGCCCAGGCTCGAGACCCGCAGGGACGAGCATCGGGTTGATGCCGATGGGGATGAGGATATGGATGGCGACGAGGACGACGACATACAGATTGCGCGCGAGAAGAGGAGCTTCAGGTGTCCGCTCTCGCTCGCGGTGATACAGGAGCCGTACACGTGCAGGCTGTGCAAGCACTTCTTTGAGAAGAGCGCCATCACGGAGTACATCAAAGGGGGCAACGGTAGGGGCCGAGTGGCTCAGTGCCCGGTGCCTGGTTGCCACGTCGAGGTGAGTCCACCCTGTCGCCGCGCGTTTCTACCTCGATTGACTGACTGACTGACACTGCCCGCCAGAATATGACGCTTCAGGACCTCTACTTCGACGAGGTGCTACTGCGCAGGATCAAGCGCGCCGAGCAGGCGGAAAGGGAAGCGGAAGCGCGGTCCTCAGATCAGGAGGAAGAGGACGACGAGACCATAGGGGGAGACGAGGAGGGAGACTCGCGTATCAGCCGTACCAGCCGTGCGAGCATGGCCAAGAGGGTCAAAGCAGAGCGTCGTGGAGGCGACGAGGATGAAGCTGATGATGACGGTTCAGCGTAAGGGGCGCCCAGGCAGACTTGGACCTTGCTTGGCTTCGACAGAGGCCGGAACATAATGATACCCACACTATTTTGCATCACTTTGGTGCTCTTACGCTTCACTTGAAAGTCCCCCGGCTGCAACCCCACAGGCACAGGGTGCCAGACACGTCAGGGCACCAGGCTTGAGAAAGATTGCTCGACATCTTCTCATGACCGAGCTAACTGCAGCTGCCCTTCACTCATCTGAACGGATGGCAAGCCACAGAACAGATCGTCGTAAGTCGCCGAGTGTGATGTGAGATATCTGTTTTGTTTTTGAAATATCAGGCTGTGGGCCACTTCGGAGTAGGTCTCTGAGGGATGGCCTCTAGTAGGTAACCTTCTCTGGGGCGTTCTCCTTGGGATGATTACCTAGGACAAGAAACCTGGAATAACCCACTTCGTGCTCCCTTCGATGGGTTAACCTCTAATGGTTCAACCTTCTATAGTTAACCTCCCGTGGGAGAATCTCCCGTGGGATAGTCTCCTATAGGACACCCTCCTGTGGGATAGTCTCTTATAGGATTACCCCCCTGTGGGATACCTTCCTGTCGGATACCCTCCTGTAGGACACCCTCCTACAGGATATTGTCCTGTGGGATAATTTCCGTGTGGGAACCTTCTTCTGGGATGAATTGTTGGTATAGTCAGTCTGAGTGGTGGATATCTTAAAAGGTTCGAATGCATATTCCCGGTCCAGCCCACATCAATTGAAAGAAATCCTCTGCCCGACTCCAAGCTATGCTCGCAATGATCCCCATTCATACACCTGGCATGGTAGCAAGCCCAATACTGTACACCAGACTGATCGTATTGCTAAAACGTGCCTGACTCCCAAATCCACCTTTTTTCTAGACTGGGAGGTCTAACAACCTCCGGAGCAGTCGCTTCTTCTTGGTATTGTTCCTGGGTTCCAGTCATTCCTTTCGACACTTCCTCCCAGTTAACCAGACGACCCGACAGTCGAGCGCCGCCATATCACCAGAGCCGCGATTGCGGCGCAGGCGGTCGCGCCCAACGCAACATACAGACTCGTCATATCCGGGGGCGGCTCCTCACTCTTCGGGAAGCCGGAGCTGGGGTTCGTCGCAGCCTCGGCCAGCGCGACGAAGAGCTCGCTGATGCTCTCCCACGTGACACTCACATGGAGCGGGGTGGGCATCATCAGGCCGTGGGTGTACGCATCAGGCTGCATCTCGCAGCGCTGCGTGGTCTTGTCCTTGTCGGCCTTGAGGGCTACATAAATAGAAGGCAGCTCGTCGAGCTGCGGAAACTTCTGGCGGAGCTCGACGATGTGGGAGAACGAGTCCGGATCTGATGAGTCGTACGTGTAGCAAAGGAGGTCGCAGGCATCGAGCTTCGCGCGGTTTTCGAGAATGGCAGGCTCGAGCTCGCCAAGCTCCTCGAGGATGAGGTAGCATTGCTTTCCACCCTGAAGCTCGACGCTGTTGACAGCCCGCCTGGGCTTGATGGTAGGGCGGTGGAGAGCGTCAAAGGGCCGGCTTAAGAAGGCGTCCATGAGAGACGACTTCCCAGCCCCTGATGCGCCGAGGACATAGCACAACACAACGCCTCGCTCGACCCGGCCTGGTCGCTTCCTACGCTTCCGTGCCTTGGTTACCTTTAACGCGCTAGTGATCGACTCCTTGGGGTTCGAGGCCTCGAAGCCAAGATAGGCCAGGTACTCAAGCGTCGTCTTTGGCTCAAGGAAGGTAGTCATGCTCCACTGTGCGAGCCAGCCCTGCAGCGTGATGTGTCCGGCTTCATTGCGGACTGTGGGTGAAGGGAAAGAAGCGTCGGTCCATGACTGGGGTAGGCCGGGTGTGGGGCGAAACAATGCCGCCAGTTCCTCGCTGTTGAGTCCCCCGTCATTGTCCTTGTCGAAGGCTATAAAGAGGTCTACGAAGAAGCGATATCCGGCAGGGCTCAGCTCCGCCGAGGCGTATTCGGGGACATCAAACTTAGGACGGAGGAAGTTGTCCTCCAGACTGAGGCTGTCAGTGTAGTGGTGCTTCCGCAAAATGATCCATATCGTCTCGTGCCGGCCCTTCTCGGCGTACATCCTATTCAGGCGGAGAAACCCTTCCAAATCTACACCTTTCTCCAGGTTGGTGCCGGGCGACACCTTGCTGACAGTCAATTTGATGTTGTCCAGGTCTTCCTGCGACAAGGGCCGCTCGAAAGACTTGGCCTGGAAATCATGCATCTCCTGGTCGTTGAGGTAGCCGTCCTGGTCCTTATCGCTCAGGTAGAATATCCTCCGTAGCGCTGATGCACAGGCAGGCTTGAGGTTGCCTTCTTTGTAATCGAAGAGCGGTGCAATCGGGTGGGTAACGGCCTTCTGGCAGAGGAAGAAGACCTCGTTCACATTGCGGTGCTCCCGGGCACTCGTCCTGATGCAGGAGTCAATCTCACGGAACTCGTGCATTACGGGCAGTATCTCCTCGTCGACAACCTGGGCTGTATTGCCATCTCCCGTCAGGTCCGACTTGTTCGCGCACAGCACAACAGGGACATTGACGCCGAGGGAGCGGAAATAGGGCATCCAGAAGAGCGCAACCCTCTCGTAGCTGTAGTGGTCGGAGTAGACGAGGAGTATGACATTGGACTTTCTGATCTCTTTCCGCAGGGTGTTGCGATCCTGCGGGCGCGCAGATGTGTCGACGATGGTGGTAGTGACGTTCTCTGGGGTCCCTATACTCGGCGGGAGGGATATCTGGGGCAGGACGGCCTGTGTATATGCAAAGGTCAGCGGGGCTGTCGGGTGGACTGGGAGACTCCGGCACGAATGGCCATAGAAAGGGCCGACAGCCACTCACTTGGATCTTGTTGGAGACGAAGACATCCTTCACAAGCGATGCGATCAGGCTAGATTTCCCTGTCCCCTCGTCACCGCACACACAGATGCGCACTGATGACCAGAAGTTAGAGATTGATCATGTAGGGATTCGCATGGGTGACGGACCTGTCGCCATGGCAGCTAAGGTGGCGGAGACGGCGGAGGAGCTTCGAGGATGTGCTCATGCCATTCCGGGTGGCGGATTGGCGGCGACGTGATACCTGGACGTTCCTGCAGACGACGAGCGATCACAATCACAATCACAATCACGTATGCTGATGGTGGACAGCCAGACTGGAACACGGCGTGCTGTGTGGTAGGAGCGGGAGAGCAACAAGCAACGGAGGATGTGGTGTTGGTGGTGGGCAGAGGTGTGGGAAAGCTACCCACATTTGTCTAAGTCAGTAGTGCATGTGCTACGTAAAGGTGGTAGCTCTCAGCAATTTCCGAGAGCTTCGCAGCCAACCACGAAGCTGCTCAACGGAGGCGTGGCGGCGGGTAATAAGTCACATTGCATTTTTGGGGCCCATCTCGTCCACTTCCTCTGTTGCTGGCCCCAAATGCTCTGGACTTGATCGACTCCTCTCTCTCACGCGCGGAGAGAATGCACATTGTTTTGTACCCAGGGGTAGCTAGCTACTTGGATCCGCACCAAGGCGGGCAATTGCCACACATTCGTCCGTAGTAGTCTTCTGATTCTCCCTGGTTCGCAGCCACGCCATGTGCCGCTGGTGCTGTGTCAGAAGCAGTGAGGATGGCCATGTCCACGGTACCTGGGCAGTTTGCTTACTGTTGCTGCATCAGTTGAATATTGTAATGGATCTGCAACAGACTTGGGTCATACCTATACATCTATACCGTATCTACCTAGGTAGATGCTGAATAGACCAGCGGATCTCTTACGTGCAGCCTGGCAGGTCGCGACAAATCCCAGCAGCCCCGTGGCCTTCTCCAAGCCCCAAGCTTCCCCTCACTCCTCAATGTTCTACCCCACACGATCCATGTGGATGACAGTAGTGTAGGGATCACGTCCAATTCCCAAGGCTGATCCCCAGGATCAGGGGCTACCGACACGACGGGCCCAAGGTCCAACGGGTCCCGAGGTCTGGTCTTTCCTTCTACCTGCCATCTCGCCGAGCGCACGACGTCGTCTCGTCGCTTCCATTCTTCCCCACGCCCATTTTGTAAATAGTTCTCGACATTCACTCCTCCTCACTGCCAGCGACCACCTCGAGCCCTTCCAGAATCGTGAATGCGCAATTGGGCCCTCGTCCGTCCGATCCGTCCCCCTTCGGCCAGGAACGACATCCGTAATTGGCAGGTCAATCGACGTTGCGCCAGCCCAACCCAACGACCTGTCAGACCTCCTGCATCGGTCGTACTGTGGCTGCCACACTGCTCCTGTGCATACATAGTCTAGTTGAGGTATCCTTCGAATCCGCCAACAAACTTCGGCCGCGGCGAGCACCGGCTCAAGCGACACCGTCCGAGGACTGCCTGTCGTTATATTGCGCGCCCACCAGGGTTCCGCTCTTTGCATGGGGCTCAACCCATAGATAAACACACCCTTGGAGACAAACATCCCGCCAAGAAAGCATCCAGTACCACCCTCAGGAGCTCACTCGTCCCACCAGCGCCATGTTGTGAGCTTATGTCCCATTCATTATCTCGTCTTCTTTATCACTGCCCCCCTCCGCCAGCACTACAATATGACGGACGTCTCGCTGATCACTGCACTCAGCGTCCTACCGCCTCCCCCGCGCTATCCTACCCAGGCCGCATACAATGCCGCCGTCGGCGCTGGCCATATCCCGCCCATGATCGAGACCAACAATATTCTCTCAAACCCCGAGGACCACTTCCTGGTCGGAGAGGGTGAGCTCGCCCAGTCTCTTCCCGCATTTCGCGGCCCCGCGGGAGCTTCCTCAGCTTGTGCGCGACCCCAGGCTAAGCCGGTGTGACATATCACAGGTACCTATGTCCTCAAAGAAGACTTGCACCTTGCGACTCCTCCTCCACATCCGTCGGAGGCGCCCGTGATCAACCCAAACCCCGCTCGCCACGAACCCCCAGCCAGCCACCGCTGGGACGAGCGTGTCTTTGATCAACCTCGACGCCCGCCCGTCCCCACTCCAGTACAGGGGCGTCACAGGGACGGGACTCGGGCAGTCAAGTATACAGGAACACCCACATGAGGACAACTCGAGGGATCCGACCATCAGCGGCAGTGAAGGCAGGGCAAATTCTAGCGATGCGCCTTTGTCATTAGGCTCGGCCCCCGCGTTCGGGGAGGGGACGGCGTTGCTCGTGGCGCCGAATTCCAAGGATGCTAACAAGCGGAAGAAGCCGAAGAACAACATGACAAAAAGCAACTCTTCATTTATCAGCAGGGTCATCGTCAACGAGGGACTTAGCAAGAGGATGCAGGAGCGCCCGTCGGACGGGGTCTTTGCCTTTGCGAACATCAACCGCGCATTCCAGTGGTTGGACATGTCGGCTCCTAACAAGGTTGGTTTATCCTGCCTCCTCGCTGTAGAAGGGCTCGTGGGTCGATTTGTGCTGACGATGCGCAGGCCGAGTATCTGACCAAGGTGCTTTTCACAAAGGCGCATTGTCTTTGCCATGATGTGAACCATATCACGAAGAGCACAAGCCATATTGACGTGATTATGGGTTTCTCCACTGGCGAAGTAATATGGTGGGAAGCCACCTCACAGCGATACGCGCGTTTGAATAAGAATGTAGGTTCCTCAGCTGCGTGCTCATTTAGGTCTAAGCTGACGGCGATAGGGCGTAATAAACGGAACTCCCGTCTCCCAGATTAAATGGATACCAGGTTCAGAGACCCTGTTTCTTGCATCACATATGGATGGATCTCTGGTGGTCTACGACAAGGAGAAGGAGGATGCCATCTTTTCGTCGGAACAGGAGAACGGCGAGGTCGAGGCGACAAACGGTACAAACGGGGTCCATACCTCTAGGAACGGCATCCAGGTCCAGAAGTCGGTCAACTCAAAGAACCAAAAATTTAACCCGGTCGCGGCATGGAAGCTCTCAAACCAGCGGATCAATGCCTTCGCCTTCTCACCAGATAACCGGCGACTGGCTGTTGTGTCAGAGGACGGCTCGTTAAGGATCATCGATTACCTTAAGGAGGAGTAAGAAGCCCGCTGCCAGTGCCATGCGAGTCTTGTGTGAACTGACCCATTAAGTAGATTGCTCGATCACTTCCACTCCTACTACGGCGGTCTCATCTCCGTTTGCTGGTCACCAGACGGTAAATACGTCCTCACCGGCGGGCAGGACGATCTCATTTCGATCTGGCACGTCCCCGAGTCCGTTCTCATTGCGCGGTGCCAAGGCCATCACTCATGGGTGACGTCCGTCGCCTTTGACCCATGGCGCTGCGACGACAAGAACTACCGCTTCGGCAGCGTCGGCGAGGACCGCCGGCTGTGCCTCTGGGACTTCAGCGTCGGCATGCTGCACCGGCCCAGGGCCGGGACCGGCGCCGGCGCAGCATCAGTCCGCCAGCGAGGCTCGATTGCTTCTAGGTTGACTACATCGCAGCTCACACGCGCCGAGACACAAGGAACTTCTGCGAGCAGAGTACGGTCCAACTCGGCGATTTCCGCAAATGGCGATGGGGAGGACGACTTTAGGGGGCCGCACGCTGTTGAGCCAAGGGCAAGCACTGCAATACTGCCACCTGTGCTGACAAAGGTTGTGGACGCGGACCCGTTGTGCTGGTTGGAGTTCACAGAGGAGGCTATTGTCACGAGCTGCAAGTCGGGTAAGTGAAACGGCGCCTGGACCTTCGTATTGTTTCGTTCGTCCCATCCCATGTTTTTGCTCCGCCAACTGACCCTCTCTTTCCCTCAAGGACACATCCGCACCTGGAACCGCCCGTCAGACTCGACGGCCCCTGTCGGTGAGACCTCGGCCAGTTGAGAAAGTGAGAAAATTTGTTGGGATGGCATCAGCTTTGGGAGTCGGTCCGCCCAAAGTCAAGTAGCAGGTTTTTTGGCTATGCCATATCCGCTATGCCCTTCAGGGACATGTGAGACCAAGTAAATAGGGACAGCGAATCCAGGCACGAATCCCAGGCCTTGCATAACCACTACAAAGTCTTTTCACATGCTTTCTGATTTACGGTTCGGATTGTGGCCGATAGAGTTGTCACTGCTGTGCCTGAATGTCCCCACCGCAGGGCTTTGGGTCCGCTCTGGATGGGAGGGGCGTCTTTCACTGCATATGTGTGCGTGTTTGTCTGTGTTTTATTGGCAAGCCCCTTCCCGCGCCGCCATGGCTCCGGTTCGAGCCGCAGAGTCCTACATGCGTTGATCTCGGACCCACACCAGCTGGTCGAGAACGTGCAAGTCCTTTGACTCAAGACACGCCGGCCTGGCAAGCTGCCAGCGGGAGAGGCTCACGGAATGTCGCCGAGGAAGCTCCTTAAAGGGAGGGGCTCCTGATCGTCGCAATCCATAGATTGATTGTGACAGCTACTGCAGCCTCAGTGGACTGGATTTCTCTGTCTCCGACTCACCGAGTCCCTGAATATTTTACTGAGGGTTTTGGGGCAGAGGGGCTCGCTCCCGCTCGAGCTCAGCTCCTGGAGCTTTGCTCGAAACACGTGGGTCCTGTGTTCCTCGAAATGTCAGAGTGGGCCCCGGGAGATATCGCAATGGCAGATGGATCTCGTCCCGGCCACCCGACCCACAGCGGGAAAAGCATGCTGCAGCCTGCAGCGGTCAAGCTGGTGCTGGTGGTCGGCGCCGGAGCAGAAGTGGATTGATTGATCCCAGCTTGCGCCGTCCGGGATTGACATCGATCAAAAGACGAAGGGGCAGCTCTTTGGCATGTTGAAAGCTGCGATTGTGCATATGGAATTGACAGTGCCGGATTCGTACGTGCCCAATTCTTAGCGCGAGGAATGGGTCAAAGAAAGCAGACCTTGTATCTGTACACCCAAACGGCGCTATCGTGTCTTGAAAGGAGTGCCCGGGAGGATTGTTGAGCAGACGGTCTCAGCACTGACGCGCTCGTCATCGTGACAGATAAGCGTCGACATCGGGAACAAAGCCTTTTAGCACGTCCGAATTGGCTAGGAACAGGGGTGACGCGCGAGCTCATTTGTTTGGTTTTGCTCAAGACACCTAGATAGGCGCTACTACCAGACTTTGACAGCGGCAAAACTTTTTGACCTCCTAACATGTGAAAATGTTATGACAATGCACGGCCTGCTCATATTATGCAGTCCCGCGCAGGTGAGTTTTGCACGCATTCAGTGTCGGTTTTGTCGACTGTGTAACTACTTCCTGCACTGGTAATCATTGTGGTGAGACAGACAAATGCAAGCAAGATCTTGTGCGACCAGCAAGGCTGAGAACCGGCCTTGTCACATACCCACTTCGGCTCTCTTTGGGTTAGCCTCGATCTTTAGAGGATAAACGACCGGCCGAGCCGTGGGGCCGTTGATAAGGAGCACTGGCACGGTGGAGCCGGACAGCCAGACAGGCAAGAGTGACGGGTCTCGCTGGCCCATCAATGCGGCGCAAGGCCGGCGTCCCGTGGCGTTGATTGCTTAGTTTCCGATGCTCGGCGGTGCCTCGTAGTAAACCCGGATAGGCATGCTACCGACGAATCCTGAATCGTGACGGTGGCGTAAGGCTACATGCGCTGCCTGCGGCTCCGGCGATACAGTATCGACTATGTAGCGTCGGGATGCCCAAGGCAGAAGGGGTCGACCTGGATGCCTGCCGATATGCAAGCTGCACCAAAAACGAATGACATATGAAAGCCGTCTGCTGAGGCCTGCAGCTAAGTCTGAAGGTCTCTCGGCAACTTGGTTCTGCTGTCGAGAAATCAACATGTGCTCATGGGTTTTCTTTTTTCGGCAGATCTTGAATCGTTCCGATTGACACAGGGGTCAGGTATCAGGGCTGGGCTGCTAGTGGGTCTACCCAGAGCCGGTCAATTAATCGTCGAATTCTGGCCGAGCCGGCGGTTCTTTTGGGCGGTCTGGCGGTTCCCTCAATCCTCGGGCGCAACGGTCAGGGCTTGTCAGGCACAGGCGTTCGTCCTCATGCTGGTGTAGCGCTTCGGTTCGGCTACTTTTTCAGGTTTACTTGCGAGGTGCAGTTGATGTCGCTTCGTGCCAGCTGCACTAGCTGACTGGTTGCTTGCCCTCCATCGGCTGCGGACCATCCCTTCATGTGGCGTGTTATTCCCTGAAGGAAAGTCATGCTATCCCTTGCTTTTCCCGGAGGGCGGCGCAGGTCCGCCCGCCACGGCCCGCGCTGGGCAGGTAGAGACCCCGCGAATATGGGATGGTGAGGTCTGCATTTTATAGATCGACTGCAAGAGCAAGTCCAAGCCGCAGGGGGAGGTGCACCGGGTGATTGGCACGGGTAGACAGATAAGCAGGCTGGAGTGCTGGAAAAGAGGGCCATCAGGCGAGAGCTGGAAGAGATCATGCCACCGCCCCGTGACGTGGGCATGGGACGACAGTGTGGCACCTTCTAGGCCCTCTGACCGATGGTGACGAGTTACAGACCAGATCTCGTGCAGCAGGTGCTGTTTGGCATGCAGAGGCGTAGTTGATCACAACTGGGGCAGCATGGAGACTGTCGCCTTGGTGTTCCCAGCGCGCATACACAGTAGTCTCAGGGTTTGAGCATCTGGAGCCGTGGAGAGCTCCGAACTGCCGCTCGAACGCCAGGCCCCATCTTCCGTCCGATTCAGCAGTCCCACGCTGCAAGGTAGATCTTGCCCTGGCAGCCTGGCAGGTTGAAGGCCACCAATGAACTCCTCATTGTTTGCATGTACTGCACGATACGCGCTGCATGGTCTGTAGTACAGTAGTATTGCTGGCCAGAGGCGACTCCGTTTGGGCCCCTTGAGAAGGCGTAAGCGAGAGGACTGCTGTTCCGGTTGTGCCGCGACAGACACACGGCGGGGTGCTAGACGTTAGAAAAGGTGCCTTTCGTATCGAGAATAGACGCTCCTAGCGAGAGGAGGAACGCCAGAAGGGAGGTCAGATCGCGTCGTCTAGATGTCGCCCAGTCGTGGGGGCTTGGGGTGCGAGCCGACGGCCGGGGCCAAGATGTTGACCAGCAGACGAAGGCTAAATGGAAGCTTGAGGGAAGGGCCATGGAAGGATTCCCGATAAGGAAGCCACTGCTGCAGGTCGATAGTGACGGGCCGGGCTGGGCTGGGCTCGACCCTTGGGATGAGGAAGATGTACCTATGTACATGCAGTGGTAACAGCAACGAACGGAAGGGCCGATCAACAGTCACTCCCTGCCGTCATGGGGCCCGCCAGGGAGGCGAAAGAGGACAGTTCGCTAGAGTACATGTTTTCCGCAAAGTCAAGTTGGTATCAAGGTTCACGGCGGAAATGCGGAAGAGACCGGAGAATCAACGGGAAAAGATATTGCCTACCCATGACACTCACAGTCCTGGCTGGAACGCGAGCAGACCTGGACTGTACGTACTGTAGATTGCACCGACCCCGGCACGCTCTCGCGCCCTGTCCCATTTGCAAGACAACAACGGATGACGCCAGGAGTCAGTCAGTCAGTTCAGTCAGTTATTAGTGTCAGTATCAGTGTCAGTCCCGAGTACGGATACACGGTACATAGCAGTCAGTCCAAGCCCTGGATTGAATGAACCCTTTTTTTCGCCCTCCTGCATCATCCACCAAAGCCTTTGATCCCTGCCACCAAACCATGGCAGCCCACCCACCCATCGTTCATACTGTCACTGCGATTTGACACCGCCCCCAGTAGACTCGCAGAGTTCTAGATGTTGGTGACGGTGTCCCCTTTCTGTCGGCCACTAGCCAGACAGGCCGTGTGCACACCACTTGGTGTACCTAGGTAGTGACAGATGGCAAAGGTGACTGACTCTTTGTCGATGCTGGTCTCTTTGTGGCATCGCGCGTGGAAGACTCCTTTGCAGCCGTCGCCGGGACTCAAATTCCAAGGGCGATGATGTGCGAAGTCAGGGAAGGCGGAAGCAAGAAGGAAGAGGCGCCCGGCTGGCAGGGAGGCCCCTCGAGTCGAAAACGACTAGGATGTTTTCAGTGCGCAAGTATCCTTGTCGTCCTTGTCGACCCGGTATGTGGGACAAGCAACGGGCTGGAAGTCTCGCTTATTGTGACCGACCGGCGCTGGCCGCGGCCGTGTTGTACCGGTACCAGATCGCAGTCGTCTTGCAGCAGAGATGCGTGCATACGGGACCCAGCCTGGGTTCCACGTCCCAGCCCAGCTGTGTGATCCATCCGATCGCCCTTTGTGTGTACATGTGCTGCTGTCGGCCGGTCGTCGCTCATCCCATCCAGGGGGGCAACGAGCAATACATAGGCCCCCATGGGCCAATGTGCGATATCTTTTCTACATGTGGATAGGTTTGCCCGTCCTGTCTCTTCACATCCCACCCGTTCACCCCCTTTCATCGATACCAAAACAAGGTCCAGACGCCCGCCCCCACCTACTTCGTCGCCGCTGCTCGTGGGGTGTTTTTTCGCATCTTTCGATACCGGCCGTCTCGACTCGTCTCGTCACCCTGCCTGCCTCCCACACCCTTCTGCTGCCTCCGCCGGCCACCAGACCAAGGGTCCAATCCACTCACAGCGCGCTACGGTACAGCACTTATCGTCGCATCTCTGATACGGGCCACTTACAGCACGCGCAAACGATTCATTCCCACTTCTGCCCGGTATTACCACGCCCATTTACATTTTTTTTCGCCTCACCAGTACCCACTTTGCTTCCATGATCTGCATTGGGTTCCTGGATTAAAAACAAGCGACCCTGCCTGGCGGTCCCTCACTCTTCCCACCCTCGGGCCATTGCGATTCTCATGCACAGAGCAACCAGAGTTTGAGAATGCCCTCGTTTAACCCTCTGGCCAACGTCACCGGGCGCAACGCCTACACGCTTTTCGAAATTAGGCTCGACAACGATTTCCTGGTCTTTCGAGGCAACGACCATGAGTCCTCGGGGCAACTGCTGAAGGGCACTGTCGTGCTGTGTCTGCCATCAGCCCTGAAAGTAGACGATGTGCATCTGCGACTGGTCGGAACTGAAAGGTTGAAGTGAGTTTGTTGTAGTGCTCTCACCAGCTGGTCTCTACATCACCGCTCTGTCCCCCCCCTTGCACCTGACTTCCTCACTACCCAAGCAGTTCCTCCTTCCAGAGAGCTTTCTCACTGACAGCCATACCAGCTGGACGGACGCGCGGGTTACGCCGACGGGAATCTCAAATCAGAAGGTCGATCGCACCAACATTTTCTTCCAGCACAGATGGCGGCCTTTTGTGGGCGGCAGCTCGGGGAAGAGCACCCTGCTTGAGAAGGGGAATTACGAATGGCCGTTTGAGCTTATGCTGCCAGGCGACTTTTGCGAATCCATCGAAGGAATGCCCGAGGCCAGCATCACTTATCACTTGAAAGCGACCGTTGCGCGCGGCAAACTCGCCTACGACCTGCATGCGAAGAAGAGGGTGAGGATCATCCGCACCCTCGAGTCCTCGGCCCTGGAATTCCTGCACGCCATGAGCGTCGAAAACATCTGGCCAAACAAGGTCGAATACAGCGTCGTGATCCCCACCAAGGCCATCGTATTCGGAAGCTCCATCCCGCTCGAGACGAGGTTTACGCCCCTGCTGAAAGGTCTAGAGATCGGGGATATCAACTGCAGGTTGATGGAGGTCCATGAGATAATGGTGACGACAATGCAAGGGCACAGCATACGAGAACACAAGAGGGAACGCGAGGTAGCGCACTGGACGCTCACGGTAAATCGGGAGGAGCACTGGAACGACATGATCGAGGATTCTGGCCAGGAGGGCTGGGTCCTGAACGCAAATCTCGATCTCCCCAGAAAGTTGGGCAAGTGCATGCAAGACACCAATGTGCACGGCATCAAGATAAGACACAAGTTGAAGATGGTGGTCGCACTGCACAATCCAGACGGCCACGTCTCCGAGGTAAGTCATCTGCCAGCAGATGGGACATGGAGTCGCAGACTGACCGTATCTACCAGCTCCGTGCAACCCTCCCCGTGACGATATTTATCTCCCCGAACATGCCCCTGGACGACGACGGCAACCTGGTGCGCCAGTCACCACACGAGACCAACCAGGCACAGCGCATGCATGGCATCGCGCCGCCCGGCTATGGCGAGCATGTTCTCGATCAGCTCTACGATGAGGTTGACATGAACGGCTTGCAGAGCGGGTTCCAGACACCAGCAGTCCAGTCTGGCGTCAACACGCCCTTCTACGCACTCTCCCGGGCTGGCTCGGCTGAGAACCTGCATCAGATGTCAGGGATGGCAGTGCCTCCTGCAGCGCTTAGCTCGCGGCTGCAGGACGTGTCTCTCAATGCGTCAGACAGGAGTCAATCGTACCACAGCCTCAGCGGGGCGACGACAGGCGGGGCGACGACGCCGCACTCGCAGCCACCACCGCCCGACAGCAACCACAACTCCCCACCACCCTCAGAGCCGCTGTCCAGGTCAAATAGCGGCGAGGACCAGTCCGGCATAAATACACCGGAACACGTCGAGATGGAGAGCCTCAGCAAGGTGCCCAGCTACACCACGGCGATCAAGACGCCCGCGCGGCCCCTTAGCACCGGGGAGGGTCTGGTTTTACCCGACTACGACTCTGTGGTGAGCGCGCCAACGACACCGACACTCCACAACGCACCGACAATAAATCCCCTGGACTCGATCCCTGAGGCGGCGACCACCGAGACCACGACCCAACCACCACCGCGGCCTCGCCCATCTCGAAGGCAGACCTCATTGGGGTTCAGCAACCTGCTCCACCATCACCACTTCGGGGTTGAAGACGATGTCCGTCGGAGGCTGCATCTGTTGCAGGCTCGAGCCCAGCCCTACTAGAAACAGGTTTTGGGCGCGCGAGTCCGTCGTCCGCCCGGCCGGTGGCTGTGGTTCCCAAGCGGAGTCCCAAGGCCTGCTTAGCAGATGCCCTCACTTTCCGGGCGGTCGACCATTGTTTTTTTTTTTTTTTTTTTTTTTTTTTGTCGTTTTGACCAGCGTTGATGCAAGAGATACAAACACGATCATGAGAGTATTAATACGGGATCATCAAAGGGATGCATGCATGAAGCATAATAGACAGTGTCCGCAAAGGACGGAGTTTTTGGACATAGGGACCGTTTATACCCCAAACCGCCTTGATTTGGTAGATGAATAATAGACTCCAAGCATTCATCTCACAGCTCATTGTGGTCTCAAATATCCTGCGCAGATGACAAGTAATTAAGAAAGACGGAACTAAGGCAGAGCTTCTACTGTCTATGCCTTGAACTTTCTGTAAGGGGCAGGAAGACTTCCCCCCAGGATGCTGCCGAATTGGATGCTACCCACAGAAATCAAGACTACTTTGTAGTCACTCTGCTTGAGCCACACGTCAACACTCGCCCTATCTATGAGCTGCACGTGGTTCTCTGGGATGAGACCTGCCGACTGTGTGACAACTGGAGACCTGCAGATGCAATGCCATTGAGCAACAGAACGACTGCTGCCGTCTCAAAAGGGCCAACCACATCTACCTATTTAGCCTTCTTGTCCGTACTCTGTCTGCCTCGACGACGGTGGATCATTGTAATGTTGCCACACCACGAGAAACAGCCTGTCGTTCCCCCAGGTGGTCCAAGACAACGCTTGAGTCTAAAACACAGCTAGCTAGCGCGATGCGACCGGCGGAGCACGCGAGGGAGCCTGCCACACCTGTCACCAGCAGAACCTTGTCCCATGAGCCCAACCAGACCTTACTTTTGCGGTCTTGCTCTTTTCTAGTTCATCAGGCGACCTTTCAGAACAGCCAGACAGGCAGGGCCTTCCCCGAAAACCTTCGCACACTGCGACGGGCTCGCAGGAAACTCCCGCCCCGATGCAGTAAGGCGCCCAAGGCGACACGTGGTGCTGCGGTCCAAATGTGTGGTCCGTCAAGCTTTTGGTGTGGACCGCGACTGCCGCTATTGACCTGGGACCGCTGGGTCCCGACTTCTCAAAGCCAAGGAAGCCGCATGTGGCTTTTCCGCACCGCGCTGCACTACGTAGGCTACGTATGCAGAGAAAGAACGCGGATTAGGGGACCGCTACGTCATCGCCACGGTCGTCACCACTGAATCCAGGGACACGGCAGACCGGGTGTTATATAGCCTAAGGCAGTCGGTCGATCAGACGTGACAACACCACATATCTGGGTTTCCTACAGCACCGTCAAAGCGCTGCCAAACAAGACCAAAAAATCATAGGTAAGCAATCCAATTATTATCCCATCTCGCCGTGCCCTGTGCCTGTGAGGCACCTGCAGGCAGCTTGAACCGAAGGCTCCGTGCGGCCCCCACACAAGGTTCATCAATCTCGTCTGTCGAGATCGTCACAGGGGTCCTGAGTGCTGCGTTGCGACGGCCCCACTGGGGGGTGAGCAGCTTGGCCCCCCTGAGCTCTATCTACTGATGAGCTGTGCCGTGTCATGACGGTCCGATCAACAGTACATCGCTCTACGGCCTCACTTTTGCAGCCTCAAGATCTCCTGGCGGTCGAAGCTGTCGATAGATATTGACTTCAGGTAAAGTTGAAGATTGCATGCTGACACTGCCTCTTAGTACTTGCGAATCACGCCATCCTCTCGCCTTTGATAGCTCATCCCAGACCCGATATCTCGGAATCAGACGACTGCATTCACGATGGCCGACGACATAAAGACGTTGCCCCAGAGGTCGGGCACTGTTATGACCAAGTCGAGCACTTTCAGCGAGTCCGCCGTCCCTGAGACAGATCCTGGAACCGTACGTAGTCCCGTGTCCTGCTGTCTTTTGCGCCGACGCCAGCACTAGACGACTGACCGAGACCATAGACCGCTGGGCTGCTTGCCGAACGTCTGCAAGCATGGAAGCACGCCGTGGGCTACCTTGAAGAGTACATGGGCGCCATTGAGAAGATCCACAAGGAGCAGTCAAAGGAGTACGAGAAGGTCATGAAGACCATCTCCAAGCCGTTGCGCGAAGGTCACCACTTCGACCAGAATCTGGGCGGCGTTGCCGGTTTCTACGAGAACTTGCGTCAGAACACGCAGGCTCTGATCAACACCAACGCCGAGACCGAGAAGAGCATCAAAGGCTCTGTTCTCCCCATCCTCGACCGGCTCCATAAGGAGGTCAAGAACAAGTCCAAGGAGCTGGCTGGCGGCGCGGTGAAGGGCGCCAAGGAGGTCGAGAAGGCTCGCAACGTTACTCAGAAGCATATCGAACTCCTCGGCCAGCATGCTGCATCTTTCGAGTCCACTGGCGGCAAGATGAACCCCACGGAGGACCCCTATGTCATCCGGAGAGGTGTCCTGCATCGCCTGACCAAACAGGTTATCGAGGAGAACAACCACCGCAACGATCTCATTGCAGTGCAGGGCAACTTCCAAGACTTTGAGGCCCACGTTATCCAAGTCCTTCAACAGGCCATGGAAGTGTTCAACCAGTTCGCCGGTGGGCAGGCCGAGAAGACTCGGGCGCTCTATGCCGATATGCTCGGCGCCGCTCAGAGGATTCCTCCGGACATGGAGTGGCAGGCATTCTCCCAGCGCAACGCTGACATCCTTATCGACCCGCAAGACCCACCCAGGACGGTCGAGGCCATTGCATTCCCCAACCAGGAGCATAACTCGACCGAGCCGCTCATTGAAGGCAGCCTCGAGCGCAAATCACGAAACAAGTTGTCTTGGGGGTTCTCGACCGGCTACTACGTGGTGACTCCTTCAAAGTTCTTGCACGAGTTTAAGTCAGATGAGTGAGTTGCTTCCTCTTATTGCTGCGAGACTACTCTGGACAGACATATGCTGTGGCTCTGTCTCTCGCCATTTCCACCTGGGGGAAAGGATACTGACTACAAGTGTCATAGCAATGCGGCCAAGGATCCAGTCCCAGAGCTTTCCATCTACCTTCCTGAGGCAACCATTGGAACCCCCAATGGGGACAAGTTCAACATAAAGGGCAAGGACAAGTCCAAGACCATGAGCAGCAAGCTCACGGGGTCTGCTGAAATCTCTTTCAAGGCGCACACGGCGGCGGATGCCCAGCGGTGGTTTGAGGTGATCTCCAAGGTCGCAGGAGCCAATGCGGCCGTCGAAAGCACGCCCGCCAGTCCTGTTGTTGGCAGTGGGGATTCTCCGGTAATGAACGAGGCCCACGACCTGGAGGCAGAGAGGCCGGCAGAGGGGTCAGCGGGAACGGTTGGAACTAACCAGAGCACCGAGCAGAAGCAGGAGCACGCCGGACAGACTTCGGGCATCACGGGCGAAGACACGGTTGCCAGCCCGACGGCTGTGTCGCCATCGGACACCAAGGGTAAGGAAGCTGCGGACCATCAACCAACCATCCCACCATCTGCGGCCAATACGACTGAGACAAAGGCAACTGCTCCAGCATCAGGAACTTAGAAAGTCATCACCGAGACGAAGACCACGGCGGCAAAGGTTGATACGAATTCGCGTTACGAGAGCTGGGGGGACCCGAGAGACGAGTTATTTGGCGGGACGAAGGCCTGGGGCAGTGATGGCTCCTGGCGAGCAATGGATGGGGGAGAGACCACGCTGGCAGCCGATGACGACGGAAACACGTTCAATGATGCGAAGCTGAGCCACACTCAGCCGTGGAGGTCGAGGTACCCGACGCCACGTGATCTGAAGGAGCGGCTGGCGAAGAGCTCGTCTTCGTACGACAGGATACAGGACACAGCGCTCTGGTGGGAGGTATAAGTCGGATAACAAAGGACGATGACAAAGCTGCAGTGGTCTTAATAATCGGCCAGATTGGGGGGGGGGGGGCTCTGCGTTTCAAGCACCAACAATATTTAATGCTCATTCGGTTACATCGCGGCAGGAGGTTTGAACATCGGGTCCTGTCGTTCTTATCGATTCCCTTCTTTTAACGAGTATACGCAGGACAAATTTAGCACTCCCGACAGACTTTTTCTACTTGGCTCGCCCGTGTGACGAGCATCTCATACCGGATTCGTCCTTTGCATTGCTGACTGCAGCTGCAGGGTGCGCCGCGGTTTGGGGGCTGAAGTTGCCGCATGACCGCGTCAAGCGAGGTCCACATGGGGTTTGTCTTTCTTTTCTCTCCGAGAAGCAAATGCACAGTCTGCATACCAGCGCGTTTCGCCATACTTATTTGCGTAGGGTCTCAGAGTATGTCTACTTGCGAGCCGCCGCCCCATGTTTCATAATCAGCCTCCACGAGGCTGGGCGATAAAGTAGTCTATTTTTCGACGGCCACGATACATACAGTACTCGGAGGCCAGGCTGAACCTGAACCCAACGGACGGAAATACAAAGTCGCGCTGCAAGACGAAAATCCTTCCCCCGCTTTTGGCAGAGCCTGGCTTGTTGTCATTGTACCTTTCGGAACCTCTACGGCCCAGCCAGAGCCGACTACTTCAAGGCAAACGAGGCCGCAGCAGGCTCTGAGGGGTTTTCCAGAGCCAGTCGCCCAGGCCCAAGCCACGTTTCCAAAAGAGGCCACCTTGGTGGCAGGCCGGTGAGGAGGAGAAGGCCACGGGGAGGAGAGGGGGTGAGCGCCCCCCTCCTCCTACCCCCTCCAAGGTGTACAGTAAGGCCCGGCCCAGGGCGGCTGTTCGAAACCCACCCCACAGCCCTGGCGCTCGACGCCCGAGGCCAGCCATTCCGATCCTGCCGGACAGATGGCACCGTTACATGTAGAATGTCTGAGATGCCTGGGAGCTCTCCAGAGTGATCGACCAACCAGGCCGCGTGAAGCTGTGGTGGGTGGTGGGTGGTGGTGCGGAACGGAATACCACGCAGTTCGCGCCATATGGGCGCCTACTGTCGGACTTTTTTTGCTGCTGCTTACACTTCGCCTATTCTCAGCTCCTTTGCTGGGACGGGCCGCGCTCCATCGTCTCTGGTCGCCTAGCTTCTTGCCTTGCCCATATCTCCTCACCTCGGATGCCTAAAAACGGTTGTCATGTATCCCACACCCGAGGCTCCCTGGTCTGATGGCCGCGGTGCCAGACCGATTTTCTGGGGCAGATTTTGACTCATCATCGAGATCGCGAGTGAAGCTCTACGTGTCCAGAGCAGGGCAGCCTGCTGTCTTTTAGTAGACACGATTGTGCTTCCCTCTTCTATGGGGCGGCGTGGGAGATCTTGGAGGACTGGGTCGAAGCGAGGCCTGCCAGCCTACCATGGCCCGGTGAGGCTCCAGGGACAGGGAATCGTAGACTTGGGCGTAGAGGTTCCATTGGGTGCCTTGTTATTCACAGTTATCTATAGCACTCAGAATTATCCCACCGTCCCCGTCCCCGTCCCCGTCCCCGTCCCCGTGCCCCTCCCCCGTTCCCAAGAACGCCTCGCTGGGCGCCCGTCACCTACGCCTCGCACTACTTCTATGATGCCCCTCCTCCCGAGCCCTTCCCCCATAGCCCTGTCTCCCTGCTCCTATATCCAGAACACATATTGTCCGAGGCAAGAGAAGAAACCCAGCTTCCAGCCATAACTAATGCCTCACGCCGCCCGACCCGGCCTCCCCCAGGCTGGACCACAGCTATCCAGGACCGGGGACCACACCACTCCGGCGTGAAGCCCGTGGTTTAAAAGCAGGGAAAGATGACCAAAGAGTGGCTCAAGTACCGGACGACGATCCTGGGCCTTTACAAGGACCAGAGCAAGACCCTCGATGAGGTGAGGCGGATAATGAAGGAGGAGTATGGGTTCGAAGCATCGTGAGTTAACCAACCAATCCCCCAACCACTGCTCCCGCCCACTTTTCCTGGAGCTGTGTCGGCGTGTCCCCTCTCGCTGACAGACATGCCCGTCTCCAGAGTCCGGGCGTATCGGTCCCGTTTTGACAAGTGGAGAGTCCACAAGTACAACTGCGCGCGCCGGCGGGCGGCGACAGTGACGGCGGCGGGCGGCTACCAGCAGCAAGGAGGGTATCTGCGTGGAAATCGGGACGGCCACGTCCAGAGGCCGCACGCCGAGTGCCAGTTCCTGCCCGTGGGGAGGCATTACTCCGCACCCGACGTGTTGGTAACGGAAAGGTGAGCTATGCTTTGTTCTCTGCCCATAGTCTCGAGGCCTCTCCCAGACTCCTGTCCGCCCCGTCGACGTTCACATGGCTAATCTGCCCTCAATCCCTATGCAGCGATGTCCGCCCGTATACACCACAGGGGTCTTACACGCGGTCGGGGATCAAGTCTGAGCCACATGTGGACAGCGAAACCAGCCCTAGGGTCCTGACCGTCGGCGGAGACTTTCCCGGACAGGCGTATCGCCCATGGTATGAGTCGCACAGCGAGAACATCGCAGACTCCACACACCAAGCCCCGAAGGCGATGGGCGTGGCCAGCTCGCCGACGCGCATGCTCCTCAACAGCGGCCTCCCTGTCCGCTCAGACAACAGCCTCTACCACAACACGGAACAGCTCCACTGGATCATGCACGCAATCCAGCTCCCGCTCCAGCAGCACGCCCTCGAGTCGCTGCGGCAGTGCCTCCTGTGCAGCCCGGACGTGACCCGCGCCCTCCCGAGCGGCGAGACCCCTTTCTCCCAGCTGGCCAACATGTTCTGGCAGCAGCTAGCCTCGGACGGCACGCTGGGACCCGACCCCGTGTGGAAACTGGCCTGCGAGTGCCTGCGGCATTGCCTCGTTTTGGGCGCGGACCCGGACGTCCTGGTCGGCGACAGGCCCTTCCTCTTCCGGATCCTCGAGCAGCCCGCCAGGACCAGGGCGTTCGGGCTTCTCTGGCCCTTCGTGTGGCGCCTCGCCTTTGAGGCCAGCCCGGTCAGCAACAACCACGGCTTCAACGCGCTCCACTCGCTGCTGCTACTGCCCCCGGGCGACGAAACCGCGGCCCCTGCCCCGGCACCCACGACAACAGAGGCCTCCGCCCGCGCGCACCTGACCAAGCTCCTAATCGGCCGCGTCGCGGCGGCGGGGCGACTGGCCGACCGCAACGCCGCGGGGCTGACGGCCCTCCAGCAGTACGTCTACCACGCCGCGGCGCGCGACCCGCCCGAGCACGTCCTCGCCATCTGCGCCGAGCTCGTCCGGCACGAGGGGCAAGCTGCCGCCGCCGGCGGTGGTGACACGAGCGCCGTTGTCCCGCTGTCGTTCGTCGGGGAGCTGCGCGCCGGGAAGCTGCCCCCGGGCCTGCAAGCCCACGACGCCGGCGGTGGTGGTGGCGTTTCCGCCGCCGCAAGTTTCTTGCCCTTCGTGTGGACCTCGGCGTGCCAGCAGAGTCTGAACGGGGACGCCGCCGCCGCCGAGGACCACCTGGATGTTGTGCTGCTTTGCGCCGGCGGGCGGGTCGATGCTGAGGGCCTGAGGGCACTGCTGCCGCGGCCGGCGGTGGTGCCGGTCGCTCTTCCTAGTCCCGTCTCGCCAAGAGGGGAGATCAAGTATGCTTGGTAATGGCGCCTAGTTTGGAGCCGTGAGACGTGATGAGAAGAAGAGAGGGAGAGTGAGGTAAAAGGGCGGATGATGCAATGCAACAAGGCGCGGAGGCTGACTTGGGAAGTCATTCGCTTATCAGGAGTCTGTCTGTCTGGTGGCCATTTTCTTTCCTTTCTTTCCCTTTCGCAATGTGTTACTTTTCCCCTAAGTTGATCCAGTCAGCAAGACTGCAAACCCAGGTCCACAGTACTGGGATAGACGTATCCCCAAGAACAAGACGAGGTCGGCAAAGATTCTTCAAAAGCATGTATAACAAACAAGCCTGTTTCTCGATTATCAGCAGATTCTCAGTAACGCAAGGCGAATTATTTTCGCTTTGGTATCAAATCATGATTTCGTTATCTTCTCTACCTGAAGATCACCTCATGGGAACGCCTTTGGTTGGGCCCTTTGCCCAAACCTGAACCATGTGGCCTTCGAGACATAAGGACTTTCGACGGCCTGAGCTGTCTGCCTGATAATCTCCTCTGTGGCCTGTATCGTGGTGCCTACTTGATCCATCTTCGTCTTCACCCACCATCGTCAACGGCAAGAAAACATGAGGCCCATAGTATAGCACAATCGAGGAGTTGCGGGAGTCGCCGTGTGGTGATGTCCAAAGCGTCAGCCCTACACCTTGTAGAAGCAGAATCCCACATAGAAGGATGCGGCCTCCATCTCCTCCGGCGAGACCAGAAATTCGCCCCCGTGCCTCTGTCGTACACCCATCCGCTCGCTCAAGGGTCCCAGCGTAGGGTCATCCTTCTCCGTCTTCCATATGTCGGAGAAACTCTTGTGGTACTGCAACTCAAGGTTGTAGTCCTCAGCCAGAGCTCGGAAGGCCTCCCATGGGACAACGTACTCGGGCACCTCCTCGACGGCCTCGTGTAGGAAGAAGTTGTACTTCCAGCCAAAGGGAGGACGAAAGATACCGTCTTCTGGGGTCTTACCCGGGAACCTAACCCGATAAATATCGTTGCCCCACTCAGCAGTCGGCTCGGCTTCACCCTCTTCCTTCTCCTCGCCCTCCTCAAGCTCGCCCTCCTCTTCGGCCTTGGGCTCCTCCCCGTTCTTCTCGGCCTGTTCAGCTTTGGGCTTCTGCTTCGCATTGAATTCCTTGACCTTCTCGCCTATCACGTCGGAGTTGGGAATGGTGCCAATCAAGCGGCCGCCTTTCTTCAAAGAGCCAGCCACGTTCTTCAGCATCTGGCGTGCCTTTGCCTCACTCTCAAACGCGTAGTGCATGCAGAACATCATGGAGACGACATCAAACCCGCGCTCGCTGCTAATGTTGGACTGTGTGTAGCCCACCTGCCGTACGATTTCGATGTCTTCGATTGTTTCGGCGAAGCAGTCCTTGACATGGAATCTTGCCTCGAACAATCGTGGCTGAGGGCGTCGATAGCTTCCCCCACGACCGCCCCTGCCGCCGTGCCGGTCCCGCTGCGACATGGTTCTGTATCTCTCCTTTGCCTGGTCAATTGAGATGTCCGCCGGGTCTAGCCCCACATACAGTTCCACAGTCTGTGGCGCTTGCTGCCATTTGCCCAGGTCGCCTCCCTTCCCGCATCCAATGTCCAGGATCAATAGCTCTCGACCACTCGAGATGCCCCTCTCGAACGCGCCAGGTGTGTGATCCTCGTCGGGGGCAAACTTCTGTATGATGCAGCTCTTGATCCAGTTGTTGAAAGAGCGCAGTCCCTTGATCCGGCTGTCGGTCTTGCGCCAGTCGCGGCCTCGCTCGGGTACTGCGTTGTAGTGAGCGCGGACTACATCGTTGATGGCTGCGCGCTGCGTTTCAGCCTGGGATGCAGCTGCATGCTGCTCGCGCTCGCGCTCGAGGGCACGCTGGCGGAGCTCCTCGCGCTGGGCTTCATTGATGCGCGACCGTTGGCCAGGTCGCTTGAGCTTGCGCGGCTGTTCAGAACCCGAGGGAGATGTGCTTCGCTGTCGCTTCTTCGCAGGCGCCAGGGCCTTGGCATCGTAGGGTTGAGGGAGATCGTCTCCTGCCATGATAGAAAGGTTGCGGTTGACTTAAGATGATTTGGTAGAATGGGCGAAAGAAGGGTTGCCAGAACCTGCGTAGCGGATTCGAGTGTGTTGTTCCCGGTTGACTGTGAGGAAGTCGAGAGTCTTGGTTTGAGACTGGAACGAGCCTTCCTGTCTCGACATTCGCCGCTGTTACCTGAGAGAATGGATCCCCCACGAGATTGCTCCACGGAAATGCTCTTTGCGCCAGGACTTCTGGCTTTAAAATAGGGAAGAAGGGGAGGGAGCGATGTAGAAGGTTAGGAAGGGGCCCAGTCAATCAGCCGAGCCTTGGGAGCAGCACCCCAGCATCGCGCCGAATGAGGAAGGCGGAGAGGTACCTAGGTACTCAGGTACTTGGCAAGCGCATGGATCCACCCCCAGGCGGGCGATTTAGCGGGCATTACGTTGGTGCTGTCAGCCTGAGCAGTGGCATTCTAAGAGCTTCACTCCTCCCAAAGCTTCTCCAGCATCCAAAGCCTAACAAGAACAACCAACCCGGCGTCCGAAACCCCTTCCTCAATCGCCGTGCTCTCCCGTCCTTCCTCATTCCCCGCTGCCATCGACCTCATCTCCATTCAAACGTGAACATGGGCTCAGATCCTCAGTACGCGAAATGGCCTCTGCTGCCCCTGTCGCAGCATGTGTTCACCCTCACAAACCCCTACGCCTCGCGGCCAACCCAGGACGCCGCCGTCAAGAAGCTGCAGGATGCCATCGAGGAGCACAAGATGGCACCCCTGTACAGGTACCTGGCACATCCGCTCGAGGGCATCCTGAACGCCGTGGGCGAGGGCGGCGCCAATGTACCCGGCAAGCCTCTGAGCAGGAAGTCGAGCGCGGCTGGCATGATCGCCACCAAAGGACCCACAGCAACTGTCACAATTCCCTGGGACGAGGGCTTGTACCAGAAGCTGAAGGAAGAGAATGACCGGGAGCTGGAGGAGATCCAAAAGGAGGAGGACGAGGCCGTTGAGAAGGCTGGCGATTCGGAGATAATGGCAGCGAAGGGTAAGAGGGCTGAGTTCTGGGCGCGGGTTGGTGACAAGGTATGAACACATCAGAGATACCCCGGCCCTCTACACTATAGTGGCTAACATGTTGTCATCTACCCAGGAGAAAGCCATAACAACCTACGAAGACGTCTTCGAGAAGACCGGCATCCTCGGCACCAAGATCGATCTCGTCCTCGCCATAATACGCATGGGCCTATTCTACGGCGACAAGCTGCTCGTCAAGAAGGAGGTCGAGCGCGCCAAGACCCTTGTCGAGAGCGGAGGTGACTGGGACAGGCGAAACCGCCTCAAGGCTTACGAGGGCTTGTACCTGCTCACAGTGCGATCGTACAACCTGTCTGCGCCCCTCCTCCTCGACTCTCTATCCACATTCACGTCCTACGAGCTTTGCACCTACTCCAATTTGGTCGTGTACTCTGTCCTCGCAGGGTCCGTCAGCCTCAAGCGGGTCGACTTCAAGAGCAAGGTCGTCGACGCCCCCGAGATCAAAGCCATCCTGGGCGATGGCGAAGACAAGCTGGCCGCCCTCAGCGGACGCGTGTCCGCCGGACCCAGCGCGGACGACCCCGCAAACGAGGGCGACTCTGCTACTCAGGCACAGGCAGCAGCTAAGAAGAAGGCCGTCAACCTCACAACGCTCGGCTCCAGCAGCGACCAGCCCGAGGCCGAGATGGCGGTGGACTTCTCCCCGCTGGCCAAGCTGGTCAGCAGCCTGTACAGCGGCCGCTACAAGACCTTCTTCCAGTCGCTGGCGCTCGTAGAGGAGCAGTTCCTCACCCAGGATCGGTACCTGCATGAGCACAAGAACTGGTTCATCCGTGAGATGCGGCTGCGCGCGTACCAGCAGTTGCTGCAGAGCTACAGGGTCGTCGGGCTCGAGAGCATGGCCAACCAGTTTGGCGTCACGGTGGACTTCTTGGACAGGTTCGTTGCCCTCACCCCTAACTTCTTCACAAACTCACTTCAAACTTCCCTTCCTCGCCGTTTGGTTTTCAAATTACGCAATACTGACATTCGTCCAGGGATCTCGCCAAATTCGTTGCTGGAGGCCGCATCCCGTGCACCATCGACCGGGTGTCGGGCAAGGGCGTCATTGAGACGAACCGGCCTGATGACAAGAATAAGCAGTACCAGGACGTCGTGCGCCAGGGCGACCAGCTGATCACCAAGTTGCAAAAGTACGGCCAGGCTGTAAGACTCCGTGGAAGTGAGAGGGCTTAGACACACATCAAAGCGCGACCATAGACTCGAGAAGGGAAAAGCGGATGCTGGTGGCATGGCACATTGATGGGGTGCCCAGCACAAGGCCCAAGCCACACTGTATGTATGATACCTAGACACAGATGAAATGACTTATGGGGCATTCAAGCAAGTCCTCCGAATTGAGGTGGGAATCTTGTGTTACATTTCCATTTCCGTCATGTACTCATCTATGATGCAGCACTGTCATGAAAAATATCGCCGATTTGCATCCAAAGGCGAACGTCATGCCATGTCATGTCCAAATCCACTCAGATCTAAGCAATGAGTGAGGACGTCTGTTCTCCTCTTTGTTCCCGTTTCCAATGTGACTGTCTATCGGTACTTGTTCATGAACTCCTCATGAAACTTAACAATAGAACCGACCCACTCGGTGCCAGGGGCGAGGAAAGTCGTCCGGAAGTGCAGCGTGCCCTCCTTCTGGCCGAATCCGCTGCCGGCAACAAGACAGACTCCCGTGGCCTCCAGCAGCCTCAGGCAGTAAAACTCGTCGGGCGCGCGTCCCTCGGCCTTGGCCGCCTCTATGGCCTTGGCCGGGATCTTGACGGTGGGGAAGAGGTACATGCTGCCCTGGGGCTCGCCGCACTCGACGCCCTCCATCTTCTCGAAGGCGTGCCACAAAGCATAGGCACGCTCCTTGAGGTTGTTAAAGATGCCGTTGTACTCCTTGTCGTACAGCTCGTAGCTTGGGTCGCCGGGCTTGGGCGGGTTGACCATGAGCTCGACCAGGCACTGCCCGATGACGGGCGCGCACAGGGTGATGGACACGAACTTGTAGATCTCGGCCTGCACCTTGGGGTCGAAACCCACCAGCTCGAAGTAGCCGCCACGGTGGCCGCACTCACCCACCATGCCCTTTGAGACGGACTGCAGAGAGGCAAGCTCGACGGCATCGTACTTTCCGGGATTCTCCTTCTGCAGCGACCTGAGGACCTTCTTGAAGGAGACGAACTTGCCAACAAAAACGTTCGTCTGGTACACCTCGTCCGCCATAACAACCAGCTTCTCCTCGCGCGCGAAGTCGAGTACGCTGCGGATGTCGGCCTCGGACAAGCTGGCGCCGGTTGGGTTGCCTGGGTTGATGATGACAATGGCGCGAACATCGACGCCCTGCGCCTTTGCGTCAGCGCAGGCCTTCTTGATAGCCGAAACGTCGGTGCCCCAGTTCTGGGACTCATCAAGGTAGTAGGGAACGCATGTGGCGTTCAGGACGGCGAGGGCAGCAGTGTACAGAGGGTACTGGGGAATGGGCACCAAGACACCTGTGTTGGGGCTCTCGCAGATAATGTGCAGAAGGGTGTTGACGCCCGAGGAGGCGCCACCCGAGAGGTAAATGTCAGCTTCATTGGCTGGGAAGCCATCTCGTCCTGCGGCACGTCAGCCTCATCCAATGTAAACCCTTCCACGGTGACCCCCGTCTGCACGTCTATCGTTGCTCTCTCCTAGATCAAGGGTAAACTCACTCTCCAGAAAGTCAGCAATGCTCTGCCTGATGGCGGGGACGCCGTTGCTGGCGCTGTATGCTCCGACCGAGCCAGCCTTGCTCAGCAGCCACTTGGCCCTCTCGATGACATCGGTCTTGTAGCCAAGTCGGTTCAGGAGAACATCCTCGTGCTGCAGAAGCAAAGGGTTCTCGAGCAGACTCAGGACCTGTCTGAAGAAGGTGATGGGCTTCTGGTCGAGCTGCTGGGGGTTGCCGATGTTGGCGGAGATGACCTGGGTGAATGGGAGGTCGGTGTCGCCTCTAGCGAGCTTTGCACGGTACTCCTCAGACTTGACGGCGAGCTCGCCTCGGACGGCGTACTTGGCCTCCCTGACGTGAGGGTTGACGTTGTTGATATTCAGCCTCCCTGCCGGTGTGGACGACATTGTGCGGCGGGTCTGTGTGTGAGGCTGCAGCTGGTGAGGAAAGCCGGCTGTGGGTGTCAGAGGGGTCGGCGCGGAAGAAGCTGCAAAAAAGCGATATGGCAAAGTTAGATATGCTGTCAGAGGCAAATATGGCCGATAGAAGTGAGAGTGAAATGGATGACGCCTGGAGTTGAGATGAGGCACGTTGCGATGGAGACTGAGATGAGTCAAGCAACAAGAATATTGGATGTAGCCAAGCAGCAGGGGAAGAAATGGAGAGTTTCAAGACTATGTCAGGGAAGACAGAAATGCGCGCAGCCCAGACGGACCCTGGAAAGAAAAGCTTCAGATCTCGTGGGGAAGCTACAAACAAAATCTCGCAAGCATGCGGACACAACAACAAGTACCGAAGTGACCTGTCGATTAGATAGACATCACAGCATGGTGGGGCGATTCTGTCTCTGTGGCTGTCTTTGAGTGTACCACGAGCACCTGCCATGTGCACCTTGCACTTGCACTAGCACCTGGGGCGGCTCCTGCGCCTTCCTGCTGCTACTCCTGCGCCCCGTGGCCAGTGGCCCGGCCGAGTTGGCCGACATCGGGGGCGGTGGACGGGGATGCGTACTGCGGGAAGCTGCGGGACAGAAATCGTCGACCGAAAGCTGGGCGGCCAGTAAGCTAGCCCTCAGCCAGCCAGCCACACTTGAGGCCATCACCGGGTTTCAAGGTCTCGGCCGCCAGCATCTGTGCCCCCAAAATATAGTGGTGGATCGTGCGCGGCGGGACGTTGAAGGTTGATCGTTGATCGCGGTGACAGCGACGGCTGTCACTTTGAGGTCGGGCGATCTCTCCGGAAACCAGGGGACAAGCAGTGCAGTGCAGAGAAAGGAGCAATAGAGTGTGGACTTATTTTAGGCAAGATTGGCGAGGCAGGGACGACGTTACCCATCAGTGTAAGTTTGCCCCGGGCCAATGAAGCCCGGCAGCGACTCGAGAAAACCGGGCCCGTAGCCATGGCCGACGTCAACAAGGCCCTCTGCCCACGGAGAGCCATCGTCAATCCTTCTCTGCGCCCGCTCGTCTTCTCGCGCAACAGGTGGTGGATTGGGCCAATTCGAGATTGCTGAGCTGAGTTGAAGTAAAAGCAAGCGTGAGGGGTTGCCCCTGCTCAGCCCAGGTAAGCTGGACGTATCCGTAATGCTGTATACTCATTTGCATTCCATACCGTTACAACTACGCTAGTGATACCGCCATGTTAACATATATTAAATTTACATACATGTTATTATACTCTTTATATATTTAATTATAAACTACCTTATTAACTTACTTATATATAATTATTTATATTTAAAAATAAATAAATAAATTATTATATATAAAAAATAATTTTAAATATAACTTTTTATTTTTTAAAATATTATTATTTAATAATTTAATTATTATTAATACTTTATTAACTTTTTTTATTATTATATTTAAAGGTAAATATTTATTATATTTTAATTTAAATTAATTAAAAAATAAATATAAGTTATATATATATATATATAATAAATAATTTATATTAACGTAATTTATTAATAAATAATAAATATTAATAAAGAACGGATTTTATAATTTTTATTAACTTATATTAACCTTAATATTTATTTAATATAAAGAAATTAATTAAAATTAATATTAATTAATATTAATTACTTTAAATTCTTTATTTTTAATTAATTTAATTAATTTAAAAGGGTTAATATAAATATAATATTAATTTAAAATAAGTAACTTTTAATAAAAAATATATATTTAATATTAATTAATATTAATTATATTATTAAAAATATAATTTATAATAAATTAATTAAATATATATATATATTAATATTAATTAATTTTAAAAAGATATAATTTATTTAAAATTTAATTAATTAAAGTTTTTTATATTTTTTTATAAGTTTTTATATTATATTTAAGCTTATTATAATTATTATATTATTAAATAATTAATTTATTATAAATTACTTTCTTAATATTATTATTTATTTTATTAATTAATTACTTTTTCTTTTATTTTTTTAAAATAAAAGCTTAAGATTTCTTAATTATAAATACTTTTTTAAGTTATATTTAAGTTTTTTTTTAGCTTTTTAGCATTTAATAAATATTATATTAATATTTAAAAGTAAATAAATTTACTTACTTATAAAAGTAATTAAATATATTATTATTTATATTCTTTTTATTATTTAATTAATAGTCTTTATAATTAATTTAAAAAAGCTTTCTTAATAAATAAAGATTTTACCTTTAATAAAACTTAATTACTTAATAATTTATTAAGTATTAAATAATATTTAAAACTTTTAATATTAAAAAGAAATAAAAAGAAATTATATTAAAATTTATAAATAAATATTAAGCTTAAAAATAGTAAAATTTAAGTTTTAAGGTAAGATTTTAACTTTTTTAAATATAAATTAAATATTACTCTTTTTAAAAATCTTATTATAAGTTATTATAAATATAAGAAAAAACTTAAACTTAATAATATAATTAATTAAAGCTTAAATAAAAAGGTTAATTTAATTATTATATATATATTTTAAAAGTAAAAATAATATAATATTTAATAATTAAAGGAAATAAAAAAAATATAATAATATATTAATAAAAATAATAATATTTTTTTATAATATTAATTAAACTTAATTAATATATAATTCTTATAATTATTTAATATTAATATTTAATATATATTTTTAATTTACTTTTTAATATATTTATTAAAATATTAAATTTATTTTAAATTAATTTTATTATTTATTTATTTATTAAAAATAAGCTTAATAATTTAATTATTTAAAAAAACTTAACTTTATATTTTAATTTATAAAATAATAAGCTTTTTAAATAATTATAAATAATAAAATATATTAATTTATTATATTAATATATTTAATAATTATTATTTATTTTTAATTATTAAGTTAAATTAATTTAACTTTTTTATATTTATTAATATATATAATAATTATTAATATAATTATTATATTTATTATAAAATTAATTTTATTAAAGTTATATAAGTTATTATTTATAATTTTATATTTAATTATTATATTTTAAAGCAGCTTAAATTAATTTTTAATAACTTTTAAATTTTTATAAAAAGCTATTTAATAATTATAAAAATAATTAAATTTAATTTTTAAGCTAAATTATATATTTATAAAATATTAAACTTAATGCTTATTAATTAATTTAATATTATATAAAGTTATTATGGTTTAAGCTTTGCTTATTGTAATTAGTTAGTGGGCTTTAGCCTTATAAGAATAGGCTTTAGCGCAAGTATAAATAAGGAGTAAACCTTTTCCTTTGCACTTTAAATATAAACCTTATTTAAATACCTTATGATAAATAACTTAAGGCTAGCCTATAATATATATTTAAAGTCCTTTTATTATTATGGATTGGCCTTAAGCGTTTGCTAAAAGGTACTTAAAAGGAGTTATAAATTATAATATTTAAAAAGTAAGTTAAGCCTTAAAAGGGCTTAACTTTAAATTTATCTTTTAAGTATATACCCCATTATATAAAAGGATTAAGTGCAATATAAGCTTAGCATAAGCATATATTATAGCTTAAATAATAACCTAAGCTTATTATATAGCTCCCTTTTTACTTTTATATTATATATAGCAAGGATTAAACCTAAGGCTTTTATAATTTTATATTAATTATATATTTACCTTATTATATACTTATCTTAAGGCTATATTTATTTACCTTAAAAGCAATAATTATCCATTTTATTTCTACATTAACTATATTTATATATTATGCTTAATATAATGCAATATAAAGTATATATTATGCATATTATAAGCTATTATAATATAATAATATTGCTATTATATATATAATTCTTTATTAATATATTATAATTATGCATAAGCTATATATATTATTAGCTTTAAGTTATAATGCATCTTTATTAATATATTAATATTGCTTACTATGGCTATTACCCTTATATTATATTTATTATCATTATTTAAAATAACTTCCCTATAATTACACTCCTCTTTATAATTCCTTCTTTTTAATATTATATTATTATTATAATATATTTATTATATACGCTATTTTATTACCTTTATATAACCTTTTCATTATCCTTGCAATTATTTCTTTATTTATATTAATTACCTTTTAACTTTATTTTGCTTTTAATTAAAAAGCCTTTCTTAATATAATTAATATTTATATAATCCCTTAGCCTTTTTATAATTCAATCCTTTAGCTATTCTTTCTTATGCTTATTATGCTCTTTCTATAGCTATCCTTTTTTATTAAAAAGTTATTACCTTAATATATTAATACCCTTTTAATCCCTTAATAATTCCTTAATATACTCTTTTTTATTTATATCCTATTTATTAAGCGCTCTTCTCCTAGCCTATTAATACTTTTTTAATTCCTTAATATCCTCCTTAATACCTGCTTTCTTCCCGCTATATAAAAAGAAAAATAAGAAATGGCTTTTATTATAAGTTTTAATAATTAATATAGCGGCTTTAATATAGCTATTATTAATAATAATAATAATAGCAAGCTGCCTTATTATCTTAATAATATAACCCTTAAGGTTACCTTATCTTTCCTTTAATATAAATTTATTATAATTATTAATTAAGTATAAGAATATTATATTATAAAATTATATTAAGTACTTAGCGATTTTAATAATAAGGATTAGCAGCCCGTTAAGTAGCTACCCTTTCTTTATAAATTATATATTATAACTTTTTATAAAATTAATAAGCCGCCTATTTATATTCCTAAAGGTTGCAATATATTTTATATTAACTATCATTATTGCAAGTATAAGTATATTTAGCATATATATATATTTATTAATTCGCTATTATTATGGAATATATAGTATTATTTAAAAAAAATAATTACTATTAATAATAACTATATCCTTATTTTTAAGTAAATTAAGTTTGCTACCTTTACTT